TACTCCTTTCGTTGTACTCCTTTCGTTGTACTCCTTTCGTTGTACTCCTTTCGTTGTACTCCTTTCGTTGTACTCCTTTCGTTGTACTCCTTTCGTTCTCCTGACCATGTCTGATGACGCTGACCCCGTACCGTCTATTGATTACATCCGAGAGGATGTAATCGTCGCTCTCACGAACACTGGAGACAAGCACGAAATGCCTACGCAAGGAAGTGGAGGGAAAGCCGGTTGTACATTCTAGATCAATATAATTTGCTTTTACTGACAAGAATGTCTAGATCGTTCTTCAGTGAAGATGACAAGCCAAGTATTCTAGGTGAAAAGCAAATAAGGTACTATTGCGGGCTACGGGTTGCAATTTGAGATCAAGCTCCTGCATGAGGTAGGTCCTTGCCTCTAGGGTTGATCCGATGACACACTCACAAGGGGAATAGATATATATACCGGGGTGTGTGAGAGAAAGCGGGTGAGTGCATTGTGCAGGCGCCAACAGCATGATGAATGTTTACAAGTACCGTGACGAGTTGTACAAGCTCGCTGTTGGATCTACCTGGGTCCTATGGAACATGATAACCATATGGATACTAGGTACAAGGTAGTTGGTCGCAATGGGAGGTTGGGGACACAATTGATGACTTGGTCTGACACGGATCAATCCCGGCCCTGAATCAAGTGTCTCTTGGAGGATTACGGCAATAGGAACTTCAAGGAGTACAAGAATTGGGCGGTGGCCACTGTATATTCCGTTGGTGACGCCGAATGCGCTTCTTGTCATGTTTCCGTAAGATTGGCACGGTCGGGGTTGCCACAGACGAGGTGCTTCCAGAGTGTGTTTCAGTTAGATATCGTGACAGATCTTTCGGAGCGAAGTGTACCTCCTGCTACATTCGAGGCTCGGCCTATTTGCTGACTCCCAAGCGAGACTCGGTGAACCCGAATTCTCCGAAAGCTCCAGTCAAATCACTTCCGCCATGCTCCTTCTCTGGCATAATGACCGAGGATCGATGTCCTGACCGATGTGTAAATAATGGTATCATCCTCGAGCTAGAGATCGGTCAGCCATTTAACGACAGCTTGAAGCCAAGCGTTGCCGACCTACGACATAGTGCGTCGTACCCGCTTCAAGTTGGAATTCAACACCTGAAAAGCCGGGGTTTTGGCGACATCCACTAGATCGGTTGCGGAGAAAGTAAGGGACAAGGCGAAGTCCTAGAGCAATATCAATAATTGAACAGCAGCAGTGGGGCATAGCATTTAATTCACCTCCAGTGATCTGACGCCGCCGGCGAGCGAATCGCACTACCCACGCAAACGCCGGCAGGCACATCACAAGGAGAGAAATAAGGCCGATCGTTGCCTCAGTAGAAAGGCCCATCGTTGGTGGCGAGAATGGCTAGGGAGGCCCATCTTTTGAACGCACCAAAACCCCGTCGGCTTCTTCAAGTACTGCAACCGTGCTTAGCACCTACTACAGATTATGTATATGGGTTTCCCGATATTCGACAGATTTTGGACGCCCACCAGATTCTGTACAGAAAATGGGACGCGGCTCAGCAGGGGCTTCGCGCCTGACACTGTGACAGCCCAATCATAGGTTGCCATGTGCTGTTTTAGGGCTGCAAGTTGGGGGGCGGTGCAGTTGCGGTGAGTTTCGTTGAAGATCAGGCTGATTCCACAAATTCAGAGCAGTACATTATGTTAAAGCACAACCTCCAGAGTCTCTCATCGGTTGGATCGTTCCACCTTCGCATTTTGACACCTACTGCCTTGCCTAGACAAAGATGTCGGGGACGGATCCTTCGCCTACAAATGGTTGGCATGCTCATCGTGAGACAATACGTCAGCTTTACCTGGTGGAAAACAAAACACGCGCAGAAGTTCGATGCATCTTGAGCAAACCTCCGTACAATCTGGAGACCACGTAAGATTGCGATTCGCCCTCCTCGGCTAAAGCTCACCTGCATTTCAGAGAATGGGAGTTTGAGAAGATCTTGAACGATATGAACCTCAAGAAGAATATCAGGAAGGAAGATTGGCAGGCCATTGCCTACCATATAGAAAAAAGGAAACAAAATGGATTGGCCAGTGACGTTTTTCTCGGTCCTCTCCGTGTCAAACGTCGAAAGGTCCAACATGAGACATCTCGCTATCGAAGTACTTCCGTCAGCGCTCTAGCAGGTGAGTTGCCCCTTAAAGGCCTTGGTCAGTCATGGCTAATCACGGTACAGCTAAAAGTCCACGATTGTCCGAAGGGGTGATTATTCGAACACCTTCCCCGACCTCTCAACAATCTCGAGCCATCTTAGCGCCAGTCCACGCAGCAAGTGTCATGAACACAATTAATACTACGGATAGCTCTATACTAGCATACCCTTTCACCACCGGCCCATCAGCCTTCGACACGGCACTAGAAGACCTGCCATTTAGCTACAATCCCGAGGCTTTCGATGACTCTGGTATGTAACTATCCCTGACACCGAATCGAATTGCTAATAAGAGCCGCAGTGATGCCCAATATCGATTTCGATATCGAATCTTTTGACGCAGTGCCTTTGAGCTGCTTTCGTATCCCAGATGACACAAGCACTCATACATTTGACTATTTCGCACTGGAAGAGGCAGAGGAATTCATAGCTCTTTCTCAGGGCGATTGGAACCTCGAACTTAGCAATGGAGGCAATGTGGATACTGTTGTGTACTCCAACAAAATCATAGAAGTCGCTCTATGCATCCTATCGAACAACGTTTCAGCCTTGAATGGTGCTGGTCAGCTACTGGAGTGGATCAGGAAACACACATCAGTGGACCTTTTCAAACGAATTTCCCTCTTGAAGTCTCACACCACAAGGACGATTGCCGCTAAACTACTCGGTATCGCGGTGGAAAGGGGGGATTGGTCAATATTTCAGTTTCTCCTCGATGCTGGCATTGAGACATCATTACTTGCTGGTGCTGAGGGGGGAAGGTTGTTACGAAAGGCTTTAAGCCATTCCAATCCTAGGATTGCGACGTTTCTGATCGGGAATCGCGCCGATGTAAATCCTTCCGACGCCGACTTGGGTCCGAACGAGTGCCTACCTCTTTGTATCGCAGTACGAAAAGGTCATACCGAGATCGCACGAAAACTTCTGGATAATGGTGCGCACCTCAACCGATGGTGCTCTGGCCCCCGTATTGGTGGCACTCCTTTAAGAATATCAGTCCTTTACGGCCGATTGGATTGCGCTCGACTACTTCTAGAAGCTGGGGCAAAAGCGGAGAAGATCTGCTTTGATGGAATGGATGTGCTTGACTGGTGCTTCCTCAAGGACGAGACTACCTTGTACGATTTGCTTCAATCCTCGATGTCCGACTCAAGCCCAGACTTCAGTATAAGAGATATTCTCCTTTCAGCGAAAAAGGGAGTTAAAGGCCTGGAGAACTACCTCGAGAGGAAGAAAGGAATGGGGTTGTCATGTCTGACACGGTTGCTCGAGAGAGCAATGCACGAGGGTTTTCGATACTCGAGTCATCGATCATCAGCTGTCACCCTTCTTGAATACGGAGTGGACCCGAATATAAAGGAACGACGTACCTCTCTTCTTAACATTGCTCTTCAATATGGCGATTTAGAGCTAGCCACACTCCTCCTTGACAACGGTGCCGACATTGTCTCGACTGGCGCTGTCACAAAGGCAGCCGAATGTGATTCGCGCCTTGAATTTTTAAATCTCTTCATTTCAGAATGCGAGGACCTGGATTTACTTGGGGCCGATCCCCTCGTGACGGCGATTGAGAACGACAACTTCGCCGGAGTGAAATTGCTTATCAGAAGCGGGGTTCCCCTGAATGAGCGGAATTCAGAGGGTCGCTATCCAATACAAGAGGCGTGCCAGGGCGGAAACATAGATATGGTTGAATATTTGGTCCAGAAAAAGGCCGATATACATGCTCAGCCGAGTTCAAAGGAGTGCTTCACGGCTCTCCATTTCGCTGTCGAAGGAGGTCACATCGATATTGTCAAGTTTCTTTTGCAAAATGGAGCGAACGTTGACTGCCAGAGCCATGGAAGCCGGGGACGAACTCTGCTTGAGGTGTGCACTCATAGAGAATTGCTCGAGAAAGCGAATTTCGACAGGGACGAAATGTTCAAGATTCTGATTGACGCGGGTTCACCAATCGATGGACCACCAGTTCGAAGGTGTCGCCAGTGGAACTCTGCCCTAACCGGACTCATCCTTGGATCCGCGAATGACGAGTTGATTGAATTGGCATTCAACGCTGGCGCAGATGTTAATTCTCCTGGCTCCGGGAAAGGGGCTCGCTCTCCCATACAAGCGGCCGCCCAAGTCGGGAATTTGAGGTTGGTCAAGAAGCTTCTCGCGAAAGGCGCAGATATTAACGCGCCAGCTGCCGTTTTCCATGGCAGGACTGCACTACAAGCGGCGTGCAGTCAAAATGTCCCCAATGAAGAGTTGGTCCGGTTTCTCTTGCAGAATGGTGCGGAAGTAAATGCCGAGGCTGGTATCGACGGAGGAGTAACTGCATTACAAGGCGCTGCGATCCAAGGGCATATTAAAATTGTTCTCTTACTTCACGATGCTGGCGCTGATGTCAATGCTCCCCCTGCACCAAAGAACGGGAGAACTGCCCTCGAAGGGGCGGCAGAACACGGCCGCCTGGACACGGTCCAACTACTCTTGAACGCCATCTCAGCAAGCGGGAAGACGTGGAGGGTGGGCTATGACAGAGCCATTAGACTTGCCAGAAAAAACAGTCATTACGCTGTATCAGAGCTACTTGAGTCCCAGCCTGTAGAACAGGTCAGGAGGTAAGAAATAGTTGCAAGCAATAAGCACCCCTGCGAAGTACCGGGCGTAGGCCTTCTGCGATTAATTGAGCCCAAAATTATGGTTTTTGGCCTGAGCCCTACCCAGGAATTCCACCGCGGCTGTGACTCGGGAGGAAGTGAAGAAACTTGCGGCAGGGGTAGAAGGACGGTCTCCGCTGAGACGAGTCTCATCTTCTATAGCTTTAGAAGACACGGTGCATGGATCTCCGCCACCTCGTGCCACGCAACTTTCTTGCCATTTCTGACGTGCTCGATTGACCTCTTGCTGCTGCTGCTTGAGCTGCAGCGTAAAGCCATCGTTTGGAGTATGGTGATAGTCTCGTAATAGGTGTGTATTACTCGACAGTCGTTCGTAGTTAATTTCACCAGATATATATATCGCGTCGCGGAAGTTGAAATATACGCCCCACGGCCTTGGCGGTAAAGCTGAATACCACCGTGCACACTGTTCATCAACAGTAAGTTCAACCGAATCCAAAAACGAGCTTCGCGAATCAAGGTCCGAGCCTCTCAGCTCGCAACTTCACCGTCCATCGAGGTGTACAAGAAACTCAAACGAGATCAAGCTCAGAGCAAGGACCTCAATAGAAAGAGGGACGATACTCGCAACAACTCTGACGTAGCCACGGACAAGAATGTTGACCAGGGCAAGGCAGTTGCTCCAGAGGATGTGGATAACTGTTGGTGAAGGCGAAGCAGGTAGGTATCGACAACGAGGACGTAAAGTCTGAAGAATGAAGGCTAGCAACGTGGACAGGCTGGTGGATCTAGAAACGTCCATGCTTTTCGGACAGTTTTTGTTTCTGGAGCTTGGGCGATGAAGGGCTGAAGTTGATGAGCAGTATCAGCATCTACTGTATAGCCTTTTCTTCGTGGAGCCCTGTACTGGTCTCGCACACAGGATGAGTGGACGGTTGACCTGATGATTCGCCCTCTGATACAACAAAACACCACCACACCACCGGATTGAATATCTCCCGTACGGAGTATACTATAATATTGTACATACACAAAGTAGTCTTGTACCCCACACAGATTTCCCCTTGACGGCTGCCCCTGTCACATCTTCCCTTGGCAGGCCAGCGGCGTCAAATGGCCTGGCCCGAAAGTTGAAACGCCCAAGCCGCAATCTCCAAACTGTGGGCGTCTCGCGAGCGCTACAGAGTGAACTAATCTCAGCTTGGCCACGACGAAATTATCCTTGAAGGCGGTGGCTTAGACGGCTGTCAATAGTTCCAGGAGTTGTGACATGGGGGTTTGGGACAGGAACAAAACCCTTCTGGGGGACACACGATGGACAAAGATTAATTTTTGTACAGTAAGTCGCGGTTGTAGTTTATTTGTTCTATCCCATACCCATCCTCGTTCAAGCCCATCGTACCAAAGTCAGCAAATATGAAAAAGTCCTACTCTCCTTTGGCCGTATTGGCACTGGCTGCCAGCGTGAGCGCTCAATCAGCGCCCGGCTTCCCAGTACAGGTCGACACGGAGTTGGCGGTGGATTTCCAAAGTTCCTCCGAAAGCTTTATTCAGCCTGGTGAAAAGTTGTCTCTAGATGGTAAGCAATGATGAGCCTATACCGGGTCCATGAAGAAGGAAGAGTCGGGCTGACAGGTCGTTTCCTCTCCAGACGTCCAAGACGCGCCGACTGCATCCGGTCCGTCCGACTCGAGCAGCACCTTGGACTACATGCTGTTCATGGTCGACCAGGACGTCAAGTCTGATGACGGATCTCGCGTCGAGCTTCTTCACTACTTCCAGCCCAACCTTGCTGGAGCATCGGAGGTGCTCTCTGACTTCTCTAACGACGCCGACAACTTCACCTCGGCGTCTCCGGTGCCGTACATCGCTCCGGGACCTCCAGCGGGCGACGGCCCTCACAAATACACGGTCTTGCTGTACAGACAGTTCAAGGGCTTCTCAATCCCTAGCGAGTACTCGTCGTTTTTCCCCCCGTCGGACGTCAATGCGCGAATTGGTTTCGACATGGCAGGCTTCGCTAAAGCCGCCAACTTGCCGGAGCCGGTTGGCGCCAACTGGTTCCAGGTCGAGAATGGTGAAGCTGCTCCATCGAGTACGGCGAGCTCTGAATCCGCGGCCAGCACGAGCAGCAGTGAGTCGGCAGCGTCCTCGACCTCTGCTTCAGATAGTAGCGCGACGACCACAGCCACCAGCAGCTCTGGGTCAGCAGAGGCTTCAGCAACGGGTTCATCAGAGACTTCAACGGCTGCTTCTACAGAGTCCGCTTCAGCTTCTTCCTCGGCCAGTGCATCAGCCACTTCCGCATCTTCCGATGGCAATGCTGCTGGATTCGTTGACGCCCGGAATAGCTTTGCTGGGTTGGTGGTTGCTCTTTCGTTGAGCGTCTTTGGTCTATGGTTGTAAATGATGGATCGCATAAGTTCTATGAGAGTTACTCCGGTGAGAGCTCAGACATTGACTATGAATTGGGGGTATACACGGCGATTGGGAACGCTGCTTCAAGCGTGGCATCTGTACAATATGAGGTTGTAATTCTCAGAACCGAATAGAATTACTTCAACGGTAATGCAAGAATTGAACACCATGGCCCCGTAACAAGATTGGAACAGCGAAGCTGTCGATCTACAGAAACCCAAGACTTAGCCTGTTTGTGCCTGTAGATCTTGGAGTCAGTGTGGTTAGACGTGGCTGTTAGTGAGATTAAGTATTGTCGGGTGAGGTCAATATACACAAGGTGATAAGTTTGTCGGCCGGGGTACAAAGAGCGAGGAACTCCGTTGACAATCGCAAGTAGATAGCTAGCTGGCTTAACCAGATACCTAAGTATGTCGTTGGGTGAGTTATTAGGGGCCTTATAGGTGCCCGTGGAATCACCGGGGGACGTTTCGGCGGGTCCAATATAAGGGCCATAGGCACCTCTACTACTCCTGACACGCCTGACTTCGTACCCCAGAAAAGCTGCAGATCCGCCCATTGCTTAAGGGGTTCGATCTAGACTGGCCGTACTCCGTACACAGCACTAAGCCCAAAGCCAACCTGCTGAGCCTCAACTTCAATCAACCAACTTTCGTATCGGTGTCACCGCGTTTCTATCACTGTGCTTGTTCTTCCCCTTCTTCTGTTTACAGCCCATTCACTCACTAAAAGTCACTCCTTCGTCCCCCTTCGTTGCCAGCGTGTTCAAGAGCTGTTTTTTTTTACCACCCATCTCCTGGACAGATCCGTCTTCCCGTCGATCCCATCCCTACTCCGCTCCTGAAGACCCGCTTGAGCACGAACCTTGCCTCACAATCAACATGCGATCTCCCGTCCTTCTTTCCTCACTATTACTCGCGGCACCGCTGGCAGTGTCCGCAGCAGGCACTTTAGGGTTTGCCGTAGGCAACACAAACCCGGATGGATCGTGCAAGAAACAAAGCGATTTCGAGGACGACTTCAATGCCATCAAGTCCAACAGCGATGCCACCATTGTCCGAACCTATTCCTCCTCCGACCAGTACGCGAATCCATGCAACACCCCATCGGAGGTGCTGCCAGCAGCAAAAGCCGCCGGAATTCAGGTCGTGCTAGGCATGTGGTGAGTTTTGGAAGGAGAACTGAATGACGAGACGCAAAAGCATGTGATCTGACAATCGTGTATTTCTAGGCCTGATGGAGGTGCCTATGACAAAGAGAAGGCGGCAATCGACGCTGCCGACCCAACACAATACGGAGACACCCTCTACGCCATCACTGTCGGCTCGGAGGGAATCTATCGTGGCACATACAGCGCCGATGATCTTGTGGGCTGGCTCAATGACATGAAGAGCGCTTACCCGGACGTCACCATCGGGACTGCCGACAGTTGGAACGGCTGGGCCAATGGCTCCATGGACTCCATCATCCAGAACGTCGACTTGGTGTAAGTGAAGCCCGCGCCCTGCTCGTCCCGTTGGAGTTTAGGTCGACAACACGTTACATGTACTCGTACTTACAATCGCATCTGCAGTCTCGCCAATGGCTTCGCGTACTGGCAATACCAAGAAATCTCCAATGCTACCAAGACATATTTTGACGACATGGCTCAAGCTCTTGGTCACGTCCAAGAAGTCACAGGTAGTCTTGACAAGGTCAAATTCATGAATGGCGGTAAGTTCTCAATGCCTTCCTGCTCATGGCCAACCAAGTGATTATGGGAATTTACTAACACCCGCCCTAAAGAGACCGGCTGGCCTGGGACCGGTGGCACCGATGCCGGTGCGGCCAAAGCAGGTGACGACAACATGAAGACGTACTGGCAATCTGCCGTCTGTGGCCTTCTCGATTGGGGAGTTGACCTATTCTGGTTCGAGGCATTCGACGAGCCAGACAAGCCAGATGCCATTGGAGACAACGGCCAGAAGGCCAGCGAAAAGTACTGGGGTTCATTCACCTCGGACCGAAAACCCAAGTTCGATATGCACTGCTAGATAGAGCGGGTTTTTGAGCCGTTTACCTGTGCCATCTATCGGTCAGTAACTGTTTTGTTTTGTACATGATCGCTGCCATCTTCGGAGCGGTGGGTTCGATGGTGTTCACTTTAGGACACCGGACTCAAGGGAGTTGATACCAAGCATTTGTTTCCTTAGGCCAGAATGGCGAGCCCCGTCCCTTTTGTCGAGCGGAGGCTAGTGAGGCCCAGCTCACTCCCACGTATTGTTCATCACGGTCAACATCGTTCGTAGGTAGCCAATTTCTGCGCCCGCCTGGTCTTGGATTGCTCATTCAGCGCGGATGGGGACGGGACATATTTACCGTACATGTACTCCGTACCTTCACGGTAGGGTACCTCGGTACCTACCTACCTGCCTACATAGGGGAATTATGGCCACGCTCTGATCTGTCCCGGTTGACAGCCTCAGCTCGACGGGTTGGTCCCTCCCCTCCTTTCCCCAGGTTTCGTGTCCTCTTCACGGGAACCTATTTCTCTGCCTTTTAGGTACCCAAGATGGGTACGGTAGGTAGGTTGGTGCCACGTACATACAGTAGGTACCCATTTTGTGGGTACCCTCAGGGGGGATAACCTTATCTAACTTAACAATCTGATTTCAGCCGAGGGAAAGGTCAAGGCAGGGAAAAGTGGACACGCCACAGGTACATATATTGTGCCTACTCGTACCCACGTAGACATGTACATACATGTACTATATGTACGGGAGGATTTAGGCATATCTACTCAGGGAATTCAGGCAGGTAATTAGTTACACTTTCGCACCAGAAACGCCCCCGCCAACTCCCCAAGTCATTACCACCGGAGGGAAGACATTAATATACTTTCACCGTTTTGACATACAATTAGGATGTGCAGGCATGTACCTAGCTAGATAGGTACACAGAAACTAAAAAAAAAAATGAAACCCCAATTCAAGGATGTTGATCGGCTCTCCTGCCCTCGAGAACCAGTTCAACCCGCTTGATGGGGTGGAGGAGCATTCCAGGAAGACACATTCTGCCCTCGCCGGCGACTTCCTCCTGCTCGCCGCCGTCGTTGTGGAACTTCATGCCCAGCCAGCGGTGCCAGAGCACCTCGGGGAACCCGGCGTTGTAGTACCACGTCGTGCCGCGGAAGTTGTGTTCGCGATCACCAAAGACGCTCGTGCGGGCGCCGCCGGTGGCGCCGTTTCGCCCGCCGTTGAACACGGCCTCGAGGTACTTTGTCGGCCATTTGCGATCAATGTACTCTGGGTGAGGGGCGTACACGGCTTTGAGACCGTGGTGCAGCGCGCAGCTAGCTGGCCACATCTCGCTGAACATGGTGTGCTTCTTGACCGCCGTCTCTCGGTGCATCGTCGTCAGGAGCTTGCGGCTGAGTCGGCTTGCCGTGATGATGGCTGTCCGACGGGGAGGTCGGCCGCGGCTAACGTTGTATCCGGTCGTGTCATCCGTCAGAAGCCAGGTGGTCCCGTCGGGATCGAAGAGAGGGTTGAAAGTGATCAGGTCAGCGTCTTCGCCAACTCCCCAGGTGTATTTGTCTTTGTCAAAAGAGGTCGGCGGAACAGGGTCGCCTTCGAAAGCTACGTCGTCGTCAAGCGGTCTTTCAGGCCCCCAGATAGGTTTATCCCCCTGCTGATTCACGGCGCCAGGAATCTTCGGGTCCTTGGCGCGATTGAGGCTGCTCCATAGGTTGTTGGCGCTGTTTGTGCCCTGCTCGGTCTGCACTCGAACCGTGTGACTGAAGTCATCCCACTCGCCATGCTCCGAGGGTACGTAAAATCGGCTGTTTCGTTCCCAGAGAAACTTCCTCGGCTGTGCCTTGGCCCATTTCGAGACGCTGTCGAAGAAATGATACCAATGATGAGTTGTGCGGACGTCCATCTCCCAGTTCCAGAAGAAATCGTACTCTGGATGCTGGTAGGCAAAATATTGCATAGGCATGAATGTGCTGCGGTAAACGCCGTGCACGGGCAAGTCTCTCATCCACGTCTCCTCTAAACCACCATACATCAACAGCATCTGCCGCTCTGTCCACAGAGTGCCCATGCCTTGAAATTCTTCCGGCAAAGACTCTCGCAGGACCCGCTCGTAGGTTTCGTCATCAGAGAAAACAGGGAGGTCGTGATTCTTGACCTGGATGAGAAAGTGTACCACATATTCTCCTCCACTCATCATGGTCAATTCCGAAATGAGGGATCGCAAGTAGATTTTGTCCTCTGGGGTGTACCGATAGTCCGACCAAGTTCGAATGATGATCGCTGTACGGGGCAGCTTTTCTGGGCCAGTTTTCACAGTGTTGGCAGGCTTTGTTGGCATCGACGAGACTTCGGCACCTTCGTCTCGCTTCTCGATGCTTCCTATCTGCATGGCTCTGAATCTATCGATTCGAGGTTTTGGCAGCTCTTTGAAACGATGCTTGTTCGCAGAGACACATCTGTGTTGAGCCTCGACCCATTTCACCTTTCTGAAATCGACTTCTGGCGTTTCTTCCCACACCGCATCTGCTCCCTCTCTTTCGCCTTCTTGTTGAGCGCCACTTCCGCCGCGGTTGATGCTGTAGCCGAGACCATACGGGCCTAGTCTGCCAAATCGCTCGTAGCAAATGTCTGTCCTCAAACCAAGGAGCTGAGCTGAGCCCATAACTGCTTCAGGAAAACCACGCGGAATGCCTTCGTAAACTCGTACTTGCGGGATAGATATGGTGTTCTTCTCATCCAGGAAACAGTCAACCTTCTCTCCGTGTTTTGCAATGTACTCGGGGGACATGTAGTTCGGATAAGGGTTGAAGGGTATGCTAGCCTGGATCGCCCGCTTCAATTTCTCCGGGTCCTCGGGGGGATCCAGAGGGGGCTCTTCAGGTAAGTCTAGTTTTTCCATGGGTACCTCGTCCTCATTCTGGGGATATTCAGGCACATTCGCAGTGGATGGTACAAGGGATCTTACTCCCCCATAGTATCGATCCAGAAAGGGAAAGCTCTCCCATGGTGGTGGCTTAGGCTTGATCTTCTCTTCTTGTATAGCCACCTTGACCTCCTTATCCGCATTCCAACTCATTCGCACTAGAGCAAAGACGAAGATGAGCAGACCGGCTGCGACACCCAAGCATATCCATCGCATGACCGATTTCGGCATCCGGCCAAGGTATGGTGGTGAAGAAGATCGGTTTGAGGTATAGGCATTGTTGACCAGCATGGGTCTGTACGACGACGAGGTCGAGCGGGAGGTCGCAAAGGAAGTGTCTACGTCGTCCATGATTGCTTCGTCGTTATCGTCGCTGCTTGGTTGGAGCCCAAATCCATCCTTTTCAATGTCTGAATCTCCTCGACCTCGTATGCGTGCCATGGTTGAGGGGTTGTCTATTCCGACGGAGGAGCTGCGCTGCCATATCATTGTCCACAAATCCGGTGGCCGCAGCCAGGGTACATTGTTGGGCAACTCGACTGTCCGAGTTGCCAATGATGCCAAAGAAACTGTGCCTGTCCAATGACAATGGCTCGCCGCCGTGTGAAGCGCTCGGGGGTCTGGCGCAATGAGCAGAGGATCGCTTGACGAAGAAGTCGGGGCTGGCCGCAGGGTTGAGGACAGTGTAAACAGATTTGGGGTGCCTGTGTTGCTGTAGTTTGACAGGGCTAAGTATTGAATCGTAGGTACAGGAAATAACGAAACTATTCACAAGAACATGCACACAAATGTACAGACGTTGGCAGCAGGTGAAAGTTGGACGCCCCAGGATCTTCTTATCGCAGAAAATGGCACATTTCTTGGATTGTCCGTGTCAACAACACGGGCCACTTGGTCGGGTCAACGCCAATCATGCTCCGCACCGGCCCTTGGACCTGGCACTTATGACACCCAGCAGCAATCTTTGTAATGACAGCACAATGCCCTCTCTCCTCGGCGAACTCTCAAGTGTCTGACGGTCAATCACACGGCCCACGCCAGAGCCACGTTGGCCCCGTTCCCGGACCTGGAGGACCAGGGGCTGCCGTGCTGTCAGAGAGCCCTTATCTACAACGTACAGGTAGTTAATGCAACGAACTTATGTTGATGATAGAGAAGTTCACTCCCTTGCTCCTTGATCGCTTCTTGCCCACGACTGGATGTCACTTTGTAGCAGGAAAAGTTCGATAGGTTGCAGGATCCTCAGACTCAGCCACCTGTAGGTACCTACCAGGCGTCCCCTTTGGATTACTTTGCTCTAGGCATCGTTTCCACTTGGTGGCAGGCCTTCGGCACCTCTACCCAGGTCCTCTTTCAGTTCTTGTCCTCCTATTTCGACTTTCTGGCAGTCTTGAAGGACGAAAATCATCCTGGCCCAGTCTGTTTCGCTTACATTCTTCCAGGCGTGCATGGTTCCTCGCTGAACAGCGACATCTCCCCTCTGCATCTGTCTACGGTCTCCGCTGTCCAGCAGCATCTCGATGGTCCCTTCGAGAACGATGCCATAGTCCAGACTTTGTGTCCGGTGCATCATGCATTCGTAACCTGGGGCAAAGTCGACTACACGACACACCGTTCCGTTGGGGTTGACCAGGCCTAGCTTGCCGCTCGAGGTAACCTCGTCATGTGTCTTGATATCCTTGTTGCCGTTCAAGTCTGCTGGGAACTGCGACGTGGTGTAGATCACATTGAAGCCCATCGACTTGTCGTCGTACTGACTCCATTTGCCCGGGCGGGAATCCTGGACAATGGCTTTTCCTGTTTTCGGATCGTGGCCGGTGATCTATGATGGTGTGAGCACGGAAGCATAGACACTGTATATGTATTCTGTCGGGCAATGAAGCTTACGTGGGTAGTCAGGCCTGGCAGTGAGGTGGCTACTTGGTCTGGATTTGGAGGGCGTGATGAAGCCATGCTTCCGAGATGGAGGCTCGGATCAGATATAAGAACGAAGACGTGTACACTGTTTCAATCTCCCAACAAAGTCGATGAGAGATGAAGGGATGGCGAGGGCTTCGGCAGGCGAACAAGTGATATATATAAGGTATACCCCGCATCCTCAACCAACATGGAATTGGCATTGACCCCCGTCAATTCACACTTTACAGAACCATCTTGTATTCAGGATCTCTGTCATCACCATATCCAATGTACTTATCGTACTTGCCCGCAGCCTTGTCTCTGTTGATCTTTGCGCACCATAGAACGTTCAATAGGATTCTGAGAAGTCTGTTAACATAGATCTTACAACATCAGACGAGACCAGCTTACGCGAACCACGCATACACTAGAAGACCTAGTATGATGGTGTGGGACTTGTGATATTGCGGTGCTTGAGTAGATGGGTACGTGAAGGCTATCTCATGATAAGCAAACGTCTTCGTAGACAGGCGCAGGGTCACTCACCAGAAACAAAGCCTCCACAATTAGCAATAGCCAACTGAAGACCTGCGCAAGTGTCAGTATGCTTCCTTGTCAACCTGGCTCCGTGTCCATCGTAAGAAGAATCCGCTGGTGAGGGAAGAGGAAAGGACTGACCGGAAGTGGTAGCACGCTTGTAGTGTCCAGCTGAATTGTTACTGTTCCATACCAAAACAGGCGGGACACTGGCATACAGCCCCGTCGCCATCAAGAAGGTCATGCCGTACTTGGTGTGGTTGTCATGCTCTCCGACATTGCCAATCACCGCATAACCGATGATAGCCAGCGGGAGAACGCAGAGCATGACGACTCCTCGTAGCTTGAGGCGATCGGACAAGACTGCCACAATCACAGTAACGACTGCTGCTACCGCGTACGGGATAACAGACCACAGTTGAGCTTCGTTCGCGGTATATCCCAGACCTTTGATGATGGTCGGGAGAAACAGTCCAAATGAATATAGTCCGGACAGAATGGCGAAGTAAGCAGTCGCGCTCAGCCACAGCTGAATATTGAAGAACCCACGTCTGACCTCAGACCAGCGGAACTTCTCAACACCTTCCGTATGGTGGCCATCTGGAAGATGTGCGGCAGTGTCCCTCCGCAGTCTTCGTTTGGCCAACTCTCTCTCTTCGGGTTTGAGAAACCAAGCGGTGTCGACGCTGTTTGGCAACAAGAAATAGGCCGCGACACCTGCCACAACAGTCAATAGTCCTTCAATGACGAGAATCCATCGCCAGCCTGCATCCAGACCACCGCGTGCGCCGATGGACGACAAGCCGCGTGCCAGAAGGCCGCCGAACGCTCCAGCAAGAGAGGCGCTGGTGTAGAAGAGACCGATTCGGAGAGCCATCTCGCCTCGGGTGTACATTCCAGACAGATAAAGTACCATTCCCGGCAACAGCCCGCCTTCAGCAAGACCCAAAAAAGCACGAACTATCAAGAATCCAGCATAGTTCTGCACAAAACCTAGACACATGCCAATAATTCCCCATGCTGCCGTTAAGAACGACAGCCAGATGCGGGGACTTGCCCGACGTAAAATCAGGTTTGAAGGCAGCTCTGCAGCAATATAGAAGCTAAAGAAAATAGCAAGGCCATTGGCATACTGGTGTGTGTTGAGGCCAAGATCCTTTTCAAGACCGAGAATCTTTGCGTTGCCAACGTTTGTGCGGTCGAGGAACGAGCAAAGGAAGAGAATGGCAAGAACAGGAAGAATTCTAGAGAGAGTGAGTTTGAAGCCCTCAGTGCTCCCGCCCAAGGTAGAGAGAATACCTTGTGTCCAGCTTCAAGAGCAGTGTTCGAGTAAGCTTCTTGGTATTTTCATCGTCGCCAAGGTCCGTTGGAGCCTCATACTCGTTCTGGATGTCGACTGGTTTTTCCATGGCAGGTTGCGAATCTACTTTCTCAAGAGACCGGTCGCGTGTGTTGTCTGTGTTGGTCGCCATAACGACAATGCTTTGGTGAACCGGGTGTGGTGATGCAACGTGGGTGTTTGTCGCACGACGTCACAGGGTTTGCAGGATCGTAGACAAGATAATTCCAAGCTCACCAAGCATCAACAAGGCGAAAGGGAGAAAGATCAACTTCCAGCAACGATATTGTCAACTTATCTGTGACCGACCTGTCTTGTTTTTTTGGGGCCCCTCCTCTTGTTTTTGTACCCCGTGGGTAATGACCTGAATAGCCGGAGTATGCAATGCGCCCTCCAGGAATCCAATATTTTTGATGCATACTCCGGATCAATGATTCGCGGTCATCAAGTGACACGGCCAACACGGCCATCCACCGGTGTGTGTTGTGTTACATCAGGCCTAGTGAGCCAGTGTGTTGCGCCAGATGTAGTTAAAGATCGATGCGGATAAAGCTTAGCTTGCTTTTTGTAAGGTGCACGCTGGTAAGCTGGCAAGGGGCAGCGCCTGGGGGACAATAAGCACCGACAAGAGCACCGACAGGTGGACGGTGGTAGAAGAATGCCCGAGTCGCTGGGGCGTCAGAATCTGAAGCCGATTAAAAGCAGGAAGACGGTTGTTGATCTTGGCTCCGGTGCCGGCGTTTCTTTTTGCCGAGGTCAATCCCCCCGACTTGACCGGTCTCGTGCTCCCTCCAAACACCTCATGCTAAATCCCTGCTTCATCTACATAGCATCAGGACATAGACATATCGCCGTCTTCACTCAGTTCCTGCGGGTATATTTTGACGCAATATATAGCCCTGCAGCAAATTCGACCAATCGGTCATCACAAGGTTTATTATATGAGTGACCCGTCGGTGGGCAAGGCGTCCTCCCGAGCAAGTCGCCTCGGAACAGCCAACACGCAATGTACGCTAAATCTAACCTCATCCAATTCTCTTCTCATTTCTAGAGCATGAACTTTCCTTTTGCAACCCACCCTTGTCTGATCCATGGGCTCTAACGAAGTCGTGTGTGTCAATTAGCTCGCAAGATCAAGAGGTCGAGAAAGCAATCGTCGGCAGACATGTCCAAGTTGTCCGAACCGTTGAAGCAGCTGATCAACGCGGCGCACGCACTGCCCGGCTATCTCAAAGCGCCTCCGACAATCCGCTCGACATACTCACGAGTGGCCAACAGCGCGCAAGAAAATGGCGTCGGGATCCCAGCTTGGCTGACCATGGCCACGGCGACGACAATGACCCTCAACTCGCCGGGGTCGATGATTGAGCTGTTCCACCTCACGCAGTCGCTGCCCTCGCCGCCCCCGGCCGCGGAGACGGCGGGCCTGATGCGCGAGGTCGGGCTCAAGTGTATATCGTTCAACGGCATCCCGCGCACGATCAACTGTCTCGGCGCGTTCCGCGAGGGCATGCCCAAGGACGTATTCGACAGCATTCCACCCCAGCCTTCGCGACAACTCGAGCCGGACAATCTCGAGACGTCCCTCGCCCGCGGCCGCGCTCTCTGGGACAGCGTATACAAGCCGTTCGAGGGCAAACTCCTCGACAAGCTGGCGCAGAGCCACCCCAATCTATCCGTCCACATCCTGAACGGCCACTACTCGAACCTGCTCTCGGACCCTCCCGGGGACTCGCCCGTCAAAGTCGGCCGCGTGCTCACGTCCCTCGTCGCCATCGCGTGCTTGCGCGCCCAGACCGGCGTCGGCCCACAAGTCACCAGCCACGTCTTCGGTCTACGAAAGGCCTATGCCGACGGCACCGCCGAGACGGACATTGAAGGCGGCGACTGGCTTGCGACCGACGAAGGAAACCAATGGATCATCAACGCCGTCGATGAGATCGTCCAGGGACTGAGCGAGGGACGAGGGACCACTTTCGCTCCCGGAATGGGTGCGAAGCTGCAGGCAAAGTTGTAGACTCCGGCGATTAACTCTGCAGGAATCGGGTATATTAACGAACATAAAAAGCCACATAGATTACACATTTGTATATATATATCACTTTTTCTTCAAGCCTTCCCACCGTGTCGGACAACGTCTGCCGACGCGAAATGATCAAACTCCAGACGGTCTCCAGTGTTTTTTTTGTTTTGCAAAGATTGATGACCATCAACGAATACCAACACGGATGTATACGTATTCTAGAAGCGTAAAACATCTTGTGTCTATTTTCACATGAGAAAATGCTAATTTTGTACAGCCATAGACTACACTTGGAACAGCCTTGCGCAGTTCACCTCGCCATTAACCGCGTGCACACGCCTCATACGCCGACCAAGCTACGCGACTCACCATTTATCTTTTTCCAGGGTCTATGTCTATCTCCCTTATGCAGAACTCACCAGCTATACAAAAAAGCCAACGGTACCTACTCCATCTTGCCCAAGGTCTCAGCAACCGCAAAATTAGCGTCCGTCTTCTCCTTGACCTCTTCAACCGTCACGCCGGGAGCGAGTTCCGTCAGCGTAAGCGTGCCCTTGGACCTGTCGACTTCAAAAACGCAAAGATCGGTAATAATGGTGCTCACGACACGCGCCCCGGTCAAGGGCAAGGAGCATTGCTCGACGATTTTGCTCTTGCCGTACTTGTCGACGTGGTCCGTGGTGACGACGATCTTGGTCTTGTCCGGGTTCGAGACCAGATCCATCGCGCCGCCCATGCCCTTGAACACTTTCCCGGGGATCATGTAGTTGGCGAGATCACCCGCGGCACTGACCTGCAACGCGCCCAGGATGGAGACGTCGACGTGGCCGCCGCGGATCATGCCGAACGACTCGGAGCTGTCGAACGTCGAAGCGCCGGGGACGAGGGTGACGGTCTCCTTGCCGGCGTTGATGATGTCAGGGTCGACTTCTTCCTCGGTCGGGTACGCGCCCATGCCCAGGATGCCGTTCTCGGATTGGATCCAGACCTTGACATCCGACGGGAGGAACGAGGGTGCGAGGGTTGGCATGCCGACGCCCAGGTTGACGTACATTCCGTGCTTGAGTTCCTTGGCCGCACGGCGGGCAATGCGGTCTCGTCGAACGAGGGCTTCTGATTTTGTGTCGCTGGACGCGGAAGAAGCCGACGCTTCGGACTCGTAGCCGCTGTCGTTGCCGCTTGGTCTGGTCTTTTTGATCTCGAGCACCTTGTCGACCGTCGCTGGCACGATGCGGTCGACGTAAATGCCCGGAAGATGGATGTCGTTGGGGTCGAGTGAGCCGATTGGAACAATGTTCTCGGCTTCGACAATGGTCAAACGAGCGGCCTTTGCCATGATTGATCCGAATGCCTTGGTCGTATATCTGCCAGCCAGGAAGTTAGCCGCACTCCTCTCTCAAGAGTTTTCAGGAGGAGAGAACCAAGGGGGTAGGTCACCTGAATTGGCAGTTGCCAGCCTCATCGACTTTCCAGGCGCGAATAATCGCAACGTCTGCCGTCAGGGCTGTCTCCATAACGTAGGTTCTCCCATTGAAGATTCTCGTCTCTCGAGCTTTGCCCGCTTCCAGGACCACAGCCTTCTTGGTTTCGGGGTCAGCCGGCCCCAGCCGTGTAGGGATCTCTCCTGTCTGGATAAAGGTATCTGCATCTTAGTATCAGTCTCTGCGAGAAGAAGATAGCGGCCACGATTGCTACTCACGGACACCGGTCGGAGTGTAGAACGCAGGAATGCCAGCTCCACCGGCACGGATCCGCTCTGCTAACGTTCCTTGAGGACACAGTTCAATCGCAATTTGGCCGGTCAGGTACTTCTGCTCGAGCTTCTTGTTGTTCCCCAGGTATGATAGGATGCAGCGTGTTATCTGGCCTGACTTGGTCAGCGGCGAAAGACCGCCAGCTCCTGCAGCTCCGGCATTGTTCGAGACAGCAGTAAGATTGTTCAACGAGTCGACTCCTCGCTTGTGCATTGCTGTGATTATCGTTTCTACGCAAGTCGTCGTCAGTCTGGAAGAAAAAACTGGCACTGATTCATCGAATCACTTACCCGCCGTTCCACACAGGCCAAATCCGGCACTGAAGACGACGGATCCAGACTTCAAGTCTGCTACAGCCTCATCGGCATCTTTGAAGATTTTTGATCTCGTCCTATCAATGACAGGCTGATCGTCTTCGGCTTGCCGGGCAGCTACATCTTGCCATCGTGACCGTGAAGTTGTGAAAAGTCGAGCACCAGCCGGTCTTGACGTCCAAGGTCCGACATGTGATTGGCGGATAATCGGTCTATGTTTGAGCGAAGTAGTGATGTTAGAACAGGAAGTAGCTCTGATGTCGTTGACGCAAAGCAGCAACGTCCTTCTCGTCGCCATTGCGGAATGCTTGATAAGAGGTGATTTGTTTGTCGAGAGAGATGGTCTCTGCAGCTCTATCACTGAGTATAACAATATTATAGAAAATTGGCTCAACGAAAATCACGGCCAAAACCCATAGGCAATTTGAGCGACTTCGGATGCTGGCACGGACTCTTCGAAGACATTTGTGGCTGACCCGTATCCGATAGGCACGTGATGAAATCTAGATCCGGTCGGCCATATTTCTGAAGCCGAGCCATTTTGGTTCATTGTATCGCCGAGAATGCAACTCCATTCCCACGAGGCTCATGCAGTGACATGTGCTCAAACAGAGGCAATGTGGGACCGCCCTCATGTATAGCCATATATTGGCGTTGAAATAGTACTTGACAGTGACGCTGCTTAATGCGCTGTTGGACCGACAGCTCCATAGACATACGCGCCGACCGTCTCTTCCCCGAAAACCACTCAGCTACCGCCCTGTCGGTGGTTAAGTTATATGTCAAAACAAGCCCGTCAGCCATCGAATTATCTCAGTGCCTGAAGCATCCACCCTCCACATATCCGAGAATCACATTTCCACGTTTTCGCGTTCCTCGAAAAGTATAGTCCTCCAGTATGGCGAACTCCAAGGCGCAAGGGCAACCGTTCTGGCTTGGGTGAGATATAGCCCAAGGGTGTCCTTGCGAGATAATCATCTAACAGCGAACAGTGGTGCCGCGGCTGCGATGGCAGCATGTTGCAGTATGATTTTCCTTTCCCTGGTTCATTCCAAGTGATCAATGCGGACTGAAGTCGCAGCTCATCCTTTGGATCAGACAAAATAGTAGGTTGCACCAAGCCTGGCATATTCCAAGTACTTATCGGTTCTACAGCCGAATGCAAGTCATCTCCACGAGACAAAATATGTTTAGAACTCTGATCCAATTCGCGACTCGTGATGGTAGGTGCTGAATCAGTCATAATGATTGTTCGCCTGGGCTGAAAATATCCAGGAATCCCTTCTCTGTGGTGGGGAATATCGGCTTCCATCCTTCGACAGTCCACATATTCAACTGCAAGATTTGGGTTATACAATTACTTCGCTCGCGAGGCTCGACAAAGGACAGGACAACAGCGGCTGTCTAGTCCCCTGGAAATCGCATGCGCTGGTGTTGCTGGTGGACTTGCCGGGCTAGTTGGCAATCCAACAGAAGTTCGTGGTAGTTGATTTTTAGTTTGCTGTTGGCTGACGTGTCCATCCAGGTAGCCCTTGTCCGAATGTGTGCGGACGGAGCAAAAGCACCGTCCCAAAGGTTTGGATACGCTCATGCGTTCGATGCTCTGATCAGAATTGGGAGGGAGGAAGGCGTCAGGACATTTACTCGAGGCATTGGCCCGAATGTGGTTCGCAGCGTGATAATGAATGTGTCGCAGATCGCAACGTAAGTCGGATCCTGCTCTTCAGATTCTGTCAGTGACTCACATGATTGATTTCAGGTACTCGGCCGCGAAACGTGCCTTACTTTCTAATCCATCACTCGGCCTGAAAGACGGCATGCCAACTCATTTCCTCGCGTCCTTACTCGCAGGCACTGTTGCAACCACAGCCTGTGCACCGGCCGACGTTTTAAAGAGCCGGATACAGAATGCTGTTACAATCGATGGAGTAAAGCCGGTTTGTGACATCTCACTGAATTGTTGAGTGTGCGCTGACCCGTTTGTCAGAGTTTGGGAAAGATAGTTGCTGAATCACTTCGTAACGAGGGTCCGCGGTTCCTGTTCAAAGGCTGGACCCCAGCCTGGCTGAGGTTGGCGTAAGTGTCTAACCCCGTACGCTAACCCAACAGGACCACTGACCATTCCAGACCAAACACCGTCCTCACCTTCATCTTCCTCGAACAATTGCAGAAGCTGGTCAATATGTCGAGAGAAATGCGTACCGCTGAAAACCTCCCAGTGTCTGCGGCTGTTCAGAAAACTTGATGGAGCTTGTTCACGGAACATCTTGTTCCATAGAACTCAGAACCTCCTGGTATCAAGTGACATTGGGCCAATCCAACCAATCCACAAACATGGTCTCGTCAAGTTGGAAAAGATCTTGGGACGCACTGGCATTATTGATTGCCTCCAGTATTTGGTCATCGGTCATGTCAAAGACATAGGGTTCTGAAGACGCATTTGGCAAGTTGACTGGGGCGTTGGACGATGATGAGTACTCAACGTTCGGATTGTCTTGATGCATGGCTTGTTCCGACCCGGCCATGGTATTGCCCGGATTCCCTTCTGCTGGGTGAAGGAGCGAGCTTTGTAGAATCCGGCGAATATGCCTTGCGAAGAGGACTGAGAGCCCGTTGCGGTGTTTTGGTGTGCTGCCGATGCGCTCAAGCACCTGAGTGGTCTCTTCTATGAGAGATCTAGCGTTCGGAGCCAACATGGCCCTACTTCCGAGGGCAGTGGCACCCAGGGCCAACGCAAAGCATGCCGCAAATGATACCATGATGACAGTATTGTTGGGCATAGATTTGAGCCTGTTTTCACCTTGTACCGCTGCCCGCATCACGTTCATTGCTGAGGCGAGGCCTGCGGCTCGGAAGAATTGCTTGACGTCGTTCGATGCTGTTGGATGATTGACAACATTACAGTATGTGGACAATTTTGTGTGCGAGGCTAGGATCTCGACATAGGGTGGTAGCTGGCCTGTTCAAGTATTAGGCTGGGAAGAGAAATTCGTAGCAAGTACCTACCGTCACCTTGGGTAATTTGTCTAGACCACACGGCAAACCACTGCTCAAAAAACCGGTCGATCTTGTCTTTGAGACTGGGTGAAGTTAGGAGATGACCGTGTGGTATTGATAATGGGAGCCTCACAATTTGACAGCAGTCGAACCGCCATTGATACCCTGACTTCCGTCACAGAACTCGCGAACACCGGCGATTAGCCCCACCTAGGAAGAGTCAGCATCGCCACAATGTGGCCCGTCTTTTGCACATACCAGATCGCGTCTCAAGACAGCAGCAGAGATTACACTGCCGTCCCATCTGTCCGCGATATCGGAGATATGCCAAGTGTCACAACTTTCCACCAAGGGCCCGATAGGTACAGCGTACGGTCGTCCTCTCGCCAAGCAGACACTAAATCATAGTCAGTCGAGCCTTAATAGTCAAGCATGAAAGAACGAACCCTCGATCAAGAACGAACAACGCAAGATAAACCCGCTCTCGGGTCCGGAGTAATCGACGACCCCAAGCTGATGAGGGGTCGACATTTGGGAAGCCATCGATCTGAAGGGCTTTAGTCGCATCGATACAGTCGGCCTTTGCCATTCGATCGAGGAATCCAGCGGGCCGAATGGTGGGAGATGGGACCACAATCTTGTTGAGTGAGAGGTCCAATGCCAGTGTGAGCGCTGCCGACAAATATTTACAAGTCTCATCGTCTGCCCAATGCTTTGCAGGTGTCATCCAGGGAATGTTGACCATGAAAGCGAGGACAATCTCGACCGACCTATACTTGTTGTAGATGACGGTCCGTACCAGATGACTTCTATGGTGAGACAGCCGCTTGGACAGCGCCTCTGCTTTGGGTAAGAAAAGAGCGGATGCAGCCAAGATGGAGGTAAACAAAAATGCTGATCTGGAACGCACGAATGCGGAAGTGTGCAGTGTCGGATCTAGGCCCCACCTCGTGTGAGACAATCGCTCGTAGAAGAATGCGAAGAGGGTGTCCGCCTCCTCTGACGTTACTAGGCCTAATTCGATAGGGTCAAGTTCCGGGGTATTGTCCAAGTTTGACATTAGCGACCCAAAGAACTGCTGTAAGTCGGCATCAGCCAGATCAGACTCCACCGATGTCTGGTGCGCAAGTGTGCCGGCCGGGGAAGTTGACATGTTTGTCGATGGAGACTGGCCCGGAAGAACAGAAGCCATGGCGAGGAGTTGTAAGGGATTGTCTGCGTTGTTGAGCGCAAGCTCATCTGGCTTCTCGCCCATGTTCGCAGGAGATACTTCGTGGGCATTAGGTGAAACGCCATTCTCCTGGACAGGATGTAGACTCATTCGTGGCTGGACGAGTTGGGGATGAGACACAGCACTGTGGGCGTTTGAGGTTGAATGACGGCGTAGAGGTGCTGTTTGAGGAGCAGATATCAATTGTCGCAGATCCGCTTCCACGTCGAGAGCAAGGCCGGTCGAGCCATCCCTGGAGCGCTTGAGTGCCTGTTCGACCTGAAATATCGCCTTTTCCAAGCCCGTCCGCTTGCTGTAAAAGATTTAGCAACCAAAATCCATTCGGTTCGAATGACTACCCGTACTTCTTGACACCTTTATATCTTCCAACATGGTACTCCGGCGTGACACATTGGAGACCAGCCTGTTGACATTTCCGACAGACGGTGGCATTCGCGTCGCGAGTACATCTTACTTTGCTTCGTCGGCACTCAAGGCATGCGGCTTGCTTGTTTTGAGCCGAACTGGAAGCAGCATCTTGATCGGTCCGGGAACTAGTATTCATGCCTCGTGGTAGGCATATTCAAGCTTGAGCTTGCGAATCCGGAAAATGCGATGCGAACAGACTGGACCAGACTGGATCAGATTGTATGAGATACGGTTATGCGTCCTAAAGATCGGATGAAATCAAAGGCGCGCAAGATGTTTATGGCGTGAGCGAATGTTGCTGGACCTGATGTTGAGAGAGTCGAACGTTGAAGTCACACTCCGTCGATTTCCCCGTGGAGTCGAAAACGGCCTAGTGAGCCTCCGTCCTTCGTCACGTGGCAAGTGAGCCCCAGATCCTTAATGCGGCGGGACAAATTTGACTTCGGCAGATTGTGCGGCACCTCAGCCGACAATCACCACAACTACGCACAAGAAATACCATCAACACCTCATCGGCCGAACTCATCATCTCCATCCCTTTGGAATTTGCTGAATACAGCCTGTCCGCTAGGGCTCTTCGTGATAGTGTGACGAATAAGTCGCGGCCTCTTTTCATGAAGAGCGACGGCGGTAACCATCCACGCAGACGCCGCGACAAGAGCTTTGATATTTCCTCGAAGCTTGTTCATCGATACGGCGAGGTCACAATTATGTTTTCGAACGCGCGCTCTCTTCATATTCGTCAACAAAGGGTGGGTGATGATCATGTGGCATCTGGTTGAATCTCGTCTAGGAATAAGGCATCTTCATTGGCCGTTGTATGAGTTGCTAGTTAGGGATTCGGTCCCTGCTTCATGGCAACGACAACGGCAACTTGGCCTCATTACCAGGGCTTCGACAGGGATTTGGGACTGGCACAGCTCGTTGTTGCCAGCGGTCTGAATAAATGTGATTCTGTTGCAGCAGTACTCATCCAGTGCATATTTTACCCTCAACACCCCCCCCCCCCCCAAAAAAACCCAACTCGGTCGAGAGTCGCACTCAAAACTCAACTTGAATCCTATGCTCGCTACATGATTGTCTTCCAGCAATTCAACAAGATAAGACTAGACTGCATAGCGGTACACTCCGGTATCGAGGAATTGTTCAATGTCACGATCTTCGATCGACTGTTTTAATCAGTCCACTTTCCAATGCCATTGATATCAGCAGAACGTGGAGGTCCCTCAATGTGCCATTTCGGGATGGCCTCGTCCCGCCCGCGCTTATACAGTATCGGTCGACACAGGAAAAGTTTGGTGACCGTCGACCTTGGGTGTGAGTGGATCCAACGTTGATGATTGTGTACAATACCAGCAATGCCGCGCGTTGCTGTACGTGCGGATATCATCCCCTCGTTACCGAGCAACCTTTGACGATTTACGGAAGTGGGAAAGAAGAGAGAAGGCATCTCGATGCATTTCCTCAGGAAGCTAGTCTGTTGCCACATTCGGCATTCAAGATGGCATACATCCTGTGCACATATCGTGTCACCGTTCCCCATGAAACTCTTCCCGCTGATCCGACTAGACCTTCCGGATACATTCGTCGAGGACTTGCAAAATCGTTCAGCCCTTCAATCTATAACGAACGGGTTTGTCTCCGGCCGGTACGCATGATTGGAGAGAGAGACCATTTCGAGTCCTACGCCTTCCGGGGAACCGATGTCCACACCGCCCTCTGCACCACGCGCACAAGAATCCGCCACGGTCGCGAAAGATCGAGATCGCACAAAGAACCATCACCTCGTCGTCGTCAAGCCGGGTCCGGGCAACCCTCCCCCCCCCCCCCCCCCCCCCCCCCCCTGACTAGACCTGTTGGAGATATGGGCTTCTAGAACTGATCGTCGATCGATATACTAACGTATTACAGTAATTGTGTCCAATGGCCAGGCCATTCTCTTATTCCCAAATGGGAAGTCGCCACTTTTCCACACAAACAACGCCATGGGCAACGTGTTCTTGCTTCCAGGACTGCGCCTCGTTTACCGGCAGGTACTTTTTTGTATTGTACTTGTGCACAGTAATTCTGAACGGGGAAGGGAACTTTGAATTCCCGAAACTTAATCGAGCAAATCGACGATCCCAAGATCCACGATCGACGATCGACGACATGTCATCGCAATGTCGGTGAAGCTAGAATAGAAAACACAGCTTTAACCAGGAAAAAAAAGTCCTCCAATAGACCGTGTTAGCCAAGCACCGCATAATGTACTTCGAAATTGATTGGAGATATATTGGCTCCCCTTGAATTCCTTCCTGGGCATGAAGAATATAATGAGCGAATCGTGCAAGATCCCGTCCTCATCTACTCGACTCAAACAGTCGCCCGACGGCCCTGACTCCCTTCGGAAACAAAATGGTCTTGGCACTGGGAATGACAATGGTAAATGACAAGGGTAGCCTGACTCGTTGTTCTTGTTCATGATTCAATTTCTCCAATGGAGCCGAAGCGGGGGGTAAATACGGATACGAAGGGTGTCGAGGAGACAGGACGAGCACACATGTTTTTCGTGCTTTGTTGGTGTTTCAAGTCCAAACGTGGAGCAACTCAATCCCGGCGGCCGGAAATCGACGATTTCCGTCGTTGCCCCGACGGTGGCACGATTCCGCGAACCTCGACTCAGGCCACGAGATGGACGGGATGCCCTGGAGCCCAACCACCAGGGAAGTCCTCCCGTACATCTTCCTGAATTCGCCCTGTTCCGTACGCCAACAAACAATAATAATCCCCTTACTTACCTGTCCTTTTCCCTCGTTCCGGCATTGAGCCGCGATTTGCCAATAGTTTGGAAATTCTCCCGGCCCCCGAATGCCACTTGGACAAGACTGGAAAAAGGCCTCTTAGTAAGCACTGGTCCGGTCGGCCCATGGACCCTCCCGGGTAGAGTGAGTTTGACCAGTAGTGCCGAGCCAACAAGTCTCGCGGGTGAGAACAAGGGGGGTGGATCAATGCAGCCTCAGGCGTTTTTGTTTGTTTGCCCCCTCTTGACGGTTGAGATATCCCTGAACAGGCTGAAGCCCCGGGCTGCATCTTCCAGAGCAACATCATCCATCGTAGGCCTTGCATTGCAGGGGTATTGCGGGTAGAGTGCGAAGAAGAATGGCCACACTCATGGCTTGCGAGGTGCAAAGTGGGTGCCTTTTTTGGCAAATGTGGCGGACCGTTGGCACCAGTGCGAAATCCTACCACACCAGCGACTTCATGCATCTCGGATTGTAAACTCGGCGTTGTCTCGCGGTCGCGCGGAGACATGTGATTTTGATTTGTTGCATTCTTTCGTGGACAGCTACTCTTTCAGGAGTCGGTAGCCACCAATCAAAAAAATCGAAAATATTTGGTCCGTCCTTCGAAATTGACACTGTAACATCACAACTGATCCATACGTAAGGGTGCAAAGAGCGACCTTCTCCTCGGTTAACTGAAGGTTGAAAACTGAGTTGGGCAGGGAGGAATGACTCAGCGCGAATCATTGAACTTGTCATGCTGTTGCAGATTTAGCAGTTCATCTGAATGAATGGCTACCCCTTACCACATCCGGCAGTAATTGCTCTCGAAGCAGTCAATTGTTGCACAAGTATCTGTCGAGCGGCGACTTTGCGCGGCCGTCGCGAGAACGGTCTGAGCATTGAAATCCCAAACCCAGCTGCAAAACACCTGGCCCCTTGGAGCCATCCGCCGTGCACCGGTTCTGGTCGCTTTGAGGGCATGAGAGAAAATCCGTGATTCTCTCATCCATGTCCACTGCAGGATTGTAACCCAACTTCCAGATTGTCTGCATACCTTGCGTCACTGCAGGCATCGTTATCGTCGGCGTACATAGTCCAATCATCCTTGTCTCATTGTAATAGCTGCAACACTGAACGCATTTCCATCCTCTCAGTCCCATTCACGCATCGCCAGGATCAATCTTCCTTTGGTCAGTCAAATCTCAAGGGCAATAGATCGGGTGTCTGAATCGGAGCAAGAAACCTGCCACAAACGCTGCCTGTTCTGTACTGCCGATGACAGTAGAAAATGAAGCACGCCGGGAACACCGCGTCCGTCTGCAGGCATTCTGCCGGGCCACCAATATGCAGCTATCTGGGAACCCACCGTCGTCTGAAAAACTGCAACAGCAAAGCACCCGTGATGGTTTTGTGATCTCTTGCGAAAGCCCAGTGCAACTGCTCGAACGGAAGGTGTCCGGTTCACTTTCTCGATCCATTCGGCGGTTTGTTGTAGAGATGTTATGGTATGTACGATGACGCTCATTCATGGGCTCGTGAACGCCGGAGAGCATCTTTTCCTCTACAGCTGAAGAGGGTGCGAATAGTCGTTTATCCGCAGTGAATTGTCTCCTCGGTCTGGTACGAAGAGGGCAGACTGGAGGCGCCGCCTTTGTTACTTCACGTAACTCACTGCGAGTCAGTCTGCGGGGAGAGCAACTTTTTCGACGGGAGATTGTGGCGGTCTGAACATTGACTGCTGGAAATTTGGACGGGGGAGAAGCTGAGCAGGTGAGCAGGTAGACTGGTTCCGGCTAAAACATTCTCATGACTGCACATTCGTGCCCACTGGCAATGCTATCAGCTCGTAGAGACGCAATGGTGTTTGATGAGCGCCTTGAAACATCGAATGCTGCCGCCAGCGGAAGCTCTAAACATCTTCGATACGCTGGAGATCGAGCAATTGTGAAGAAATCTGGGCTGAAGGCGACGAGGCTTGCAACTTGTCGGGACCTTCAACGGCATTTGCCGGAACATCAGCATGCACGTCGTCTCCTGGAAGCTTCTGGTGTTCGACGAAAACCTGGTGTGAGAGAGAGCTCTGCTCTCTGGCGGTAGCCATGGCCAAGACCAAATTTCCCCGACGCGTCAGTCCGGTATTGTGGAATGATTTCTGTACATGGTCGAAGACGCAGTCGTCGGCACGCCCAGTCCGACATTTCAAAGACTCCGAAAAATTGAAGCTTAATGTACCATCGACGATCACCTTCCCTGCTCCAAATCGTCGAATACTGTGTCGATCGACAATATAAGAGGATAATACTTGTATGATCGCTGCAGCCGTGTCGGCGTCGCCCGTGATGAAACGGGCCTCCGTAGCGGCCCTCAAGTCCAGAAGCTGCTCTGTCATCAACTAGTTCGCTAGTGCGCATACCATGTTCAGCATAGCGTTGCTGCTGAGGTAAAAGCTTGAATCCCGGCCCCGCGCAAGGGGTTGTTGGTTGGCAAGGCTTTTCGCGTTTTGGCGCAGTGTCGCGACATCCCGTCTCCACCTCTTACTACAACGATGCACCCTGAGCCACAAACCTGGGGACAGAATACCATGATTGACTCGAGCCCCCCCAAGGGTGCTATTGTAGTAGGTAGCGTCGGGCGAGAAAAGTATACGCAAGAAAGAGGAGTAGTCCTTCCTAAAAGGGACAATCCACTGCTGGACAGTGCTAAAAACCTAACGCAAGGATCCCCGATGCACCTGCTGAGCCGCACAACCCATGTTCCTCGTACTGGACAAAGTGACCTGACACCGGCTGGGGACCGCCAGACACCTATAGGGTCCCAATCAAGAACGGCCTCGCCGGCATGATTCCAAAATTCGGCGGGATTGTCCGTGATTGCAATGCTGCTGTGCCAATCTGGGGGATCCTCGAGCATGCTAACGGGCCATGGCATCGCAACCATGAATCCCGTCTGTGGTAAGACGTGTGCGCAGGAATCAGCATGAACCATAATCCATCAGAATAGGAAAATGCCAAGAAGAACACTGCCTTTGTCATTCATACAGCGGCTCAACTTCTCCGGTGGCTTACTCAACGCTGACTGCTGAGCTGTGAGTGGATTATGTATGGCTTGCTGAACCTGGTCAAACACGGTAGTGGCCCCTTTGCCTTGATTGGTCTAGCATTGATACCATGTTGAGTTCAGACTTCGCTTCATGCAATTTGGCTGTCAAGGCCAAGATTACCGATACGATCGACACGACAAATGGGTATAACTTACGGCTGGTGGCTGAGGTCAAAGCGTGACTTGGAACAACACACGACGTGGCTCGACAGCCTCCTGGAGGGCCCGAGCCATCTCGTAGCAGAGTCAATAGTCAATCACCATCATACTATTGTTTGACGCCCGAGACGTTTTGATCCCGGAATTGGAGGATTGCAAATCTCTCATTTCAAGGGACACATAGTGTGCGCCGTCCTTCACATGGCCTCGATGCTTACAATACAGAAGAGAGGGTCGTTTCTGAATTAGTATCAATAATGATGGTCGATCTTCGATGATATCAATCTGCCACCTGTGGAAACGCATATGCGACACGCCATAAACTCCCAAAGTGCAACATACTCGTTGCTCATCATAGCTTTGCTAGAGCCCCATGATCCGTTCAGCCCTCGCTATGCAAAACAACAGACATCAACATGAATCAGCCGCCTAGTACACATAAGAGAGACCTTCGAGGTCATCTCTGAGTGGCGGGCGTTGCCTGTGAGAGGCGTGGGCTGGACACCGGGCTCAACGCTTCGGAGTTGAAGAACGGCACCAGGTCAAATTCCTGTGGAGACTGGCAGAGTGACCCGCAAAGCGTTGGAATAGCGACTTGTAGGTTGGAGATTTCGACGTTCAGCTGTTCAATTTGGGCCTTGAGGCGCGCGACTTCCTCGGTCTGTTGAGAATAAGAGCGTGAGAGGATTTGGTGTTTCTGCTGCCATTGACTGATCTGTTCTTCGAGCTCCTTCTGATGGCGCTCTTTGCGCTCGCGGTAAGCTCGCTGTGAAGAGCGATTCTGCTCCCGCCTCCGCTGTTGGATGTTAGTAGGCGTCAAGACATTCGCAGTGATAGCACCGTAAACTCACTTCAAGCTTGTCGGGAATTGAACTCTTGACTTGCGTAACTACGCTGGATACGGAAGATACACGCCGTTCAGGCGTCGATCGATACGAAGCATCAGAGCCCGCAGCGGACAAACTATCGTAAGAAGTGTCGAGTGTAGCGTAGAAGTCTGCTGCTCGTTGTAGAAGCTATTTGCAACGGGTCAGCGCAGAACTCGGGGGGTGAAAGGGAGCCGGTGAGCTGACATCGTTGTAATGAGTCGCCATGGTCTTTGGCGATTGAACGACAGTGAAGTCCCATTGGAAGGCTGGGTCGGGTGAGAAGGTCCCGTTCTGCTGGCTCCAGTCGTTGAGTGAGTAGTCCGTCATTGCTGTGAGGAGGTCTGGTGTTGATCTTTGTTCGGTCTTGGACGGCTTGTGGATTCGAAAGTCAAAGTAACTGGTGAAGGGTCCTGGTACATGGGAATGAAGGGTTCTCTTATACCACAGTATGCAGGCACGAGGCTGGCGGGGGTGGAGCGATGGGAAAAGGACTGCTTTCAACTCTGGTAGAATGAATAGCTGCGACACTGAGCTGATGGTGCAAGTCCTGACCACGCATGAGGCGCCAAGCGAGCACGCTAATGGCAGAGACTGATTGGAAGTTCTTTTCGTGATCAAGGATCAAACAGAGGGAATCACTTGAAATGGCCATAGGCGCTATACCCAACGGAGAAGGCGCACTAGGCAGGCCGCCTCGACGGCCCCCCCTGCTAGCGGATATGCTCACTGTGCAGCTTTGGGCCCGGGGTAGTCAGGACATCAACATTCATCAGTCAGCCAGGCCTAGGGCCACTTCATGCGTCCTTATTCACCGACCGAAGCCATTCCCAGAGAGGCACAAAGTGGCTGCAGTAGTGCTTCAGCCAAAACGCTTTTGCGAGTCCATTCCCGCGATTAGCCTGTTTACGCCCCGACCTCTGGCGTCTCGCTGAGACAGGGCGTGGGATGCAGGGCACATTGCTTTGCCCGTAGTCAGACGACCCTGAGTCTGGCACAGCACCAGTTCAGGAGCAGCATATGGCAGTGCACTTGCCAATTGCAAAAGAAAGTTGTTGCTGTTTGGTGCCCTACTCCACGACACAGACTCGGCTCACTTGACTTTGTGATCTCTCCTGTAGATGTCCGGATGTACACTGTGCGTCCTCGAGGGCGCCGTAGATTGGTCGCGAACGAGAAGAACCGTCCACCGCTTAAAGGTATTGACCGCTGCAATCTCTGGCCCTGCGGCGCTGTCGTCATCGTGCAAGAGGCACTCTTTTCTTCGAGTCCACGGTGAGTGGTGGGAGCAACAGGGGTGCCACGGGGTGGTGTGGTGTCATTCAAAGTACCACCAGGGCTAAAAGAACGACTCGAGTGAGAGGACCTGCGTCGGTGGCCGGTGGGACCCTCCGAAAAACCAATACTGGTGGCCCATGGACGTCAATTTAGGCTGTAACACACTCGGGTTTCCTGTCGCCTTGTCCAGATAAGCAACAGGTTGAACTTCTTGATGAACTGTCTCGCAAGATGAATTAATTTCTGTCTGAAACAGGGCATCAGGACACCTGTCCCATCACCCTGGGTTTGCGGCGCGCTTAACCCTGCCGTCCCTTCATGGCAAAGCTTCCCTTGGGAAGCGTACCTCGTTTTCCCTTGCTTCGTCTACGTTCCACCGGTTCAAGATGGGCTACGAGTAGGTACCCTATAGCCTGCAGATTCTCCCGTTTCCGGGGTATACGTGCCAGTATAGAAATGGCTGGATTCTCTGTGGCAAACCGGGAATGGCAAAAGCACCCCTGCTCAGGAGTTCATACATGATCATATGGTGCAAGTTGTTGGGTTTACTCTTTTACTCCAAAGCCCTGGTTGAGCTCTTCTCGCACGATAGCTTACTCGTTGTGATTGCTCGAGGTGCACTGATTGATCCTGCCGGTTGCACATCTCCTGCAGCATTGATAGAAATCACAAACCCCAACCGACTATCGTCTTCGCTGGAGCATGGAAGTCATTAGGCATGCGTAGCGACGGGAGCGTCGCAATCCTGAAGTGAACGATTGCGACGTCGCAGTCGCACCCTCTTAAGCCTAATCATTTGGCCAGCCCACAGTGTTAGAGGAACCCCGGTCCAATATTTTAACACAGAAGGTTGGATAAGATTCGGGGCGCTTTCCCGGGGCATTGGCGCCATGCCAGCCGATCATCAGATCCATGGAATGTGCCGAAGTTCCTGCAAGAAGACGTACGAGGCGGGACAGAAAGAGGAATAGGGTCGACAGCCCTGTAGGCAGTTGCATGGCAACCCGGACATGCGTGTACTGTAAGCTCTCCAAGTTGCTTACATTATCGTGACCTGTCGCGAGAAGACTCACTATGCGAGCCATGACGGAGGTTTCCGCATCTCGATCAAAGATTGGTGGGCGTCCTCGTGCTGAAAGATTGCGGCGAAGGACCAGATCGAGCGATCTGCTCCGCCCCTCTCGGCTTGGTCCCATCTTCGCTCTCTTCATCCCAGTGTTCCCTCCGGAATGCTGCTCTGAAGCTGCTCAAGATCGACTTGGCAATGCACACAGCATGAAGATGCGGCCAATGAGCCTAGAATACACAGATACAAGGGTCAAGCATCAGGCCACGAGGTGTTTCCCTTACGCAGGTCAATACGTTGTGCAGAGTCTCGAGACGCACCCTCGGCATTGGGTGACTCGGAACTCATCCAGGAGAAAGACTAACCATGTCAGAGGCCGCACGAGAAGAGGGCATCACGCCACAACTGTCGTCCGTAGCTCTGAGAGTGTCGCGATGAGGTCCGATGCCACCCTGAGAACAAGCATAGTCCCTTGGTTCTCGTCGATAGTTCACCGCGCGAGTATGTGGCCGTTGCTGGTTTATGCCAAGGCTGTTTTTGGACCGCCCAACGTTGCTTGAAAGATGCACGATATTTCCTCGTATTCGTACTCGTGTTCGTGTTCATGCTCGTAAGGTGGACACACCAATCCCAAGGAGAAGGTTTGCCGACTTGCTGGTCACCAACAAGCCATCGTCCCTCTGCTCTCGCTGGAGCGAAGCTTTGAGGTACTGTCCATACAGCCCGAGAACCCCGGGGTCGAACAGGGGAAAGTCACTGCAACTATCTCAATGCATCAGCAAAAACTAAGACCGAGCCGAGGCACTGGCTTATTGTAAGTACGGAGGACGGAGCACCGAGAATGGTTGGCTGAGTTGTCCCCCGCAACCTGCAGCTGCCTCGCAACCAACAAGCGAGTTCAGAGTCACCGCTGTCTTGCAAAGGACAGGAAAATCCTCAGATCGTGAACATAGGAATGCTCCTGTTAATGAAAAATTTCAGTTTCCCAGCCTTCTCTTCTAGAAAGCAAATTCGTCGCCCTGGTGCGGATCTCGTTGCTAAAAATCTCTCAAATTCGGTGGCAGGAGGAGGCTGGTAAAAAACGAGCGGACAACGCAAAAAGCCGTCGCGTTCTGCCCAACCTCGATTTCATTCTCACCCATCTATTTTCCTCTGCTGTACGGAGTACCACGCTGACGGTCACCAAGATTCGAAGGTGGTTTCTGTATAGAAACGGATATTCCGTGTTGGTGGTGAAGTGCATTGGCCACAACACCCGAGCCACTCGAATCCGTGCCTGAGTTCCAACAAGAACGCCGTGCGAACGTAGTGCACAGACAACTCACCGCACCGACTTCACACTGATCCCGACGCTGCCAGACATGCGGGTACAGCAGATACCTCTCTCACCCCGGGCCTTGGTCGCTGGTCTGCTCCTCCTTCGACCTGTTGCGGCATCCTTTCTCCCCGACCTTCTGCGCAATTTCGAAGACCTCCAAAACGTTCATAAACGGTGCTCAAACCCGTGCGGTTACTACGGCCAGCTATGCTGTGCCTCCGATGAAGTCTGCTACACTGATGCCAACGACCAGGCTCAGTGCGGCGCAGGAGGATCAGGCGCGGCAACGACAACGGCCGATGGGGGAGAATGGCGCACCTACACAACCACCTACGTACAGACCGACCTGAAGACAGTAACTGAAACGTTCAGCTCATACGTGCCTGCCTCGACGATAAGTTGCTCATACTCGACGGGAGAGACGCCATGCGGAAATGTGTGTTGTTTATCGGGTCAATACTGCCAGTCCTCGGGGGTATGCGCCGCCGTGGGAGGTGGAAGCTCTGGATACTACAGCAGTCTCTACACAGTCACAACCATAGTCACGAATACTGCCAGTGCGCCTCTTCGACCGACTAGCAACACTTTGGTAACGGTGACCGGAGCTGCCACAACCACACAGCCGTTTGTCACCCCTGTAGGCACTGGCGGCAGCATCATCTACGGGCAATCAACCGACTCCGGTGGTGGATTGAGTGGTGGGGCGATTGCCGGTATCGTCATTGGCGTCATCGTCGGCATCATCATTCTGTTGCTCATCTGCGCGTGCTGGTGTGCCAAGGGCCTGATTGATGGCCTCTTGGGCATTTTCGGCCTCGGACCCCGACGCAAGCGAACGACGGAAGAAGTTTATGTCGAGAGGCATTCCCACCGATCAGACCGTCATAACGGCGGACGCACATGGTTTGGCACGAGACCTGGAAGGACCGAAGTGGTCGAGGAGAAGAAGAGAAGAAGCGGCATTGGCACGGCCGGATGGGTCGCTGCCGGCTTGGGGACTTTAGCGCTTTGGCTCGGCCTCAAGAGAAGAAATCGCAGGGACGACAAGAGCGACGTGAGCTACGACAGCGCCTACTACACCGACTATATGTACTCCAGTAAGTGAATGTCCGCACGGCCCCCAGAGTCACAGCCCACTAACTAACTCGTGTGCAGGTGCAGAGAGCTCTTCTGATGGACGAACGAGACGAACTGGTAGATCGGCATCCCGATCCCGGTCCCGGAGGTAATATGGGAGTACAGACGAGTGATGGTCACTCTGAGTATTATTTTTTTTTGACGACTTAGCGAGCATGCATTTCATGGGATAGGGTCAGCGATGATTGGATATGAGCGTGAGTATTAGGCTAGATGCATCTCCTGTTATAGGTGCCGGAGAAATGTCCTTTGCATACGGAATAGCGACGGGAAGAATCAGAAATGAAGGGAGAATGGATGTATCATTCAGTCAATAGCAGTGTGTACAGCCAGCCAGTCAGTATTGACGACGGCATTGACGATGGATGCTACGGAGGACATTCCAATTGACTCCACAGGAGTTGGAATTGAGGATACTTTTTTTTCTCAATCAGTGGACTGTGCTTCAGCGCACTGTTCTTCAAATTTCCAGGCTCGTCAGAGGATAATATCGAGGAGAAAAGAAGTGAAGAAAAGACGCAAAACTTACCCCGGAGTAAGATGGTCAGTAAGTGAAGCAATGATGGAAATTGATGATTGGTTTCTGAACTCCTCGATTCCAATTCCAATTCCAATTCTTATTCTTTGTCCTCTATGGATGTACTCTCTACAGGTACCTTAGGTACTCCGTACGTAGCTATTAGATACCGAGGTAACACAATTCTTCAGCAAAGCCGAGTTAGCAGCAGGGTCGAGCAAACAGCCCCGGTCCCTATTGTGCCCGGGGTGCGGAATAGACGGCAGCACCAGCCTATTGTCCGGGAACAGTGAGGCCTACATTGGCTAAGGCGCCCAGTACGGGGGAACCGGTGCTTGTATTATGCATACCTGTACGGAGTACCTACTGTATGTACATAATGTACCTACATACCTTACCTTAGCTACAATAGATGCACTAACTGAGTGTCTTGATGCCGCCTCACTCTCTCCCTGATTGACATATTGTTGTCCTCCGTAGAGGCCTCAATCCCCCGTCACTCCGGCTCCGACTCCACGCACTCGCAAACCAAAGTCGCTCTTCACCGCCAAGTCGGGACAGACTCCACCGTTTTCATTCTTCTTCTTCCATCACTTGCTGCGCAGCGACACCCTTGAACTACCTGATTTCTCCCCCGCTTCACCATCTCCTCGTCGACATTATCTCGAGGTTACAGGGTACACACATCCTCACAATACCTTCTCATATTTGCCGCTTCACGGCCGTCTCTCAATTACTCACTTCGCGTTCTCACCCCGAGTCCATCCCCACCCGATCCCTCGATCCCTCGATCCGTCGGCCCTCGATCCTCGATCTCCCTCCCTCCTTCTTACCCCCAAGGATGATTCTTGCCTGACACCTGCACCGGAAAAAGATCGACCGCAGCCATGATTCAAACACAGCATCTGTACTCGCATCAGCAGCAGTACAGTCAGCACGAGTCGGCTTGGCAACATGCTGGCCCTCAGCAAGGCATGAACCACGGATCTCAGCAAGCTCAGGCCCAGGCGGCTGCAGCTGCTGCGGCCGCCGCTCAGCAACAACACTACTCGCGCATCGCCATGAACCAGAACCACAACTCCTCCCACGCTCAGGCCGGCAATCGTCAGAGCTCAGGCGACAACGCACCCAACAACATGGGCGCTTCCCTCATGAACGACCGTGGCGAACCGGGCCAAGACGACGAGAATCGCAAAGTCTTGCAATGGGTGTCGGAGCTCATGGATCCCAACCGGAGAGAGGGTGCACTGATGGAACTGAGCAAGAAGAGAGAACAGGTCCCAGAACTCGCTCTGGTCCTTTGGCACAGCTTTGGTGTCATGACGAGCTTGCTCCAAGAAATCATCTCGGTCTATCCGCTCTTGAACCCTAGCCAGCTCACTGCAGCGGCCAGCAATCGTGTCTGCAACGCCCTCGCTCTCCTGCAGTGCGTGGCAAGCCACAATGAGACTCGAGGTCTGTTCTTGAATGGTAAGTCTTGGTTGCTACACGGACCGGGATCGCGTGCTAATTCAATTTTCAGCGCACATTCCCCTGTTCCTCTATCCTTTCCTCAACACTACGTCCAAGTCACGACCATTTGAATATCTCAGACTTACATCACTGGGTGTCATCGGGGCCTTGGTCAAGAATGAGCCGTCCGCCAGTGTCTCGATGAACCCGAATGGGACTCCTGGTAATGCCAACAATTCTTCCCCGACCATCACGTTCCTCTTGACCACTGAGATCATTCCCCTCTGCCTTCGCATCATGGAAACTGGCAGTGAGCTCTCCAAGACGGTGGCCATTTTCATCGTTCAGAAAATTCTGCTCGATGACACTGGTTTGGGATACATCTGCGCCACTTACGAGAGATTCTACGCTGTGGGCACGGTCTTGAGCAACATGGTCATTGGTCTCGTCGAGACTCAAACCGTGCGTCTGCTGAAGCATGTTGTTCGATGTTTTTTGAGGTGAGTTGTTGCCTAGACAGCGTTGAATTGCGGCACTTTCTAATACCGATCTAGGTTGAGTGACAACAATCGCGCTCGTCAAGCACTTCGACAATGCCTTCCAGAGCCTCTTCGCGACGCCACTTTCTCCAACGTTCTTCGCGACGACGCCGCAACCAAACGCTGCCTTGCTCAACTTCTCATCAACTTGAGCGACACGGTCACCGACAGTCAGAACGACCAATTCGAGTGACGTGTCGGCAGGTCGTGCTGGACTGGACTCAATTCCATCTGGTTTACAAAGATACGACATGATACCCTTGATCAAGATGACGAATGTCTTTTTCTCTCTTTTCAGCATTGCGAGCGGCGACAACGACACCAAAGAACATAACATGAAGTCGGATAATCGGAGTACTTGCAGGGTTGGATTTCCGCCCTTTTCTTTTATTCTATTTGTGCGAATGGGACGATAAAGTCGAATCAACATAGAAATCGAATACCCCCGTGGGTCATGGCTATGGGTCCTTAGCTACATGGTTTTTCTCACAGTCAACAGCTTATGATCAGACGATGGAGAGAATTTGGCTCACCAGGAAATGTAACAAGATGCATGGTTGGGGGTCAGCTGAAACTAGCTGGGAGTTGAGACAGAAAAGTTGCTTGATTTTCTGTTTTGGAGTGTTTTTCTTCTTCTCTGCAAAGGGGCGCCGAACCGAACGGAAGAGCGCACTATGCTCCATGTTATCATACCGGAAATCTTCGGTTTGCCTAGTTCTATCAGGATGGAACCAAGGCTGAGCTTTTTGGTTGTCATTGGTTTGGATTGGGTCTGCGGCCATTGACTGAAAGGAGCGCGAAAACCAATTGACCTGAGTCTACAGCGCGAATCCCAACGACTAGTCACTTTCACTGATTCATGTAATAGCATGAAGAGAACAGTCATTTATGGTCAGTCACTATCATCTTCGGCAACAGCAGAGCGCCATGGCGTTATCGGATACCACCACGCGCAAGGCAACAGAGGTACTACCAATGACGGGAGAGGTCGAGCGCAAGATTCAGTGCAAGGTTGATGTGAAGAATGGCAGGAGAGCGCACAGAATATTGTCGATAGGGGGGTTTTCCTTTTGGCGCTCAGAGCTTTGGCACATTCTTTGTATCTTTGAGGACAAGTTATTACGCGGTTTACGCAAGTACCTACATAACTACCTGTATTTATTAACTATTTTACTGTGGGTTCTTGTGGACTTTCCGTAACAAAGATGCCATGCCTAGGGATATTAGATATATGTGTATCACGACAGTGACTGGCAAGGGCCTGTTTCTGGTTTCTTGTCCCTCGATTTTTGCTTTGAATTTTTCTTCGTGCTTGGTTCACAAACATGCACGTACTTGCACACGACGTAATAATGGTTTGTAACCAACAGACGGACAGACAGGATATAAGACGCCGTTAAGAGCAGCGCATAGCAAACTCCACAAAAGGAAAAAGAGCTTATCTCCGTTGCCAAAAGGATATCTCCAGACAGGTATCTACTCGGCCGGCATCCCCTCGGCCGGCATCCATTAACCAACTGGGAAACTCAAGACACGGATAGAGATTCCGGGAGCTAGGAAATCCCTCGACAAAGACTGCTAATGACCCTCTGAAGCTCTGGACACGATACATGATACGTGGTATAAAGACCCTTATATCCTCGAAAGCCGACCCTATCGAAAAAGCCACACCCTTCAATTACCAGACCACTCCGAAGAGACTGAAAAAATCATGTCAACCACCGCCACCCAACCAACACTCCTCTCGAAGCCAATCGGCCCTATAGGGTACGGGCTCATGGGTCTGACGTGGCGTCCGAACCCTCAGCCGGCAGAGGAAAGCTACAAGGCCATGGAGACGGCGCTCAGCAAGGGTGCGAATTTCTGGAACGGCGGCGAGATCTACGGGAGTCCGCAGCGACACTCGTGCCACTTGCTCAAGGAGTATTTCACGCTGCACCCGGAGCACGCGGACAAGGTGGTCCTCAGCATCAAGGGCGGCTGCAAGCCCGGCACGATCGAGCCGGACGGGTCGCGGGAGAACGTGCGGCGGTCGGTCGAGGACTGCCTCGAGATCCTCGACGGGACCAAGAAGATCGACATCTTCGAGTGCGCGCGCGTCGACCCGGCGGTGCCCATCGAGGACACGGTCGGCTACCTGGCCGAGCTCGTCCGCGAGGGCAAGATCGGCGGCATCGGCCTGTCCGAGGTCAAGGCCAGCACGATCGAGCGCGCGCACGCCGTGCACCCGATCGCCGTGGTCGAGGTCGAGGTCAGCCTCTTCGGCGCGCAGCAGATCTTCGCCAACGGCGTCGCCAGGACGTGCGCGAGGTTGGGCATCCCCATCGTCGCCTACAGCCCGCTGGGCCGCGGCGCCCTGACGGGCCCCGGCGTGCGGAGGAACGCAGACATCCCCGAGGGCGACTTTCGCAGGTTCATGCCCCGGTTCCAGGACGACGTGCTCGAGCAGAACAACCGCCTCGTCGACGAGGTCGGGAGGTTGGCCGAGAAGAAGGGCGTGACGAGACCGCAGATCGCCATCGCCTGGGTGAGGCAGTTGAGTGGACGCACGGTCGAGCTCGACGGCAGCGGCGAAAAGGTGACGCTGGGGACCGTCATTCCTATTCCCGGCGCCACCAAGGTCGAGAGGGTCGAGGAGAACACAAAGCTCGTCGAGTTGACCGACGACGAAATGGAGGAGATTGCCCACATTTTGAGATCCAACCCCGTCCTCGGCGATCGGTACCACAAGCACGGCATGGCTTTGGTCGATGGGTGAACTGGTCCGCCATCTTGATGGACGGGTGATTTGGGAAAGACAAGGAGAAATGAAAGGACAAAAAAACAAATAGCTCTTGGTGCCCCCTTCTGAGCTCGCATGTACTGTGACACTGTAACTAGCAGAAACATCACTGGACGCGACGGTCTTGTCATCTGGCTGGTTGAAGAACTCTCGGTGTGCGTGCATAAGAGGACATCACGATACCTTTGTCTAACTGCGATGAGGATTTCTGGTCACGTACGCAGCATTACAAGTCAGTAGGCGAGAATTTTGAAGGGGTTGAGAATTGATGCGTCGACATGAGAAGGCTGTGATAGCTTTGTCACTGCTTGTATTGATTGATGATCGAAAAGCTTGAACCCCTTGAAAGGTCGTTCATACCTCGGACGTAACCAGGGCCTGTCTTCTAGCAAAATGGCCAGTGACACGTATCCATGGCGTCTTCCAATCTATACATAAACCTCGTATCATGGAGAAGGCCCAAGGCGATGGATGACTTCTGACCCAAGACATAGTCACGTACTAGATAGGTTTATGAAGTAACCCGGACTCTCCCTTCTTGTTTCTTTCTCCGAGAGAGGCTGGCAGGCACGAGACCCAGAACAAATATGAACTTCAACAACAAGACTCTGCCGGTGGACATGGTCCACATGCTCCCTTTGTTTACGCCGGTGATGAGCAGCAGGACCACCTCAGTGAAACCCTACTCTCTATCTCGGCAAAACAGGTTGTGTTGTCGCATGCAGCTCGGACATGGAGTGATGAGAATCAAATCCCAATGTCGTCGAGAGCATCAAGAGTAATTAATTAATTCCCGAGGATCAGCCAGAAGCAGCCGTGGCGGAGGCTCATGCATGATCTGGGGAGAGTCAGTGTCTTGCTGGGGTGACAATCGCAGATCGCGAAGCTAAAGAAAGACTCGAGGAGGGGGCGACTGTCACTCTCTTGCTGGCTGGCAACTTGCAGCGTGGCCGAAGATGAGCCGTATGAAGTTTTATGTGTCTTGTATTGATGCTATATGAGCTGAGGAGGCAGAGAAAGAGGCGAAGAAGTGGTGGTGACGATCGGGCAACATTGAAACATACCCCATGAGAGAGAGAATGAGTGTACTAGGGCAGAATGTGAATGGTGGCTACTGATAGACACGTCAGGTACATGGACAGGTACATGGACAGGTACCTTTCTTTGCAGGTATATATGACTCTCTCAGGACTCGACATGTATTACGGTTGATGTTTGTTGTTCTCGGTTGAGACGAAAGAAAAGAAGATTGATTGTTTGGTGGCTGTTGCCGTCTAAACCTCGGCTTCAGTCTCGACTGACACCAAACAACTGCCCGCCCGGCTCTCTCTTCCATTCCGTTTGTCTCAATGTCTCGTATTTGATGAACGCCCTTTGGCCTGCAAGATTCGGACATCGAGCCGTACGGCCTAAGCAGACCATCACGCGGCCCAAGTGGTGTTTAGTGGTGTTCACATTCGACAATAATGTCGTCCTCGTCGCGACCACCACGTCCATGTCGTCCTTAATGGCCCGCGCAAGAACTTCGGATCGACAGCGTCTCTACCAAGCCATCCTCATTCTCAGTCGCTTATCGTATGATTGATGGGGCCACCGTCTCGAACTGACCAATTTCCTCACAAGGCCGTTCCAGGTCCATGCCCAACCTTGACGACTGCCACATTTTATTACAGAGAGACTCTCGTCAAGGTTCATCTTCGGCTTGAAAGGGACTCGTTCGTCTATTTGGACTAATCAACCACTAGCTCTGCGGCCGTCGTCTTGTCCCGAGCGAGATAAACGAATCACGCTCAATGAATTCCCGCCGTAGACGACAAGGCAGCGCGAAGTTTCAGTCTACGGGTCTACACCAAGAAGTTAGAGCTCGACCCCAACTCGGGCCCCTCAACTCGTGGCAAACCAGATGTCGTGTCCCCATGGCGAAGAGAGGGAGCTTCCCTCCGCACAGTCTCGCTTTCTGGAAACCATGTCCAATTCAACCCCGGATTGAACACGGCTAGTCTTAGCACCTTTGGGAGCTTTGGGGCCCGCCCGACGTTGGTCTAAAGACAACACCAAAGCGCCGAGGACTCTCAAAGCTGGGCCTTCGCTTGTCATGCCCTTCCTCCTCCTTCGGCTCCATGTCGGGTGGCTGGTCTTGTCACCTTGCCAAAGCTACAGTTCAATCAGGAGACGATGGTGTCCGGCGCTCGTATAGACAACGCCGGCGCGAGAAGGCTAGAGCTGACTAGAAACGGCATCGTGTAGATGGCCTGGGTACTCTCAGTCTGGAGACAGCACTTTACTCAGTTATAAAAAGGACCTCATTTCCTCTGCGAACTCTGCAACATTCGCTCATACACACCTCGATCTTCACGACAATCAAGGTGGACTGAATACAGAACACGAGTCCCTGTCACGGCCACTGTCGCCCAACATGTCGACCGACGTGAAGACCACTGACCAACATACCCTCGAACATGTCAACACGCTTGACAAGGATGTAAGTCAACCAACGCATGCATGGAGCATGCCCCTCCAGCCTTGTCCTACTTGACAAGACCATCCAGATTGACTGACACACCATCCCACCCCCAGGTCGTCGAGGTCAAACAAGTCAGCGGTAGCCAGGCGTACAACGAAGCCCTGATCCAGGAACCCGTCTCGTGGAAGGACACGCGCATGCTCTTGTTGTTCGTCGTGTTGCTGCCGGGCTTCTTCTGCCAAACCATGAACGGCTACGACACGATGCTCTTTGGCGGTCTGCTCAACAACAAGGAGTACTTTCTCAAGCACTTCAACGGCGAGAACAAGGGCATCTGGGCTGGACTGATCACGTCCATGTACCAGATCGGCGGTGTGTCCGCGTTGCCCTTTGTCGGCCCTTGCATCGATCAGTGGGGCCGCCGTCCTGGCATGTTCATCGGGTCCTTCCTGATCATCATCGGCACCATCGTCCAAGGTCTCACGTCTGCCAACGCGTCCGAGGGCCAGATGATGGGCGGTCGGTTCGTCCTCGGGTTCGGCGTGTCCATTGCCGCGGCCGCCGGGCCAATCTGGATCGTCGAGACGGCCCATCCCAAGTACCGATCGGTCGTGACGGGTCTTTGCAACACCACCTGGCTCGCTGGGTCCATCTTGTCGTCGGGCATCACCCGTGGCGGTCTGGACATCAAGAGCAACAATTCCTGGCTGATCCCCATCTGGTTCCAGATGGTGTTCCCTGGCCTGATCTGCCTCTTTGCTTTCGTCGTCCCAGAATCTCCGAGGTGGCTTTACGCTCACGGCAAGCGCGAGTCCGCCGTCAATATCCTAACCAAGTGGCACGGCGACGGGAACCGGGAATCCGCCTGGGTCAAGCTCCAGCTTGTGGAGTACGAAGAGTATCTCGAACTCGATGGATCAGTAAGAACAATTCCCCGCTTCTCTACTTTGGCCCTCTCTTCTTCTCCTTTCTCGAGGTATTTGAGTAACCCTCGCAAGCTAACGACACATCGTCTCCATTAATAGGACAAACGCTTCTGGGACTACCGCGCTCTTTTCAACAAGCGGTCCAGCATCATTCGCATCTCTGTGGCATGCTGGTTCTCGGCCTTTACTCAATGTACGTTTGTACTCGTATTTCAACCACCCCCCAACCACATTCGTTGGGTAGACCTGCAGCTGACTCTCTTCCTCTTCTAAACCGACTATAGGGTGCGGAAACAGTGTCCTGTCATACTTCATGGCCGCCGTCCTTGATACGGCAGGCGTGAATAGCTCCATCGGCAAAGCCAATGTCCAGCTCGGGTACAGCATCGAGCAATTTCTCTGCGCCGTCATCGGAGCCCATTTCGTCGAAAAGATTGGTCGTCGCAAGATGATGATGTGTGGCTTCTTTGGTGTTTCTGTCGTTTGGGTCTGCATGACCGCTTCGGCCGGCACTCTCGCCAACTCTCTCGTGTCTGGAAGTGTCAACGACAGCGACGCAGTCTTCACGAACAAAACTGCCGGTAATGCGGTGTTGGCGTTTATCTTCGTCTTTGGCGCCGTATACTCGTTCAACCTTACACCGTTACAGGTACGTCATATGTGTTTGTTTTTCTCTATCTGTTGTCTCAACTTGTTTTAAGTTTTGATTCTGTGTGACTCTTGTTCAACGGATCATGTGTGGTTTGTGTAATCTGTGATGTATCTGGCTTGTGCGGTCTGTGTGGTCTATGTGGTCTATCTTATCTGCTTGGATGTTACCACGATGACGACGACGAGATATGTACTTTGTGCTAACGGTACCTCTTTCTCAAAATCAGGCCCTCTACCCGGTCGAATGTATCTCGTACGAAATCCGCGCCAAGGGAATGGCGTTCCAGTCATTTTTCGTCAACGCCGCCGGTCTCCTGAACCAGTTCGCGTGGCCGATTGCGATCAAGAAGATCGAATGGAAGACGTACATCATCTTTGTGGCGTGGACGTTCAGCCACGGTGTTTTGGCGTACTTCTTTTTCCCTGAAACGAGGAAGAGAACTGTAAGTCTCACGCCAACTTTTTTGTTTTACTTGAATTCTGCAAATCCACCGAGACTGACTTGTGTGTTTTTTTCTTTCTCTCAATCCAGCTCGAAGAACTCGACAAGATCTTCGAGGCAAAGAACCCGGTCAAGTACTCCGTTCAACAACACACTTTGGCCATCACCGAGGACAAGACCGTGGTGACTCTTGACAAGGAAAAGGGGGAGCAAGTGTGAATTGAAAGAATACCCTGAACGAGGGAAAAGGGCGCCGGGAGGGGGGGGGAGCAAGTGTGAATGAAAAGAAGTCGACGAGGGAAAGGGACAGGTGTGAATCCTCGACGAGTGAGCGAAGTGAGTGTGAAAGAATCCAGACAAGGAAAAACAGGTGAGCAAAGTGAGGACGAAAAGAACTCGGACGACGAGAGAGAGTGGAGCCAGAATGAAATGATAAGAAGTTCGAACGAGGTAAAACAGTACTACCCTACAAGAACAAAGAAGAAGTACGAGCATGACAGTAGGTATATGAGAGTGTCGAGTGTTGTAAGTTGTTAAGCGTAAGTGACGTGATGTGTATACAGGACCGGACTCCTCTATACGTGCTAACCAGCAGGTACGGTACGATACGATCAGTAAATAGTCGCTGCGAACAAAGGGCAAGAATGCCTACCCACCTCCTATCTGCCAAGGACGTACTCCGTACTCCGCAACCCAACAGTATATGCAATGTATGTATCATGTATACATTACATACACCCCCGAACCGAGCTTCGTCCACCACCATTTTCGTTCAGGAAGATAACGGAGCGAGGCCGCTTTGATCGAGCACGGGAGAGTCTCGAGGGAGCCAGGGCGGAAGTACCGATTCCCACGGTGAAAATCCTCAGAGCGCAGCTGACCACCAATTCGGCAAACTCTAAGAGGCGCCATCGCAGGAATGTTTGATCTTGCTGAAAAAAAAAAACCGAGAGTATCGGCAAGGCGGTGAAGGATGTGACACTACGCATTCATTACCGACGCGTTGCCTGTTTTCTTGTTGAAACAGGTGTCGCTCGAGTTTAGCTGCCCTGAGGGGAGCTACAAGGCAGAGGCTGTTCGAGGAATTAAATTGATCTCGCGATTCAAGAAGCGTTGTGAGCTGCACGTATTCTGTGAGAACTGTTTGCATGCATTGCCGCTTGATTGCCCATTTTGTCCGTGGGCAATCTGGCTATTGCTGTATAAAATCCAGGGTGGATCGAAGCATTTGTCGACAACTGCGCCGGTCCCAAGTACGTCCCAAGGGCGCCAGAAGGCGATACTTTGCCAAGGGGCTCTGTGAGGAACTGTTCGCACACCGGTCTGCTGTAACCCATCTGTGGAGGACTTTTGCACCGAGCAAGATCTCAAATCTATCCTCGTGTGGAATCACGATGAAAGTATGTCGGTAGTAATGAACACCATCTCCGGAGAACTTCAGACTCAGCTTGCCCACGACCTTGATTTTGGCTTCCTCCAAAATCCCTTCCGCCGTCTTGATTCCTTCGGTCCTTGTGGCTTCACTCCGGTCGATGGTGGTCAGGCCCCAAGCTTCTACCCGAACTGCAGTTTTTTCGCTCATCATGCTATACATCGATCCCGTGTCAAGCAGAGCCCGACCGAGGTATTTGGTTTCCCCGTCTAATTTGACCATGACATCACATTTATATGGATCCTCATCATGTTTGAAAACTGAGAAGATTGATTCAGCTGTAGAAGGACTCGCTTTATACTTGCGCCGGGCATCAAAAATTAGCTGCAAATTTTGTTGTTCTTTTTCCACCGGCATTATGCTGTCGATCCAGGAGAATTACCTCTATGAACGACAGCCTTATACAATCGAGGAGTGTTTTGGTCTTCGGGAACGCCTGAGATTGAAAGGTATTGCCTTCCTGATTGTTCCCCCGGACGTCGTTACGTTCTACGGCGTATGCTGGCTGTCGCACCACTCTCGCTGTTGAAGTCTGAGGCTTTTACTCTGAGATTGTACCGGTCCTCGTCTCAACGCGTTCGAAGGGCCTTGAGGCTCGGAATTTTCTGCAGTCTCTTTCCAGGTCAAGGGATCCTTCAACTCATAGGGCCAGAGATGGTGGGAGTGGCCGTGCAATACCGGGGTCGATTGTGGGGGGGGGAGGGCAGATCGAATGTCAATGCAATTCAAAGGACGCGGAACGCTCGACTGGGGGACTGAAGGGGTGAGCAGGCGCGTGGTCCGCTGGATGATGAAGGCCCGGATATGACTTGAAAGGGGTGGAATCGCGTCAGGGCTTGCAAAAAAGGACGCAGCAGATGCTTCAGAAAACTTCAAAGAGTAGCAGAACGCGTGAGATTATGGCCAGGAACAAGTAAAGCTTCCTGTCGTGCTTGGGGTCATTGCAAGACGTTAGGGTTTGCAGCCTGTAAAATCTGTTGTGCGGAGTGGCGCCGAAAGTCGACCGCAGGCCTCCGCAACTTGCCGTGGACAGAAACCCTCGACCCTTCTCTACAACGACACGTTGATAGGGAACCAACAGTCGGTTGAGATCCGCGGTACGGCGCCAATGCATTACAGTAATTCAGACATCATGCTCTCCTTGCTCGAAGTCGACACTCTTGATGCTGGCCGCGGGTTGGTCTACGAAAGCAGGTAATATCGCGCATCATCATTTCCCTGATCGAGAGAGCCCATTCTCGCGATCAGCCTGAACAGAGGACCGATTCAGTCGACCGCACTGTCGCAGAGTGAAAAGAGGTTGGGCAGGGCCTGCGTACCAGAGCCCATGGCCCATGGACACCCCCGTACCGAAATCGGCAGGCTCCGGTGCTCTTGCCAAGATTTTCCGGGAGCGTTTCATAGGAAGGAAAAGGACGACAAGGACGACAAAGACGACTTTCCAAGAGCTGTGGGAAACGCTCGCCCTTTTATCAATCTGAGTCCCCCCGCGCTAAGTAAAGAACCACGCTCACCTGCTCCTCTGGACCGAGCGGCATAAGCAAAGCGTAACCTGGATGTGATTGGGACTTGACGCTCGAGCCCATCACCCCAACGCCGTGTTGTCCTATCTGTGGGCGTATCTCGGAAATTTGCGGCACGGCTCGTTCGCTGGTTCTGCGAGCGGGTGTTCGTGCTAATTACGTGTGGGTCATGGGTCATCCCTGCAGGCATTGGGCATCGGATCCAGCGCAGAAGCCTCACTGCCACCGATACCGAATCCATTCAGGCCGCTGTTGCCACCGAAGGCCTCTGGGCTCAGTGCTGTCTCCGTAGCAAGTGTCATCGACGCCATATCAACACATGATGGACACTACCTTCGAAATGGATGACTATTCTTGTCTATCATCGCTTCAAGCCGGTCAGCCCGAGTTCGCCATCTTTCGGCGTTTCATGCCTCTGCAGGCCCTGCAGCTTAACCTTTTGCAGGCCGAAATAGCGCACCTCAGGCAGGGATTGGGGTTGCAATTGGAGGTGGAGAGAAACCCTGGAAGTGCAGAGAGAGGCATCCCAAATGCTTCTCTTGACCCGGCCCAGATTTCTGGATGCGCCACTCCGAACTCAATGCGGGAGGCTCTTTGGGATCGACTAGATGCCAAACTGGAGAGATATAGTGCGCAGTCCCCATCTGCTGATCTCTAAGCAACTCCTAACTAGACGAAAGGCAACGCACTCCTTCGCTACCGGGCTTTCTCCCAATTGCCCTCCGTTAATCCTTTGCATCACAAGCACCTCCGCTTCTGGAACTTAGACCTTGAAGGCGGCCGCAGCGGTCTCCATGGGGTCCAGGCTACTGTCTGGGATGCAGAGAATGCAGAGGATCTCACCTCGATAACTCTGCCGGCCGAGAACAGAGATCCTCTCACGTCCTTCCTCCACGCTCGATTCCTCCCTTGGTACCATTCCTTGCTTGGGCACAAATACAAGCGGCGCATCTACATCGCTGATGCATACACGGGTGTAAGACAGCAGATCCCATTCTACTCCTACTCGGACAAGCTAGTGCTCTTCACCGTGACCATCTGCAGCACGGTCTTATCATCGATGATCCCTGCGCTCTGCTCGCTTGCATTATACTTCATTCGGCGTGAAGGCGCCAGAATGGGTGCGATCGTGGGCTTTACCTTCCTATTCAGCATGGTTATCGTGTTGGTCACACCGGCGAAGAGGATAGAGACCTTCGTGGCCACTGCAGCCTTCGCTGCCGTCCTCATTGTCTTCGTCGGGAATGGGACTTGACATGGGATGTGCAGTGTCAGGCATTCCCAAAGTCGACACTCTGTGGACGGCCCCGAGCACTGGCCCGTAGACCAAAAAGAAGCGCTTTGGTATACCTGGCCTGATCCCTTAAGAAAGCGGAATCCGTGGAACAGTAGTTTGGGAGCTACAGAGCCCTCGCGTGGTGACTGATCCACGAGAATCATCAGGGGAAATAGCCCATGACATTAAGGAATGAACACTCCGTGTGTGGACATGGGAATCTTTCCGATTGTAGGAAGTGATGAGAGCATCGCTGGTAGTAAATGTTTTGTACCTTCGTAGCGTAAATTCAATCGACTCAACCTCCGAGCTCACGACCATAGAGCTAAACAGTCGCTGCACCGTAAAGCCGGTACGCACAGCATCCCTCGCCATTGCGCCAGCTTCACGACTTCGCAAAGCTCCGTTTGTACCCCGTAGCCTGACCGCGTGGAGAGCGCGAAACACTTTCGACTATGGCTCACAAGATCCCTTCTTCTGGCGGCCCTGGTTTCGGTAAGCTAACTTCATCTCCTTGGCCCGCAAACCGACTGTCCCCCAATTGATACGCACCACGCACATGTACGCTTGCTGATGGCGCAATCTTGCGGACCAGGCCTAACTAATGCCACGAAAGCAGAAATACTAAATACTTCGAGATTGACAGAACATCCCGGCCCCGACGGCTTCTTCATCTTCGCCATCACAGCCCCAGAGCGGCGGAATACCTGCTCCACGAAAAGTTGGCAGTTGTCGAAAAATTGCATCTCAGAAATATATTCCGTCGAGCTGAACACGACATCGTACACATCAATCAGCGACGTGGAAGAGAGAGAAACAGATGTATTCATTCACCCAGACAGGACAACAACTGTGATTGATTTTTTTTTTTTTGCAAAGCGGCAGCGAATTCTCTCGGGTGGATTTGATTTGTTGGCCGTGGAGCACGTTTCAGCCTCTCACAAAAGAAGGAAATCCAGCTGAGATTCGAGAGCGCCCCCCCCGGGGGGGGGGGGGTGGGGGGGCGGAAAGCTCGTCATCTGTGTCCGGCCAGAGTCTCCGGGAGAGTCTCGTCACGAGACGCTGTGATTGTGGCTAGAATAGCCAGATCCTCAGCGCCTCGGTGAACACAAGGACCCGGAATAAGGAGGGCGTGTCACTCGACATACATAGTCGAGTGTACACTTCCCCAAGGCGGTGAGAGGGTACAAGTTCTACAAGAGGAGATCCCCTTCCCGAAACAGGCGGGGACGACTTCCTCGCTCTTCAAGCGATGAGAGTCGTCGTTACCTAGGACTGTTCGATAGACCGACCACATTGCATCAACTACCCCCTTCGCAGGGCCAATCACAGGTGAAGGTCCTGACAGGTCTGGTCGTCTTCAAAAAGTCGGACTTCGGGTTCTTCGGGCCGGTCTGGGCTGAGGACTTCGACGTCGGCGTCGTGGTGGGACACATCGTCCCCGCCGAGATCTCCTCAATCGAGTGGGGGTCATCACTAACTAGATCGACGGGGCGGTCTTTTCCTGAATCTTGCGTCTTTGTCGTTCCAGCTCCATTTCGTCGAGTGGTGTCGATCGAAGAGACAAGACGGTGGCGAGTGAGATTGGCCTCACCGCGATGGTGTTCCATCCTGTCCTACATGGAATAGAACTGTCAGTGGTATCCGGCACTTACAACAATAAGAGACGACTGTTGAGAGTGCCGACGATGTTTTTGAATCTCAGCTGAAATGACGCCTCTGGTAGAGGAAACAGGTCGCTGCTGCTACGTCATTTCATCGGTCCGCGTCTTCAGCGAAATGATTCTACCCTCTCACATTGATAAATGAAACGTCTATACCAACTCCGTGGATTGTCACGAGTACTCTTACGCAGTCAACAGAATCTTCTCCCAATCCTGCTTGTCGATCCATTCCTTCACCGGCTCCAGCTGCACCGGCACTCCCAGATCGTCCGGCTTCACCACGCTCTTGTCAACCTTCCCTCCGTCGAGGCCAAACTCGATGCAGAAGCCCATCATCTCCTCCCGAGCTCGCTGCAGTTCAGCGTCGCCCAAGTCTAAATTGGGTACGCTGTCCACGAACTCAATCCTCTTCCCCAAGCTCTGAGCCACGAGGTTTGAGAGGTCTTGCAGGCTCAGCCATTCATTGGCGCCGACGAGCTTCTTGCCCGGTGCGGCACGGATCAGGGCTGCCACCAGTGTGCCCGTGTCTTGGACGACAGAGTACCAAGGGAAGATCGATGTAGTCAGTGGTTCCCGGCCTGACCCGATGAGACAGTCTCTTGCCTTGTCCTAGAAATGGATGTCAGGATGAAGATTTACAAAGTATTGTTCACAAGAGTTTCCCACGGCAACATACCAATCGAGGGCAAAATACACCTCCGTGACCGCCCGTAAGGTTTTCCAGAAAGAAGCCGGCATAGAGCACGCTTGTCTTCTCCCACAGCATCGGGTACGTCGTTCTTCCGTACTCCTCGGCGGCTCCTTTTCCGTCGTAAAAGTACACATGCTGGTACTTGCCCCCGCTCAACTTGTTCGCGTTGGGGAGGCCCGAGTAGATGAATCTTTCCAGCGTGCTGACCTTGGCCGCGGCGTCGATGATGTTTCGATTCTGTTGCGCTTCGTAGTCCCGGATGTAAAAGCCTGGCGCTGCACCAGATGCCGCTGCCTTCTCACGCATTGACACGCTCGTCATGGGCTGCATGAAATCCGTCACACTGAAAATCACCGTGGCTCCAACGAAGGCCGCCTCAAGGGATCGGGGGTCATCGAAGTCTCCTGCCACTACCTCGACTCCCTGCGAAGCGAGTAACCGTGCTTTGTCTGAGGACGGATTTCGAGTGACGGCCCGGATGGCGTATGGCGGTGGTGACTGGGAAAGGAAATGGACCACCACGGAGCCTCCTTGGTTGCCTGTGGCTCCAAGCACGACGAGGAGAGGCTTCCCAGAGGACATGATGTTGTTTTTCGTGGAGACTGGAGGGTAGCAGTGAAGAATGAAAGTATGTCGAGTTCCATAACTGGGTCGGAGTGCTGGTTTATGTAGGCAATGGCATAGCAGTGGCATTGAATGAAAGACGCATCCTAGACTAGCGTCCACGAAGCAGTCCGTCGTAGAACCATATCCGGTTTAGTTCCCACCAAGACCGTTGTGGGCAAATGCAAGCAATGTTAAAAATGGGTCCCCGCCAAAATCGGGTGTCTGACCGTGGCAGGCTTCAGCAAATTCGTGGTATGATTTCAACTGTTCACCGACTTCTTCGCCACATCTTGCATGGGCCGAAGCAATCCACGCTTGTGGCGATTCTGCCATCCACAACCCCGGCCGGTGGTCGAATGGCAGGGACTCCATGAAGAGCCAGTTGGGACAATAGCCATACTTGTAGCCGGTCACTGACAAGTTGAGCGTATAGGCCATGAACACAGTTCGTCGCACACCTGTCCATTAATTAGCATGAGCACAGAGAATGGAAACTATGACTTACTCTCGCCCAACAACCAATCCTGCCACGGGGATTGGCATTTTGGCATTCCAGCATCGAAGCAGGCGAACAAGTGTTGCGTCCATTCAGACAAGATGTTGAGGCATAGTTCTGCCTCTTCCTGTTCCGCCGGAGCCGACGAAAAACTCGATGCCGCCAGATGGACTAGGAGAGCTTGGACCGCTGTAAGAGCCTCTTGCGGTGACACTAGTTTGATATCGACTTGCATAAGGCATTTGAAGCTCTCACTGTTCACTCCCCTGGCCCCTCGCTCCATAAGCGCAGTGACGTGATTGTTGATGTCAGGCACCTGTAATCCAGGATGAACAAACGATGCAGGTCTCCTGGCGCTGACAAGCTCCGGCACCGTGTCAAACCCTAGCCTTGTAATCTCTGTTACGTTCTGGCTGCCTGGATAGCAGATCGCCGGATCGATGCCCGCGGTTCCGGATTTGAGGCGCTTGATGATACACCGCCCCAGAGCATGATAATTTGAGAGCTTGAAGCCAAATGCTCGGACCTTGTCGAACTCGGTAGCTGGTGCGTTGAGCGGTTCAAGGTCATAGACGCAGTCTAGGTTCTTTTGCGAGCAACGGCTGCATTTTGGTTTCTGTACCACACATTTTCGCTTGGAGCTAGTACAATTGACGCAAGCCTTGCGCAGAGTAGGCATATTGACGCTGCGCTGGGCCGATAGTCGTCAAGATTTGATTGCCATGGGAGGTAGTTGGAAGTTGGTGGTGTGCGTTGACGTCGAAGTCAGGGCTTTCGATCTGATCGCTGGAAGCATTCGCTAGTCATGCCAAGGGGCTGATTCCAATCGTCTAAGCCTTGATTAGTTTAGCTCCCACAGGGTCTTTCAGGTGGGTCGCAGGCTTAGTAACATTCCATCCAGCAGCTCGGCTCCGTTCATCGACCTCTGTCTATACCTCGTTCAAAGGATAGTTTCGCCATGTCGCTGAGCCCTTCTGACTTTACATTCGCCGAAGACCGCCTCAAGGCAGTGTGGCGAGATGGGAATCGAACAGGCTCAGGAGACCTCGACCTGTCTGTGCTTATCATTCAAGTCAAATACTGGGGGTCTCCTCACCCAAAAATCATCAGGCAAATGTGTCTGGATCTATACGATGATACAGTTCTCTTGAAGCACATCTTCAACTGCTCGACTTGAACTACAGTGCCAGTTAAAGGATAGGAAATCTCGGACGTGCTGCCGAAGAGCAGGTGCATAGTCCAGTTTTCTATCGGTCGAAAAAAGCCGTACGGTGAGAAGGCAGGTCATTTTGAAGGGGCCAAGGTCATCCACAGGGCGATTCAGATACTGAGACAGCTTCCCGCCACCTCGCCCACGATTTTGGGGGCCCTTCCGTCCTCTAGAAGAGTCGAACCAGGATATCTCTTGCCAACGTCGCCGGAGGACGAGAACGTGGGATCTCCGCCACAGGCGATCTGGGACAAGTTTGCTGCCGTGAATTTCGTCGACACCATCGTTCTCCGTGTCGTTCTCTGCATTGCGCAGTCCGAGCTCTCCCGTCAACATGGCCCAGGACCACTCGAACCTCTGCTGAACTCGACTGCTCACTTGCTAGGCACAAGCATCGACATAGCCACCGAGAGCAGTGGAAGTGGTCAAAGATGGACAGTCGTGTGTGCTTTCCTGTGGACGTCCTGGCAAAGACTTGCGGCCCTTCGGTTTCGCGACATAGTAGCTCCACAGCTTAGAGGGTTTGACCACGCGATGAACCACTTCAACTCTGTTCATTCGCAGACCCTCCTTCCTGAACCTTTCGACTATCGCGGACAGATCGGACGCGAAGATCTTGCATCCGTCCCTTATCTCTGTGCATGGGCCCATCGAACCTTGGTCGAAGATCAAGCGTCTATGCTAGGTGACACGCGGCTGATTATACAACGATATCAAGGGGTGCTTCGGGACCAAAGCTGCCATCTGCAACGACGACTCCACTCAATGCAGCGGTCTCAGCTCCCTTTCATGTGGCCGATTCGAGCACAGTACTGTCACAAATCAATCAATGTACACCCGAACATGGGGAGGCGCTTGCAGCAGACTCTTCTGGAGCAGGGAGTTTTCCCAGAAATCAAAAGCAAGAGAAATTAATTTATTGGTGTTGGCATGTTTATCAAGATTAGAGATGTTGCATCTATCTCTGCAAATCAAAAGTTTTCACTATAAAGCTCCCTCTTTGAAACTTCTGAAAAAACCTGGCCAAACTGATTATAATCCCCCTTCAGTACAACACAAGAAGTGTGGTTTTTGGGGGATTTGTTTCTTCCTCTTTGCTTTGGTGGCTAGGGGGGACTCCGTATTCGAGACAAGGCACTTCAACGACTTTTCGTCGTGTACTTCGTCATTTCCCCCCGTTCCTATATCGATTTGCATAATAAAGTACATGAAAAGTTCATCAAGGTGGCGGCGGGTATCATGTATCGGTAGTGGTGTCGGCGGTTGTAGAAAATTGGATCAGGGCAAAGTTTTGGTGATCTTCCCAATCCTGATTATGATACCAACAAAAATTCTCCACCGGTCGAAAAAAATAGTCGTGTTTCTTCACATCAAAAAAATATCATTGAGCACTTCCTTGTTTCGTGTGCTCCAAACCGACAAAACGCCTGCGCTGAGCCCGGAACAAGAAAACTGGCAAAAAAAGAAACCTCCCATGTCGTGGCGTCATTATCGTTTTTGCAGGACGTCGGAGATTTGATTAGTAGCAGCATTACAAGCCTTGAGAAGTTTGATAGTAAGGATCGAAACTTTCTGCGGCCTGCGCGAGAGTGTCTAGGTCTGAAAACCCTCGTATCAGAGTGGGAGGCACAAGACCGTTGGGTACCATTCCATTGCCGATACCTTTGGATAGCAGTGGCGGTTGAAGGAGTGGAGCTCCAAGAAGGGGATCATCGGCCAGTGGAGGATAGAGAGAGTTGGGTGAAACACTCTCTGGAATGGTTTGAATCGGCATGAGCATTTGACGAGGCTCGAGGTAGAGAGACGTGTCCTCGTGGGACAAGACAGGCGTCTCGACAGCGGTAGGTGCCAGAGATGTTCCCTCGGACAAAGGCGAATGGATCTGGCTGGACCGACGACTGGCCTCCGAGTTCATGCTATCATGCTTCTTGATCTGCTTGGCTTTCACTGCGTCCCTCGTCATGGCAGCTTTGCTTCGACGGCTGGAATCGTCGCTGGTGGTCCCGGACTGAGACCCCTTGTGGGTCCGTTCATGTTGCTTCATGTTGTCCTTGCGCGTGAAGGCCTTGTTGCAGATTGGGCAATGCACCCCCTTCTCTCCGGTGTGCTTCTTTCCATGGCGCGCAGCGTGACCCGAGGTGGTAAAGGTAGACTGGCAGTGGTGTGACTGAGCGTAAGGGCAGGGGTATTTGTTCTTCTTGGGCGGGGCCGAACCGGTCGTGGTGGGCGAGGTCGCAGATGGGGTGGATGATGGAGGTGCAGAAGTGGCGGGCGGTGCAAGGCCGTTTGGTATTGGCGCGGGAACCGCAAGAGGCTGCAGCTGCAGGCTAGGGTGGACAGGACCCGGGACGAGGGGATACTGAGGAGGCATAATTGGCGGGATAGCAAGTGATTTGCCGGAATACTGAGGATCGGCCATGTTCGGGTTGATCATCAGTTGTTGTTCCATAAACGGAGTGATGGTCGACGGAGACGGGACGTATCCCGTCATGTCTTGGCGCAACAGCGGATCATAGGGAAGCAGTGTGTTGTCTACATAGTTGTACGCCGGGGTGATGGGCGAGGGAGAAGAGTCCATGCTCGATCCCGACTCTGACGAGGATTGGCGTACGAGAGGAGGGGTCGAGGCAGTGGAAGACGAGAAGGACGAGGTGCGGCGGTAGCCGGCGTGGCGCACAAGGTGAGGCCGTTCAAGGCGTGGTCGTGGAGAGAGCAATGGAGAGGTCTTTTCGGAGGAGGGAGGAGATGGTTCGTGATGACGAATGACAAACGAAGGACAGTCGTTGTCGTTTAGGATCGAGAAGATACGTGCTCCTCCAGGTTGCGTCTGATGTTCCATTGTTGGACGCAACTTTCCTGCGCCCAGCGGACAGGCCGCTGGTCCCAGAATGAGAGGATGGATGCGACTGCAGGAGGGACGGTCAGGGACGCTGGGACTTATGATTTGACGCAATACATACGCCTGAGGGGCCCAGGAGATATCTGCTGCTCAAGGTTCACTAGGACTGTGAAGGGGGCGTTGTATGGTGCGAATGATGGGCCAGGCGCCTTCCGCTCTCCGGGCCAGAGGAGAGTTGATTCCAAGGAGCTTGATGCGAAGCGATTGAACAAGAATGCAATGCAGGTCTTAGTGCAGGACGAGTCGTGGAAGTAGATTCCGAAGCAGTGAGGTGATGACTGATCAGCAGTCGAGAAGAGTGTACGAGGATCGAGGGATTGAAGGAGTCTCCGTTGGAGTCTCTATAGAGAGAGAGGGTGGAAGTGAACAGTGGTCGAGGTAAGGGTGGCAGATGAGGTGGTTGGAAGAGAGAAAAAGGGTCTGGAGGGAACGGCGGAGTGAGACAATGCCATGTTTTGAGGGAAAAATGCGGTGCGTGTCGAGGATGGGATGAGATCGGGGGATCGAGAAGATGGAAATGTTCAGAATGGCATCCGACAGGGGACTTGGGAATGGAGAAGGTTCGTTAGCCCTGGAGCCACCTGGAGGTTCTCGAGAATCAAGGCGACGGTCCCCTGGGTCCCCTGGGTCTTGGTAGGCCGGTCCCCAGCATGTCTCGTGGGAAACGCGGGAACGACGATGGACGGGTGGTTTGCAGGGGAGCTGAATGGTCAGAGCCAGGGCAAGGAAGCATTAGGGCTGTCAGGGAAGATTACCAAGGCCGTCTTCATCGCCGATGCGCTGAGATCGAGATAATTCAGTAGCTTTCAAGAAGAAAAGCCGAAAGGGGACTCCTCATCACCAGCCACACTTGCAGACCCTGCAGTAGTAGTGACCATGTCATGGCAGCTTCTCGCACCGAGTATCTACTTGATAGCTTCAGCTGGGGTATTGAGAACCACTATGTATCTCTGCGTCCATTGATCAGGATAGCACAAATACTGAGCAGTGAAAGAACACTCAGTGTAGGAGTACAGCCGGATGTTCGGGTACTCAAAAGACTGTTACAGTACTCCTTAGCTCTTCTCGTACCTAGATCTCTCGATCGCTCCAGGGTAAAAAAACATGAGTGAGCCCAGGGCGGGTAGCGATCAACATCAGCATTGGGAAAACAGGTACTTCAGACAAGGTTGGATCGACCGATACACGACGAGATCACGATCCAGAAGCAAAGAAGGGTCGTTTTGATGGGCACTGACGGCTGACTGATGGGAAACAGCCATGCGGGCCATGCTTTGTTGCCAGACCCTCCGAGGGCGCTAGGAAACGCATGGGCTCTGAGGTACCTCGTTTAGGGTCGACTTGGAGTACTAACTAGTGACAGCTGAGTTCCTGGTGGAGGGTCTGTGCCTGCGAGAACTTGGGCAGAAACAAGAGGCACCTTGGTGATGCTTGGTATGTACCTCGCGTACAGTAGTAATTTCTCGTGTCCGGCAGGTACCTACTAAGCACCTCGCAAGTACCTACTGTGGTTAGATATTGTATAGCACGAGGTGCCTACTGTACCTTGGTTGTACTAGTAACTCGTAATGTACTTTGTAGCGACACAAGCCACCCAGAAGCCTCCAACGTCACAGGGTTCATGACATCAGGGTTTGATGGGCAACGCGCCGATGCAGCCCAATTCTCGATCCCCGCCTGAAGTCGAGCTTTTTTCCAGAGCTTGGCCAGCGCCCGCAAGTTGCCGCCACCCGCCTCCAAGTACTCGTACTCGTAACCATCCTGTCCGCATCCGGCTATTACAGTACAATATCGTTGTTGTTATTGTTATTACGCTCTCGTCCATCCCCAACTCGCGTGCCGAAATCGTGCCCTGATCTGAACCTTGTCCAGCCCACACTGACAATACCTCAAACTCCCGTCCCAACGTGCCGTGTCCAAGACTGCTAGCTTGTCCGGGACAAACATCCTGCCCTATGCCTGGCCTCGTGGTCCCCCATAAGGTTAGATGGACTGTTACCATGTTCCGCCTTGGTCAATACATTGACACTAGGTACTTCTGATCTTGCTCGGTTCCGGGTCAAAGATCCAAGGTCCCTCGAACCTTTTCGCCGGCAGTGCCCACGTCCTCACAATATTCTAGGGGTCTAGACCAAGCTTCGACCACCTTGCCAGCTTCTCAGCAGCAGATAGTGGCCAGACTCGCCTGAGGGACAAATATTTCACCACGGTGAGACATCCATGGGACTGTTTCTACCGTAAGCCTTCTTTCCGGTAATTTCTTTCCACGTGTGGCACTTGACGATCCACTGCCATCAGGGTCCATGTACTCGTACAAATACGGCAGACCAGCACCGGTGAGCTGTTTTCGAGGGTCCCGGCACTTTTCACCGAAATTCACACAATGCGAGCTCAAGAGGGGTACAATACGAGTATGATGCAGGGCTTCTTCGTACGGCCCTTCTGACAAGTGACATGTCGTACGGACCGTGAACCTGTCCCCGCCCGCCAACTTGACTGCTACGAGTACAAGCACAGTAAGTATAGTGTCTGTACAGGAAGCTTCACTGGCTCCCAACAGCCACAAGAGGAGGTTATCTCAGCCTAGTTAGTGTTGGTCTTTTGAGGCTACAAGCTCCAGGCAATCGTACTTAAGTACTCTTGATTCCATTCCAATTCCCTGGAGAGGGCCCACGAGGCTGACCGGTCAAAGTACGAGTACTCATCCGAAGCTGTCTGTGCCTTGTTGCCTTATTGCCTTGCTGTCTCCCACGAAGAAAGTACTCGTGTCACGGATTTCTTTGAGACTGGCCACCACCACCGCCATTACCACCGCCATACTTTGATGTTTGCAGTACAATACATCAAAGATGAACCTGTGCTCTCATTCTTGGTCTCTCTCGACGTGGCAGTGAACAGGCGGTCAAAGATGAACTCCCTCTCCCTCCCTGCACTGGTTCTCGGACTCATCTGCATCGCATAGCCACAGCCTGCTGTTTGCTTCCTTCATCAGCCACCGCCGCATCCTCAGCGTGGGATCTTTTGTCTTGCACTTTGGTCACTCAGTAGTGTCTCACAATCTCACTTGGTCAATCAGCAGGTACCTTTTAACTGGTCTGCTGCCCGACGACTGGGTCACCTACTGGGTACAGTAGTTCCCAGGCAAATTCCCCTCCTTGCAGAAGCGCCCGATCATTACGTAGTCGCCCAGTGGGCGAAACCACTGCCCAACTGGCACTCCTTCTCACCACTTGGACCAGCCACCACGAACGCCAGTGGCACATCATTTTGGCCTCATTCTTCCCTGCGCCCACTTTCGCTGCCTGACCGTCAATTTTGCCAAGCGTGTTCACGACTTCATCGCCTCCTCTACGCTCCATACTATCGTCTTCATTAACACTCCCTCCCGCAGTTGACCACTTCATCTAACCACTGCTTGAATTGGTCTGACCGCGGTTGAAGCATCGCAACGACCCGTCCCTCTGCCGTGGCTCCGGTTTTCCGCTGGGCCACTGCCAACTCATCCGTTCGCTTGGACCACCCCTCCCCAACCCCCGCAGCCGATATCGACCATGTCATACTACGGCGACGACAACAGACCGAGGAGAGCAAAGAGCACCCGAGAGCGATCAAGAAGGGACGATTATGATGGCGGCACCATCTACGACGAGAACGTGAGAGATACCCGCATCGTCAGACGCCGAGATGACAGTGTCTCCTCCGTCGAAGAGATCTCGCGAGGAGACGTGGAGCCGGGCAGTGCTTATTATCGTGAAACCACGGTGCGCAAGAGCGGCCATCGTCCAGTTCGCACCAGGTCAGACGACGACCGCTGGTACGACGATCGCTACGATGATTCGACCTATGTTTCGCGCCGCAGACGCGATGATGAATATACCGTCGCCGGTGGTCGTAGTCGCAGAGGCAAAGACCATGATGACAGACGTGAGTTTTCTGATACCTCGTCCCTCTAAAACGACTCTGACATGTCGTCCTAGATCGTTCTCACCGCCGTGACGACTCTTACGACTCCTACTCTTCGCGCAGCCGCACTCCTGAGAAGAAGAAAGAGCGCAGAAAGTCTACAACCGAAGAGGTACTAGGCTCTCTCGGCCTTGGTGGTCTTGCAGGAGCAGTCCTCGGCAAGAGTCGTGACCGATCACGAGATAGGGATAGCGATCGCAGTCGCCACCGTAGTCGAAGCAGAGCAGGTGGCCGCCGACGTTCGTCATCCGAAACGTCCAGACATCGAAGTAAGAGTCGCGGCAAAGCAAGCAAGAACGAGCAGTATTCTCAGGCCATCAAAGCAGCCGTCTTAGCCGGGGCCAGCGAGGCCTTCCGTTCTCGCAAAGAACCAGGCGGCTGGGGTGGCAACAAGGGCAAACGAGTCTTGACTGCTGCCCTCGCGGCTGGAGGTGTCGACGGCTTGATCTCCAACAAAGACGATCCTCATCACCACAACAAGCGTGACATTGTGGGATCCGCCATCGCCGGTCTAGCCACCAACCGCATCATCAACGGTGCCCGCTCCAAGTCTCGTGGCAGGGGTGGCAGCCCTGACTCGCGTGGTCGGAGCCGATCTCGAGGTGGGATCGGAGATCTAGCTGCTGGGGGCGTCGTGGCGGCCACCGCGAAGAAGGTGTATGATTCCGTACGATCTCGCTCTCGCGGTCGGGCTCGCTCTCGAGACTCGTCTTACGACAGCCGCTATGACAGCCCTCCGCGTCAGAAGAGGAGCCGCAGCGTGTCTCGGGTTGCTGCCAAAGGACTCGCAGCACTCGGCCTGAAGGATGCCGCCGACAAGGTAGATCCTGAACGACGCTCTTCCTCGCGACACTATGATGACTACTATGATGATGGACGATCGAGTCGAAATGGAGGATATTATAATGATTCCAGAGATGTAGGTACCACTCAACCCCAACAAAATCATCCGCGTGACCGTCTCCGTTCCATGAGCCTGCCCCGAGGGCATCCTCCTGGTTATGAGCTGGATTACGGACCGCGTCATACTGGTGATCCAGACACAGACACCGATTCTGACCTCGGCTCCAGTTCCGAAGATGAGAAAAGGCTGAAGAAGGGCAAAAAGAAGATGTTGCTCACCGGAGGCCTGGCCACCGTAGCAACCATCCATGCCGCCCACAACGTCTACCAGAGTATGGAGAAGAGAGAAGCGCGGCGAAAGGCACTGAGAGAAGGTGACATCAGTAGAGAGGAGGCGAGGCGCGAGAAGAACAAGGCAAGGCTTCAAGACGCTGCCAGTATTGGTATTGCAGCGCTGGGCCTCAAGGGCGCCTATAGTGAGTGGAAGGAGACGCAAGAGTTCAATCGTCAGAGGAGGGAGGAGGAGGAAAAGATCGAACGGCACGCCAGGAAACGGGAGGCAAGGAGACGGAAGATGAGTATGCTTGCGACAAACGATTATGTCAACAGCAATTATACTGGGAGCATGCCGAATCTCAACACGTACAGTCAGGAGGTGTACCATCCGAACGGAGCACATGCTCCTTTCGCGTCGACATCTGAAGTTCACTATACAGACGACAACCCGTACGGAGCCATGTCGCAAACAGCAGTACAGTATGCGGCTCCTCCCCCTGCTCCACCGGGACCTACCCCTTCAACAGGCTTCCCTCCTCCGCCAATAGGTGTACCTCCTCCAGGTGGACACTATCCACCATATTGACGAAGGGGCATGACTTTTACGACCTTTGAAAGCTTCTGTTTCTGGTGTTTCGATATCAGAACTTCTGTTAGCTTAACGAAGACCTGCCACGACCTTTTTTCATCACATACAACATGAAAGCAAGAAAGCGAGAGTTGTTGAGACATGATTGCATACTAGCATTTCCGGGGGAGATTGCCTAGAGATCTTTTTTGTTTTTGTTTTTTGTTAGGGTTCTAAATTCCAGGTTTGCACTTTTCCAGCCATGATTATTATTCATTTCTGGCTACGATGTCACGATTATCTAGATAGCTTTCTCGAGTTCGACTTGTTCAGATGGATGCGTGGTGGGTATTGTGGCTATGGCTATGGCTTCGGTATGGCCGAAGCCAAAGAAATGATGATGACTATTTTACGACCCCCCAAGATGATTAAGAACAATACCATAGATACTATCAAGTAGCTACCGCCGTGAGAATCGGAAGTATCCTGAACTTCTATCTCGGTATCGATTCGTCGACCTACCACTGCTACCGCCGCCGCCGCCGTTTCCAAAACCAGATCCAGATCCAGATCCAGGCCAAGACGGGTCCACGTAGACGCGTCTCCTGTCACTGTGCTCGTAGATGCCACTGTTTCGAAGATACGCGGACGACGTCGGACCCGCGGCGAAACCGGTATCGAACGTGCGCGCGGGTCGGAATCCGTTACAGTCGGGCCGATCGTACCATACGTTTGGGTCCGAGTTTGGGTCCGGGGCTGCACGGCGGGCAGAATACGTCCCCGTATAGCCATATCTATATCCGTACCTGGAAGCGTCCTCTCTGGGTTCAGGAGCGTGGTAGGAGGGAATGCCAAGGTCCAAAAACTCGGGCTCAGCCACGTCTGGTCGCCTCCGCGGTCGTCGTCCAGACAGTGGTGGTGGATCGTCTACCGGATCGCGTCCACGCGTCATAAAGTCCTCGAAGTCGTCGGGTGTGTACGCATACGGACGTGGAAGGTACACGCGTCGTGGCCCACTGGCCCGGAAGGGCGAGGGCGAAGGAGACCGTCGGCGGCTTGTGTATCTGTCGTACCCTGCTTCTGGTTCTGGTGCGGTGGTTCTGCCACCGTCGGTGCGCCGCCGCGGCACAACCGGAGGCGGCGGACTGCGAGATACGGGGTATTCTTCGTAGGCTGGTGGCGGAGAGGGCGCGGGCGGTGGAATGTCGTCGTAGTCGTCGTCAGGTGCTTCTGGTGATCGGCGACGACGGTCAGACCGCCCGCGACGTTCAGGAGGAGGAGGAGAGACGGTTCGGCACCGCCGTCTATTTCTTGTACGACCTGAGCGACCTGTGCGGCGGTTATGGGAGAACCGGTTTCCCATGTTCATGTCAAAGGACCCTGGTACGCTGGCACACTGAAAGTGGTACCAGCACTGGCACCGGCACTGGTACTCGTACGTGAAGAGGTTGTACTGTGGATTGGTGAGTGGGCAACATCCGTGGTGAGCCTTGCGAGGTATCTCGAGCTGATGAGGAAGCGATCATATAGGGCAAAAAAAAGAAAGACAAGGCCGGAAAATGCATTATGAACAAGACAACAGATCCAGAAAGAAGACAAACGCGAGGCTTCTTCGATTCCCTGAGTGACTTGCCTTTTGTCGTGGGGGGTGACTGGAATCCTTGTTGCATTAAGCGTCAAGCCACAAAGTGATGGGCGTCGAAGTGTGAAGGCATAAGGGAGAGTCGTGGATGTACTTCACAATGGATGGTGACAGTCACCAGGTGATATGAAAGCACCTACAAACAAACAAAAGGCCGCTGATCGTCGGATGTGATGCTCTTGGACTCGGTGGTGAAAGAGAATCGATTCGCGACGCGGAGGATGTCGAGGCGTTATGCAGCCACCTCGGTGCCTGTGCATGACTTCTGGATATTGATGGCGATGTGGACTTCCGAGCGGTGACAGTGGAGGCTAACAAGTGCTCTATTGACATTGTTCCGTTACTGTGATACAGTAGGGTCGAGCGCTGATAGGCAACATATCTCAAACACGATCTCGGTTATCTTGGCGGTGTTGACGGTGCTGTTCTCGCTTTGCCAGATATATTCTTATGGTGCCTCAGTCTGTCTGCTATGGTTTCAATTCCCTTCTGATTCTCGACGAACATGGGTGAGTATGATCTGACGCCACCGCATAGAACGAGATAACCCATGTTGACATGGTGATGCCGTTGACAGGGGGAGACACTGAACTTGATCTCCGTCGATGTGAAGGCCTGTTCTATTTAGCGTCGCAAGTAGAACTTGATGGAAAAGTTTCGAAGCAAAGCAAGGCAAAAAGACACGGGCCGAGAACATTGCAAACGAAACTGGTGGCCAAATTTGAGGCTTGACCGTAGCACTCGATATAGTACGGTCCGGAGCCACTTACAGGACCTTGGATATCAGACCCTCAAAGTCAAACGGGATACCGGTTTGCTCAAACGGTAGCCCACGGGAGCAGACTTGTCCGCGAGGCGTTGTTCGTGCGACAGTCTCGTGTGGGAAATGCCACAGATGAAAGCGGTAGTCGAGGAAGAATTCACGCAACAAACAAGCTGACATGCAATCACAGTGCCCGAACGAAGAGCTGTCTTCTTACGTCTCTGCACTTCCATGCTGTTGTGAGAGCCTCACACCTCGTGTTACCTGTTGTGATTTGAACGTAGACGCCGATCTCTGGTTGCACCAATGTCGCTGCATTCGGGATGCATGGATTGTGCCTGACGTTGGCTTGCTGTGAATGGAAAATTCGTCACCACAGCATGTCAGGACACAGGATCATCAGTGCCGGCAAGATAACTGAAGTGCTGGATGACCGACTTCACAGTATCATGGTCGGTTGTAGTGTTGTTGTCACCAAAAGGGGCCTAGGCGAAATGAGTCCTGCCGCTTTAACCCCAGGAGACCAGTTGGGGCATAGCGCGTTGTTCACCGCCTTCAAGGTACATGCTGTAGTCTCGCGCCGGCAGATCCTTGGCGTTTTCAGTTTGTTGATTGACCTGCCTGCACCCAAATCTCTCCCCCTGCCTGCCCACAACGACCTTACCACCTCTCACCCTCAGCACTCCTCTCAGCTTTGGTCTTTCCTGGAGCTGTCGTCTATTCTCGAATCTTCATCTCGACCTCACTCTGAGCTTTCTCTTTCGCTCACGACACCGTCAACATGCGTGAAATCGTGAGTGACTTCGGGGCTGCGCTACGCGTCTTAACGCCCTGTTTACCCCTTTGACAATGTCCCTGCTTTGACCCCACCACACCTCTACGCCTCGCAGAATCACCAACTAACAATGTCTATCAATACAGGTTCACTTGCAGACTGGCCAATGTGTATGTATTCCCATCATCTATGTTTTTGGACATTTTGTAGCTGACACCCTGGTTTAGGGCAACCAAATCGGTGCTGCCTTCTGGTGCGAAGTTAACCCGACGCGATCGAACACCCTCTCTAACTCGATAACAGGCAACAGATCTCGGGAGAACATGGTCTTGACGGCTCTGGAGTGTATGTACACGGAAAGATACGATGAGGCACACAAAACTGACACCGCTTAGCTACAATGGTACCTCGGACCTCCAACTTGAACGTATGAACGTCTACTTCAACGAGGTAATTATCCTAGAGAGCACACTCGTGAAGCTCTCAATGCTGATTTCCACCTCAGGCATCCGGAAACAAATATGTTCCACGTGCCGTCCTCGTCGATCTCGAACCTGGAACCATGGATGCAGTCCGCGCTGGTCCATTTGGTCAGCTTTTCCGCCCTGACAACTTTGTCTTTGGGCAAAGCGGTGCTGGTAAGCCACGGATTGGGACACTTTCAAAAGACCTGCAAAAATAACCTTATAACTCAGGAAACAACTGGGCAAAGGGTCACTACACCGAAGGTGCTGAACTTGTTGACCAAGTTCTCGATGTCGTGCGACGTGAAGCCGAGAGCTGCGACTGCCTCCAAGGTTTTCAGATCACCCACTCTCTCGGTGGTGGTACCGGTGCCGGTATGGGTACTTTATTGATCTCCAAGATCCGTGAGGAATTCCCAGATCGCATGATGGCTACCTTCTCCGTCGTCCCATCCCCAAAGGTCTCGGACACTGTCGTCGAACCATACAACGCCACTCTCTCCGTCCATCAACTGGTTGAGAACTCGGACGAGACCTTCTGCATTGACAACGAGGTAAGTTCTTCAGGCCATCTCTTCGTGATTGTCTTAGCTGACCAAAGTAGGCTCTGTACGACATTTGCATGCGCACCTTGAAGCTATCCAACCCTTCGTACGGTGACCTGAACCACCTTGTCTCTGCGGTCATGTCGGGTGTCACCACATGCCTGCGATTCCCTGGTCAACTCAACTCTGACCTCCGAAAACTCGCTGTCAACATGGTTCCTTTCCCTCGTCTCCACTTCTTCATGGTCGGTTTCGCTCCTTTGACCAGCCGTGGTGCATACTCGTTCCGCGCCGTGAGCGTGCCTGAACTTACCCAACAGATGTTCGACCCCAAGAACATGATGGCTGCTTCCGACTTCAGAAACGGCCGCTACCTGACCTGTTCCGCTATCTTCCGTGGCAAGGTCAGCATGAAGGAGGTTGAGGACCAGATGCGCAATGTCCAGAGCAAGAACAACAGCTACTTTGTCGAATGGATCCCCAACAACGTCCAGACCGCTCTCTGCTCCATCCCCCCTCGTGGCCTGAAGATGTCCTCGACCTTCGTTGGTAACTCTACCTCTATTCAAGAACTGTTCAAGCGTGTCGGTGACCAGTTCACTGCCATGTTCCGACGAAAGGCTTTCTTGCATTGGTACACTGGTGAGGGTATGGATGAGATGGAATTCACCGAAGCCGAATCCAACATGAACGACCTTGTCTCCGAATACCAACAGTACCAAGACGCCAGCATCTCGGAGGGCGAGGAAGAATATGGTGAGGAGGAAGCCCCCTTGGAAGAGGAGGTGTAAATGCACCAAGCCGAGTCCGTGAAGGACATGTCCCGTTGAGATGGATGCATTATGTTGCAGGGTCCCAGGAAGGATACCAATTGGTTTTGTGTAGCCACAGCATCCCCTTCTTACTTCTCCCGAGTGAAGTACAGTCTAGCAGGAGTTAAAGACAGGGACTATGAACAGGAATGATGTTAGTGTCAAGCAGGCAGGCATGGCGCAATTCTCAACTTCTTTAGTCTTGAGCGTCAATCTTAATCGAATGAAAGAACAATAGCAACTTCAGTCAGTACCCATTGCGTAGTAAATCGTCCCACGATTGGCTCGTGAAATACCTACGCTCGTTTCTGTCAAGGACGCAAAACTGCTTCGTGACATCAGAGGTCAGCTGGAAATAGATACTTCTGCAGTGTCGTTTCGTAAGTGTTGTTACGAAGTCAAGGCCGGAAGCATGGTCTTTTGTGCGTAGCGGGCTCTAGATGGCCTTTTCATCAGAATCTCGCCGCGAAGCGCACAGGCGGAGAATAACCCGAATATAATATTCCAAGCAGCCCAATACGTCACTATCATCTAGTTGCCAGGTATTCATCCTCGAGTGCATATCTGTTTGATCAACCCAAACATTCTTCATGTTTCCCTGACATTGTTCGCAAGGGGGCTTTGTCCACTCGACATACTTGATCGAAAGTAGTGGATTACCACAATCGCCATGGTCAGTAGGAAATCCATCCGATTCACTCACGTCAGTCGAGTAACATACTGATCAGTGACGCAGGGCAAGTTGGAGGCTGATCTAAAGACGAATCCTCCTTGTCATCCTCGAGCTGTAAGTGCACAAGTAGACCCTGGCGGTCGGTTTTCGTGTCCCAGTATTGACCGACAGTCCCCGTAGTGTGCGATTCAGGGTAAGCATTTGTATTTTTCTGTTTTGACCATCAACAAATTAACGGTCCTGCCAACAGATTGTTTGCAGAAGAATAACTACAAGGAGGAAAAATGCCAGTCGGCGGTCGATGCGTTGTATGAATGTTGCAATGCCTTCTATAAGCAACAAGGCGAGGACGCCAGCACAGTCTCCTGTCCTAAGCCCAAGCTGCTGAAGTTGAAGCTGGAGCAGCGAGGACAACCGCAGTGACCCGGTCTTCAGCTTCTCCCAATTACTAGCCAGATAAAATCCCATTTTTATAGATGAGAGGTTGCCATGGCATGGAAAACAATGATAATGTGTAGCATATCGATTTTTTCTACCTGAACCATCGTCCCTTCAAGATGAGGTCTGGTCAGCTGAACAGCGAATGCAAAACTATGCTCTGAGGCAATCGCGAGCACGCAAGAGACCCTTGTAGGATCTGAACAACCACTGAGAAAAGAAAGGTCTGTTCCGAGACTCTAATGACTACCTGTATGACATTGATGAAAGGAAAAGAAGAAGGCGAAGAATTGATGGCCGAAGATCAGTGAAAAGGCTCTGAAAAGACGCCAGTCCTCTTTGAGACTAGCGCCTGCGCGTACCCAGTGTCGCGGTTTATTGTTCAGAAAGTTGCTACGGAGTACAACAAGGCCAGGATAGAGCAGGGTCAAAAATCCAGTCGAGAACGATCCTGTGCACAAGTTCCCGTGGGTACATATCATTCCGGACAATGGCACCGACCACGCGGTCCTCGGTCCATGGGAGAGGCCCAGAGGTAAGACGTCTGAGTTTCGAGCTGTCCTGTTACTGCCGTTGACTTCAATATAGTTCCCCCCTAGACAGCCCGACTCACCGCCCCCCAGTGACCATGAAGACGAGGACATGGCGAATGAATTTGATCATGAAGAAGGTGTGACTACCCTTAGCAACCTACAATATTGCCAGAACGAACCTCCATTTCAGAAGACCACAAAATGCTAATTAACGTCCAAGACGCTCAATCTCCCTACCAGTCCTCGGCCCAAGACATCCTTCGACCACTACAGGACACAGCCGATCGCGTCAGCAAACAGGCGGAAGATTTTGCAAAAGCCCTGGATAAATTCGTTGTCAATCGAGCGCCAACCGATCAATCTCTTTGGGAGGACGCTCTCATACTTTTAGAGCGCTTCAGCAAGATTGCCGATAATCGAAGACAGAAGACACCCGCCAACGAGTCTGTTGCACAGATCCAAAAGATCCAACTCGAGAACGATCTCTGGGTCCTTGTTCGAAATCTGCTAGCATGCAGCTCCCCGGAAACCACCAACAATGCACAGATTGCTCAAGACTCAAGATTAGGTGGACTGCACAGATACTCGGACAATGTTGAACTATGGGCGGCTTTCCTAGACTCGGATGCTGTTGCCCAGGAATATGAATGCATCTTGAGCTGGCTACAGGAGAGAGCTGCAGGATCGGCTGCACCTATTGATGATCTCCTACGCGATTTAGCCGAGAAGTCAGAACGCGGCGAGGGCGTTTGGAGTGCTGGACCCATCTACACACAAACCGCTATAAAACAACAGAAGCGAACGAGAGTTTGGTCAAAGCCGTTGGAACCATCGAATCCTGGCCTGAACCGTACTCATGTCCGCAATGTCGATCGCAAACCTTTAGTCGCGCAATTAGATCCTGACTCGAGAACCCGAGAGTCAGCTGTCCTCCAAGAACAGGACGAATATCACGAAGAAGCGGCGTGGCAAACGTGTTGGGAAATGTTGCGCCGTGGTCAAACTGCCGCTGAAATTCACTCATGGTGGGCAGAGCGGAAAGAAGTATGGAGATATGAAATCCTTCGAGGTTGTGGATCGAGCCCACCTGAAATGGCAGAATCACCGTGGCTTCGCATATTGAACCTTGCCACGAATACAGAATGGCTCGAACGGTGTAGGGCTCTTGCCCACAATCCTGGCGTCGTCGATAAATATCAAAAGGCCGTTTACGGAATACTCTGTGGGGACAACGAGGCAACCAACTCAGCTGCGCAGAACATCGACGACCAGCTATTTGCACTTTTCAATGCTCTTCTGATGGACAGATATGAAACCTATGTCAAGGCGTATCGAAAGAAAATTGCTGGACAAGGTCCAAATGAGTTCCGACCTCAGCCTCCCTCCACAGATCAAGTCCGACTCCATACGACGAAGGCCTTCTCCGATACATCTATGAAAGAAGAGTCTCACCTGCCGCATAGATTGTTACAGATGGCCGTCATGTCCAAGGACTACGAAAACTTCTTCGTAAACATGGGACAAGCCGTTGCTTATGTGGCCCATGCCTTTGGCCAAGGTGACGATCTCATCGAGGCTAATAAAGACCACGGCGACGAGATTTCCCAACTCAATGCACAAGATCACGACGCCGTGAGGATGGTGGTGCACCTCCAGCTGGTCTTGAAAGCGCTGGGGTTTCTCGACGCCGCCTACGAAGAGCATTTGTACGTGATGGAGAACAACATCGCCATGTATATCAGCTTCCTGCAAAGCATTGGTAGGTATCAACTAATACCAACCTACGCCGCAAAACTGTCGCCTGATCGTGCGCAACATGTCTTGGGCACGGTTCTTATCAACGTGACAAACTCCAAAGAGCGGGACACCATGGTCAAATTAATGAAGCATGAGAACATCAACGTTGCTGAAGTGATCTACGGCATCTTTTCTCTGGCGAACTTTGCCGATATTCAAAAGCTACAGAATATACCTGAGTACCATCCGCCTAGGATTACCGTTGGAGGAGGAACTGCTAAATTCGCAGCTTTGAGAGTCAAACAGTCACTGATGACTGGTCCCGTCACGGATGCGGACGAAAAGGCATTGCGAAGTGTTGAATGGTTCCGGTATATCGATGCTGAGAATTGGGGGAGCGCGGCTTGGGCTTTTGGTGTTTTGTACAAGACTTTCCTCGCGGAGGGAAATTTTGTCGCGCTTCGCCAAATGATCGATAGAGTCAGCTTGTCCGAAGTATCTCTTGCCGCGGTCAAGATGAATCTCATCTTTGCCAACGGTGAACCACCTGCCCAGCCTGACTACACGGAGGAGGATGAAATGGATGATGATAGAGTCCAGCCGATCAGTCCCACCCGTCGAAGAAGAGACCCAGCTGTTGAGCACCCACTAACAAGACCTGGCAATGACCGCGAGACTTTGGCTTATAAATCTTTGACTTGGCGACAATTGGAACAGCTCACCATGGCTATTGATTCTTTGGACATCTTCCAAGAAACGGCTGACAATCTCGAATCGTAAGTGAAGAAGAACGTTGGGAGAATCCAAATACTGACTTCTTGCAGAAATCGATCGAACCCATCACTACTGAGGACATACAAGCGTGACCTGAAGAAAGCACTCGATGATGTGCGTTCCACAATTATACCCATTTTGGACAACGAATTCCTTTGCCGCCCTCAAGATGAGCAAGAGGGCGTACATCTGACTGCTATTCGTAACCACTATGTTCCCGAAGTGATCCTGGCGTACAACAGTGCATTGTACTTTGCAGGACACTTCATCTCACGGGCGTGGTTGGTTGAGTGTATGGAGCTTGCACAGCGAGTTGCTGAGACTCCGACCTTGACAAGTGCTTTTGTCGAGGGAAAACGGATGCAGGAATTGGTAAGAGCATTTGCTGTCGACAGTGCAGCTCTTTTGCAAGCCACTGAGCAGAGCGGACCAAAAGCGAAGAAGATGAAAACGGACAAAGGAAACAGTGATATCTGGAAGGTCAGTTGGAAGGAGCAAGATGATTTGGATCTTGAGGCCATGGATTGAGGTGGAGGGTTCACGAAGGAGAATAGGACTTCCAACTCTTGGGGCCTCCGTGTGAATGATCATTGGTGTCTACTAGAGCAGCGTATCACTAAGCATGATGAATGGATGGAAAAGTCAACATGATGCCTGCCACTATGTGCTGGGCGTGTCGAGATGGTCCCAGCATGATGGGAGATAATGTGTAGCACAACACGCATTCATGCGAGCGTTTATGTTTGCCCTCTCTTTGTCGATTGATCAAGAAATACCTGTAAGGAGAAACCAGGACTTTTGATGGTACCAATCTCAGTTAGTCGGAGCCAGGTATTCATCGTCAGCAATGGATCATCTACCGGGGGTACCGATGTCCATCGCAGAGTATTGGCAGTTTCGTTCAGCAGACGTCTCACAGGCACGGGAGTATTACCTGGTAGGTTAATCCTGGTAGGTCAATCATACTGAGGTAGGTACCTTGGTAATCAGTCAAACGCAAGGCGCATCTCACGGCATCCTAGTGAGCCGAAGGGAAATCTGCCTCGCTGTGTGGGGGGGGGGTTGTTTGTTAAAGATTTAAGGTTACCTCGAGATTTGTATTGTACAAACTGTCCCAGCTTACGCGCCGTCGTTTCCGAATTCCGCTTTTGACTGTATTACGTGCGTACAGTATGTTTTCTATGTCTTTTAAACAACGGTCAAGGGGGTCGTCAAGGACAAGGCGGACCACAGGATTGAGTTGGTGGTGGTGGTGTGTTTTGCCGTCGTTAGTCATCCGGGGATTGGAATGGTTGATTACATGAGAGAAGGAGAATTGACGTGGTGCAGTGAGGTTTTTCGCTTGCTGACTCCAATCAGAAGGGAGAGACCCTGACCCTTTTTTTTTTCCGCGGCGCCTTGAAGTTGACATTCGTTCCGGCATTTGAAGGCCGCCCTTCTTTTATTTCTTTTTGGGGGAGGCGGGTGTTTGAAAGCAGAACCCAAGTTAGGAAAAAGTCAGGCGAGATCAAAAGCATTCGATGGGATGAACTACCTTGTTAGGTTAAGGTAGGTAGGTGGCATGTACGGGATATCCCAGGTATCTCCTAGGCTTCTACATACATTGCATACCCGACTCTCGGTGGGTGTGGATGAGGTATAGAAGGGGTATATATATCAGCATTTCATGACACCTTCCTGACTGTGATCTCACTTCTCGATCGTGACATATCGTCCATACATAACACATCATACTATCCTCCCCCCCCCGAGCCCATCCTAAGATCTTTACTGTATCCTGATCTCATCAGCTACTACTGTACAATACCACTGCTAGTCCAGGTAGTGTAATCAGATCTGCCTTGGACCTTGGAGTAGGTATCTCACCCATACCTGCGGGACCATACTAATCAGAATTAGGAACCAGCAAGGTACGAAAGAGCACGAACGACTACGAGTACGACAAGCACAGCCCTTCGCAACAGACTCCTAATCCCTCACCGCCGAAAGACGACTCGGACCAGCCAATACCACATTCCGAAAAAACACGTTACTCCATCAAGACCGACGTATAGGCTCCTCAGAACTTCGCGTTCATTTCGTCAAACAATGTCTTTTGCGGATACCACGAAACTCTATGGGCTGACGGCCTTGCCGGCGGATCAAACCAAGACTAAGCCGGCGACGACGAACCCGGAGCCGGTGGACATTTCGTCGCTGGCCATCCCACGCACGGCACTGGCGTCGCGCGTCGACAGTTACGTGAAGTCGAAGCTCGACGCCGATACGTACCGACACAGTCTCCGCGTGTATAGCTACGGCTGCGCCATCGCGAGGCAGTGTTTCCCAGACTTTGAACTACATCCTGGCTCGGCGCTGGAGGAGACGTGGTTTCTCACCGCCATGCTCCATGACATTGGAACCGCGGAGGAATTCCTCAGTTCCACAAGATTGAGCTACGAGTTTTGGGCCGGCGTCCACGCTTTGGACATTCTGCAGGACCCCAGTCTGACGACGACGACGACGACGACGACGACGGCGACGGGAGAACAGAACCAGAACGCGGGAGTAGCGCCGCGTGAACAAGCCGAGAGCGTGGCCGAGGCCATTATCCGCCATCAAGATGTTCAGGATAAAGGCAGCCTTACTTTGATGACCAGGTTGATCCATCTAGGCACGCTGCTGGACAACATTGGTGCCGGGGCCGAACTGGTGAATAGAAAAACGATCGAGAATGTGGTAAGGGAGTATCCGCGACCCGGGTGGAGGAAGTGTTTCAAGGGGACCGTCGAGAAGGAAAAGACCATCAAACCGTATGCTATGGTCACTCGTATTGAAGGTTTCGAGGCAATGATTGAGAAGAACGGTGGCAAAGACGGTATCATGGGGGTGTTTGACATGGGGGCATTTGAATGAGATACTGTACGCTATACCTGCACGGCGGAGAGAAGGGGGAAGATGACCGCTGTCTTCCCTGCTGGAGGTCATTGTAAAGAGTCCAATACCAGTGGGTTTCTCGGGTTGAAACAATAATGCTCAGTTATTTGCTTAGGAACGTTAGGAACGTGAGCTTCTGGTGGCCTTGAGATAATACTCGTACGTGCTGTACGGGAGTTGAGCGTTTGTCTTTAGTGCTGTTGGATTAGCCATCACGGGTACGGAGGACGGAGTACTTACAGTAGCTTGCTGACAATTTCTGGGCTTGGACAGGGTCATGCACTGAGGCGTAGCTGCCGGAAAAGACAAGAAAAGCCCAGTTGCCATTCATCTGCTGGCGTGTCGTGTTCTGCTGACGACAAAGTCAGGATGATGGCCGCGTGAACACATCATCCCTGAGGCAGTTCAAACAACGCCAACAAGCACCCGGGCTTTGCTCTTGGCATTGAAGTATCCTTAGATAGTGGCAAGCGAAAGTGTTAAGGAGAATCAAGGTCACGATCCACATGTTGGCTTGGTGCGGATTGACCTGAGCCCAAGACCCGTCACTCTGGCAGAGCGGATCCTGTTGGCCATGCTTGGGTTTTGTTTGTTGCTTGACCAAAAGCCAATTATGAGGAGATGAGACAGATGGAAGGAGAGGGCGCAAAGTGTCAGAGGACTCCGTAGCCAGCCTGCAATATCTCCTCGTAAAACGGTTGTGATAGAGCATAGCAACTAAATTGGTATCAAGAGGGATACCTAGGTATCCCAGTTTGAGGGAGAGGACTTTGAAGCGGAGCGGGTACGAGTATGATTTCGACCCTTGATAGTTGGGACCTCGTTTGAAGATGATTCTATGGAAGGATCAAATCCTACCTTGTTCCGACGCTGGTTGGGGTATCGCTGTCCGCTTTGAATTCAATGTCCGAGAGTGATGGTCCATGGAGCGTCCGCTTGAGACAACCGTGGACACCGGACAGGGAAGAATGAACAAACGGCCTGACGGTTTTTCAAACTAGACTGTGGCAGTGCAGCGCCCTGACTGGCGCCGATTGGATATGGCGAGAGAATCTCGCTGCAGACAAACGAGAAGCGGGGCGAAAGATGAGGGTTTAATGCCTCTCTAGACTCGATCTAGATAACGCAAAGACGGGCGCGGTACAGCTGACCTGGAGTGTTCGGTGTCAGCACTGAGGAATGAGGTTTTGATGACGGCGACTGCTCAGCAATGTTGATGACGCCGGAGTGCGATTGTTGTTGTGATGGGAAATTATCCATTTCGCCGTAGTCTAACTATTTCTCATCTTGGACAAAGCGCAGCCTAGTGAGCCAGATCAGGGGATTTGAGCTCCGGGGGGGGCGATCCAGCGAGGCTAGAGCTGTTTCTGGCTTGGTAGGTGGGCATGACAGTTGGACTATAGACATGCTTTTGGCCGGGTTGGCAGGGTCCATACCAGGCCCTAGACGCCTGTAAACGCCTGTAAGACCCCCACAGGCCGCCCCCGGGAGAGGCACCATTGGCTACCGGAGCGCCTAGAAGGCACCGAAACTCTAGCGGCTAGTGTTGTGACTGCGGCCTGGGCTTAACATGCCATGCCACTAGCACTCCATCTTGATTTCCTTGGTGACCGCCAGCCAGTTGTTACTGATCCCTTCTGCCAGACCACCTCAGGTTCTAGGCCGGCATAATGGACGATGAGTACATACCGCACTCGTTCTTCACTTCAACGTAGCAGTCCCATGCACCAGAACGGCCTGAAGAGTGCCTTGTCATACCTACTCTCCTTCAACAAAACATCCCTCGGAGTCACCTTCCCCTTGAGCGGTCGGGCTCACTATCCGCACGCTCCTTTGTATTGTTGTCATCGCCCCGTAACGACATTCTTCACCCACCAGTATTTACCAACACCACCTCCGGACTCCCTGTTTTGCCACAAGGCACACAGCCACTCTCATATGTAATTGTCAAACCGGCGAACAGCTCGAATCAAACTCAAACGAATCGTACGCACGGCTGCCTCTTGCTCCTCGGAGCCGTATCCTGCACACCACCACCTACCTACCTGTACGCCCCCTTGGTCCGGTTTCCTGGTTGTACCTCAACATTTTTCTGACAGTCGCTTTGTCGCCAGCTGTGTTCAGTGGACTCGCCGATGAACCCAGAGATCAACTCCTCGTCATACATGTGCCCAAGACAAATACCCTTAGTCGCTCCCTGCTCGCTCCCCGCCTTTCGGTGCCTGTCTGCCGCGGCGGGATACTTCAAGGAGTTGTAAGAGATTGGACCAGCTATACATACGGACTATCGAGGCCAGGTACTTCTGTTGAAGACCTGCCATGTCTTCCACCCCAGATGGGCAAGAACCCGAACCAGAGTCGCCCATACCATTGCGACAACAACGGCAGAGGGCACCGACGATAAGCATTGACGACTCGGCCGTCAACACCTCCGCGGAGGAACCTCCAAGTGCCTCCTCCGACAAGCCTGGTCCTTTGCCTCGAATACAAACGAAAAACCTCGAAAATGCACCCGTCCTTGCATCTCCTCTCTCCACGTCTCCTACCGATCTTCGCCTGTCGACAGATACACGAGAGTCCCGGCCGACATCTCCTCACAATGTATCCTCCCCGAGAGCACATTTATTCGATACAGGCTCCACCCAGAATTTCCTGTCAGTTCCTGGCTTTAGGAACAGAGCGCCCTCGGTGGAATCGGATGCAGTCTCGCCGACTTCAGAATTTGGCGGAGACACCCAGATAGCGTCGAGTACATCGGGCCTGGACGATTTAAGGAAGAACTCTTTCAGCAATAATGACGATATTATAAATGACCAAGATGCTCTCAAGCCAGATCCGGGGCAAGAAGCGGACTTTGAAGTAGATGACAACAAGTTTGCCTTCACGCCAGGTCAGCTAAACAAAATGATCAACCCCAAGAGCCTGGCAGCCTTCCACGCTCTTGGTGGTCTTGCAGGTTTAGAAAAGGGTCTCCGGACAAATCGAAGAAGCGGCCTCAGTGTCGACGAGCTTGGCTTGGATGGCTCGGTCAGTTTTTCCGACGCTGTCCAAGCAGCAAACGAGCAGGAGGAACATTATGGCACCATCAAAAGATCTACGACAAGCCATTCGATGAGTGCTGCTGCGAAGCCGACGGAGAATTCATTCTCTGACCGCAAGCGCATATTCAAAGACAACCGATTACCGGAGAAGAAAGCGAAGACCTTCTGGCAACTTGCGTGGATAGCTTACAACGACAAGGTGCTGATACTACTTTCCGTTGCTGCTGTCATATCTCTTGCTCTGGGCATCTATCAAACCGTCAGACCAGCCAAGTCTGAAGAACATGAAGCCCGAGTTGAATGGGTAGAGGGTGTGGCCATCATGGTAGCTATCTTTGTTGTCACATTTGTGGGAGCCCTCAACGATTACCAAAAGGAGCGCCAATTTATCAAACTTAATCGTAAAAAGGAAGAGAGGCTGGTCAAGGTTGTTCGTTCCGGGAAGTCTCAAGAGATATCGGTTTACGATGTTCTGGTCGGCGATGTGATGCACCTCGAGCCAGGTGATTTGATCCCGGTTGATGGTGTTTTCATTGAGGGACATAATGTGAAATGCGATGAGTCGTCTGCCACTGGCGAGTCTGATATCATTCGGAAGACGCCAGCTGATGAAGTATATCATGCTATTGAGAATCACCAGCCACTCAAGAAGATGGATCCATTCATTCTCTCTGGAGGCAAGGTTTCCGAAGGTGTTGGAACGTTTCTCGTTACATCTGTCGGTGTCAATTCGAGCTATGGAAAAACCTTGATGTCTCTGCAAGACGAAACGCAAGCTACACCCCTGCAGTCGAAACTAAACGTCCTGGCTGAGTATATTGCCAAACTTGGTCTCGCGGCTGGCTTACTGCTCTTTGTGGTTCTCTTCATCAAGTTCTTGGTCGAGCTCAAAAACATCAATGGAGGCGCTCAGGAAAAGGGGCAGAGATTTCTCCAAATCTTCATTGTTGCGGTAACAATTATTGTTGTTGCTGTGCCTGAGGGCCTACCTCTGGCCGTCACTCTGGCTCTCGCCTTTGCAACGACTCGAATGCTCAAAGACAACAACTTGGTACGACTTCTACGCGCCTGTGAAACGATGGGCAATGCAACCACTGTCTGCTCAGACAAGACTGGCACATTGACCCAAAACAAGATGTCTATGGTGGCCGGCACACTTTCCACTGCCTCGAGGTTTGGCGACAAACCACAACTGGTCAGTCCCAAGGCTGACGTGAACAATTCCAAAAGCGCATCGCCTGATGCTGGTGCAGGTGATGTGTCTGCCGCTGAATTTATCGCGACCCTCTCATCTGATACCAAAGACCTTCTCAAGGACTCGGTCGTCTTGAATTCAACAGCGTTCGAGGGAGAAGAAGCCGGCAAGAAAGTGTTCATTGGGTCCAAGACTGAGACGGCTCTACTCTCCTTTGTGGCAGACTATCTGGGCGTTGATTCTTTGAGCGAAGAAAGATCTAACGCAGACATTGTCCAGATGGTGCCGTTCGACTCTGGCAGGAAATGCATGGCCGTTGTGATCAGGATGGCCAATGGGAGATTTCGATTGATGGTAAAGGGAGCGTCAGAGATCTTGATAGGTAAATGTTCAAGAATCGTCAGCGATCCAACAAAAAGCATTGCCGATGCTCCGATCACTCCGGACCAGATCGAGACCCTCAATGGCATTGTTTCCAACTATGCCTCTAGGTCATTGCGCACCATTGCCCTCTTGTTCCGAGATTTCGCGGAATGGCCACCACGCGGTGCAGTCTCCACCGACGACAAGAAACAAGCTGATTTCGACAAGGTCTTCAAGGACATGACTTTCTTTGGCGTTGTGGGCATTCAGGATCCGTTGCGGCCCGGAGTAGAGAAAGCTGTGCACGACTGCCAGGTTGCCGGCGTATTTGTTCGCATGGTTACTGGTGACAACATCATGACTGCGAAGGCCATAGCTACCGAATGTGGTATCTTCACGCCTGGTGGCATCGCGATGGAAGGGCCAGTCTTCAGGAAATTAAGCTCTAAACAGCTTACCCAAGTCATTCCACGCTTACAGGTGCTTGCACGTTCTAGCCCCGAGGATAAGAAGCTCCTTGTCAGCCATCTGAAGAAGCTTGGTGAGACCGTCGCAGTCACTGGTGACGGCACCAACGACGCGCCAGCCCTGAAAACTGCAGATGTTGGATTTTCGATGGGTATTGCGGGGACTGAGGTCGCCAAAGAGGCATCAGCTATTATTTTGATGGATGATAACTTTGCTTCTATCGTCAAGGCTATTTCTTGGGGCAGAACTGTCAACGATGCCGTCAAGAAGTTTTTACAGGTATGTTTGTTTGCCCTGTGTGCCCGTACGATCTAATGAGTTTCACAGTTCCAAGTCACTGTCAATATCACAGCAGTCTTGCTCACATTCATCTCTGCTGTGGCTAATGACGACGAAAATTCTGTCTTGACGGCTGTGCAACTGCTCTGGGTCAACTTGATCATGGATACGTTTGCCGCCCTTGCCTTGGCCACCGATCCTCCCACGCACTCCATTCTTCGACGCCGACCAGAACCGAAATCAGCTCCGCTGATCACCATTACAATGTGGAAGATGATAATCGGACAATCCATATATCAGCTTGTGGTCACTCTAATCTTGTACTTTGCTGGTGAAAGTATACTGTCGTATCAGACACAAGGTGAGAAGGATCGACTTCAGAGCACGATTTTCAATACCTTCGTATGGATGCAGATTTTCAACCAGTACAACTCGCGTCGGTTGGACAACAATTTCAATATTTTCGAGGGAGTCCTGAAAAACTGGTGGTTTATGGGCATTCAAGTCATTATCATTGGCGGACAATGCCTCATCATGTTCGTTGGTGGGCAGGCATTTTCCATTCACCGCATCAATGGTGCACAATGGGGTTACTCAATTGTGCTAGGTGCCCTGTCCATGCCCATTGCGGTCATCATCAGGTTACTCCCGGATGAAATCTTTGCCAAGCTGATTCCCAGCATTCGGTTTGGCAAGAAACACGGGCCCGAGTTTACCCTGGAAGATGACGAACAGCTTCGTCACTGGAATCCTGCCTTGGAAGAGATTCGAGAAGAGCTCACATTCCTCAAGAAGCTTCGAGGAGGAAGAATGTCCGAGTTGGCGTATAAATTGCAACATCCCCGAGACACCTTCTTGCCGCGATCGCGAAGTCCATCTCGGTCACGCTCCAATAGCGATCTGCCTCAGACACCGGAGGGAGAGGCGGGATCGCCGGAGCTATCTTCTGCTTCGCCCGCAACCCCTGAGAAATACAGGAGACGAGCAAGATCAAGCTCGAATTCTGTTTTTGGTCCTGCCGCTGCGATGGCAGGTATTGTCGCCGGTAGCGTGGCCGGCGGATGGTCTCCAGTCGAACGTCGCAATCTAGAGCCCGAAACCATTCATTTCCAGCGAGCACGATCTCATTCTGGCGTGGAAGGAACGCTTGGTATGGAGATTCATCCAGCTACGTCACAAGATGATCCAGTCTTCGCCGAGAGAATCCCCAAGAATGGCATACCTCCCAGCCAAATTCCCAGTTTGGCACCGCACTTCGACCATGCACCACCACATAGCCCTCCAACTCGCACGAAAAGCTCACACTCACGGTCGACCTCATCGACGTCTCATGTGTGAAGACTACAACATTGAAGATATTTTTTTTGGATTTAAATGGCCTGCACGAGTATGAGTGGCGACCGGTGCTTGTATACGTGAGTATGCGTAGCCACGCACAACGTGTAGCACGAAGCGTCATGATGCTCATGGCCAAGAAAACTAAGCAAGTCGAATGCTGAACCGACGATGACTACGGGTCGTCATTGATATCTGGGCTCTCCTGCGAAAGGGCGTAGCACAGATACGAGGCATGGCAGCCTTGCTTAACCACATTTTTGAGGCGGGATCCGGAAATCGGTGTACAGATTAGAAAGGACAAAAAGCAGGAGGAAAGGGTAGCTTCTTAACATAGCAATGCACACTTGATCAGATGTGCTCAAAATTGACGGAGCACGGGGCACACGTTTGTTCTTTAGTCCCTACGGAATAGGCGTCTTTGCTTGATTGAGGAACGTCCCACGCTGAGTCATGGTACTGGATTTATCAACAGGCGGTCGTGTGGTGAGAGAACTCGATGCGACGACGGACAATACTCGCAGTCAATAAAAAGGTGGTATTCCGTATACCCTGTCAATATCCGTACGCGCTTAAGGCTGATGAGCCGAGGCCCAAATTCCGTCAATCTGCATTGCCTCGACTCGGCCCTGAATCTTCACGAATCACCACCAATCGCCCTTGATTAATTGATTCCATCTCTCGCCAACGGCCCGATTTTTTTTCCCTTAGGCAACTCTAACTAGGATTGTCCCTTGCCCGACCGCTTTCCGATTGTCGGTGCACGTCACATCGTACCTGAGCGGTCACTCCTGCTCTGCTCTTCTATCCGGTGCCGCCGTGCGCCCGCAATCTTCGACCATGGCACCAGCGCGGTCGATAAATACCCTGTTGTCCTGTTCGCTTTCTCTTCAGAGATCGAGCGTACACTCTTCGACACCCTCATTACACCCCTCGTGCCGTTCGCTATTCCTCCAATTCTCGTGCTCAACTAGACCTAGCAGACCTCTGTCGGTAACACAAGCCAGTGCAACTAGGAGGGTATCTCAACGGTGGACCAACACACAGGTTGCCCTGCGAAGGTCACAGTCTACTGGTGAATGAGGCTGCAGCTTTCGTGCCGTCCAGTCAGCTAACCAGGGTATAGTGGTTGTTCATCATAAAGGACGCGCCCGTTTCCGCCGGTCAATCAGTTTCCTAACTATCAGCACTCTCTCGTTTGTTGTTGGTACATACCTTGCTCTCAGCTACGCCCCCCCGATCCTCGTTCCACTCATCATGGGTTCCATGCCCTCCGACTCCGAGACGCTCTCTATCTACGAGCCACCCGATGACTTCTCCCGGGAAATTGACGAACACATCAAAAACTGCGCTTTAGCAGTGGAATTAAGACAAAACCCGGACTTTATCGAGTCAAGACCGCACCTCAAGATCCCCGCAGAAGTTCGACAGCATAACCTCACAGCGGGCACCTTGGCGGGCCCCGGCATGATCGTTGTCCCGCCGTACTATTTCAACGAGAGGGATGGGAAGAGCATGGTTCAGATATTTTACGTTGGTCCCGACTGCTCAGGACATCCGGGGATTGTGCACGGTGGCTTCCTGGCCACCATGCTGGACGAGGGACTGGCAAGATGCGCATTCCCTGCGATGCCCAACAAAGTCGGCGTGACTGCGAACCTCCAGATAAATTATCTCAAACCCACGATGGCGGGGCAGTTCCTGGTTTTGAGAGCGACGACGACCAAAACCGAGGGCAGGAAGGCATGGGCCGAGGGCTGGATCGAGAGTCTGGAGGTTGCAGAGGGCGAGGAGCCACAGAAACTCGTGGAGGCGAGTGCTCTATTTATTGAGCCAAAGTATGCCAACGTAAGTGTTGTATTCACGATCGATCATATTAAACTGCGGCTAACGTTTGGCGTACAACAGGTCTTGAAATCGCTTTACCGAGTTTCAGATTAGTTGCTTCAGCGGCTTGATGGCTATTGTAGGAGTTGTCTGGGTGGCAGGCATGATTTATCTGCCGAGCCTGTGGGTTTGATGAATGAAAAGGCACATGGTGGAGTCTTGTCATCGACTTCAACGTACAAGGAACAAGTACTGGATAGAGCTGATGAAGAGTTGTATGGTCTGGGGCTTGGACTTAAAGCATGTATATGCGTGCACATGATCTGGTGTTATCAGGAGACATAAATTTCGATATACTTGGGCTCTCATGAATAGAACATCATAGAATGGATACACTGGAACTGGCTCTAGTTAGGTGCAGTCACCAAGCAGTGCAACCTCCGACTCCTTTCGCGGACTAGGGGGGATAAGGATGACCCAGAGCATGTTGGGAACTGCCTGGAAGACAAGACACGGATTGGAAGCCAGACTACTTTGTATCAAAGTGTTAGATTATTGAACAGAGCGAAAGGCTGCCACGAAAAAGGAGGCGTTGGGAAGGGGAGGGGTTAACCAGATCCGCAGTCTTTTGGGGAAAGGATTAATCAAGACAAAAAGCAATGCTGCTTTAATAGGCTTGGCCTACGCAGCTGCAGTGGACACGCTGCGTATCAGGTCGATAGATAGCTCTTGCTGGGATAACGACGAAGCGAGCAACCAGCCTGCGGCGATCGAGGCTCTGCGAATCGTTATACCGTGCTTTGCATAACGATTCCTGAGCCTTTTCCTATTCCTCCCACGCCTCCATCATGTCGACCAAGTACCTGGCTGTGTCAGTACCGTCGTCAATAACCCCCTCGGGACACAAGGACGATGCGATCGGCGCCATACAAAAGGTCGTAGGACCTGGGAACGGCGATGTCACCAGTTTCCATATCCCAGATTTCAAGATTGGCACGCTAGACGCATTATTACAGCAATCGGAGGAACTGAGCAAGCTAGAGGGGCTGTGCAATTCGGTGGTGGGCAAGGTCGGAGATACTCTGAAGAACGTCCTGGACGGAGACGAAGAGAAGATTGCTGTGCACAAGAATGTCAATGACAGTATGTCGTGTGCTGTGGAGGGTTGTTGCTGTTGTACCATGCTGACCGGCGATCCAGAACCCCTCGAACAGTACCTGCGGAGTTTCTCGTGGAACAAGGTCAAGTATCGAGCGGACCGACCCTTGTCGGAATTGATCGATCTGTTGCAGAAGGTACGTAGGCCGTTGTGATTTTTCTGTCTGAATACGCACCCTGACTTCCTTGGACAGGAAGCAAATTCAATCGACAATGACGTCCGATCGAAATACAACCAGTACACTGCCGTGCGGACGAATCTACAGACGCTTCAACGGAAGCAGATTGGGAACCTCTCCACCAAGTCCCTTGTCAGCGTTGTCCCTCCCAATGTTCTTGTTACCGACTCCGAACACCTCGAAACCCACCTGGTGGCGATTCCGAACTCGAACGTGAAAGAGTTCATGCGATCCTACGAAACTCTGGCTCCTATGGTTGTCCCCCGGTCGGCGTATTTTGTCGCTTCCGACGACGAGTTCACTCTGTATGCGGTCACGATGTTTAGAAAATACAGCCATGAATTTGTGCACAAAGTAAGAGAGAAGAAATGGGTCCCGAGAGATTACAAGTTCAAGGAAGGCGGCAAGGAGGAGGAACAGAAGGAGGTTCAACGCGTAGAGGCGGAAGAGAAAAGAGTCTGGGGCGAGACATTACGGCTAGGCCGCACTGGTTGGAGCGAAGGCGTAATGTGTCTAGTCCATGTGGTTGTGCTGAGGGTGTTTGTCGAGACGGTGCTCAGATACGGACTGCCGCTGGATTATGTGGCTGTTCTGATAAAGGTATGCTTTTCAACCTGACCACAGACGTGACTTGGACTATGAATACTGACGTGTGTGTGAATCTAGACCGACTCGAAGCGGGAGAAAAAGGCCAAACAGAACCTCGACACCGAATACTCCTACCTAGCAGGCAATGCTTTTGGACGGGATAGCAAAGGTCGGCCGCAGAAGGACGAGGGAATGTCAGGCGTGGAGCTTGCAACTGGTGGAGATCAAGGCGAATATTCTGCTTATGTTTATTACGTTATTGATGTCGATTGAGCGGGACAGAAGGCACCTGGAATAGACGACGTTTTCGGAATTGCTCTTGCTGTGTGATAAGGACTAGTTTTAATGTGAACGAAGTTGCAATTCCTGAACTATCCAAAGGTGATAGCGTATGTGATGTGCTGTCTGTAGTCGGGAATTCTGTGATATGGATTCGACGGCGTGGGCTATCAGGGGATTAGGTGATGAGAATATACCATGCATGCCCTTGTGTCTTTGTGATGATTGAGAGGACGAGGAACAGGAACTGTCTGGTGATTGATTGCTTTCACACGTTTTCGATTCAGTGTACCTGTAAGGAAAGGTATCTTGGATCCAGGATGTCTTTATAATCTCTCATTTACTTGTTCGAATGTGCCATCTCACCGGGCTAATTAGAAGAAGAAGTCCTGCGTGTCGTCGAGGCGTGAGTTGCACGTGTATATGTATGTTATGTATCATACGTATGCCCGGTGACTTTTTCAGAATGCGCACGTCGTGGTGGTGGTTACAGAGGAGGGATACAGAGGAGTGATATCCGTACGGAGAAAAAGTTGATTTTGGTTCCAATGGAGGTAATTTGGCGGCGACAATCCGCGTGGCCTTTGACAATCGTTCTGAAGCATTGCCTTGCCCGCTTTGCTTACATATAGATAGGTACATATCAACAACATCAGCTGTGATCATCGAGAGAGAACTCGTAGGATATTTCTGCAAGCGTTCTCAGGGGCTGTCAGACTACTGCATACCTTCAGGTTGGTAGGTACTAACCAGCGATGTTGAAGCGTTGCTCCCTTGGCACGCGTCTTTATATGATACATACAGGTACCTAAAGCTTTGGAACGGAAAATATAACATGGCCCAACCCCAGCACGAGCTGATCAGCCTACTCAGGTCGGCGCTCACTCTTGCTCGTCCTCCTCAGCCGTCCTCGGTCCCGTTTCTTGCAAGTCCTCGTGGTTTTTTTTGGCCGGCACAGTACCCAGTCTACGTCCAAGTCACTTCCTCGACCCCCTTGGCTAGGTCTTGGACGCCTCGGACGCTACCCAAACACCCAAACCTCGTATCAAACTTCAAATCTTCTCAGACCATGCCAACTCGGCTTCCCGTCCATGTCGTCGAGCCCGCTGCCACTCATACCCACACGGCCATCTTCCTCCATGGCCGAGGGGACAACGGATCAGATTTCGCCGAAGAACTCTTCGCATCTGGCATCTCGGACGGGACAGGAGTCGTAGCCAGCGAGACCCAGACGCCAGCTCCGGCTCAGGCTCCCACTACAACTCTACGAACGCGGTTTCCTTTATGGCGCTGGGTGTTTCCATCGGCGCCCAACCGCTGGAGTACGGCCTTCCAGTAAGAGTTCCCCGCGTGGTTCGAGGCACATTCGCTATCGGACATCGCACCACGGGAAGATGTCCAGGTAGAAGGGATCCGAGAATCCGTGGCGGAGATTGTCGCGATCTTGGACGACGAAGTGCGCAGGTTAGGGGGAGCCGCGCAGAATGTCGTTCTCGGTGGTATCAGTCAAGGCGCGGCGGTGGGATTGTGGGCATTACTTGGCCTCCTCGCCCCGGGGCAACCTGGAGCTGAGCTAATTCCCAGGCTGGGGGCCTTTGTGGGAGTAAGTTGCTGGCTTCCATTTGTTTCTGCCGCGGGAAAATATTTGCCTGGAGTCGGAGTCGACGAACCCTCCAAAGAAGGTTCTATACCCGGGTCGAACGTCGCGGATAGTACAACTACAGACAGCATTACGGATATTACTATTACGTACAATGGCTGCTCTCAGGACTTTGTAAGGTCGATGCTGAAAGGGGCAAGGATATTATCATCCATCGCATCTCACGGTATCAGAGACCATCCTTTCCTAACGACGCCCGTATTTTTGGGACACGGTACCGATGACGCCTACGTCGACGTGAGTCTCGGCCGTCAGACGAAGGAGGTCTTGAGCGGTATGGGGTTTCAGGTGACGTGGAAAGAATACGTCGGCGCGGAGCAGGAAGGGCATTGGTACAAGGAACCCGAAGAGCTGGACGACATTGCACGGTTTCTTTCAGCCATGGCTACTGCGTAGACAATTCGTGGTGGACCGAGGTACCTGATGGAGGAGAATATCTTTTCAACGGGGTCTTGAGCTGAACCTCGTCGTCAGAAGGTGACGAGGGACTTTTGGACTTGGATCACGCATATTCCCAGCAGCAGTAACTAGGTAGTGATAGGAGCCCCCTGTAGGCTGTAGTAGATAGAATCAACAACAGCTCGAAGATTCTCGACGCACAACAACGGTAGGAAGACTCAGTCCCAATTGCGCCGAGATTAAACAAAGATTTCCCGTTCACCACTCAACCTCATCCATGCCACCGGCTCAGAAGGAGGTCAAGTGAAAACTTGCAGCGCCGCCTCCCATTGGCACTTGTTGGTAGATGGCCACACCAGTCCGAAATGTTTGTTCTCTTTTGTGTCCGATAGAGCTAATCAGAGTAGGGTATAAGGAGAGCCCGAGCACCAATGTCGATGTCGATGTCGTTGTTATGGGAAACATGTAGGTAACGCACGGGGCCTTTTGAGTTGAGTTGACTAGATATATAACTAGCCAAAATGCCTTGTCCTTTCTTGTCTTGACGTGCTCTGCCCTGCCTTGCCGTCGTACAATACGCTCAGGTAAGTCCAATTTGTCAAATCCGGATAGACAGACAGACTGACGGACAGACCTGACCTTAGGAAGAAAGGGTTACCTATGTGCACGAGGTATGTATGTAGGTGGTGGAGAGAGATAGACATTGTCGATCAGTTTCGTTCTCGGTTCGATCCACTCAATCTAACCATGGCCATTTATTCCATTACTCTCTCTCTCCCTCCTCCCGATTCATTCATTCGTAGGTCGAACAAATGATAGAGCGTGGCTGCGAACAAGGTTGTTGACATCCGTAGCAAGCACGGTACGCTCGAATTGTCACATGTTGAAACGCTTCTCAAAGGCTGGGTCGAAAAGGGTTCTGGAACATCGACTTGGCATTTGTGATTGCGGAATGAGACTGTGAAGCGAGAGCGTGCCGATTAGTGCGCTGTTGTACTAGGAAACTTGATCTGAATGTCCTCGCGGAAGAGAGCTCTCACACTTGATGGGTGCCAAAGGAGTTGTTCGCACAGACTCAGTAGAGGTGGCGTATTGTTTGCTCACATTCATGCTAGTGCCCATGTGGCGGAAACGTGGTGAGTTGGATCTGGATTTAGAATTAACTTTGGATTTGGTCGGCGTAGGCGTCGCTTCGGTTTGGTCAATGAATAAGGAAAAGTCCGAAACTCAACTCGGGCCAACGTTGTCCGCGGTTGATGCGCCCTGCGCCTGGCGTTGACCGTCGTAGAGGCCTGAATAGTAGCCTGCCCAGTAGTATGCCATTTTGATATTTTCGAGCGTTTGATCTACAAGTGGACCTGGAAGTTAGACATCCAATAGTTAGCAAAAGCAGAAAAAAAAAGAAAAGGAAAAACCTTGGTTCAGAACTGGGTGAATGAGAAAAGTAGTGGTTAGACAGAGAGAGGTAGATCCTCTGGAGGTATGCTGTTCAACAGTACATACCTTGTTGGTCGCTTGTGGTTGGCAAGCTGGGCCCAATTGTCGGCAGAGAAGTATGTCCAGAAGTATTCTCATCTTGGCCTTGTTGCGGAGGTTCTACGGATGGGGTCGTGGTTGAAGTAATTGCCGCTGTCGCGGGCTGTTGACTTGATGATTGACTTTGGTTATCGGAGCCGTGTATTTGAACTGTTTCAGCATGGACTAGTCAGCTCAGCCAAGTATCACGACTTATTGCTTGCTGTGCTCGCTCCACTTCATTCTTACCTTTTTGGCTCAATGCTGCTTTTGCCGCCATGAGCTCCGAATCCTCTACTTCTCCATCTTCGATCTCGTCGTCGTCGTAATCATCACCATCATCGTCATCCGCGGGAACGGAGCTGTTTTGTGCCGTTACAGGCTTCTGATTGACGTCGTGCCACTCGCCGGACACATCAGCGCCAGCACCAGAAGCGTCATCAACATTGTCGTCGTCGAGTTCACCATTTTCCGCTCGGCGTAGAATCTCCTCGACATCTTCCCCTCGGGCGTGAATACTGTGGTAGTACTGGTGGGATATATTTGTCAGTGGACGGAATCTTGGAACATGGCTGATATTGAAGGCCAAGTGAGAGAATCAGATTGCACATGCCCACTGGGAGAAATATTGACATAGGCCGTGAACAGTAATCCTCATCTCGTAAACATACCTCATATTCCGCGACGGCGTCGTTCCAAGACCTAATGAGTGCCGAATCGTCCCAGATTTCAGCCTGGCTTAGATCACCGCCGGACTGTTTGGAGCTGTGGTGGTTCGTCTTGGCTTTCTTGGATCTGCGAGGCATTGTCAAAGATTAAAAGCGATGCTGAGACCAATGAACATAAACTTCAATGCACTAAAGGGTCGCGGCTCGTACTTCATCATATGGTACGCTGCACTCGCAGTGAAATCCTCGTCGAGCAATGAAGTCGAGAACGTGTCGTAGATGAAGCAATGCTCCACCGAAGGAAATATACTCCTCCGTAATTTGAGGATTGACTTCATTCGTACTGAAAAAGTCAACACAAACGTCGAGACTAGTTAACAAAAGACGGTTGCCATTCCAGTGATACAACAAATTTCCGGTATGAAAAGGTCAAATCTTGCGCTAAGATGTTACAAATCTCCAGGTCGTGTTCATTTTCGTTGCATCTGTTCTACAAAGTCTGCGTGATAACTACCATTTCGTCCCCATTTTGATTAGCAACTCCTGAAATTGTCCCAGACCCAAAAGATTATCAAAACTCCCCATGAAGAACACGAGGATGCCACGTAAATCTCTCAATCGAGAACCATTCACCGCTAAAGGATCGCCATATCATCATATCAACTGAAGACGACCCTCACGCCTTTAGTCTCCGCTCCTCGCATGGTCCACATACTGCTTTCTCCTCGATTTTACGTGTGATACCCTTCCTTCTCTCCTTGTCCGTAGGCTCGACATCGACATCGCGCACGAAAAAGCGACCTTCATCACCAAAACCACCCCCACATTCGAAGCAGACGAAGCAAGTCTCGTGATATTTCCCCCCAAGGGCTTCAACAGTCAACTCATCTAAGATTTGTTGCTTACATCTTCTGCATCGTGCGGAGGTGCGTTTAGTGTGGCAGGAGACGCAATATGCGTAGTTGTCACGCTCTACAAATGGCGTAGAGCTGTCAAAGGGATCGCCACATTCAGCGCAAAAGAAATGGCCAACGTGCCACTCTGCTCCAGCCGCCACGATGACCTCGCCTTCAATGGGTGTCTTACAAGAGCGACAACGGGGTGAGAAGAACTCGTGAAAGTCGAGGTGGCAGTAGAAGCGTAATGGGTCATTGGAGGCTTCGGGGGAAGTAGCTTCAATCCCCATACTTTCTAGCCTATCAAGGCGCTTCTCATCGGGTTCTGGATAAAAGGAGACGCACTCAAGCGGCGTAGCGCAATGGTAGCATGTAAAGCACTCTGGGTGGAATCGGGCTTTGACGCTGCTCGAGCTGGATCCAGCCGCAGTCACAATGCGTCCAGAAATAGGCAAGGCACAGCTCGAGCAGGATACAGTTGGCATGGGGTGACGATGAAGCCACGGAAGCCGAGAGGACGGTGCCTTCTGAAGGGAAGAAGCGGTCGTAGGAGTGGTTGCAGCATGCTTTGGTAGGGGACGAGCATGCTGCTTGATCTCACCAGGTAAGTTGATGGTTGGAAAGGACGACGAATTGGTGCCCTCTTCACCGATGTTGATACTTGGCACTGGGTTGTTCTGTTCTGGAAGATTGATCGTCGGTACTCCAGGAGCACAGACATTGATCAATGGTACTGGTGGGTCGTCTGGAAGGTTTATCCTTGGGACAGCTGGGGCAGACACAGTGACTTCGGGCATCACCTGGCCTGGTGTTGGTAACGGCCTCTCACTGGATTTCTGTGGTGTTGGACGTTCGGTGAGCTTGATGATTGGTCTTTCAACATCTTGACTTGCTCTAGGAGAATCGTTTGAAGGTTTCCATGAAGGATCAAAACTGACGATAGGACGTCCGACATGATCACTCACGGCAACCGGCGTTGGCAGATTGGGACTTCGATCCTTTCTCTTCATACTCGTCGCGGCTCGAATGTCTTCACCCCTGATCTCAAGAGTACTTGTGGACGACTTAGGTGTCTCAACCTCTTCAATCGTATCAATAGCTGCATGTCGTGGAGGTGTGTTGGCTGTGTATTGTGCATCCCTCGATCGAGTTGGGGGGTTCTTGTGGATTTCCACTCGATTGATTCTGTTATTGTCAGCCATTGGCGCGGGATCTGGTTTGTTCATTCCTCTCTTCTTGAGCCAGGGAAGAGTATTGGTAGACTTGATCCTCAATGGCAGGCCAGTACTCGGGGTTTTGATAGGTTTCTCGGAGCGATCCTCTTGCTGCTCCGGTTCTTCATATATTTGTGACTCTGGGTTGGGAAAGGAGACTTTCCGTGTGCCACTAGCCTTGCGTTGACCGCTACTTCGCCTATTGCCATTCACCTTCAAGTCGGGATTGCGATACGCAGCTGTCTTCTCCACTTCTGCAGCATGAGGGTTCTGATGCTTCCACACCAGATCTGCTGCTTCGTCCTGAGCTGCCTGATAGATTCTGTTTTCGTCGTCTTTGTGGTCGATCAGTTGCAACGCCTCTCGTAGGTTATGAGCTTCCTGTTTCTCCAATCTTCGACTGACCGACTCGAGGTAAACGCCATCTTCTGTGAGTTGTGGAACTTGTACTATAGCCGTGGGAGACACTTTTCTTCCTCGTAGAATTGGGCGGTCATTGGCAGGTGGCTGGGCTAATGGCCGACCTTTGAGTAACGAAGCAGCGGAAGAGATGGAGCTTGAGTTGGGAATTGGCGGAGATTGTATAGTATAGGGTTCAGATTCATCTGGCTGGGCTTTACTCTGGACAGAGTTGACGGTGGGCAAAGAGTCCGAACGCGTCAAACTTGATTCAGAGGAGACGGTCTGGGTCCGGGGAGTGAAGGGAGGAGGACGTGACCCGGTAGGTCTGGCAGGACGATAGCTTCGCAAGCTCTCGAGGTAAGTCGCTGAGAAGGTGTGTGAGTACTTAGAGTTGAAAGGGGGATCTCGGGGAGGCATGGCCGGTAGAAGAGGCCTGAGTGATAGACAGATTGTGGAAGGAATACCACGTACACTTTTGCTCAGCCGTCATACATGTTGGTTGAGGTGGCGATACTTTTCTGCCGCCTAAACTATTTCTCTTGTGAAACATGGTGAATATTGGGTTTTCAAAAGCAGGCAGTGATCAATCACTGCATATGAAGGAGGATGTTGTGCATATATGACAGGTAACACGGGCGGTCTCCGGCTGGTTTACAATCTCAATGTGAAGCTATTGAACAGGATATGATGAAGATGGGCACAGGAAGGGAGACAGATACAAAACATTACGAAGGTCAATCAGCACGGCGACAATCAGGACACCAACTGGCAGCCAACCCTGGAGTGAATGGTACTGCGGTGAATCACTGGACGGTCGTCGTGGTCGCAGCTCATTTGCAGCAACTTCTGGAACTTTTTTGTTTGGGCGGTGACGGTTGCGAGGCCAACAAGGCACTAAGGTTAAGGTTAAACGCGGGTGCGGAAAACTAGTGGACGAGGGGTGATTAGGCGATGGCACCAAGGCCTGATTCGGCTAGTCATGTCCCTAGAGCGTCTCTAGATCGTCCGGCGGCTGCCTATGACTTCCATCTAGAGACTCAATAGTAGCCCCTTATCGCAGCCATCACATTTATATTCGCACCTGTATACTCCGTACTGACAAGGGAATTAGCTTGTATGTACTAGGTACGGCATATCTTTGATCCCCTCACTGGAGAGCACAAGGGAGGCCACGAATTCTAATCCATGATGGGGGCTGCCAAGCACGAAACTACGGAACTCACAAAGTATTGTTTCGACACCAAAAAAATGTGCTCTGTCGCTTGTCATTTACCGATTGGGCGTGCCAGCCCTACACCGACCCTGCTGACTTGGTGCGCTGTCCAGCCAGCTCGCCATGAAGTTCGCCATTCAGCTCGACGGCCACTAGCGCCGCACAAGATGTTACAGCTGCCGCCGTCCAGCTACGACCGATCCGCAAAACACGTTATCGTTCCTCATCTCTCTTTCTTCCTTTCTCTGACTGATCAATGCTTTTGCTGTCGTAATCTGCTCTCTCCGTAGCCCTGTTGACCTTCCAATTTTTCACAGTAGCCGACTTTGCCATTCAGCCTCATGGCCACCACGCTATAAGATTTTGCTCCCAGCCTGATCTCAGCCTGATGGCCTCTTTCTGACCTCTCCCTCTCCCTGCAGTCGAAACATTATTCCTCTCATCGCGCGTTCTATCGCCTCATCAAACACCGTATGTCTACGGCTACCAGACCCTCCTTCCCAATTGACCAATATCATGTGGGAATCATCTGTGCGCTTCGTCATGAGATGACGGCGGCAATTGCCACGCTGGATGAGCGGCATCAGCCCATCACGGGACAAGACAAACTCGATTCGAATAATTATGTGCTGGGCCGTATCCATGGACACAACGTGGTTGTTGCGTGCTTACCGGCCGGCGTCTACGGCACGAATGCCGCAGCACGAGTTGCGAACGACATGCTGAGGACGTTTACCGGGCTGCGGTTCGGACTGATGGTGGGAATTGGAGGCGGAATCCCGAACCTTCCGATGGGTCTGGACATTCGTCTCGGAGATGTGGTGATCAGTGAGCCGGACAAAATGTTCGGAGGTGTTGTTCAGTACGATCTGAGGAAGAATCTGGGAGAGGGGCACTTTGAAAGCAAAGGGACTCTGAAATCCCCACCAACTATGCTCCTGGCCGCTCTTTCAACTCTTCAGGCGGAACATGATCTCGAGGACAGTCATGTTCCAGCCATCCTGACGAAGATTGTCTCGAAGCACCGCAATCTAGCGAGGAACGGCTACGGGTTCCCAGGACGAGAAAAGGACACACTTTACTGTGCTGAATGCTGTGGTTCCGGCTTTGGCTCTGCTGATCTGTGCAACAGCTGTGCACACGGAACGATCGAGAGATCGGCTCGTGAGGATGATCACCCGTTATTTTGGTATGGGACGATCGCCTCGGGCAACGAGTTGATAAAGAACGCCGCGGAAAGAGACAGAATTAGAAATGAGTTCGGAGCGCTGTGCGTTGAGATGGAAGCGGCGGGGTTAATGAATGACTTTCCTTGCCTGGTAATCCGTGGCATCTGTGACTATGCGGATTCTCATAAGAACGACGGATGGCAGAAGTATGCGGCCCTCACGGCGGCAGCATATGCCAAAGAATATCTCGGGTATGTATCACCCGAGCAGACGAAGCTGGAGAAGCCAATCCAAGAGGTTATAGGTGAGTAGAACCTGTGAGATAGGACAATTAATCGCATTCTCCAAACAGTCACTGATGCTTTTCTGGGGTTTTCTTATAGCTTCTCTTGCTTCTCTTAACCAGCATCTAGCGAAGCAATCAGAGTTGGCGGGGGAGCATCTTTGTGAGGTTAAACAAGCCCACGCGAAACAGGACCAGCGATATCAGAGTGAACGGCATCGTCAATGTCATCGTGCTTTTAAAACAAGTACATATGAACAATTCAAGGACGTCAATCCCGATCGAGTGGACGGCACATGTCAATGGGTGCTGTCTCATCCTCAATATCTACAGTGGCACAGCAGACCACACGATGATCTACTCTGGATCTCGGCCGACCCAGGCTGTGGCAAGTCGGTCCTGACCAAATCACTGGTTGACCGTGAATTTTGCAGTACTAACCAGCATACGGTCTGCTACTTCTTTTTCAAAGACAACGAGCAACAGGACAACGTGGCCACAGCTCTTTGCGCGCTTCTGCATCAACTCTTTACCCACCAGCCGCCACTTATCTCACATGCCATTTCGGCGTGGGAGAAGACGGACAATAAATTGGTCAAAGAGGTCGCGGAGCTGTGGCGTATATTGATGGCGGTGACGAGAGACCCCGAGGCCGGCGACATTATATGCGTGCTGGACGCGTTGGACGAGTGTCGACAATCGGACCAGCGGTGGCTAATCAAGATGCTCTCGCAGTTCTACTCTCAATCGTCCCCGGAGTCATCTACATCATCATCTGCTTCGCGCCGTGGTCGGCTGAAATTTCTTGTGACCAGCCGACCCTATGATGATATTCAAGCCGAGTTTGAGAAGACAATTGATAGCCTTCCCACTATTCGGCTTCGGGGTGAAGAGGAGAACGACCAAATCCATTCGGAAATTGACATGGTTATTCAGATGCGAGTAGAACAGCTCGCGAAAGCGCTGAGATTAGATCGAGCTACACAGAATCAACTGGAAATGAAACTCCTGGCGATGGAGCATCGAACCTATCTATGGCTCCACCTCGCTATTGACGACATCAGAGTGACTTATCGTCACAGTTTACGACCGGAAGAAGCATTAATAAAGTCACTCCCCGTAAGCGTTGAAGACGCATATGAGAAGATCTTAAATCGTGTTGCGGAGGAGCAAAGAAGTATTGTGAAAAAGATCCTCCAAATTGTGGTCGGGGCACGCCGACCGCTCTCGGTTCAAGAAATGGCTATCGCACTGGGGATAGCAACGTCGACCAAGGTCACGTCACTAGCACAGGCCCGACTTGCACCGACATGGCTAGAACACAGTATTTGTCACTGGTGTGGGCTATTCGTCTTCATCAATCATCAAAAAATATACTTGATCCATCAGACCGCCAAGGAATTTCTCTTATGGGACAACAGCTCTCCGCTTTCTTTGTCCGGATGGAAGCATTGTCTGGATCATCTCGGCGTTGAGAAAGAGATGGCTCGAATATGTGAAGAGTTTCTAGGTCTAAGAGATATTAAACCCGTTCAGCGATATCTGATTGAACAGTTTGAGAGCGACGAACCCTTCTGGGAAATTGAGGATGTGTTGAAGAAAGATGACCATCTCCAAAGTTTCTTGTACTATGCGACAGAGCACTGGCCCAGTCACTTTCGAGATGCTGATATGCCCAACGATGCCTCTACCATGTCGGGTCTACCTAAGCTTTATGACGTTGACAGTCCTGATTTCAACCTCTGGTTCACCATCTTTTGGGAGATGATATTTCGAGAGAAACCGCCGTCGATGAGTCCTCTTCGTTTAGCTGCGCTCTTGGGCCACGAGCATGTACTCCTTCAGATTCTACAGTCGACAGAAATCACCAAAATAAACGAGCAAGACGATAAGGGAAATACAGCCCTCTATTTTGCTAGTCGTTTTGGCCATGATAAAGTAGTTAATGTGCTCTGTGGGCGAGGAGCGGATATTAACGCTCAAGGGGGATTCTATGGCAATGCGCTTCAAGCGACATCATTTGGTGGTCATGAGAAAGTTGTGCAGATACTGCTTGAGCATGGAGCTGATGTAAACACTCAAGGAGGAGAATATAGCAATGCGCTTCAAGCGGCATCAAGAGGTGGTCATGAGAAAGTTGTGCAGATACTGCTTGACTGTGGAGCTAATGTCAACACTCAGGGAAGACACTATGGCAATGCGCTAAACATTGCATCGCGCCGGGGTCATGAGAAAGTCGTACAGATACTCCTAGATTATGGAGCGAATGTCAACGCTCAAGGAGGAGTCTATGGCAATGCGCTCCAAGTGGCATCACGCCGGGGTTATGAGAATGTTGTACAGATACTCCTTGAGCATGGAGCGGATGTCAACGCTCGAGGATTACATGGCAATGCGCTCGAAGCGGCATCGGATGGTGGTCACGAGAAGGTGGTGCAGATGCTACGAAAAAAGATAGTATCCGGTTGATTAAGCAGATGACTGAGTTCTACTGCTCGTTGAATAGCAGATTGTATGTTGTAGTGATTACCAGGGATGGTGACTTCAGGATGATTTCGGGGCCTTCGCTCCCATCAGCTTAGCATTGTGAGGAATCTCAGGGGGCGCGTTTCTATTGTTTTTAATGAACGAGGCTGTGAGATAGTCATGCTTGCTTATGCTGCGACGATGCCCTCCAGAATATGTTGCCTCGGATATGTGCTCACTCTCTCGGCAATTACTTAATGGTTTCCATTTTTCCCCCAGACCGAAGCTCATCATCGTCCCCCACACATTTGATTCTTTTCTCTGATCTGACAGCCGAATGGCCGCGCTGAAGCTTTTCCTCTTCGACAATGACTGGGTGAGTCGGGGATCCATCGAGTTCCCTTGACACACCTTCCTCTCACTATGCCAATCATAGTCCAGAGGTTCATTCTCCAGGTGCCCACTCGAAGCAACACGCCGCCATGTTGCATCGCTGACTTGTCCGACTTGGCCGCCCATATCCTTTCGTGTCTCTTCCCTCGTTTCTACTTTTAGCTGTTGACGAAAAGTCTCACCGGCCATGTGTTTGCATCCGGATTGTGCGACATGGCCGACCCAATTTCGATAGAGCTCGTCCGTTCAAGAGAGTCTCATAGTCGGGATCTTGTCAGAGACGGCTCAGCGTCGGAAACAACAGTAGAGGTTGAAAACCATTCTGGGGCGTTTTCGAAAGTGGACGATTCATGTCCCGACGGCGGCTATGGATGGGTGTGCGTTATCTGTAATGCATTCATAAATGGTCTGTACTTGATAGAACCCTTGATGAGGCTGTATGCAGGGGAATCCGGGGTGCATATTGTATCAAATATACTTTGGCTGTATTTAAGCCATCAGCACGCAATCGGCCCCAGCATCACATCATTCAGGAACGCAACAGCTAACCGCCAATTACAGCACATACCTGGGGCATCAACTCCTCCTACGGCGTTTTCCTCGCGTACTATCTCGATCACGACTACTTTCCGAACACTTCGCCTCTGGCCTACGCATTTATCGGAGGCCTGTCTTTCTCCCAAGCGGTGCTGATCGCCCCTCTGGCCACTCGTATAATCCATCTGTACGGAACCAGAGTGTGCCTGCATCTGGGTGTCGCGTTCCAGACTCTGTCTCTTATTGGTGCCAGCTTTTCCCGGCGCAAGTATCAGATCATCCTCTCCCAGGGTGTGTGCTATGGCTGGGGCATGGGATTTCTGTTTGTCGGATCTGTGGGCATCATAGCACAGTGGTTCAATAAGAAGCGGAGTCTTGCAAACTCCATCGCCGCTGCTGGCTCCGGGGCCGGTGGACTCATCTATAGCTTGGTCACCCAAGCACTCATCGATGATCTCGGCCTCGCTTGGACTTTTCGAATACTGGGTTTCATTGTTTTTGCGGTCAATTTGACTGCCATCAACCTCCTGCGGGATCGAAACAAGCAGACGGGTTCGCGACATAAAGCTTTCGACCTTGAGGTGCTTCGCCGACCAGAGTTCCTTTTTGTGCAAGGCTGGTCATGGTTCTCGATGCTGGGGTATACAATCTTGGTCTTCTCGATTCCTTCCTATGCACGTTCTATCGGGATGTCTGCCAATCAAGGCTCAGTCCTGGGCGCGGTTTTCAACGCCGGGCAAATGGTTGGCCGGCCGTTGATAGGCTTGACTTCTGATCGCTGGGGACGCCTTAACCTCGCGACTTCACTGTCTTTCCTGGCCGGAATCGTCTGCTTCGCGCTGTGGATCCCTGCAGAAGTGGTGGCAGCACCGATGGTATTGCTGTGCTTCTTCGCAGTCATCGGTGGAGGTCTTGCTGGTGTATTCTGGACCACCATCTCGCCTGTGGCGGCTGAAGTCCTTGGGTTACAGGATCTGCCTTCAGGTCTCAGTCTGACCTGGGTGCTTATGACACCACCGACAACATGTGCTGAAGCAATAGCACTCGAGTTACGTCGCAATGCTGATAGCTGGATTTACCTTCCACCTCAAATCTTCACCGGCTTCATGTACATAGCCGCGGGTTTGTGTATTTGGGTGGTCAGAGGATGGAAAGTGGGCGAGGTTGAGTGGCGTAACAAGAAAAGGATGGAGTGGGAAGAGTCTATGCGGCAGAGAGTCCTTATACTTGCAGACACACCAGAGAAGTCTGTAATGGAGCATCAAGAACCGGATGGACAAGATGTCGACGGCCACACTCATCCTGAGATTGACCTCAGCAAGCCTCCGCCAATAGGAGAATTGTGGCATGTGCACAATATCTTGAGAGACATGATGGTTTGGACAGTTGTATAGCATCTTCTGCGAATATCATGAAAGAAAATGATGAGGGACACTAAGGTAATTCCTTCACAACAACCCATCAACCTTTTGCACGTCGCGGGGACAACAAGTGAATATATCTTAGTTGTCTGCACTTGCGCGTTTGGGAAAACAGTTTCTTCTCTTTAGTTCAGTTTCACTTTCATTTTCACCCCTGAGCTATCACGCGGTCCCATTTTCCAAACTTCCCGGTCGCAATCGTCAGCGCCGACATGTCTTTCACGCTCATACATACCCGTCCAGATGGGAACAAGAAGCCAATCAGGATGTCAATTTTGGACGCACTCAGAGGAGTTCCTGATCGCAAATCCAAGAAAGCGAGAAAGGTCCAGGTATGTTGTTTGTTCGACGCTGCCATTCACCGGATCTGGACGCGAAGTCGCTAATGTGGTGACAGTGTCCATGCTGTGGCAAGGTGCATTCCAGCGAGGCTCCGGCCAGTGCGGAGAAGAAGGATGAAGCCCAAGCTGCCAAGGCCGCTGAGAAGAAAGACGGCGAGACTGACGACGAAATCATGATACGCATGAAGACCAAAAACCAGCACGCCCAATGGACAGACATTGTCGAGCAGCTCAAGGAAATCAAATCCGTTGGCGAGGCCAAAGCCCGGTACAAGGAGATCACCAAGGACAGGAAAGATGACGAGAACGCAGGATCGGACAATCAAACCAAAGGCAAGGGAAAAGAGAAGAATCCCGACAAGGCTGCAAAGGACGCAAAAAACAAGGCTGAGGGCTTGAAAACGCAAATCGACGCGCAGTCCAAAAAGGAAGCTGCAAAGGCGGGCGAGCAAGCAAACGCTTCTGACAATGCCACTAACGTAGGCTGGCTCTCATGCACAGTGCAATGGTGTTGTGGCTGACTCTCACGAAGCAGGACAAGACAATGAACTGCCAGCAGCAAAAAGGAGCCACTTCAGTCTGCGAGCCAAACATATACAGGATCTTGGCCGACAAATATGATTCGAAGAAGTGGCTGGACGTCGCATCGAGACATTACGACAAGACCGGAGAGCGCATCAGCCCTGAAATGGCACGCCAAAGAGCCGAAGGCAGCTGAGCGGGCAAGAGGAGTAATGCGTATCTGCCAAGGGACGAGAAGAGGGAAAGATTCGAGATGGAGGTCAAACGGCAAACAAGCAAAGGCTGGACGTCTCCATACTTCGTGCTCTGAGCTGGCAAATGTCTCGTACCCAGTCCAGCGGGATGAGCACCCGTACACCGCACCTCTTGGAGGAGTCAGGTAGCTTCCAGAGACTCCGCGCACCTCTCTGCAATATCTCCCGGATCAAAGGAGAGACAGATCTTGAGCTTGAGGGAACCAGGCCAGATACCCCAGTGTTCTCCACCGCCACCTCCATATTTGGCGGTAGCGCCATTTCAGGCTAAAATGCTTCTTCTTCCTCCTCATCTCAACTTCTTCCCACATCACAAAATCCTGCTTCGAGGATCATCCAGCTTCCTCTTTCGTCTCTCGCTCCAAAATCGATGATGTATTCCCGCGAAGGGCATTCAAAGCAAACCTCCCCTCCGAATTCCCTCAAGAATCAGTACTAGTTTATAATGACGTTGCTCCGCTTGGACCATCAACGGTCGCTGAATGATCGAATACCCGACAATCGCTTCTGCACCGACCGTCTGTACAGAATCATGCTATGTACCGACGGCATCTAGAGCTTGAGTACCTAGTAGTTGTACTTGTACTGTAGGCTAAAACACTTTCCTAGGCCGGTCTCCACGGAGCCTCGCAACATACATAGGTAACCTCTAGCCTCCACTTCAAGAACTCTCACGACTGTGTTGATGCTACTTACTGCCTTTCACAGCCTTGATTTCCGTCGCTCCAAATGCTCTCTCCATCAGTCGCCCTGGCACTGGGGCTCGCTCTATGCTCTTCCCTGAGCACATGCTCAATGCTTCCTCGCCAGGCCAAAAACAAGCCGTGGTCGGTCTCAAAATTCCACTCACTCCTAACGTTCGGAGATAGTTACACAGACGAAAGCCGTCTGGGGTATTTCATCCAGAACAACGGCTCAGCACCGCCAGCCGGCGTCTTACTTCCCGAAAGCAATTCCACCGCAGGCGGAGGACGCACCTGGCCTCGTTACGTCGTTCAATACACCGGGTCAACCAAGAACGGCGAATGGAACCCATCGATGACGCTGTACAACTACGCCGTCTCCGGTGCGGTATGCTCGAACAAGATCACTCCAAGGTATGTTTGTTGGTGGCTTTCGTTCCATGATCTCGGCCACCATCGTCCGTCTCGTCATGTTCTTTAGTCTGCGCAACGGGCTCCTTCTCCCACTGACACAAACAAACCTTCAGGTGGTTCTCTGCAATCGACGCCCCGTTCCCATCTGTTCTAGAATACGAAGTCCCGGCGTTTCAAGCCGACATGAAAGCGCAGCGCGTCAACGCCACTCCCGCCGAGGCATTCTTTACCCCGAGCCTGTCGGCCCAGTCAGCCGTGTACGCCCTGTGGATCGGAACCAACGACCTGGGCATCTGGGCGTTCCTGACCGACAGCCAGGTCCGGGGCAAAGTGCTGACCGACTATACGTCGTGCGTGTACGAGGTGTTTGACAAGCTCTACGCCGCGGGCGGACGCATGTTCGTCCTCATGAACACGGCCCCGCTCCACCTCGCGCCACTGTACGCCAACAGCACCCTCCACGGCGTCGGGCCGAACCAGTACTGGCCCAACAAGACGTCCAACCACACGCAGATCGCCGAGACGATGCACGAGTACACGTCCACGGTCAACGGCGTGTTCAAGCACCAGACCCCGTTCGAGGTTCTGGTCGCCCACCGGTACCCGGACGCCCACTTTGCCGTCTTCGACACGTACAGTCTCATCTCGGACGTGTACGACAATCCGACAAAGTACCTGAACGGGACCGGCGTCGAGGCCGGCACCGAGAGTGTGTGGGGATACATCAACCACTGCAATGTCAATCAGACCGTGTGTGAAAAGGTGGACAACGGAACCAATTCGGACGGGTTCCTGTGGTACGACGAGTTACATCCGAGGTGAGTGAGATATATATTCCCCTTTGGGCTTCTGCCTCTTGGATCGACGTCCATGTTTTAAACTTTTCATGTTCCTTACACGTCATATCTTTTCATTTCGTACTCGATCTCAGTCAAGACATTGTCATGCTAATTCGACCTGTGTGTGTTATGTTTGCAAGTGAACAAACCGACCGCGTCATCGCGAGGAATTTCGTCCAAGTCCTGAACGGGACGTCAAAGTACGCTACTTATTACTAGGTAGCAAATCATTCAGATGATGTGGAGATCTGGCTTGGAGATGAGTGATACCGTGTCTGTGATCGTTGATAGTAGAGGCTGCAGCTGGGTATACCTCCGTGGGTATGGGTGAAAAGTCCGGTGCGAAAGTAACTACCCTGGCCCAATGAGATTAATCAAAACATAGGAGTTCAGTCAGCCAGTGGAGTGATGACAAGCTTTCAAGTTGAAAAACCGAACGATAATGATAATGGATGTTCTAGCGCGACTTTGAAAACAATATAATCAAGGAAAGTGTCTTCAATTCTAATCCGCTGTTCATTCGTTCCGTACATTCATACATCATAGACGACTTTACAAATCCTTCGGAATCCCCAGCACACAGTATCTGCGAGTTGTGAGATGTCGTGTCTGTTGATCCAAGCCAGCCAGCCAGCCAGCCAGCCAGCCAGCCAGTCAACGTCATCATCATCCCCTAATTTTCACGACCATTGCCTATAGAAATGACGAGCCCAACCCACCCACAAATCTACTACATGATTGCACGCTGCACCAGGGTACTCAGTTGCTGCAGTTAGTGGACAAACAAACGATCGAAGCATTGCCTGGCGATTCAAGACGACTCGTCGTCAATCGTAGTATCAATGCCTCCGACCCACCACACTGCAGCGCAGACGACCTGGCTGATAGCGTCGAGATCAGACTGATTCCGCGGTGCATACAGCACGACGCGCGAGTCGGCGGTGGGCGCGGCTGGAATGTCGCAAAACACCCGCGTGGGCCAGTACGCAAGTCGCGTCGACAGCGGGTGTCTCTCGCCCCAGCCCTTTTCGATCACCGTCTTGACGTCGTGCGGGTGGAGCGTGCAATGGATCGACCCGTCGAGACCACTGGCTCGGAGGATCTCGCCGTAGTATCTCGTCTCGTCGAACATGCGGTGGCGAGCGTACAGCGTCGTCGTTGGGCTGCCCGAGGGGCCCGGCTCGAACGACGATCGGCCGAGATACGTCGCCACAGGATATCGCGCCGAGATGTCCGCGATGACTTGCCGCACGCGGTCCGAGACATGCGTCTGCTTCTCTGGAGGGAGAGACAGTTGGCTGACCTGATGAGGGCGGCGGATGCCGGTGATGAGCGGACGGGGGCCGCTGCGTCGTGGGAGAGTCTCGAGGTAGCCACGCGAAGCTGGTGTGGAAGCGCTCGGCGGAGGTGATAGCGGATCAGATACCGAGATGGCCTTGAGGATATGCTCGAAAATACGGCTGCACACGTTCTGAAGAGCTCTGCCTCGTTTGGAGGAGGTCAAGAAAGGGTGGGTCTCGAGGTTGATGTAGTTCAACAAACACGTGATGATTCCCGAACCAACGAGGATGACCCCGATGGCATAGAGGCGCTCGTAGTGGTGGTTAGATGCCATTGCTGTTGCGATTGTGGTCATCGTGGAACGAAATCCTGCAAAAGACAAATGCCTCTTGCGCGACGGTAGGAGTTATTGACAACAGTATGGTTGATGGGATGACGAAGAGGTGAAGTGAAAGATGCAACTAACAAAAGTGATGGTGACAAGGTGAATATTGTTGTTTGCGGACTTACGGAAAGGTAGGCCACGACGTGAGCGGGTGACTCCTGGTAGATAGATATACTTCCAAACAATGGGTGATATGACATGCGTTCGCCAGTCATCGGTGCTTCGATATCTTGACGCCGACAACACAAATGCAATTCATCAACGCCACCGGCACGGACTTGATGTCCCCTAGCTGTATGTCCGCGGCATCTGGAATCTCGCAGACGTGCTGGTACCCACCATGTGAGAATTGATGGTAAAGCCGGGTTGGTCTCGAGTGTGCTGATGGGCCAGAGACCTCCGCCACGGAACATATACTCAGCTACCAAAATGGGGATAAGGTGAAGAGTTAAGAAGCATCGACAAGCGGGAGGGCGGCATTTCGGCCGTTTTCCAGAAGCCACAGATGCTGGAGACGCGTCAATTATCGATAGATATGCGAAGTGGGTGAGGGGGGCAGAGATTCAGAAGTAATCGTAGTCCTGGTGTGATAGGACGAGATCTTTCGAAACATAGTGCGATAAAGCAGGTGGCGTCGGGTGGCCTGAGGCTGCTGTTTCGTCCATGGTTCAATGGGTGACGGTTGAAGGGCGAGTTTGACGATGGAGCGAAGTTTGACTCTGCGATCAGACTTTTGCCTTCCACAAGCGGAACGTCGGCGCTTATCGAGGCCGATGCTTGGCACCGGGTGGATGAGCCTCCGCTTTCTCAATATCCCAGTTCGACGGTTGATCAACTAAGCAGCACGGATATGATAATATCTGGGTATCTATCTAGGCACTTCATGCTCAAATCTGGCAGCACTTGCTCATCCACATTTTGGATGACTCTCGCAAGCGTCGAGAGCAGAGGCGATGAAAGGCCGGAGACCTCGCTGTAAGTCCTGCGCCGGCGACTGCCACTCTGCGTCTGCTGGAAGAAGCAAATGACCGCAATCTGTCCACGAATTGGCCTCGAATTGGCCATGATCATCACTCTCCACCTACCCTTTTCAAACTTCAGCAACCATGTGCTGTTCCTCGATGCACGTTGATGTTGTCATGCAGTTCGCAGCCTTGCGAGCTGCTCGGAAAGCCACCGGAGGATCTGCAAACCCCTGCACTTGTGGTTACCAAGATCCGGGGGTTTCGCTGATCGAGCTGGCTATCTTTGGGACGAATCTTGTCGCCACCGGGGATGTATAACCAGACCCTTTCCTGCATGCGATAAGACGTCCTCTTTATCTCATATTATGCCAATCATCACCGTCCGTCCTGGTTGTCATGGTCCTCAGACATGACGGTTAAGCTGCCGCGTCAACATTTGGATCCTTATCCATTTCAAGCGATGACGCTGCTTGGAGTGTCAAAAATAACCATGAATGAGCTGCAGCATTGACTATCTAAGCATTTCCTCCAAAAGCCGCACAAATACCCAACACAGTAATAATGAAGAATCACTTACATTGACAGCCTTGTATGTGGCACTCTTCTGGCTCATCCTTCAGCGTTGACAGGAAAGACGTCAGAGCTGACAATGCGACGTGGTCTATTAACGTTATCTCACCACCCATGCTTCCACAGCGCCTCCAAAACATCCCAACACCATTGACATGGAGCAGCGGCCACAGCCCGCAAGATGGTGTGCCAAGTGGTCGTTGATATTGTGATCACACCAAAAAACCCCGAATGCAAGGTCCATGCCAGTATATACATGGATTATGGCGCACTGGTAACTAGTCAATAGCAAGGGACAACTGGCACGGTATCATGTCAAATCATACACCATTATAGAACAGCACATGTCAACATGAAGCAATCTTCTAAATTTATCAAACTGCTCTTCGGACGAAGGAGACACGTCAAGAAAGCACTGTTCTCGTCCTGGCTGGATCACACTACTACAGTAGGCTGGAAGACAGGTCGGACACCGAACAAGGTCCTCGGAATCACCTTCTAGCTTCACACGGCTATTTCCCAAGGACGGTGTTCTGGCTCGGTAGACGTTGTATTCTACAGGTTAGAGTGTAGCCATTGCCTAGACCCATTCGTCCAGCGACTTCCCGAAGTGCTGTCGTTCTGCAATATCGAGATGGCACGCTCTGACAAGGGGGAAATGAATCACTGACCTCTCCCTCCGAGACATGTTCCCCTCCAAACACCTAGGCGTGCATTCATGGCCTTTTCACTCCACCACAACAAGTACATACAAGCAAAATTGTCCCGTCCACCAGGCCAAGCTCCGGATTTAAGACTGCTTAACAGTGTCCTCGAACAAGTGGATGACGGCACACACGGCCCTCGCCACTGAATAGACTAAGCACGTGCTGTTGACTGTTTCGTTGAGGACTTTGGCCACAGTCGCGAACAAGGCACTCTTGACGAACATGAACAAATGCTTCATCGCATTGGTGTGGGCGGTCTCGTTGCGTGTCAGCGTGGTGAGCTGCCTCCGGGTGATTTTGCCCTCTTGGGCCAGCACGCTCGCCAAAGCGCGATGTGTCTTCGCGCGAGTGAACTTCGTGGTCGACGCCGTAGACCTTCTCAAGAAAGCGCGACGAGGAGAACAAATAGGCGAACACGAAGTTGAAGATAGCATCGTAGGGGGGAGATTGGGAGGCCGGTGTAATTGGGATCGAGAGCCAAGAAAACTAGGGGGCATCAGCCTTGCGTGCATCGAAACCCCCCTGTCGAGTGTCACTGGCCGCGAGTCATTATATGCCGGACCTATACTTGTGTCTCGAGGGGCTGGTCCTTCTCAAACTCAGCGGCGAACAGCTCACTGAGCTTCTTGTTCCAGAAGAATTTGACCAAGATCGCTTCTCCATCATTCCATTCCTTCACCTGCCGGTATTTCTGCCGTAGCTTCCAGAACAGCTCGAGGCCGGGAGACATGAGGCTGTTTCCGGACGCCGACCTCCAAGCACAGATCGTAACTGCCCATATCCAGAACATGAAATCCTCCTGTTCCGGCGTGTCGCATTCCCACGTGTATTGCTTCAGCATCTTCGTGAGCTCCGCCCTCGACGCCAACCCACCGTTGCTCGCGATTGGAGCAGAATCAAACCCAAGGCCGCAGTACACGACGATAGCCAACGCCAGTAGCTTCTCCTGACTTTGTCCCGTCGCGTCAAGTGCCGGACACGCTTCCTGGAACGTTCTGCGTACCGGCTGCGTCGCATAAGGGAGGCCGATGATGTGCTCCGAAGCGTCTCGCTCAAGTTTTGACCTCGAGTATACGTATGAGAGACGGATAATGATCTCGACCGTGCTGGGTAACCATGTCCCATCTAGGATGAACTTGTGAAACCCCCTTGGAACTTCGCCGAGTTGATAGGCTGAGGATCTTGACGGCACAGCGCTTATGCTGGCACCCTCTCGTTCGAGGAGCAATTGAGGGCGAGAGAAGAACCTGAGACCGGTAGACAGACTCCACCATGAATCGAACCTGTGACGAAAAGAAGGACCATGCCACGTTAGATCATCAAGTCTAGTTTTTCTATACCAGGGCACATGACGACTTGACTGAACTCACTGTAGAATTGTGCACTTGGGGTGATCAGATACCGTCTCAATGCCTCCCTGAGCCGTGATGATACGTGAAAGAATTTCCAGGTGATACTGGTGCGCCTTCATATCAACGGTTCGCTAATTCGACGGTTCAGAAGAAAAGCTCGTTTTGTGTTCATGTGCTGTAGGTCGGACGCTTACCTCGACGGTCGCCAGGGACAGAATGGCCAGAAGCTCGTCATCCGGCACTTTACTAGGCGACTGCGACAAAGTCTCCCTCAGAAACTCGAACGCTTTCACTTTATGGAACAGACACTGCTGGGTTTGTCCGCGACCGGGTGATACTTGCATGTCGTACAGGAGCTGGAGTCCAGCTGCCCCGGCATGGTATCCGGACGTGGTGGGCCTCGTCATCCACTGAATAAACTCGTGGTTATGAGTGTCTCGGACGTGAAACACTTCGAATGCCAGTTGTATCGTAGGTACTATCATCTGTTGATCTTCGGGGCGATTGTCAGCGATGAAAACTTGGTATACTGAATGATTGAGATGTTGACAGAACTCGCTTACATATTGCGATATGTTTGGGAACGCCTCCGGAAAAGGGCGATTTGATGGAACCTCTCCATTCTCGGTAGAGCAAGGCGAAGATCTGTCGTCTCGTTTGCGCCTCGGCTTCCTCTGTCTCATCCCGGGTCTCATTCTGCCGACGCCGCGATGTAATCTTGAGCTTCGATTGTTGGGAATCATGGCTCGCACCATGGGGATCCAGACGGAAACGAGTGATTAATGGTTTACTCGATGCCGGTAAATCCCCGACGACAGTAGAGGCCACGCCAGTCTTTCGCTTTGCGTGGTTGAATCTTGCCGTGTGCGAGCGCACGAAAGACGTAACGAGTTCTTTTTCTCGTTGTGTGGAATTGGCCTGATCAAATTGAACGAACGAAAGCTGTAACTCTGCCATGGCGATCCCACGGACGTTTTCGACATGGATCTGCTGAACAAGGCTGTTTGCGACGAGGCGGAGCTAATGAGAGTCCAATGTCGATGGAAAAGGGTCTTCAAAAGATTCAGAATATTGGTCAGTGACTAAAGCCTCCGTGAGAGATTTCTTCCAGAATCATCCCCGTTCTGTTGAGTCACGACACTCGCGTCGTGTCGGTGTCTAATAGGATGCCCGATGCTTCGACGTGGGTGAAAGAGGCCGAAGCCCTTTCTATTGCGGAGACATGCCTTGTCCGGCCAGCGGCCTGCCAAGTGTTGGGGAGTCCAAAGCGGGAAATGCCTGAAGTCTCATGACTGATTCGGGACTTAAGCTTTGCGCCAGCCGCGTTGGTATAGATGGTAGGGCTGAACCATAGTTTCAGTGTAAACCCTTTCAGGAATGTGCTCTTCGATGCCGATAATGGATTATGGCAGGACTGTTGACTGCTCTTCTTGCAGATACAAGTTGATATCAGTCTCAGCTTTGCGAGAGGATGGAACTGGAGTATATGTAGCATGCGACATGCCTACTCTCCGATCCTGATAAGCGGGAACTTTAAGGGGTCGAGCTCGGTCCGTTTAGAGTTAGAAGCTTCAACGAAGCATGTTACTCAGCGGCTCTACAAAGTTCTAACCCTGAAGTACCCGGGCCGAGAACAAAGAGCTTATTGGGAGCTATATTAGCAAAGCATCTCTCTCAACCTGGACTAGAATCTTCGAAGTCTGGCGCCGATTTCAAGGCCAGTCTCTGTTTCCTGGGAACATTTGAAGAAACCAATCGAACGGCCGGTTCGATACCCGTACAAATCCCTCTCACGACTGCATGCATGTCTTGCACATCGCTGATGGCCTTGGACCGGAAAGTCCCGGCCATGGAGACCAGAGGAGGGGCCCAGGTTCCTGGAGAATGGAGTCGAGCTTGCTGTAAGTTGGAAACTGCACAATGGTTTCGATAAATACGACTTAGGTCGATTTTTGAGTCTTCGAGCGGCGCAGATCACTGTACCTCTCTTTGTCCTGGGCAACGGTCTCTGGAAGGGCATTTTTACTTGTCCTAAAACACCGGAACGATGCTCGTGGTGAGCTAGGAGTACAGCGCCATCGGCTCACCTTTGTGCGGCCTAGATAAGCCTTTACAGGGGTCCTAGCGTACTGTGCATTCGCATGGCGTTAAGCCGGTTATTGATATGTATATCGGTGTTTATGGTCTTCTCCATGCTTCCCTGCCGATCACCACCAGACTCAGCTCAGAGATAAGGGCATATGCGGCGTTACCCGACACAATGATAGACATAGACTACCAGTATCAAGATGTTCGGCGCTTACACCGAAGCCTGCCGAACAGGGTGCAACAATATAAGGAACCGAATGTAAGTTGAAGGTACCAATTGTGACGAGTCCTCCTTTCCAAAGATTATATTCGACATGGAAGTCACCAGCACGTCAGAGAAACCAAAGATGTCGGGTCCTGGAGACCAGAAGGGTGTTGTCGATGTCGGAGTCGGCGAGTCTCAATTGCAGTACTCGCCAGATGCGCATCTTCAGCGCAAACTTGGCGGCAAGGAAGTTCAACTCTTTGCCATTGGAGGCGCCATTGGCACAAGTACGTTCGCGGTCGACTGGGATCGAGTGCATCAGTGCTGATTTCACATCCTGTGTAGGTGTCTTTGTGACGATGGGCTCCTATCTTCCTCACGGTGGTCCTGCAGGTCTCTTCTTGGGCTACACGCTTTGGTGTATGAATGTTTGGTGTGTGAATGAATGCTTTGCAGAGATGGTGGTATACGCCCCAGTTCCCAGTGGCTTCATCCGTTTCACTTCCGTCTGGGTCGACGAGGCACTGGCTTTCTCACAGTCGTGGGCTTTCTTTCTATGCCAGGCTCTCCTCATTCCTGCCGAGATCACAGCCCTGCATGTGGTGATCACCTTCTGGACAGACAAGTTTCCTGTTGAGGCCACAGTGGTTGTTGTGATTGCCATCTATGGAGTACTGAACTTGTTCAGCACAGGGTTGTTTGGCAAAGCTGAATTCTACATGAGCCTTGGCAAGATCTTCCTGATCTTCCTATGTTTCGGCTTCACCTTTTTCACCATGATTGGGTGCAATCCTCTGGGGGATGCGTACGGGTTTCGATACTGGAACAATCGTGAGTCAAAGTCTAATCCAAGCCTTTCGAGAGAGACCACATCATGCATTTCTGACTGCTCACTAGCCGGTGCATTTGCGGAATACCTCACGACTGGATCCCTCGGTCACTTCTGGGGTCTCTTGAGCTGCATGACCTTTGCCAGTTTCGCAGTCTGTGGACCGGAGTATGTCAGCAGCGTGGCAGGAGAAACGAAATCGCCTCGTCGTGTTCTACCGAGCTGCTTCTCAAGCTTCAAATGGCGCCTGATGTTCTTCTTTGTCGGCTCGGCCCTTTGCATCGGCATTGTCATCCCTTACAACGACCCAACTCTTGCAGCATATTTGAGTGGCGAGGTGTCTGGCGGCGGCACCAGCGCCGCCGTGCCATACACTATTGCAATGCGCCGCATGGGCATCAAGGGTCTTCCTCACCTGATCAATGCAATCCTACTCACTTCTATCTTGAGCTGTGGTAATGGAGTCTTTTTTGCTGCCTCCCGAGCACTGTTCGTCATGGGTGAGACAGGCCGGGCGCCGAAATTCTTCACGAAAACGACCAGACGAGGCGTACCGATCTATTCGGTGGTCGCATGTCTCCTCGTCGCCTTTCTTGCCATGATGGGTGCTGACAGCGGAGCCAACGAAGTTCTCCACTACTTCATCGACCTCTGCACGATTTGCGGTCAGTTCAACTACCTATGTGTATGTGTGACATATGTCCACTTCTACTACAGCATGAAACGACAAGGAGTATCTCGCGACACACTCCCATACAAAGCACGATTCCAGCCGTATGGGGCATACATTGGCGCGACGGCGGCCGTGGTGATGATGTTTTTGCTGGGATTTGACATCATCAGTCCTTTCTCCATCAAGTGGTTTTTCCTGGACTACACGCTGCTGGCAGCCTTCCCGATTGCAGCCATCGTATGGAAGTTCGTCAAAAAGACAAAGTATGCCGGGTTCGGCAAGGCAGACTTGGGGTTGAATGGCATGGTCAAGGAGGTCGATGAGTATGAGGACATGGTTCAGCCGGAGCCAGAGGGCTGGTTCGAGAAGTTCTTCAGCGGCGTATGGACATGGCGGGAACTCGCAGATGCCATCAGGCGCAAGAAGACGCGTACTTGATACGAGAAGCGGAGTGGAAAAGACTGTCAGACTGAATCGTGTGATAGTATGACTGTGGACTTGGGACAACCGTCGAGTTTCGTTCCGCGAGCGTGACGAGGCGAGAACTGGTTCCATAATCTATTCCATACCCAGCGACTAAACAAGAACCCGTGTGCATAGAACGCTCGCTCTGGTGATTCCTGTTTCACTGCATTCGCTGCCATTATCTTGATTTTTGAACGACGCTCGCAGACCGAAACACACCCCCTTCGTCGCTTTCCCATCATGACACCCAATATTTCGCTGCGTCTCTGCTCTCCACCGTGTGACCGACACACGATGCTCTCTTAGTCAACCAGCCAAGGCTCGCCTGATAGAAGTCCTGCTTGTTTCGAAAACGTTAGAGACTTGACATTCACTATGTGTGAGCGATAAATAGCTCTAGATTTATCGGCCACCACAATTTGTGCTACCCTTAGTTTCCCTTTTCTCCTCATGGTCTGTTTGCGCATCATCACGACAACCTAGCACTGGAACGAGTCTGCCTATCTAGGCTTGTGTTGAAGGCTGCCGCACACATGGACCTGGAATCGAGAAGAATCAACAGTCCGGTTGCCCGCAAAGCCGTTCCCCCCGAGCCTGGCCTTTGAACCAAGGACGGCAGGAGAATACTCAATGCACTCGAGCTGCATCTTTAGGCCATCTTCAAGATTTGATGACTCTCTCCGTACGGCGCATAGCGGCTGAGGAGAATACTGATAAAGACGAGGATGAAAGCAGTCTGATTCTATCGAATGTATCGATATCTATGTCAATTTCTCTTCGTAAAGAAGCATTTCGTGAAGGAATTAAATCTTCCGAGCCATGTGTCGAGGAATCCGAATCTCCGCTTTTCCGGGAATGGATGGAATATGCCGTCTTAGATCTCTGCATCATCTCTGCTCCGCCACTGGCGATCACTGGCATGTCTCCTGGGCGAGAAAAGCAACAGCAGTACGAGTACTCCGTACATGATGCTCACTTGAGGTTGCAGTCAGTAAGCTGGCTGTTTGTTGCAGACGCCAGATATTTTACTATTGGTGCCTCGAATGGCGCTTCGGTAATATCAGGCTGAAGATGTTATTGGCTCGTAGCTGCAGACTGTCGCTTGCCGAAGACCAATCCCTCCAATGAACCCTGTCTGTTGACCTGGGCGGCTACGAGATGAGCAGGTGCCTGGTGCTAGCCTGATGCATTCGCAGAGCGAAATCCCTGCGGCTGAAGAACGCAGCTTTCGAAGTTCTCAGAGGCTTTACAAAAACCGTGTCTCTCACGGCGGATAGCTGTATTGGCGCAAATCGCGCCTCCAGATAGGGCCACAACGAGTCCAGACGAAACCTTTCCGTCTCCATCCTCACCGCCGTCTATACCCTGGGCTAAATGACGTCGCAGCGACCGCCGAATCACGAATTCTCTGTGGCCATATTCTGTGCTCTCCCACCTGAGGCTGACTCCATTATCGCTGCATTCGACGTCGAATGGACCGGCAGAATTGAGAAGGCAGATGGTGACACGAACAGTTACTCATGTGGTCGTATTGCGGACCACAATTGTGTCGTTGCACACCTGTCAGGGGTGGGGAAATCAAATGCGACTCTTGTAGCAGCTGGTGCGAGTGCAACATTCAAAGATATACAATATGCATTTGTCGTTGGCATTTGTGGCGGAATGCCATTCGATGAAAAAGGCAAAGAGATCCTGCTAGGAGATGTCATCATCAGTCGAGCTCTCGTTCAATACGATCTCGGGAAACAATATCCACAAGGCTTCAAAAGGAAGCAAGAGATCGAAGATGTGCTTCCAAGACCAAGCCATGAAGTCCGTGCATTGCTCGCCAAATTGGAGACCTTGCGAGGACGTCAAGTGATTGAGCAGAACACACTTGAACACTTGAAAGCCATCCAAGAACAGCTACCGTCGGCGTCATGTCCAGACCCAGAAACAGACGTCTTGTTTGACCCTTCATATTTTCACCAACACCGACACGTCAAAGGCCTAAGCCGGTGTCCCTTCTGCCAAAGCAAGCCTCAACAGTTCTGCCAAGAAGCGTCGACAACAGAATGCGAGGAACTCGGGTGTAAATTTACGAACGCGACGCGCCGACGAGCGTTGCAACCCTATCATGACGGCAGTACCGAATCCTCAAGCAGAAATCCGAGGATCCACATAGGAAGAATCGGATCTGCAGACACGGTATTGAAGTCTGGACAATTCCGGAATCAACTTGCTAAGGATGAAAAGCTCATAGGCTTCGAGATGGAAGGTGTCGGTATATGGGACGTTTTCCAAAACAGCCTCATTGTCAAAGCAGTATGCGATTACGCAGATAGCCACAAGGACAAGGTGTGGCAAGATTACGCTGCGGCGTCGGCCGCTGCTTGCTTGAAGTCGCTCTTGGCTGAGTTGAACCCTCCCAGGAAGGCTCGAGAGCATGGTAAGTCTTGATATATCACTCATTGGTCACCGTGGGAATTAGGTACTGGGTGATGTCTTTGAGAATTTGTCGTGAGAGATTTTCTTTCTGAAGAAGCATCCAGGATCCTTGAGGAGTCCTTACTTCTAGATATCTTTCCCGCACAATATCAGAACGCATTCTCCTTTACCTGCGATCCACTGTCTTCTGCAACATCAGCTGTATCGTACAGAATGCTGACTGACACCCCAGGAAACCCCGAATCGCCGTTGTGGAGCATGCCCTTCGAGAAATCCAACCTGCCAGACTTGGTCGGGCGTGATGACCTGCTGCAAAACGTTCAGTCCAAGATGTTTCAGCCTGGTAAGCACTCAAGGATCGCTTTGCTCGGACTGGGAGGTATTGGAAAGAGTCGTGTGGCAATGGAAGTCGCCTATCGTATGCGAGAAGCCCGTCCAAAATGCTCTATTTTTTGGGTTCAAGCAACTGACGCTCGAGCCTTCGACAATGACTGCTTGATGCTCGGGAAATTGTTGAATATACCGGGTATTGAGGATAGTAAATCTGATCCAAAGGATCTTGTTTGTGCACATCTCAGCAAAAGCTTTGCGGGTGAATGGTTGTTCATCCTTGACAATGCAGATGACGCGAAGCTGTGGGGGGGAACAGGAACAAGCACTACGGCGACTGAGGCGACTTTCTCATCTCTGGTCGAATACTTACCCAGAAGCGAGACGGGTTCGATCCTCATAACAACCAGGAATAGACGAGTGGCGTCACCAATTGCTAAGGAAAATGTCTTCATGGTGTCCGACATGGACACAAAAGATGCTGAAACTGTGCTGAGGAATCTGCTTGAGAAAGAAGAACTCCTCAACGACCGCAAGTCTACTGAAGAGTTGCTGGAGATACTAACTTGTCTGCCCCTAGCCATCGTTCAGGCAGCCGCATACATCAATAAGAATGAGGAGACAATCAAGACGTATGTACGACTACTGCAACAACCCGAGGATGATATGATTAGGCTTCTCAGCGAAGATTTCAGTGACGAAGGACGATACAAGACGTCACTAAACCCCGTCGCGACGACGTGGCTAGTATCTTTCCAACAAATACTCTACGAAAGCCCAGTTGCAGCAGAGTACCTGGAGATGGCGTCTTGCCTCAGCGAGAAGAATATCCCGGGATCTTTTTTTACGGCACCATCAGAGATAGACAAGATTGATGCTTTGGGTGTCCTCAAGGGATATTCCTTCTTCAGAGAGCACGATGAGAGAAACATCAATGACTCTGTCGGTCTACTGTACGACATGCACCGCCTCGTTCGACTTGCTACCCGCAACTGGCTGAAACGACGGAAAGAAATGTCGACCTGCTTGAAGAGCGCCTTTCAGCGAATGGTTTTCGTGTTTCCCGAGGTGACATGGGAAACCAAAGACATCTGGATGCTCTACATGCCACACGCACAAGTCTTATGCGACTTTACTGAGGGTGAAGATCTTTTTGAACGATATGTATTGCTCCAAAAAATGGCTTCTTGCTTGGGGTGGAAGGGGCAAGTCAATGCCTCGATTAAACTTTTGAAAGTGGTGGTAGATTGGGCAGAAAACGCGTTGGATGCTGATGATTATTTCAAATGGCAAACCATCTGGGGTCTAGGGATATATCTACTCGATGTGGGGAGGGAATCTGAATCTGAACTTTATATTGATCGAGCACTACAATGGGGCATTGAACATCGGGGAAAGAATGACGAATTTACCCTTGGTTGCATGGTGGGGGTAGGAGGCCACAAGGTACAGCAAGGATTCTGGAAAGAGGCAGAGGCGCTTCTCCAGGAAGCGATTGAAGTTGGCAAAAGGATCACGGGACCGGAAAACGCGAATGTCCAGCAAGCCAGACTGGACCTTGCAGAGATCTATATGGGCACCGACCGACAGGATGAAGCAGAAAGAATAGCGACTGAGTTGCTCGAAATCGAAAAGCGGCTGCGTGGTGAGCGAAACCATCCAAATATACTCAACTTAATGGCTTTTTTGAGCCGGATCTACCGACTGCAGGGTCGGCATGGGGAAGCTGAACAACTCAGTCTAGAAGTCGTTCGGAAGCTTGAGCAGTTCTGCGGGCCAACCAACGCACATACGCTCAAGGCCCTCGTGGAACTTGCGTTGGCATATCTCTGTCGAGGGAAGCTGCAAGAAGCTGAGGAAGCTGCTCTACGCTCTCTTCAAGGGTGCAGATTATTACAGCATGTAAATTCAGGATGGATCAGAGAATGCATGAGTGGCTTGGCACATATTTTTTGGAGACAGGGTCGTCATGAGGACGCTATCAAGATGATGGACGAACGTGTCAAGATAGACGAAGAACTAGAACATACGCATCATCCTTGGGCTCAGTACTGTGTCCAGACATTGCTTAAATGGCGAAACTGGATGCGGGAACGAGATGCCAGGGATGATCCGTCTGGGTCGGTAACACACAGGTTGGAGGGTAGCAGAGAGGAGGGAATGCTGCAGGGACCGTCAGATGAACAATCTGTGCGAGGCTTCGAAGATCTCGACATTTCTGAGCGGCAGCAGACACACAGGCAGACTCAGCGCCATTCACAGAGGTCGCTTAAACGCCGGCTTTCCTCCAGATCTCCAACAAGAAGCGGCCGGAGAAGGCATAACCATAAGTCAGGCAGTCCTGATTAACATTGATCCCCACAAAAGCCCCTTCAACTCGCCCCTGAGTACCCCTGCACACACAGCCTCGGATGTAGAATCTGCTTGATATGATTCGATATCGAGAGTTTGAAGTGTATTGGAGGACGCGAGTTGACTTTGGCATTTGGTGTACCCCTGGTTCTGGACGAGGGCATTGTAGGAGACGTTATATGAATAGACACGAGCGACAAAGAAGGCGGAACGGAACGAACCAGTTCTTTTGTATTCAAGTGCAACCTGAGAGAAACGCCGGGTATCGTAGACACATAACACTCGTCGCAATGTTTTTCCACCACGTCGAGCCATATCTCAATCGAGATCCATCTCCTCTTCCGTGCCACCACCAACAAGCATCTTCCTCTTTCGTTTCTGTCTGAGTCTCTCCTCTCCAACCACTCTTGAAGTCTCCATTTGGGCCTTGACTTCCTCGACCATAGGCTCCGTCTCCGCCCTCGCGGCCTCGAGGTCTGCCAATTCCTTTCGAATGAGGTGTTCTCCTTGCGCGACGACCTTGAGATCCTGTCGTCTTCTTGCCTCGCGTTGTGCCTTTCCGCTGAGTCTGCGTCTGGTGTATACACGCTCTCGTCGGGCTCTGATTTCTTCGATGCGTTCCATGGCCTTCATGGTCGCGGCCACGAGGTTGCGGTCGTACTTGACAGGTGCGTTTCGTCTCTTGGCGAATTGTGATAGAAGTAGGTTTTGGTCGACAATCATTTCCTTGCCACGTAGAGCGCGAGACGTCTTGGTCCACTTGAGTTTACGGGGTTGTCGCTTCATCTTGAAGTTCTTGTGGCATTTGGAGCGGCAGAATCGGAAGACTTTTGCATCGTTGCGAACGAATGTTATTCCTTTGGAAGGGTAAACTGGGCGAGAGCACAGATGGCATGTTTCGATCCTAAATTCATCAGCTACCAGGACAGAGAAAATGGTAATGAGATTACTGTACCTCATGGCGGCGACACCGCACAAGAAGCGGTAGCGGGGAGTGCGCTAGAAAACAGAAATAAATGCGACACTTATCGCGCCTGCAAATGTCGTCTGCAAGGCAAACTTGGTGTCGCAGAATCTGGCAACACAAACAGAATGTTTGTTGTTCGTCGTCGTGAAGTCTTGTACATTGATGTCGCCGAAAAGCCCGCAGACTTGGAAAATTTATGCCAAGGGCGTTTTCAACCGATGATTAGCCGGTGCTTGATTCAGGAAGTCTAGCCGAATGAAGATCAATCCGGTGCTCGAAAGTTCCTTCAGCATCGTCTCTGAAAGACAAGGCATCATCCAACAACTGGCCATACTCACGACAAGCAACTCTTCGTTGTACACTCTTCACGAATAGCTTTGCGAACGCAGCCAGCCGCTTATTGGGAATTACACACCTAAACAATGGCTTCAACAGTAGCGGTTGGCGTAGGCATCGCCGCCGCAGCTTTCTTTGTACGCCAGTCTTTTTCTTCAGTGAGAGAGCGTTAGGACTGACATATATTTGCAGGGCCGCGCTGGTCTTGTGGCTTTCCGCCGCTGGCGCAATCCGAACGCCGTAAACGCTTTGGGTCGGGCTTTTTATAAAGGCGGCTTCGAACCGAAAATGACGAAACGAGAAGCATCATTAATACTGGACCTGAGCGAACGAACGTTGACGAAAGATAAAATCCGAAAGAACCACAGAGCCTTGATGCTGGCAAATCACCCCGATCGAGGAGGTAGCCCTTATTTGGCGAGTAAAGTCAATGAAGCAAAAGAATTTCTAGAGCGCAATGGGTGAAGATGATGGGAATTCGCGCAACCCTAATATCATATTGTACAGTGGCAGGACAACCGGCCACCCTGGGAGCAATGACCCGCGACCTGAAACAGTCGAAAACGAGGCAGTCAGAGCGATTGTTCTACTGCTTCTCAGCGTTTGGCATAGCGGTGGCGTTAATGGGATGGGTTTCATGATGCGACAGGCCGATTTCGCCTGTCTTCAATGTTTACACGGGCGCTTCAAAGAACGAAGTGCTGAACTGTCTTTTTCAGATCTCCTCTCGACATTCGCGGTCATACGATAGGGAGAGTATGTCCAAGCAAGGACGACTGTGCGGCACAAGTCTAAAGAACTAGCACGCTTCGAAGGGGCTGTTGGGCTAGTTTCTTCCTCAGTTTTCGCTGAGGAATCGAGATCTAAGCGAGAACCGTCTGTGTATATAGTGTACAATAAAAAAAACAATGCACAATCGACACTTTGTCAATGGGCAAAGAACGCACACACCCGATCTTCAACGCCTGTCCCTGCCCTCTGCCATCCTGTAATCCCAGTCTACAATTCTCGCTTCTCAAATGCTATGCAAAGGCTAACGTCCGAGTCCATCACACCGCGCGAAGAACTCCTCTAGGAAGCCATTAAACTCATCCTCTTCCTCCCACATCAGGACATGCCCCTTTCCCTTCCAGACCTTGTACTCGATTCCCTGGCCCAGCTCATCCTTCAACAACTCCGCATGATAAAACGTAATCATCCGATCCGCGGTGCCGTGCAGCACGGCGATACGCTCTCTGCCGACTTCGTCCCCTAACCGGGCGATCTGAGCCGTGCTCTTGTGGTGCCACCCGGCCGCTATAGCCTGCAACATGAAGCCTTTCCTCGTGAAGCCCTCCTTGTCGCGGCGCTTGTCCAGTTCGCCCGCCGCGAACCGGTCGCGGTTCGTAGGGTAATTCAGGCCCGAGCCGGGCGGTTGCTCGGTGTCCGGCAGCGCGAGGAAGTCGTCCGAGAACAGGCGGTGGGCGACCTCGTCGAGCTGCACGTCGATGTCGCGCGGGATGAACATGTTGATGCGCTGTCTGAGGTTCTCGATGAAGGGGATCGTGCGCACGAGCCGAGGCGCCGTCGACACCAGGCTCAGCGACGCGACGTGCGAGGGGACGAGCAGGCCGACTTCCTGCGCGATCATGCCGCCCATGCTGACGCCGATTATGTGTAGATTTCTCTCGTCGTGTCCGGCAGGGGAGGTGGTCGGTGTCGATGTCGAATCCGCCTGTTGTGGGAGCCAGCCCAGATGACGGAGCAGGTCGAGTACGTCCTTTGCCATTTCGGTCGTCGAGTAGCGACAGCTCGGTTTGTCCGAGAGGCCCATGCCTCTGTTGTCGAAGACGAGGGACGAGTACCGTGACGACCGCTCGTGGCCAAAGTACTTGGTTTGCCGTTTCCATGCTGTTCGGTAGGCTCCGAGGCCCATTATCCACTGGTGTTTTAAAGACATGGTCAGAACATAGATGCTTCAACCGTATGAGGGCCCGCCATCGTCTCATCGTCTCCGGGATAACCAGGCTCAGATAGGAGTATTGTTCAATGCCTCGTGTCACTCTGTTTGGTAATCCCAGAACCATACGGATACAATTTTCATCCCGAGACCTCAAACTGAACCGAACTAGCAGAAACAAAGGAACTCACCACAAGCTTGACATCGCCGGTCCCGTGTACTTCGTAGTTGATGTTGAAAGGTCCTCCGGCGCGACCGTTCGCGACAGCACACTTCCCTTGCTTCGCAGGCGGCAAGTCCCAATGTACAGTGTTGTACGCAGGATGCGCGAGAACCTCAGCTGCGGTGAGCGGCATTCTGTGAAGGAAGGGTATTGTTGTTCTCCGAAACCCCTTAACGGTACCACGTGTTACTCGAACTCGAAAAGTCGACCGGACTTCTGGACGATTAGGGGGGTGGGCGGTAATACGAAAAGTGCCGAGGTGGTGGCGACAAATCCGCAAAAGCTACGAGTACACTGCAAGGCTCGGCTCAGCTTTTTTAGTCCCGGATCAAGATGACAGTATCAATTGAGGGTCGCTGATGATCGAACGACGGGTCGTGTGCCTTGGAGCGAGACACGCTGGGCTACTAGTCAATGTACCCGGACCAGGGATGATGTATCTCAGGTACGTATCTGTCTCTTAAAGGACAAGGCTATTCACGAGGGTGGAGAGCATGTTCGGGGAGCAGTTTATTATCCCGTTTTTAAACAAACACGGATAATGAGCTTGGGAATAGAGCATTTTCGCCCAAACGGAGACCGAAGGGACGAACTCACTGCCTCGCTATCCCTTATCCGCACATATATATATTTCTCCCTCCCTGCTGCCGTGATAACTGTGAAACCGCCATTGCATGTATGACCGGGCTCCATGTACCAGGTATTCTGGAACCAAGACATGAAGCTGCATACTGTAATGGAGTAGTACTACACTACATTTATACTTCTGAGAGCCTCCCTCTATGACGATGAGGACATCTACAGAGAGTGTCGGTACGGTATGTGACGTCGAAGAAATCACTCTCCCCCCGATGACATATACCTTAAGCGCCTGAGGTTGAAAGTCCCAGCCTCGTTGAAACCACCCAGGCTGCCTGCTGTCGATCACCTTTTACTGTCCTCATGCCACCCCCAATTCGCAACGTCTGCGTAACACGTGCCACGAGTGCGAGTACGACTGCAAGCATGAGTACCTACCAGTGCCCAAGTGCCCCCGTCTTTATCCGTGGTCCGCGATCAGAATTCTCATCGAGATCGTCTCGGACCCCAAAAATGTACACCACCATCCTCACCTTTTGGGACTCACGAAGGTTCAAACAGGTTCGATCGTCCCTAAAGTTCTACAATAGACAAAGGGGTGGAGAGAGGGGGCCCTGAGAGCTTAAAAGACTCCCCGCCTTGAAACCCTGATCTGCGTTGACACAAGGATCAGTACGGAGCAGTATTGTACAATAGACTCCATCGGGGTAGAAAGCGTACTCGCGCCCAAAGTGGAAGATCCGACAATCATGGCGCTACCGGGTGTACATCACGCTGATCCATACCGCGGGGTTTTGTTGATTTATTTGTTGTTGTTGACACCATGGACCGCCATTCAACCAACACATAGCTTATAATCGGTCAACCGAGTAGAAACTACAAAGGATAAACAGCAAGAACCACATCTGTACATAGGTAGTCAAGATCAAGCAGCAACGAACAAATCAACCCAACAGAAAATTTTCAGTTTTGTGCTTGGTATAATGAATCCAATATCAATTCGTCCTACTAAAAAAAGCGGCTTGCTCTGCCTCATGGCTTCCCTTCATTCAAGATATAAACAACTCCATTTCGTGATGGCATATTGTAGTAAAGCCTGCTCAACGCAAAGAACAGGACAGTCCCACTCACTTTAACCTCGTCGACTTCGTGACGTAGAACGAGCCAACTCATCGGTGCTTTCAGGATCTGTCCGCGGAGCCGGGGAGTATGATTTTCTGTTTGTTTGTTGGGGTTCGTCACACCAAAAAAATACGTACATAATGTGAAGCTGAATCCTCTCGATCAGGTCGTGGAGTAAACGAACGTAGGAAAAATCAAACGGTGTTGTAAGGAACGGACAGTCTCCCTGGGGAACTGAAGACATGATTTCTTATTCCTCCATCTTGAACATTTCTTCGTCATCCATGGCGATATCTTTGTCCTCGTGACTCTCCCGGTAGCTGCGTTCGTCCGAGACGTTTTGAGTCAAAGTTGGGGGATGCATCTGGAGCAAGGGATTATATACGTTGGTCAATGTACTGTCGGACGATTTGCTGTTGAAGGACTGGTACTGTTGTGGCAAGGGTGGTACAGGCGGAACATCGGCGCCCAAGTAAGATGGCTTTGTCCGAGGGGTCCCGCCGAATGTAAGGCCTGCGGTGGCTGCTGCAAGACTGCCATCATCGGTGCCAGATGTGCTAGGGCGGAAATCGATCCCGGAGAATCTTTGTGGTGGCAGGCCGGGAGATAGAACGCTTTCAGTGTAAGAGCTTGACGGAATCGATCGGTAGGAGCGCGAGAAACCGGTGCTGCTGATGCTGTAGCGCTTGGCGTCAGGAACAGGGTAGGCGTGCTCGCTCATGGGAGGCGGCGTGGTCTCAACAGAACTGACGTCGTCGTGCATCTCAGAGGAGGAGAAGCCTGGCGACGCCGAGGATCCTTCACTGGCATCGATGACTGCTGCTTCATGATCGGATTGCATCGATGCGGAAGCCTCCGAAGTCATGTTGCACAGCACTGAAGCGGCTTCTAGCAATTGGACCTGCTGATGCTTGGAAATGAGCAACTTAGACGTTATCGCCCAAGCCGGGTCGTGTTCCCATCTAGACTCTGTCAGTACAAGTAGGGAGGAAATTCCAGGTTAACCGTACAGATGCTTGGTGAGGCAGCTGCTGTGCTTGTAGCCCTTGCCGCAGGTGTCGCAGCGCAGTTCCGACGCCGACTTCTTGCCCTCGCCTTTAATCAGGTATGACCCTTCGCTCGCCCGCCTGTTTCTGTTCTTGGTGCTCGTGCTCTTGGAAGACGCTGCCTGGTCCTCATCCTGCGAGTTGTCCTCGAGGACCTCATTGTCTTGGGTACTGCGACTCCCAGAGGCGCCGGCGCCATTGAAGTACGAGTGCATACTCGGTCTCGAAATCATACTTTGTGACTCCATCGTCTTTCTGGAGCCCAAGCTTCTTCGGTGGTTTTGGAACGACATAGCAGACGCGTCGCCCTGTTCTCTCAACGCAACAGCTATGGCGGCTTGCGCGGTGGTGGAAGTATTGACACTCTTCCGACGATTGACTCGATGAGAGGGGTTCGTGGGTGCTAAGGATATGGAATGAGAGTGTTGTCTTGCCGTGGTAGACGTGGGCCTCGAAAAGCTGCCCGAGACAGGACGAGAAGATGGCTGCTCCTTTGTTTAGAAATAGAGTCAGCACGGGCGTCAGGTCGAGAACGGGGTCCTGTGATCCTTGGTCTTCTCGCTCACCTTTGAAGAGGCCATTGTCGACAGAATAATCGAGGATGTTATCAGACGACTCCCGAGTCCAAAACTTTTGGGTAGTCTCGAAACTTGAGAGCCGTCAGGAGATGGCAGCAGTCAAGACGAATTGTTTGGTGGGGGGAATGATCGGGCGTGCACCGGCGGATTGGCTGAACACGAGGGGGTTTGTTGGGGGTTGCGATTGTCCCGTGGTTTGGATGTATTGCGTAGCGACTCGAAGCGGCCGGTGTAGAACAGTGGCAGGCTGGTGTGTGGAAAGGAAGATGAAGTCGATGTGTGTCCAGGAACCAGAAGTGTTGGAATGTGTGAGCCGTGGATGTACGAGTGTGGGATTGCGGAACAGGCACAGGAATGTCCACTGTGTCCACGGACGGTGGCTGTGGAGGAGCGAGACACGACAGAAAGAGGAGCTGCGAGCTGGACACTTTTTTTTTTCTGGTCAAGGGCCAAAATTATCCAGATGGACGAGACAACCTGCTGATCGAGCCCAGTCCACCCGCCGCCCACCGCGTCCTCGTTGCCGTCCGCCTCTCACGCTCGCCCAGGCTAAACTCGTTCCGCTGTCTTCTGACCTCTGGCAGCCTCTGTGTCTTTCACTGGTTCCTTGCTTCGCTAGCTGCGGGGTCAGCCCGTGCCTGGGCCTGAGCGTCTGCAGGGAATTAATTCTCGTGGCTCTGCCCTAGGCCAGTCTATTGGTGTCGGTCTCAGCGACAGCAGCGCCAGCAGCGCCAGGAGAGATTGATCTTCTGGGTGCGCGATAAGCAGTACCTGATGACAAAACAGCGTGCCGGAGAATGGTGGTCGCGCCAGGAAATCTGCGAGTGCCTATGGTATGATTCCACCGAATGCGCAGATGCAACCCAATGCACCATCGACCCAGCCAGATGTGTAGGATCACGGCGAACATGGGCACGAGCATACCTGATACTGTCATGCCAGGCATGGGGGCGCTTTTGGAGTATCAACGAGACATGGTCATGGGTCAGGCGAGCCAGGCCACTACACGCCATCAGTCTCGCTTCGTACCTGACTAAAAGCTTTACTCGCTTGAAGCTTCGACGTGCTACAGCCATTGCGCCCCTCACGAACCGCATCGGCATCGTCAGAACGGCTGTTTCATTGTATTAATATATGAACTAAAGACGGCAAATCCGAGACGGTTGTTGCTCGTCAATGATACGGATCCAAGTTTAGATCCACTCGTATACTTGTACAGACATGGATGCAAAGCAAGGGACCTCCTCCGCACCATGCGAGGAGCTTGGAGAAGGACGAGTTGGATAGCACCAGGCCAGCAAACGCGAGCCCAGAGCCTGAGTTAACGCCCTATCCCTGCCCTCACGGTTGATTGAGAGTGGCAAAGATGATACTGGGCCATCCTTCCGGTACTCGTACCTCTCCCTCCGCGACAGTCGACGAGTGCTCCAGCTACGAGTCGACATAACTATTGGATGCCGATGCCGTATAATATGGGGTCGGAGCGAGAGCCATGCGTCTCCGGGCAGAGAGCACTCAAAACACCTATGCACAGATCATTCGCGGCGACCTTGGTAAGCCCGGTCTGGGATAGAAGTAGATCCCTACTGTACGCGTGCAGCACGGCAAAGGCGATGTCGTGGCTCTTGAGGACGTGTGGAGAAGCATAGGGCTCTTGTCGAACCAGAGCTCAGGTTGCCCGTCGACAGGTACCCAGGCATCCAGGCATGCACTCTATGCGAACAGTTGCAGCAAGGTACGCCAGCGCCTGTACCGGAGTACGAGTGCAGGTAAAAGCCTAATACCTGAGGCACCGGCCGTTCTTCTGACTGGCAGTTGGCCTGGTCGCCTGATAGCGGCGCAAGCCCCAAAATCACGCACTGTCGAGTCCACAATTCCGTCATCGGCCTGACCTGTGCAAGATACGGCCAGGTCCCGTGGCCATTCAATAGCGCCAGCATCATGAACAGTGTGCCCGTTCGGCTTCGGGCCTTGGTCAGCCTGGATCCTGGAACTGCGTCATCCTCTCTCGAGTGTACCCCGTGCTTGTACGGAGTACCGTTTACGAGAATACTTATGCCGGAGGAGGTGCATGATCAATCCCGCGACGAGACGAGGGCGCCGCTCCTGGAGCAGCGATACACTGGCCTAGTGTCTGACAGCATGGGACCACTTGGATACTTTCTCCGTGTACACACGGACGTTGGTCAGACTTTCTTTCAGAAGGACAATCCCTCCCAAACGTACGGCTCTCCCGCTGACTATCACTTGTTGATCTCACCTGGGTTTTTTTTCCCTTCTTTTTTTTTTTTTGATTTTTTTTTTTTGATTTTGGCATGCCACAGTCACACACCGAGCCACAGAGACAGGGGCTAGAGCAGTATTCAAATATCCAGATGAACCCTTTGGTCGTTAGCTTCGTGCTTCCCCTCTTTGGACTCCTCTGGTTCCACAAAAGTAGCAGATGTGACCGCGAAAGGACAGCCATCCTAACCTCGATCGTGTTACGGAGCACACTAAATGGCGGGGTTTCATGCGATTCCTGGTTTGGTTAGGTTCCCCAGCTGTGGCAAGCTATCGTACTAGCCAGGTTGTTGAGAGCGGGTACAAGCACGAAGCAGCATAAGGAGCACTGTGTTTCGGAATACGAGTACCGGCTAATGTATGCATGGAGAAATCGTGAATCGATCGTGATCTTTTTCTGCAGAGGGCGATCTGCCATCAACAGGAAAAAATCACTTATTCACGGCCTTTCGAGGTTTGGAAAGCACATGTTGTTAGCCTCCAGCGCAGGCTAGTGAGCTGCTGCCGATGTCGGTTTCTTGTGTGGCGCCTAAGCCCCTGTGTTATCTACAGACTACAGTCCACTATCAACCGGTTTTATTGCACACTGATAAGGCGTTGACAGCAGCCCCTGTCAATATTGTTTGGCACCCGAGGTAAGGATACGGGGTAGAGTACCGGGCTCTGCAAATGCCGAGACGGATGTTGTGTGTGTGTTCGGACGGGACTTCTTGTAACTCCAACGGCAATTACTCTTCTGAGATGCTGCCCGTGTCAACCCGGAAGGACTTGGCTGGGGTCAGCATGGAGAACGCACACCACTGTACGGATACAAGTTTGGGGAATGAATTGGATACGTGAAAAAAGGACATGTTCTGCGCACTATGGATGGAGCCACTGCGATGTGTCCCTTGGCTATGGACTATTTCTGCATTTGTGGGTTTGACACACGGCCTGAAGCCATCGTCCTTGCAGTGGGCTACGGAACTGAGCGAACATTACCTGTTTATTTGTGCACTCGTACCGACAAGCTCTGGCTTCACCGGTGAGTACTTGAAGACTTCTCCCTGTACGATACGTAGCCTTGACGACAAAAGAATCAACATTGCGTTCTCTACAGAGTAGACGAGGAACGTCGTCGACGTGTGTGGCCTTTGTCATGATGATCAGGTTGATTGCCACGCCGGAAAGCCATGCGATTGGTGTTCTCTGCAGGGAACGGTATGTGTCTACAACAGATCTCGAAGAGGAGGTCGTGACCCAGCTGCTCTGGCAGCATACGAGGTACTCAGCTTGTTGGACTGTAGTGCACCAACCCTTCACCCTGAGCTCGAACTTCGTCAATATAACAAGATCGCGATCGTCGTTCTCTACTGCAGGCACTCCCACCAGTGCGTCTCTTGGCTGTACCTCTTCCACGGCTCGAGAGATTGTACAAAACTGACGCCGGGAGTTACAATAATGTTCTGCTCCTTACAGGACATTGACCGGAAGAAGTATGTTCTGTTTTGCCTCTACCGATCTCAGGGCGAATGGCTATTTAGAGAATCTCACCTACAGGATACTCGCATCGATATCTCCATTTCCTTACTAAAGTTTCCGCCACGCGAGTCCGATGACCTCTTAGCGAGCTTGGTGAACGGTGGAAGACCCGTCTATTGGGCTCAACTCTCCGAGGGCTACGGAGGTGACGAGATGGGCTCCTGACGTGGAAGCGTTCACACCAAGTGTTTTGAGGCAGCAGTCGATTGTGTGGGCGGACTCTGGTGTTACCCATGGTTGCTTTTGTGGCGTCTTGTTGCTTCTGGCTCTGGCTCCGGCTCTGGCTGATAGCTGAGATTGAGTGCTCTTCGCCTAGTCAAGGACCAAGACCGCGACGAGAGTGATAGTGATATCCACATGCCCCTGCCGAGTGTTTATTCGTGGCCGGTAGGAACATGTTCGTGCCATGGTTGATGGTCTGTCCGCCATGGCGTCCGCCACCGGAAGATCATAAAAACAATCAACAACTCATTTATTGAACTCTGAAAAACCAGCCTCAGCCGGTGCCTCTTTTCCACCTGCCAGAGACCACAACGTGCCTTGTCTTTGCACGAGTGTTTGTTGGACCAACTGTACGCCTACACCCCCTTTATTAGGTATTGTTCTAGGCCTTCTGGGTGCCTGGATCCCCCGCATCCGCGCCCTTTGCCGAAGCTCCAGGGGCCAGGGGCCCGAAACTCACCACCAGCCTCCACCACGACATAACAACAGTCTCCCGCTCTCACACACTTCCGGCCGCTGTGTTTCTGCCTCCGCACTTGGGGCTTGCGCCTGCGGCCCCAAACAAAGACACTGTCGAGACGCGGCCACCAGTAAGAAAGCTTCCAGCAAATGGCGGCGCAACAGTCGTGGGCAGCATGGCTGCTCGACTCGTACGCCTCGTCGGTGTCTCCAGTGGCTTCAGACTCTCCCTATCGTCACCACGAAGCGTCCGACTCAATATCCGAGCCTCCACAAACGACGTCTTCCATGCCCTCAATTTCCAATTCCTCCGCCTATGGCCCCTATGTACGTACTGGCCGCGGGGGAGCGGGCAATTTCACGTGGGAAACCAACCTCAAGTCCCGAACGGTATCCGAAATCGACCTCGAAGCCCAGAACACGAAGCACTCGTCCCTTGCCGACCGTCGGAAAGCGGCCGCGAAGCTAGAAAACATCAATACCGAACGGGACGTCAACAGACAATACTCCGGGGGCTTTCTTTCTGTCGGCCGCGGCGGTGCAGGAAACTATGCTTCTACCCGAGAAATCGCACCTCCTAAACGAAGTCCCAGTTTCCCAGTTAGCATTATTAGCGCAGGCGCAAGCAGAAATACCAGCCCGACCAGTCAATCGTTTGTGCATCCAGGTCGAGGAGGGGCAGGGAATTATGCAAATGCAGCTGACATGACAACGCGCAACGAGACCGAGAAAGAGCAGGAGGAGCGACTTGCCGCAGAGCAGAGAAGGGAACAGATCGCTGAACAAGTCGACGGACTATTACAACCACCACCCGGAGCTTGGCTTGGTGGACGGAGAAAGAGCGAGGTTGCATTTTAAGCCGTCTGATCTTGCGTATAACGGCCATTTCATCAACGATGGATTAGACGAAACAAAAGCCCGAGGGGCGAGATTTAGGCCACTGAGAAGGAGCACCGTCGTGTCGACCAACTCGACTCCCAACCGTAGCCGTCGAGATTGGTCCTGGGTCTCAGAATTTGCTACACTGCAGCACAAGGCTGCGATACATTACGAGAGAGCTGCATGTACTCCATGGTGCTCCTCGCGTAAAATCGCGAACAATGGGCCGATGGAAGTTGTCATTTGACGGGACTTACGACAGCATCGAGTCCAGCATGGGATTCATGGTCACCATCCCTATTCACGACTCTACCCACCCTTGCGGTTGACGCTCTCGAGTAGGAACTCGATATCATCTCGAGACACTTCCACTGGACGAAGCAGGAGCTTCTCCAATGGCCACTATTGTCAAAGTCGGTCCCCTGCGGATTGAGGCAGCCCCAGGCAGCCCCTTAACCGGGGTTGGTTTCAGACTAGACTTATCGACCAGGACTTTGACGAGTGACAACGCCTGCTCAACGTCGATCTAACCTTTGCTGTCACGTTTCCATCCTCGGCATGGAACAGGAGTACAGCAGTGCCTACATTCTGTTATATATCAATGTTGTTGGGTATTGTATCGCTTGAGCGTTATAAGCTGCTTGACGTGCACGGAAGTTACTCCTCTCGCAAGCCTTTGACACGAAGTTGTGATGGCTGTCTACTTGCGCCCGGTTCAATTTGATGCTCAGAAATTACATTGAAAGCAAGAGGTCCATTTGTGCTCTGATCACATATCTATGGCTATATCTACCAATTTTCCCTTGACTCGACTTTCGCAGAGTATTGTTTTCTGAAACAAAAGTCCACCACGTTTGTCCATACCGGAACCAAAGTAGGCGTCCAGCCGTTCATAGGTCTCCAAATGGCAGAGGCACGGATCATTGTTCATGCCACGCATCTTCCTAGTTCTAACTAAAGACTTTGTCAAAGTACTTCATGAACTTGTTCCTACAATCACCGTCATTAGCAATCACAATCGCCACCATCCCGATGAGGAGGGTTGGCTTACCTCGGCGGCTTGGGTGTGTAATTCCTCTCATACTCCTCAATCTCATCCATGTCCTTCCGCAGATCAACCTCCTCTGGTTTCAGCCACTTCGTCTTCTTGACGAACTTCCAGCCGAGGAACAGGACCGGGAAGACGCCAATCATGGTGTAACTGAAGAAAAATGTCGGTACATCCCAGAATCCAGGCAAGAAGACGGTATATCCGCCTACAAACGTCATAATGAAGCAGCCGACCAGAGCGTAGTAGGCCGAGAAAGGCTGCCACCATGACTTATAAGGCAATGTGTTGCGATCGATGCCTTGCGCTTCGAGAGCTTTCTTGAATTTTATAAAAGTGAACGCCATGACGGAGAAGTTGATCAATTGCGAAGCAGTCACCTAGGCACACAGGAGAGCTGTGGTTAGCGTCATTGGGTTCATAGTGTTCCTTCAGGGGCACCCATCACGATTGAACTTGTCGCCTTCGTCCAACAGGATGGAGGAAATAGACCGCAAGAGAGGTTACGACCATAGAGCCTCACTTACCAAGTTGACAAACCAACCCAGCACTACCGCTGACCCCGAACTGACTTGCAAGAAGCTCAGCAGACTGAGCAACAGTACCAAGGCAACACAATAAATCGGCACACCATTCCTCGTACATCGAGTGAAAATCTTAGGTGCCTTGCCTTCCAGGGCGAGACCAAAAAGACTTCGACTTGCGCAATACACATAACTGTTGCCTGCAGAGAAAGCACTTCCCAGGACCATGGCATTGACAATATGAGGCAGCACCTTGATCCTCAGACGGTTCATACTTACCACGTATGGACTGGCGGCGGCGCCTGGCTGTCCAGTCGAAAACGCAATCGACAATTCCTCATCGTTGTAGGGTACAAGAATACCCACGCACAAACTACCTAGCATGAAGAAGGTAGTCAGTCGGTAGAAGACGGCCTTGAATGCCCTGGGCAGAACGTGGCGTGGGTTCTCAGCCTCGCCAGCGGCCATGCTGACGTAGTCGGGTCCTGCGATGGTGAAGGACGCTTGAATGAGACACTGCAAGAAGCCTAAGAACCGACCCAGGCTGCCACCATAGTAAAGCTCGGTAAAGGAGCCCGGGTCGTTCCAGTAGCGGAACCCGAACCGATCGCCCAGTGGATTTCCGCCTAGCATGACGATAAAGGTGTATATGATGAGGCCAACGATGAGAAGGACCTTGCCAAGGGCGAGCCAGAATTCGGATTCTCCATACCATTGCACGGCGAACAGGTTGATGAGGGCGTAGCAACAAATAACGATGGCGATGATGCCTCCCGCAGGGACAATGTCGGACCAGAAATGGATGATGACGTTGCAAGCGACGATTTCAAACGGAACCAACATGGCTTCAAAGATGAAGAAGTTGTATCCTGCGGCGACCCCAAAGGCTTCATCGACATAGCGACCTGCAAATCGGATGAAGGGACTGGAGATGGGCAGGTAAGTGACCATCTCTGCCATGCAGTTTGTCACACAGAGGATGAACGAGCACCTGTGAGCGAAACGTTAGTCCAAGATGCGACTTTCTCGGTAGCTCATTGGTTTGGTTTCAATCTTATGAGGTCTGCTTAGGCACGCAGATGGCACCCCTCGACGACCTTCTGTGGCCATTCTCGAGTTCTTGTCTTGCAGCATTGATCAAGCCTTATAGCCAAGCTCGAATACGAGGTTTTCCATGTCTGAGGAGTCTACCAAGCCTCGCGGCCGACGCCACGGCTTGATAGATCTTGGGCCAGGGCCGGAGTCTCCACGGCCGGAGTTGTTTCGTTCCCAATACCGAACAGGCTCCGTGAATTGGATTGCAGATGTGTCAAAAAGGAGGAAATGATTCACTCACCAGATAGTAAATGCCAGGAACAAGCTTCCCGGTCCACCATTCAATAAGCCTCTGCCGATCTGCACGTACAGGGCCGTACCGATTGTCCCTCCGATACCGATGAGCTGGATATGCCTCGGTTTCAACTTTCGATGGGTAGAGTCGTGCCCGGCCTTGACGCTCGCGTCATCCCCAGGTGTAGCAATTCCGTAGTTGGCCTTCAACGAGGCCACGACCGAGTGTTTCCTGCCCGCCGAATTCACCGACCCCCTTCGGAAGTTCTCCTCGTCGCCGTCATCAGCATGAGAGCGGACGCCACGGGCGATTGGGGTCTCGTCCATTACGTGAGGCGGCATCGAGCCCTCGACGATTCCTTTCTCGTTGTAGCCATAGTCGCGTGAGGAGGAGGATGGCATGTCGGGCCCAAAGAAAGGTATCACCGCAAAGCAAGGAACACGTACGACGCGACAGAGTTCACAGTCTATGCCAGCATGCGAGGGTAAAAAGTGGACGGCGACACACGGAGCAAGGGGAGCAAAAGTTCCCGAACTTCAACCTGACGACACGGACGTTATATACCTAGACAATGGCACAGGGCACCAGGGCTTTGCTCGCCTATTATGTGCTAGTTTGCGAGTGCGAGGCGCAAGATAAAAAAGCCCTGCCCAGAATACTCAAAAGGATCTCAGGGTCGATCATGATGCAGCTCGACCCAGGTGTCCATCCAGACGGGCGCGCGCGCGCGCTGCTGGGCGGCGTGGTCCAGATATTTTCAGCTCTTTTTTTTACTGCACCTTGCACGTTGCAGGGTGGGCTGATGGGACGATCCTGGAACACCAAGAGGATCGAAGGGTTCTGGGCAACGGGCTTATCTGAAAGGAGGCCCCCCAGAGCGGTCGGTTCTTCCTGGTGTCATGGTACAGTAGGAAAGGGTGGTGGTCTTGGTGGAGGAGGAAACAAGGAGGATGGACACCTGGAGACTGGAGTCCCTGGTGAAAAGCCACTTCGCACGTCTCGGCTGACGAGCTCAGCGCATCCACACGTGCTTGGCGGTTCACGCGATGCCTCGTTCTCGTAAGGGTCGTATGTAATTGAACGACGAGCCAGAGGCGACATGGACTTCGCCGCCGCCCTTTTTTGTGGTCCATCAGCCGTGCGAAGCTCCCAAGCTCCCAAGATCCCAAGATCCCAAGCTCTTTAAAGCGTCTCGGCATCACGACACGGTGCAACGATCTAGACGTTCGTTCCTTGTCATTTCCACAATACTGCCAATTGCAATACAGTCTGGTGGTCTTAGTCAATCATACCCTGAGATCTGTTAACCCCACCGACAATCTATCGCTTTTCGAGACTCTCCCCATTTGTTTATCCTATCTCTGTTGTTTTGGAGATTATCGATACTACTGTACCGAACGAATACGGTGCTGTGTAGCAATCCGGATTCGCTAACTTGTATTTGGTATCTCGGTCCCTGTCCCTGTCCTTGATCTTGTTGGCTGCCGCTGCTGCTGCGGCGGCAAGTTTGCAAGTCTCAAGCTTGCAACCACAAGAGTCCCTCTTCATACTAACTCGACGTGGTCAAGTGGTCCAGCTCTTTTTCAATTCCCACCACGACGCAAGGCTCGCCGGGAAAACCATCGTTCATCCGGTGCGGGATCCAAGAGGAAGGACGGAAGGACGGGGATTGATCGCGGGCCACCAGGTATCCTCCCTGTGCGTGCATCGAGGTACACAGAGTTTAGAGGAGAGCATACTCCGCAAACCAGTGCGTTTGTGTACCCTCGAGAGAGCTTCATCGACCCGATCGGACGACCACCCCTGGACGAGACTGCGGGACGCTTATCTATTCAACAGGGGGTCTCTCGATACGATCTGCCTGGTTTTCTTGGGACATTTGTTTGGTGGTCAATCGTCAACCGTCATGTCGTCGATCTCTTTGCGGCTGACATCGTTTCTGGGGTTGTTTCTGCTTTTGTGTAGCAGCTCAGTGGTGGTGGCACGGGAAATTGGTTTCCCTCCACTCGCACCGTTGCAGGCAAACAATGGTCATGCTCAGTATAGATCGTCTTTCAACGATGAGAAGCAGTCTCTTGTTGATCTTGATAAGTTTGCCGGCTTGACTACTTTTTCCAACCTCCCCTGGGTCCATTGCTTGTCGGAAGAGGCGGACGTGGAAAAGTATGACATTGCCTTTCTGGGAGCTCCATTCGACACGGCCACTACTGGAAGACCAGGAACCCGGTATGGGCCGACGGGGATTCGACTGTAAGTTTATGATGAACACTTCATATGCTTTTGTTTCGGTTTGCTCTGTTTTCTGTCTTTCTGCGTCGTCCTGTATTGGTTTGCATTGCACTTCAGTCTTTCGAGTCCGTGGGATCTGACCTTGCGGAATTCGTAGCGGCTCTCGACGGATTGCTGCGACCTTCTCCTGGAGTCCTTATACTCACGACAACCATTTTCTGCATTGGGCGCACATCGTAGACTGCGGAGATGTGCCCATGACGTTTCTGGACAATACCGTAGCCCTGAAACAACTGGAAACCGCTCATAAGATCGTCTCACGACGGCCGTCAAACGCAACGGAGGTCTCAACGGTCCCTCGCATCATCACACTCGGTGGCGACCATACCACGACGCTAGTCGCCCTAAGGTCGACCTTTGACCACTGGGGACCCGTCAGCGTCATTCACTTCGACAGCCACATCGACACCTGGGACCCGAGCGTTCTCGGAGGCGGGTTTTCAGACTACGCGGGGTTGAACCACGGGACGTTTCTGCACATTGCACACGAAGAAGGGCTGATTCTCAACACTTCAGCACACGCGGGGATTCGAGCACCTGCGCTCAACAAGAAATACGACTGGAAGAACGACAAGCGATGCGGGTTTGAAATCATCACGGCTCGAGATATCGACAAGATCGGCGTTCAGGGCGTCATCGAGAAGCTCAAGGCCCGCGTGGGTGACACGAACGTGTACATCTCGGTCGACATTGACGTCCTCGACCCTGCTTACGCGCCGGGCACCGGGACGGCCGAAGTGGGTGGATGGACGACGCGGGAACTCCTCAGCATTCTCGATGGACTCGAAGGGTTAAAGGTCGTTGGCGCCGACGTCGTCGAAGTGGCGCCCGTCTATGACAATGCGGGAGAAACGACGGTGCTCGCGGCCGCCGAGGTTGCCGTTTCTCTGATGGGGTTGATGGTTGAGACTCCTGTGAAGCCTTTGTCGAAGGAGAAGGAGTAAAGAACTGTGTTGACAGAGAACCTGCGACTCACTCAACATATCACAGTAGGTGGGTTGCCCTTGTCAGGTGTACATGGGGATCGATTTCAAGTCAACTGCGGTACTCGGGTGGACTCGAGTGGCATGAAAGTAAACTACCTGTGATACACTCTTCGTCGGAACCGATGTTGTACTGTAGTACTTGTCTGATCAGACTAAACTCGCTTACCCGTTTCGTACCGAGTAAGGCTGTAATTAGTATTCGACATGGGAGGAGATGTCTGTGGACGCTTTGAGAATGACTGTTCCAGTACCACTCGGGACTAGCTGAACCTGGTACACTACCGAGTATGACGGAAAGATGCGCATGGAGCACTGGTGAAGGTGGAAGGAGTCTACAGTAGAGTGTGAACTGGAGAGATTCTTTGCTTCGTTGCGTGCTCCGGGCATCTGGCAAACGCCATTTCGGGATACGAATACGAATACGAACAACCCCGCGATTCCAATACGAACCACCCACCACTACACACCACACCCATCAGATACCGAGTAAAGTGATTGACTGATTGACCCCTCCATCATCCCTCCAACTGTGCTGTTCATTCATCGGCACAACCACCAGCACCAGCACAAGCTCGTCGATTTGCTCTTGGGAGTCCAGACCTTGGCCTGGACCTACAACCCAGTCCTATTCCTCTTCCTCCCCCCTACTCCGACCCGTCCGCATCACTGACAAAACGTATGTAATCGTTCCCCAATCTGGAAAAGGTCACTCGAGCACTTGTTGGTGTCGCCCTCAATTGCATTTCCTCTTCCTTACCTCTAATAAACCACCTTGTATCTGTAGCTACACCCTTCGACTTTCCGATCCTTCACTCCGGATTCTGTACGGTCAATCAACCCTGCATCACTCATACTCGTACCATTCGTGCCCCTCACCGCGTCCTCTGTAACCACCCTCCGCTTTGACCTTTACAAACACCGACGGATCCCCGGCCGAGCCCAAGCACTGTCCTAGTATTCCAGAGTTGCAATCGTCGCAACCATGACAGACCCAACCTCACCCAGTCCCTATTCCGAGAACAAGAGATTCGAACCCAAAGTCAAGGTCGAACTAGATCCGCCAAAGGATACTCCCATCACCCTCGAAGAGCTGAGCACACACGACGGTAAGGCTGTCGATGCAATCTAAAACCCTCAAGATTGCGTATTCCGTTTATCCTACAAATACCCTTTGGTACAGACGAGTTGCATGCGCATGCGGAGGCGGATGGTGTCTTCTGGAGTTTGCAAGACCGACGAGTGAACAAAAGGCTAATACGACGACTGCGTTTGCGTGCGTGTGTGTAACAGGTACGAATCCCGATAAACCAACCTACGTCGCTATAAAGGGAACCGTGTTCGATGTCTCCAAGAACTCGGCATACGGTGAAAAGGGTCAATATCATGGTACGCATTGGCGCAAAGCCCCTCACTTCCTTCTCGCTCATCCGCAAACACATGTTATTGTGTTGTAAATCCCTCCGCGGAGATACAAAGGTTTAGGCTTACCATTATGAGTGACGGCACGTAGTCTTTGCTGGAAAAGACCCCTCTCGCGCCCTCGCGCTCTCGAGCTTGAAACCCGAAGACTGCGTTCCGGAATGGGACGACCTCGACGACAAGTACAAGACCGTCCTGGACGAGTGGTATACCTTTTTCAGCAAACGATATAACATCGTGGGCAAGGTCAGTGGTTCTGATGATTCTTCCGAGTCTCACAATAAACTTTGAGAACGAATTCTTCTTGTTTCCCACCGCGTGTTGCCGTTTGCGCGGGATTTCAACGAGTGGAGAGGGGAAGAGAGAGAGAGAGGGAGAGAAAGAAAGAAAGAAAGATAACGGAAATGGATTGAGATACGATGATGAAGAAGAAGTGGCACAGGGAGAGATGGGCGCAAAGGAAGACGGTCTCAGACGGAGCCAAGGGAGAGGAAGAAGAGCAAGAGAAGCGAAGAAGACAAACCGATAGAAACACCACCTACACAAAAGCCCACTTCTACACCTTATCTACGTACTCGATTCGTGTTGCATACAGAGATCGGGAAAGAGGAAAGAGAAAAGAGGAAACAGAAAAAGATGTTTTGGGTTTTTCTTTTTGAGCCGTTGAGCCGTGGAATCGTTTTACTTGTTCTTGACTTGTTTTGTTAACTCTTCTTCTTTTACTGGGCACAAGTTGCCGGTTGCGGGTTGCACGTTATGTTACTAATTCGGATCGTTTTCTCCATACAGGTCGACGGTGCTCACAACGAGGGCAGGGACAAAGGAGGCGTCACGTCGGATCCTGAGTGAAAGCATTACCTACCTAGGTAGGTCTCCACTCAGTACCTAGTCATCTACTTTTGGCGACGCGTCTTGTTTCGGTCATTCCGTACGGTATCCTACGTAGCTATGTACGTAGGTATGTAACATACCACTTCTTGCGCTACGCATCGGATCCGTCGACTCGGAAAAGGCGAGGGGAGAGAGAGAGAGAGAGAGAGAGAGAGAGAGAGCAAGTGGTATCTACCTACCTAAGGTAGCTAGGTGGTACAGTATAGTAACTAGCACAGTTCAATACAAAGTCAAAGTACCTTACTGAGGTACCTCACCAGCAAAAGAAAACCCGTCGCTTGCCTTCCCCAAAGGTACATATACGTGACCTAGGTGTACAAGGTACATTTGGCACGAGAATATGAACGGATGCTGTTAGTCTATCTTTTGAATGCTACTAGGTACCAAGTAGGAGGTAGAAGTTGAGGAATTTCAAGTAGCCTACCGACTACTGTGCCCACCTAAGTATATATAGGAAGCATCCATCCATCCGTCCACCCATCAACCTTTTCTGTTCTTCCTCGCTTGTCGTTTCTTTGCTATAATACGATTCCGCTTCGCAATACTGTTCTTTTCATCCTCCTTGACCGCATCGCCAATGTTCTTCTTCTCCTTCTTTTCACTTTCTCCTCCTCCCTCTGCTTCGCCCTCGCGATGCTTCCTCTTCTTACTTCCTTTGCCCGCTTTCGCTGGCCCGTCGCGCTGCTTCTTGTCATCACCTGCATTCTCCGAGTGTGCTTTCTTCCCTCTATTCTCCTTGAATCTGCGCTCCTTCTCATTTCGCCGTTGAATGACCTGTGCGTTTTCAATCGCAAACTCCACAATCAGTCTCTTTCCTCGTTCCCCATCGGCCGATTTCACCATGTGACCATTGAGCCAGCGCAACCCGGCCAAGGCGTTACGGTGACTTGCATACTCGATGAACCCATATCCTCGACTCCGTCCAGCCCCGTCTTGGACTTTACTCCCTTTCTGGTCTTCGAAGACCACCTTGGCCTGTTTGACGATTCCCTTGCCGGCGAACCTCCGCTGCCGTTCTGCCTCTTTCATTTCTTGACCTTCTCGGCGGATTTCCTCTTTGCTCAGAGGTTGGCGCAGACCAGCTTTGACATCCTTAGCAAACCCGACGACCGCTTCTCGAGCCAGGGCTTTGAGTTGTTTGCTGTCGACGTGTCTCGGGAGATTCCTGACACTCAAACGAGTCAGGCTCAAGCATAGGTTCGGGTTGTTCTTGATGATGCTCTGTCGCTGACGGGCGCTGCTTTCTCTGATGTCGATTTCCGTCTTTCCGAGCAGCTCGTACAGCTTGGACCCTCGTGGGATCGACCCTTCTGACAAGAGATAGAGTCGGCGTTTGTCTCGGTCACGGATATCTCTTTTCTCGCTTGCCTCGGCTGCTCTTCGATCCGCATCACCTCTGCTAAGTGCCCTTGATACCTGTAGAACCCGACCCTCGAGCGTGTAGCGACCAGATGGATCCGTCGCTTCATTCTGCAGGATCGAGTGCTTCATGGCTTCTCCCTTGCGCTTCTTCTCATTGTCATTGGCTGCTGTCACAGAAGGAGGCTTTGGAGCATCCTTCACGCAAGCCTTTGCGTCGTCCACCTTGTAGAAGCAAACAAAGGCGGTGCCTCTGGATCGTTCTGTCTCCTGGTCGTACACAACACGCGCATACCTGACAGGTCCAAACGAGGAGAAGTGTTCCTTGAGACTGTCATCGTCTGCAGTAAAAGGCAAATTCCGGATGAAAACCGTGCTATCATTCCTTCGGTCGTGCTGTTCCTCATCCTCACTCGCGTCGACCTCTGAGTCGTCTTCTTCCAGATCAACACGATCAATGTCATCCACGACCTCGTCATCTGAGTCATCTTCAGGAACAGCGTCGTCGTCGTCATCGTCGTCGTCAATATGCTCATTGATATAGGAATCCTCGGCGATGTCGGAAGCAGCTTCCGCAGCAGCATCCGCATCTACCGTCTGAGATGGTGATTTTGAGTTGTCATGCTGATGTTTCTGTTGTTTTTCCCAGGTCTCCTTGTCGACTGCCCAATCGACCGCAAGTGTCCGTCCATCGACCTCTTTACCATTGACGCCGGCAATTGCACGCTCTGCGTTCTTCTTGCCTCGCAACACTACGATGCCGAACCCGTATTGTACTCGAGGACCCTTTTGTGGGACTACTGCATGCTTGACCTTGCCATAACTGCGGAACAGCACCGCTAGATCGTCCCCGGTCTTGATGCTCCACGGCAAATTCCTCACAATCAATCTTGGTGGCTGCTCCTGGGTTTTTTCCTTCTCCCGCTGCGCCCGCAATTCTGCCGCAGTTCGATTCTGACTGGTCTTCAAGCCTTCCTCTGTTTCTCTGTGTCTGGACAGCGCAGCTTCCACCTTGATCTTTCTGCCATCTAGGGTGGTGTTGTTGAACTGTTCGATTGCGGCCTGAGCGTCTTCGGCATCCGCAAAGGTCACGAAACCGAACCCCTTGGATATCTTTGTCTCGGGATCGACTACCACAATGGCATGTTTCAGAGGGAAAGACTGTGAGAAGTGTTCGGCGAGCCGTTCTGTCGTGACGGAGGCAGGGAGGGAGCGGACGAAGAGCGAGTTTCGCTGTTCTTTGGGAGGCGCACCATCCTGGACGACTGGCTTTTCAGCACTCGAAGGGACGGTCTCGTAGTTGTCATCCGACAGCTTTCTCCTCTTCGTGCTCGAGGCCATTGTTCTCTAAGTGTCTGGTATTGTGTGGTCAATTGTTGTTACCTTAGCCAGACATCGAAAAATATAAAACCCGCCGACTGAAGTTTCCAAAACCAAAAATTTCTCCAACTTCAGATTCTCCGCATCTGGCCACGCCGCTTTTGCAAGCATTTGGGCTGTACCTGTTCGCGAGGGACGTGCCGGCCTGAGGGAGGTGAAGACGTACGTTACTTCGCAGGTAGGTACAGGTGAACGAAAGGTGCTAATGAAGGGCATCTGCTTCCAAGCAGATCGCATAATTGAGTCGCAACAGAGTCCTCACGCCCCCGCCGCGCAGAGACTGTCCTGTCCACCATCTGAACGGTCCTCGAAGTCCTGTACCATGCTAAACACACCAGGCACACATCAACCGCCTGCGACTTGACACAGAGAGTCTCAATACACTCGTCCAGGTCCTCAAAACTGTTGACTGAGTATTCAACGCGATCTCCCTTGATCGTCGACCGAGGAGTTACCCAAACCGGTAGCGGGCTGGGGCCCAATCAGAGGGACCGGGCCTTATCTTTCGTTTGGCTCCTGGCCCAAGCCTCGCTGGAGTCTGGGCCCTGCTTCGACACCGAACAAGTACTTGAAGCTCGTCTTTTCATTATCACTCTATCAGCAGCATGCAATGCAACACCATGTAAGTCGGCCATGTCCTCTCTGAAGTTGAACGCCGAAAAGACCCGTCGTGTGGCCATCGCTTGCTCCGCATGTCAGCAGAAGCGCGTTCGCGTAAGTCCTGGCCACTACCTGCCAGCCAGCTAACGCTACTCGGACTATGTGTTCTGACATGGCCCCAGTGCGAAGGCACCGAGCCTTCATGTCGCCGTTGTATTGAGAACGGGATTACTTGTGAATATCAATATCGGGAGAATAAGCGGAAGTGAGCCACGTTCTCCTTTTAAATTCTCCTCGCGGCACTAAAATTCAAACCACAGGCCTCCAAGCAAGCGCTTTGTAGAGTCGTTGCAGGCGCGTATCAAAGTTCTGGAGTCTCAACTGAGTTTATTGGGTAAAGACACCTATGACTTGCTCTTAAATGACGACGGCCATATCCCCGGCGACGAAGCTGAGGGCATGGGCGAGACCGACGAAAGCGACGACCAGTCCGCTTTAAGTCCAATGCATGACTTCGTCCGCGAACTCGCCCACACATATGGCTCTCTGACCCTTGACGATAATGGCCAGCTGCGCTACTTTGGCCCTCAGAGCAACTTCAATCTATTGCACTCTTATATGGATCATCGCGACCGTCAAAGCGTGCACGATGTGCAGGACCACGGTGTTCCTTCCCGGACTTGGGTCACCCCCGAGATCCAGATCCCTCTGGAGCTGCAGGAACATCTCCTCGATCTTTACTTTTGCTGGCAGAATCCCTGGCTGTACCTCATCGAGAAGGAAATATTTCTTCGTGATTTCCGCAGCACCGACAGAACTCGCTACTGTACCCCGGTACTGCTCTTGGCCATCTTCTCCGTCGCTGCTCGCTATTCTGATCGAACGGAAATCCGCGCAAATCCAGCCGACCCGAATACCGCCGGCGACGAGTTTGCGCAAGCCACAAAGACATTGTTAATGATTGACTGCGAAAAGCCGACCGTTACTACAGTACAGGCCGCAGCTCTCCTGGCGCTCCGTTGGATAGCAGAAAACAACGAGCCTGCGGGATGGCTATACACCGGTGACCAAGGCTGACACTCTTGGATAGTTTCAAGTCAAACTAACATTGTACGCACAGGAATGGCGACCCGGATAGCGTACAACCTTGGCCTGAACGTTGACAGCGACAAATGGCTGAAATCCGGCCTCATCACAGAAGAGGATGCGGAAGTTCGCAAAGTAGCCTGGTATGGATGCTGGACGTTGGACAAGTATGCTCACATTCATTGACCCCAGCCACCCACATCTGACAAAATACACTGCTTCAGACTTTTTTGCCTTCACCTAGGGCGTTCCGGAACGGTGCCCGACCGCGATGTAACATGTTGCAAGCCGAGTCTCAGTAATTCGGCGGAGTTTGAGCCTTGGTCATCAGGCCAGAGCGGGCCGGGCGAGCTTTTCGGAGCCCATGCTAGGATTGCCTCAACCGCACATTACATGACCGACCACCTGAGTCTGGTTCTGCACGCGCTAGATCTGATGTAGGCTGGATTGTTGTCGCCGAGTCGCCCGGTCGTTGCTAATTGATGACAGCTACGCACCCAATAGCAAGCTGTCGGGCGCTGAGGTTGACGCATTAGTCTCGAAGACCGATCTTGCAACCAACACGTTCTGGTCCACTCTTCCAAGCTACCTACGCCTGCCGAGTTCTTCGAGAACCCGGGCTTTGCCACATATATATCAACTACAGTATGTGGGCTCCGACGGAGCGTCTCAAGTCGGCCTGCTGCTAACATTTGCAGTATACAATATCATGTGGCACAGATACTTCTACATCGACCGTTCATTGCCAAAAATCAGGCCAAGCCACGAAGCTCCAAACTGGTGTTGGACGTCGATAACATACACCTAAAGCTGTGCCGCGACTCGGCTTCGGAGATCGTGAGGCTGCTGCGAGTCTACAAGCACCATTATTCTTTGGTAAGAAAGTTCCCCTTTCCCTACACCATGAAGATGCAGGGCATCGTGTGTTAAGATGCATACCCTTCCAGCGTCTCGTTCCCGTCGGCACAGTCTCCCACACCTTCACGGCCGCGATAATACATTTGATGGACGCCACATCTGGTGACCCAACCATCCAGAAACAAGGCAACGCAAAACTTCGCTTTCGCATCTCCGCTCTTCAGGAGATGGAAACGGCCTGGTTCTGGAGCTTTCGAGCTCGTCGAGCAATCCAAATCCTCGCTAGCGCATGGCTCACTAAAGCGCCAGCAAGTCCTTTGTCAGCCTCAACAGGTAGATCACAAGCAAAGATTTCGGCTGTCACCGAATCTGCAGCAACAGCGCAACCACCTTACGACATTTCACCCCATTCTGACCCCGGCGCTGGCACGATGCCAGTCGGATTCCCGGCCACTTTCTCGGCATTCGAGCAACAATCCAGCAACGGCTCTGTGCCTGAGCTCTCCGCCGATGACCTGAACTGGATTTTCAACGTCGACGCCGCAACTAATGGGGCTTTTGATGGTCTGGGGGATTGGCAATCTTTGAATGAAACCGACATGTGGCTCAGCATGGCGGCCCAAAGCACTTTCGCAACCACCAACATGGAAACGTACCCTTATTCACCCAACGTAGAGGGCAGCACTGGTGGCTGACCAATCCGAAGCCCTTAAGTAGTAGAGCTTTATCGACTTCTACATCGGCAAATTAAAAACAACCGCAACCTAAGCACCTCGTTGGAAGAATCTTGTGAGACTCCAGACATAATTATACAAAAGGAATCATTGAGTCACCAAGTCAATGCCACAAAGATATCAAACAGCAATGGAACTGAGTGGAAAGCAGTTTGGAGCCTTGAGACCTTTTCGGCACGGTGGATTACATTGCCTTCAACTCCAAGGATGGCCTTTTCCATCGGGGCGATATCCCGGGGCATAACAACAACGTGCTACAACCGCGGTTTTGGTCGGTGCCTGCAGTGCATTCTACCACTTCTGTGTAATGGGCAACTGACTGCAAGAAACCCACGTGCGATGGCTGTCAATGTTCTGCGAACCGTCTCTCACCATTACACAGACGGAATCGTCCTGGGATATAAAGCGTATTCTGGATGATGGCGATGTTTGGGTGACTGGCTGAATAACAAGCAAGGTACAATCGCCTCTGACGACAAGACCCCGAGGCTCATAATCTAGAGGAGCCGTCTACCCAGAGAGCGACAACTTAAACCGCACGTGGCGCAAAATTTTGCTCTTCTGCTTAACTACAAACTGGCCCATGGTTGATAATCAGGACCGCAGAGAAGTCTCTGATATTGACGTCGTCTAATGCCTACGTTGCCTCCATCAAAAAGGGCGAAAACGGCGGCATCGCTCAGTAACTTCGGAAAGGCAGTCTTTTCCGCATACGATGTCCTGGTGAAGAATCAACGATGGATCATGAAACGAAAAGTCGCCGAAAGGTGTTTGAAGCAGCAGATCAGGCCATGTGGGGGAGAAGACTTACATTCCAACTGCTTGCATGCACTCAAAGACTTGAGGAACAGCACAATCAGTAGCATAAATCTTTGCTGCCACAGAGTACTCAAAGCGAGCATTGCGATCCCCGGGTCCATGTTCAAGGACATCAAGAGCCTTCCACACCAATAGGCGTGACGTGTCGATCTTGATTTTGGCGTTCATGAGTAGGTCGGCTACACTCTGTCTCTGAATAATGGGAACCGTGCCACCACGATTGTCATTTCGCGCAAATGCCAACGCACGTTCGAAAGCCGCGCGCATGGTGCCAATGGCGAAGGCTCCAACAAGAGGTGCGGTGACGCCGAATGCCTTCTCGATTATGGGTGTGGCCTGTCCACGATCGAATATCAGGTTTTCTGCTGGGACCTTGAGGTTGGTATACCTTGTGTGTGGGCCCGTCACGCCGACATGGCCCAGGAGGTCGGGCTCGCCTAGTAATTGGTAGGCTTCTGGAGGATTCGAAGCTATCACCTCCCGTGTAACAGCCAGGATCATTACATTGTCCGCAGGGTCGACGTTGGGATCCTCGGGGCCACCAGTCTCCGAGTATCGCACGCACAACAGGGAAAGTGTTGCGCCTCGGCCATCCCAGCCGGCGCTGTTTGTCGTCCAAAGCTAAACACCCACAAAGTTAATCCAAGAGATACAACTCAAACGTGAAAACAAGTGGTACCTTTTCACCGTTCACAATATAAAAATCGCCTACCTTCTTTGCCGTTACGCCCAGTCCCTTGCCCCCCTTTTCGAGAAAGTTTGCTGTACCTCCGGGCTCGGAATGCGTCAAGCTCGCCAAGTGGTCGCCTTCACCACTGATGAACGGTGCGCACCATTTTTTCTGCTGCTCAGGAGTACCACCGATGATCAGTGGCAGCAAGCCGAGCGCGACACCGACGGCGTGGATGGTAAGGCTGGCATCGACTCTGTAGTACTCTTCAAGGCAAATGGCCACATCGAGCCACGATTCACTCGCGCCACCGATGGCTTTTGGGAGCATCTTCTTGACAAAGCCAGCTTTCACAGCCTTTGCATAAAAGGGCCTCGTGGCGCGGAAACGGGCCAGCTGGTCTGCATACTTGGAGTATGACTCGTAGGCTCCTTCCAGAAAGGTCTTGGCCAGAGCAGCCGCCTCAGCGCGCACTGTCTTTTGTCTCTCGGTGAGTGCAAATTGAGACATGGCTGGTGGAAGGAAAAAGTATTGACTATGATGGTGATGGTGTTTGAGAGACAACAAGCCAGATTCGTTTGTGTTGTTTTAGTTGCGAACTGATGTCTGGATCGAATCTGTACTGTGCTTCTGATGTGGCGGAGGGATTTTTCTTAAGTAGTTACGCGGTATGGACTCACCAGGCTGATGAGCGATAGCAAGATAGCTGTACCGAATTATCACGAAGCTTTACTGTGCACTCTGCATTGGAGATCGCTGGTTGTGCACGGTGGTGCACGGTGGGCACATCGAGCTCCCGATTATGATACGAGGCGGCTCCACCTGGATGAGCAATACCCAGCCAGTGACAGTACGCACAGCTAAACCCCACCTCGGGTCAGCAGTATCCTATCTCAGCATCTTCTGGGCCCCTGGGGATAGGCACTACCCTATCTCTCCCGGACGAATCGTCGTTGCAGACGACGTGCGTCTGGGGCCGAGACTTCGCAACTCCAGGCCACTCGACTGGCATTGGACGGATCTCAACTTTATCGGGCTCGAACTTATACGTGCCGTGGTACCAGAAGTGAGCATATACCAGCATCACGACGAGGCTAGCATGGAATTCTATTACACAGGATGAACTCAGTCCCTAGCCGATTGGATGCATATCTCATTATCTATCTACAATCTACCAAGCTATATTGCGATAGAATGCCACGGTTGGATCAAAAGCTAAAAGCACACGTATGCTTCGTCGTCTGCTGAGGTCTATAAATATAGGGGATAGATAATACATTGGAGAAACAATCAGAGCACCACCTGGATCCATCGTCACCTGAGAATAGCGGACAGAGTCTTTCAGTCAGTCTCGACAGCCATTGTGCAAACACCTCTCACACCATGGCATTATCTCCTTCTGCGGTTCGGATCCTGGTGAGGCTCCTCTCAACTCAGAAGTCCAATAATACAGATCTCGAGTGCTGACTTTCGAGCCTAGATCGTCATCTTCGTAGCTTTGGGCAGTCTGACCTATGGCTACTCCTCGAGCATCATCGCCACGACCCTGGGCCAACCATCCTTCATCACGTACTTTCATATGGACACCAGACCCAACGCGACCGACATCTCAGGTGCGATCAATGGCCTGTTCCAGGCGGGCGGCTTCATCGGTACCCTGGTCTGCTATCTCACCGCCGATTGGCTGGGGCGTCGCAAGGCTTTGGCGCTTTGGTCGATCGTTGCAATAATCAGCGGCGCGCTTCAGGCAGGCAGTGTCACCATTGGGATGTTCATGGCCATGCGTGGTGTCACGGGTGCCAGTATCGGTAGGGCAACTCCTTGAATATATTTTCATCCTCTCCAAAGGGTGTAGACTCTCACTCTCTCACACCCACAGATAAAGGCATATGAATGAAACAAAGAGATTTACTGACCGCTACCCTCTAGGCGCGCTCGTTACACTTGTGCCCTTATACCAGAGCGAGATTGCTCCTCCGAAGATTCGTGGACTTCTTGTTGGCATGCACGGGGGCATGATTGGCACCGGCTACATGATTGCCAGTTATGTCGGTCTGGGTTTCTATTTCGTCGACGCCTCTGGTGCACAGTGGCGCATTCCACTAGCCATTCAATGCGTTCCGCCGCTCTTACTGACTGCTGGTGTCATGCTTCTCCCCGAGACCCCCAGATGGCGTAAGCTTACCCCTTGAAACAGTGATCCAGAAGAATGGTCGTTGGTAGTTGCTAATCGGGACGGTCTTTCGAATCTGCTAGTTCTACTGAATGATCGAGTGGAAGAAGCATTCGCTGCTTTCAAAGCCACTCGCGCCGAGACTTCCGATGCCTTGCTCAGCGACGATGAGGCTATTCGAGCCGACTTTGAGCTCCTGCACCGGCAGACTGTGCATGAAGTGGCCAACGACGTTCCCTTCATCGATTTATTCCGCAAGCCGACCCTCAGAAGGAGATGCATCATCGGGTTTCTCACGACTTTTGGCTGCCAGGCGACCGCCACCATTGTGATTAACAGTAAGCTCGTCATATTCTCTCTTTCTCTCCCCGCAGTCTTGTCGTCGTGCTAATTCACACCACCTCGTTATTTAATAGATTATGGGCCTTTACTGTACAAGGGCCTCGGGTTCGGCACTGTCCAGCAGCTCTTGATCCAATGCGGCTGGATCACCGTGGCGCCTCTGGGAAACTTCATCAACGCCTTGCTTGTTGATCACATGGGCAGAGTCCGAATGCTCGGTAAGTGTTGCGTCAGCTTCTGGACTGTTGGGGCTTGCGTGCGCTTTGAATAATACTGACATTGTGGTGTTTTGGTTGAAGTCTTGGGGTGGTCCGGCTGTGTCATTGCCCTGGTCGGGGAGTGTGTCACTGTGTCGGTGTTCTCGAGAACGGGCGAGAAGGGGGCTGCTTCCGGGGCAGTCTTCTTCTTATTCCTCCATGTCGCCATCTTTACCCTCTGCTGCGACGCCACCTCATACGTTTACGCTGCTGAAATCTTCCCTACTCCGGTACGGGCCAAGGGTCTTTCCGTCTCCGTTTCAGGCTTGTTTTTCGCAACCATCATCTTCACCACGGCGGCTCCAACAGCTTTCGCCAACATTGGGTGGAAGTACTATCTGATCTTTGTGGTTTTGACCACCGTCATCACCATATATGCCTATTTCACGTTCCCCGAGGTATGGCCCACTCGTGATTCCCTGTCCAAGGGGCAAAGTTTATCACTGACGTTTGCTCCTTCTTCTTCTTCTTCCAGACCCGTAAACGCTCCCTTGAAGAAATCCAGGCAATCTTTGGCGATGCGGTGGAAGGTGTGTCCGTGGATGATGTGCCAGAACATGCAGCTCCACAAGAGACTAGTGATGAGGACAAGGACGAGAAAATCAAAGTCGACCTAAGCAAAAGCAAGCACGGTTAAGATCCGAACCACCCATCTCCTTCGCGGACTTTTAAGGTATAGGGGTGGGGTCAGAAAGGCGCGGACACATCGTACAGACAACGCGAGAATTTTTAGCAGCTTTGGTCCGGATAAAAATGGCCAATGAGTGGTCCCGTGCTAGAATTTGATTTCAGGATAAAAGTGAATCTGTAGATGGTAGATGAAGTCGGGGCAGTTTTTGAGAAGGATCGGGGAGATCTTAGCGGTGTCCTGCTCGTTCCGCCACCACGCAGTGATAGGGATTCTCGTCGCATGCTGTAAGAGTATCGAAGGGCTTCAGCGTGTGCAATGCGGTAGTCAGGATATTGTACCGACACTGCTCAGCCCATTAGTTGTCTTATTAGGGTACTTCCTTAACCAGTATCATCAAATGCTGAGCCGTAGTCTATAGCTGTATAAGGAAGCTGGCTAGAACGTCCTATGTTAACGTGAACATTCGCAGGTTGTTTCGCAACGACGGCCGTTCGAGAATCATCTTTATAGAGTTGCATTTTTCTGCGTACATCTTGCGAAGAGAGCGAGAATCGATCTAATACAAGTGGGATCTTCTTCTTGTTGGTTGGAGCCACCAGGCGATGATGATGTCGCTAAGCAATGCGGCCCTGCCGGAACCCAATCTCCAGATCTTGAATCCTAAAGATCCTACTGTCTCTCAGCCGTGGCCAGTCCCAACTACTCTCTCTTTCTTTCGCTGCTGGAGTGGGGTCCACCTCATGATCGATTTGCAGTTGTCGGGATCTCAGCCCGACGCATTCCACTGTGGCATTTCATGCACCAAGATATGTAAACACACGTGGTATGGGCCCGTCCGCCCTTCGAAACCACTATTACATTCCAATTCTAGGGATAGTCTGACAAGTTTTCTTCCAGCGATCACAACGTCGGACTAGCTAGTCCTATTGCGGGCGCCATCTCAAGGGGCGCACATATATATACACATGGATGATACATCGCGCCTCCGTCTCCAACTCCTTCGCAGCCTTTCGTATAGAATTCTGTCGATCAATCTCAACGCATAGCCGTCACAGGGGCGGACAATGTCCTCACTTTTCACAGCTTTGATATACATTTTCGCCTTTTCTGTCTATTATGCCACCAACGTCTTCCGGCATCGTCGTGTAAGTCTATTCAGCGCTTAAATCCAACTATGCAGTTCCTAATTCTTCCGCAGCATGATATGGAAATGAGAGAGACTCGCTGATGTCAAGCCCCTCCAAGGCTCTTGAATCAGAGGCCGCTTGGTTTGGATCGCATCGAGCAAATCTTCCGAGCAGACAGCGAGTCGCGCCTGATGGGGTTGTTTTTGTTCCACTTTAGGGTCTGGGGCACAACTCTCGAGCATATATTTCTCGGATCCAAGGCTTTCGGAACAATAGAACCAGCCAATCTCGAGGCTATTCTGTGCACCCATTTCGAAGACTGGGGCATGGGTCTAAGACGAAACGCCATGCTTCCACTATTTGGAGACGGCATTCCTCCAAGAAGGTGTTGACTGGAAACACTCGCGCGAAATTCTGAGGCCTCAGTTGGCGTTTAAGCAGTACGAAGATCTGGAGGTATTCCAAGAACCGGACGCCACTCTTCTGGAAGCGTTGCCCGCAAATGGAGTTGTCGATCTCCAACCGTTCCACTTCCGTTTGACCTTGGACGTGACCACGGCTTTCTTGTTTGGAGAGTCCGTACACTCCCTACAAGAGCCGAGAACACCAGGCGAACCTGAATTCTCCAGTGCCTTCACCACAGCTCAAGGCTTCATTGCGAAGAGAATGAGACTCCAAGAGCTCTATTGGCTCGTGAGTGGAAAGAGGTTTCGACAAGCCTGCAGTGATGTTCATCGCTTTGCAGATCAAATAATTGATCGAAATCTGGCCAAAGACCTGAGAGACACTGAAGAACAAAAGACATATGTGTTCCTTGACTTCCTTGCCAGAAACACGACAGATCGGAATGCATTTCGAAGCCAGATCATAAATGTTTTGGTGGCCGGCAGAGATACTACTGCCTGCTTGATCTCCTGGGCCTTGTGAGTGATCAAGCAAAGACCCGTTGACTGACCGACTAGGCTAAATCAGACCTGCAGCTTTCTCCTCGTGCGACACCCAAATGTCCTGAACAGGCTAAGATCAGAGATTGCATCCACCTTCAATGGCAGAGGAGAGGTTACACGATCGGACCTGAGAAGAATGAATTACTTGCAAAATGTCCTGAAAGAGAGTAAGGCCCCTTTGATATCAGCCGCCGATCCCCACCCTGACTCACAGTATCAGCTCTCAGACTCTATCCTTCTGTTCCGGTCAACTCTCGGATGGCTCTCAAGACTACTGTCCTCCCGGTTGGTGGCGGGCCGGATCTCAAATCACCAGTGCTTGTCCCTCGAGGAACTTCAGTTCCATACAGCGTGTATGCAATGCACCGGCGGCCTGACTTGTACGGAATGGATGCAGAAATATTTCGTCCCGAGCGATGGGAGGAACATATGCCCCTTAATGACGATCCGACAAATACAAAATGAGGCTATCTTCCTTTTAATGGTGGACCACGAACCTGTCTGGGATTTGATTTCGCCCTTGCCGAAGCGGCATATACTATCGTGCGCCTGATTCAGAATTCAGAAGTTTCCTGTGATTAGGTTGCCAGCCGGAGAGAAGGTGGAGTTGACTGGCGTCGAGAAGCAGATGATGACCCTAGTGGTTTCACCCACCGAGGGGTGCAAAGTTGAGGTAAGCAGAGATCCACAATGAAGGTACCATGACCCTTCGGATACTATCACAAAATAAGCCCCCAAACCTCGCATTGACCTGCAGGCGACCGGTTACGTAAGGACATCGAGGTTGGACTACAGAATCCCACCAGCACCTTGGCGGAAAGCAGATGTCGAAGTCATGTGCAATATACATCGAAATAATTGGGAAGGGTGGAGGGACCGGTCTAGCACCTTGATAACACGGCTGTGCATCTCATCATCAGATTATACTATATTGGTATGGTCTTGTTTTCCCCAGTCGGCGAGCACGCTCTCGGCTCCAAATTGATCCCCGTAGCGCACCCCTGAATTGACCTGAGCTGTATCTTCCTCATATATGTGCCCCGGCTTTGGTGCTATTTCCTTCGATCGCATGTTCACTTTCATACCGGACTCGAGCTTTATCCATTACCATAATACCTCTGCTGTTCACAGCCTCTGCGCGTGAGGACAGGCGGAGCTTCACAACATCGAGCCGCAAAATGGAGCGTTGGTAGTTTCCCCAAAATTGGGACCTATTTGGACATATTCGAAACAATCGACGCAGTTGGTGAAAAGACAGGTGACGCTCACAGCACCAATGACCAGGCTACTTCAACCACTCCCATCTTATTTTGCTTGTGCTGGCGAGACAGAAGGAGAGAGCCGCTGGGGAATGCATTTGGCAAAGCACAAGTCTGTGTGATAGATATACACTTTGACCAGAGGGAGAAGATCGAGTTGGTTCCCATTGATCGGCCATCCACAGTGTCGCATCCACCTTTGAGGTCGTGGTGTCGAGCTTATCGAGTCTGAGCCTTCTTCAGAATATTGTGGCTCAGAATTGATTGTGAAGTGGGGAACAGTGGCTGTCCATACAAATTCTGGATGGCGGCGAATCTGACTGTGCTTGACGCTTTCGACCGCTTGTGAAGGCAGAGAATCAACGCAAAGATAACGAGCAACATAGCACCAAAACTGGCTCCTATCACTGCCGCCGTTATCTCGCCCACATGTGGTCCCAACTCTGTCTCGACCTGTTCGACTTGAGGAGCGGCCATGGTCATTGTGCTAGGGCCTACACCAACGTTGGGAAATGACATGCCAGTGTAAGTTGTGGTTACCCACGGCGCATCGCTCTCGGTCTGACCAGCTGTAGTGAAGCTCATTTGCACATTGAACCAGTCCAATGTTCCGCAAGCATAGCTATTCAAACCCTGGTTTGAATAGGAATACGTGTTACACCAGGTGGACGAAGCCGAAGAGTCCGTACTGGTATACTGTCAATATCTGCGTCAACAAGCTCGATCCAGGCACTGTACCATTTCAATATCATGTCATTGGATTGGCATGCTTCGTCACAATTTCCTTCTGCAACATCGTCGCCGTCAATGCATGCGAGTTGATAATTGCAGGAGTCCAGGACAAGTTCCGTCGACGAGGTCGTGTGATAGCTTGCGCAACAACCAACTATGTCAAGCACGGTTTGATAGCCACAATACGATCCGCTTGGGCAGGTGACTGGGTTTGCTGTTTGGCTCAAGTTAGCAGCTATTCTGTACAGACCCTTAACGTTACCCAAATCGCAAACCGACATTTATTCCCACTAATGTAGCCGCAGACAGATGTCAAACTGGTCTTGTCTATGATTTGACGCTTATGAGGATGATTTGGTTTTGGGCGTGCTGTGGGCAGAGGTGCCACATTCTGATGCCAGCTTTGAGAGAAATCAAAAGGCGTCTGAACTGGTCGCCAAGTGCCCACCAGAGACATGGCAGGTAACGCGTTCAGGAGGTTGCTTCAAGGTGAGTGTTATTGCAGCACGATCGGGAAATATGAGTACAAGTCTTTTGATTCCATGGCAGATCTGATCCTCAGGAGTACCTTGCCAGCCATTATACTCATTGCCTCATGTGTGTTTCAGTCATGCATACAGGAACCTATCATGGCCAAGAATTCCTGGAAGCACATAGACCATTGGGGGCCGTCACGGGGCGAAACTGGTTGAGCTACCGGAATAACCAACAGCGAAAGCCACAACCTGGACAGTTGGGGGCCGATCTTGACGGTGGCTGCTCATGAAATGTTACGCGAGACGAGGCGCCTTGTCGTAAAATGGAAGGCCTAATTGACATGTTACATACTATTGTTGCCAATGCCCTGATCTTGTGAAACACCACTGAAGTTGAAGGGGCCTTGTGCCTTGATAAAAACATCACAAGCTAACTTGCTGTTGGAGCTTGGAGGACTTGGGCAGCCATTAAGAAAAGGGCCGACACTTCTTGGTCGGCCGGCGATTCTGCAGGAGCAGTATATTCCTGCCTCATTGACTATATTGCATCCCCCAGCCAGCTTTTAGAGATGCAGCAGCACTGAGCCTTCAACCACGGCAGGCTCATTGTTTGCCATGTATCGAAAAGTCAACACAGGAGAGGTCAGCAGGGGTTTCAGCAAGCGGCCGGGGACCCCGTCTGAGGTAGAGGACAGTCATCGACGAATGTCAGGCCGGCTCGTCGACATTTGGACAGCCTTCGCCATCGTGACTATTCCCATGCTGGCTTTCAGCGCAGTTCTATTGGGACTTGTCTATAGATACCGAGTCACACATTCGACCACAGGGGACAGCAGACTGCGGTCGCCAGGGACGACCGATGAAGCGGGTGTCTACTATGTGAACTTGAGCGCCACTGTGCTGATCTTCATTTCGTCTTGGTCGAGCAGTGTGGGACCTCTCCTGTTGGGATTCCTGATGACACTGGCTTCGTATCCTCTTACACGGCATTATTGGCAGGATATCCAAGAGCAAAAGCCGACCCTTCCCACACCATTCCAGTTCGCATTGTCGCTCAAGTTCTTAGGCGGTGGAGGCTGGGGCGCTCTGTACAGCTGGATGCAGTATCTGATCGGGTGGAAACATCAACGTCAACTTCAGTCTCGGTTGTTGACCGAAAGTGCCTTTGCCACGGTCATCGTCACGATATTAGGGTCAGTCATTGCCTTTTTCATCTTGCGCAGTGTCAAATACGGGGGTTCACATCTCAGTTTCGCGATCCAGCCTACCGTCCAAGTGTTCCACTTACCGAAGGAGTGTCCGGTTGTGAAAAGGACGGCCCTGGAGCCGTCAGGACGGGACTGCATTCACGATCCCTTCTAAGTCCACGTTGTTCTAACTGACGGGCTTTTTTAGAATTGTCGTCTTCCTAGCCGACACTTGGCTCCATATCACGACATCCACCGTCTCATTTGTGGATACGAATCCTGCAACCGGGACGACAAACTACAGCCTGAGCCTGGTTCCGGGCTGCTTGACGACCAACAACTCTGGGATTAGCCACGCTGCTCAATGCAACCTCATCCAAGCATCCACGGGGACTTTTCTATTTGACCCGGCCAAATCCCTCACAGTACTCAACAACGTCTCGGACAGCATTGAGGTACATAACAACGGTCCCGATGAGAGGTACGCTTACCTCGGCGTTCCTCAGTCTGGGCCGGTAGGGAACCTCGACTACACTGCGACCACATTCGGGATGAGAACGGAATGCAGGGCGGCTTCCAGGGCGTGCAATCTGAATGCTGCTTTCGGCGCCTCAACGCCGTTCAAATGCACCGACGCGTTTGCCGGTGACCTTCAAGTTGACACGTGGCTCGAGTCCTACTTCCCGGACTCAGCAATGGCGTCGAACATCACGGGTTACGGAGTGGGTAATCCATTCTACTACGGTGTAGGGGCTGGTTTCCAGACAGTCACCAACTCCGAGCTCGAAAACTCGGACGAAATCGTCACACCGGTCCATGGAGGTATGGCTCTTTTGCTCTCCTGCAGCATATGGATATTCGACGTCGAGTACGATTCCATCAACGGGACTGTCACACGCTTCGTCGCAACTCCTAGCAACGACTCCGTCGCGAATATATGGCAGCTTCCGAACCAGGCGGCAGGCGTCACGACATCCAACCTCCAAACAGCCATGCTTATTGCCGTATCTACCGCGACATCCATACAGGACCTCGCGGACCAATATGCCGTGGCGTACAGCAAGGTCGCTTTGGGCGTGGGTGCACAATCAGTCGAGCTTTCGCCGGCAATGGCTGCTCAAGAACGCTCTTCGTTCCTCGTGACTAGGTTACCGATGGCGCCGCTGTTTTGTCTCATAGCAGCCAATCTGGCATTTGTGGTCTTGGGAATCACTTTGACGTACATGGCATTGTCGACTTCTTCAGGAGGCGAGGTGCGCGACGTACAGGCGCGTCTGAGCATTGTAGGTCTGGTGGCTGATCGTTTCGAACCCGGGAGATCAGCTGGCCCGGCTACCGGCATAGAGGAGCTGTTCAAGGAGCATAGCGGACAGTCAGACTCAGTAGTGGTAGCCATGGAACGGACGGCTGACGGTGGATTCGCTTACAGAGAGTGGACGAAGATCACTGACCCGTGAGTCAGACACACATCTGAACATTCCTGAACGGTGAACATTTTTCAGCGGCGCCCACAATAAGTCTGCATCCTAGCTTCGCTACCTAGACAGTAGGGCCACTATGCCCGGATGATCCCAGGTCTACAAGCAAACCGTTCACTTGCTCTTACCTGGCTCATGTGATATCAACTAAACTCGTCCATTTTCACACAACGATTAGCAAAGTCCCCCTGGACACTAGCTCAGGTAAAAACCATATAGTATCGTTATGCGACGGACTTGCATTCGTCCGTCAATGCGAGCAACGCGACGCAGATTCCAATCCCGAGCCTGCCTACTAAGGATACAAATTCAATGGATGGTCCCGTTCTTCGGCAAGTTATACTCCCCCACCCCTTTGGCATTTGTTTCGCACACTCCCCCTTCGTTGGGGCTTATACCATTTCGTCGCATTATCAAAAGAGTGGTGATAACCTCCCAAGTGCTACTCTGAAATCATCCTCTATCCAGGAAGCGGGAACTGTTCCCCCTTCAAACGCAAACCAAGCCTCTCTTTAGCGAGAGAGCGTCCGTCAAGAGATCTCCTCCCTCAGGCATTGGCTCGATTTCATCAGAACACCAATTCCTTGAAGCTCCACCGTGCTGGTCTCTCCTGCGTTCAGCATTGCAAGTACGTGCTATCACTGCCCTCCACATGGACAATGTCGACTCCGAGACTCGTGCGGCGGTAGTCATGCGCAGTGGACGACTGATCCCGGATTGGTCCACGCATCGATGGAAGGTGCAGTGTGCCTTGTTCGCCCGGGAGTTCTTTCTGGCGCTGTTGTTCGCGTCGACGGTCCTACGAAATCCGTACGTACCATCATCGTCGTCATCGTCCGGGTGTTTGTTCTTGCGCAACGAAGCAAGTTGCGCGTCGTCGTCTCTGTTCCACTTAAGATGGTATTCTCTTTGGTTACCATGTTGACATAGTAAGCCACCGACACAGCGCATTCCTGACAGAGGGATCACCTCCTTTGAGTTGTTTTCTAGGATCAGTAAGTTAGCCTCATCCTGCAGTCAATAAGTAGATAGTGTTCCACCAGAGATTTCGAAGGACATAGTTTCGTAGAATTTCTCCCTGTAGATTAGCCCCAGAGGAATGACCTCCTGTGAGATGTGTTCTAGAACCAGTGGTCAGTCTCATCCGGCAGCTGATAACTAGATATTGTACCATCAAAGATTTCGAATGACATAGCCTCGCAGAACTCCCCCGTGTAGATCCTTGAAAGAGAGATCACCTCCGAGATGTGGTCTAGACTCAGTTAGTCGGCCTCATCTGGGAGTGGATAACTAGATATCGTACCGGCGCCGATCAACATAGTGCTGTAGAATTGTCTCTTGCAGATTAGTATCCGAGGGATCACGTTTGTGTTGTGTTCTAGGATTAGTCAAGTTAGTCTCATCCGGCAGCGATACAAAACCACTTACCAGTGGATATTCCCAGCGATACAGAATTAGAGAATCTGTCCACCGGGCCAACGCTGCAGAGAACCCTGTCATTCTTCAGCTCTTTGCTTCGATGATCGGGCAGTGCTAATGAGGGTAATGGAGAAGAGCACAAACCATGCAAAAACCATGCAGGAAAAATCCATAGGGCCTGGAACCTGTCGAAGCGACACTTGTGATTTTCCCAAGCCACCTAAGCTAGTCAAACAGTCTTTCCATTCCGTTTTGGGTTCATGTAAGTCAAGAAGAGCCTTGACCACAGATCAGCAACAACAGTGAAAAGGTTTCGTTGCTGCTTACCTGCACATTCTCACCAGCAAATTCGCTGTTACTGTTGTCGTAGATATGGTCGTTCTCACAACACATTCCCAATGTTCGAATATCGTGTGAAGGTTCCTCGCGTGTCGAGGTTGCCATCACATCCCGTTCGCCTTCTGCCTTGCAGTCGACTGCGTCAGTACCAATTTGTGGCGACAGGGGCGCGGGGGGTGGTTTAGAACCTCATTCTCGCCATACCACCCGGCACTTGCGCAACACCTTTGGCATTCACAAAGCGGTTGAGGTTTGACGTCAGACAAACCAGTCCTCTCCGGAGAGGATAGCATTGCGTCGAGGCTTCCGTACGCTATCCGAAGAACTTCAGACAACTGTAAGACCCTTTCAGGAGATCGATGCGAGTAATAGGAAGGTGATGTCAGCTAGTAATTGTCTCTGCCTCCATGGAGTAGGACTCAGTAACTGGAGTACGATGAAAGGATGTCTATATTTATACCTATGTTGTTGTGCCATTGCGGCCCACAAAGGACGATAGTCGCATCTCGTGTGTGGCCGCACTCGAATTCCGTCCTTTCCAAATTTCCAAAACGGAAATCATGAAATTCAAAAGGTCCGAACGAAACCATGGCAGTCAACATCTTCAAACTCTGGATGTGAACACTTCTAACCAATGCCATGGACAAGGGTGAACCATGGGGGGGCAAACTTTTGGCGTCATGTGACCCAAAAGGTGCAGTGCAAGAAGAAGCCATGCATGACAAAAGGAGCCAATGTAAGGCTGCCACACCATCGGTCATGCCAGCCTCATGCAATGTTATACGATGCAAAAGTGCGTGAAAAGGCAGCCACTAGTGATTGATTAGGGCCGGCGTACCTCTCACTCGCGGCAAATTTTGAGCTGTTCGACACGTCTTCGCGTACTTTCAATGTGATGGGACTAATGAGAATGTGAACCTAGATATGATACATATCCGGAGGGGGAACATCACAGACTGGCTTAGTATTTGGTTTTACTGTCGTGTTTTCCCTCCTTAGCACACTGATATTAATCGAACTTGGTTGTCTGGGAACTGTAACAAAGGGGAGCCTTCGACTGAATGATTTTTCCAACATCATAACAGTCAAATTCATTGTCCTAGGCTGCGGTGGACGGCGATTGAAGAGCTAGAAACCGAATCCTACTTCCAAGTATGACAAATTCAAGCTTGCTTTCGGGCAAAGGCGTGCTATCCATGTTGGACCAAGGTTCCTCTCACCAGGAAAATTCAGACCCTGAGCATCACAACAAACATAACTCTAAGAATGTCAGCACATATGGAATCTCGACTGAAATCGGCTTCGACGAAGTGAGAAACACGATAGAAGATCTCTACCAGAACAAGAACCACTCACTTTCTGAGGTGAGGGAGGAAATGAAGAAATATGGCTTCAGAGCAAGGTAAAGGTCCCCCGTTCTTGCACAAAAGGGAGACAGAAAAGAGTCCTAACGGCCCAGTGAACGCGAGTACAAGGCCAATTTAAAGTCCTGGGGGATTGGGAAAAACGCAAGCAGGGCGGACTGGCTGTACTTCCTGAGGGTTCACCAGGAGCGCCTGGATAGCGGCATGAGCGAGACTTTCCTGCTCATACACAACAAGATTCGCCGGATACAGGACGTTAGACGATATCTGAAGGGCCATCGCGAAGATGAAGCCGCCTTTCTCGCCGAGGCACTGGCATCAGAAGTGCCCAAACCTGAATACATACACCTTTGTGATGCAAACGGCGGCTTGATCGAAACAACACCACGTCCCGTCCATGACATTACAGAAGTGGAGATCATTCAGCAATCAAGTATGTTGCCAGGAGACTGTTACTTGGGGCCACGAATTGTCGAGGAACACCAGGCATTCACGTCGGGTCGAACATTTCAGGACTTGCTGGTACGTGGGTCGAGTGGATCCAGTCCGGTTGAGGATCTCGAAGTAGCATCCTCCACCACGCTCTTGCCCCGTCTCGATTCGGGGACTACCGTGTGCGACGACCAAATCGAGAACTGGCACCACCAAAACGGTCTCAGCGAGACCGAGCAGCTGCAATTTATGGCTGGTCTTGACGCAGCGCCTGCATACGGAGAGTCCCCGACTCGCGGTAACGAACAAGAGCATGTGGCTCAGGCATATGCGACCGCGTGTATGGGTGCATGTATGTACCATGCCGCCGGCAGAAGAGATGTTGGGCGGCATTGTCTCCAGCAGGCCACCATACACTTCAGCCAGATGTGTTGCGGGGAAAGCCCGTTTATCCTCATCGCTGCTAGCATGGTGCTGACTTGGATGACGGTGCATGCCGAGGGAAACATCGCCACGAGCGTCATGAGTGCCTGCTGGACCGCTGCAAAAGACGTTTTGGGCGCTCAGAACTCGATCACAAAGCTCCTTGAGTGGATGACAGCTGCAGCTGGCGGCGTTGAGAAGCTGAGAGCATCTTCCGTCAATGCGAAAACACTGCGGCATGTATGGCAGAGTTTTCTTCATCGTCTCGGAGAAGCTCATGGACATACGATTGTGGGTTTATACTGTCTTAGTTTCCAGCTGATTCTTGCAGACAAGCTGTTTGTTGAAGCAGAGGAATATCTCCAGGGACTATCCTCGACCTCGATCAAGAGCCTCGGGCTGGATCATTTGCAAACCATCATAATTCTGGCCACATTGAGCAGAGCACAATATCGACAAAGGAAATTTTCATCGGCTCTAGAGACCATCGACAGGAGCCTTGCCGCTTGTCCTTTGGGAGAATACCATCCGCATCGACTGGAGATGCTGATCCGGAAAGCTCTCATCCTTAAAAACGTCGGCCGGCTTGACGAAACTGAGAAGATATACTGGTTAGTGGCCGAGGCGCGTGCAGCAACATTGGGAATGCACCACAGGGCGACTATCGCGGCTCATGGGAGTTTGGTAGATGTCCTCAAAATGACCGGCGCCTGGGAGGAAAAGAAGCTTGAAGCACACAGGCTCGTCACAAATCCGCAATTGATGGTCTCCGAGTATGAGAGCACTTGGAGGCGCATTGTTGAGGCCAACAGGCCCTACAATGACAACGGTTCAAGCGATGAGGAGTAGAACGGACCGTAGTTTCCCATAGAGGGGATTGATGCTGTGCCACCTGAACACCGCAACCTGGAATTTTATGCCTGTGCAGAGTTGCGAGAAGGGCAGGCTTCTTCGTGGGCAATAGAGGTCTGGTGTGTTTTGATAATCCACAATGTATTAACGATCGTTCAGTTGGAGAAGTTCTCTTCTTTTACTCAGCCTCGTCGCTGTTCCATGCTGGAGAGGCGGCGCTGTGGCGTTCGTCATTGAGAGGTAAGTCGCTATACGGTCAGATCAGTCCCATCTTTAGAATAATGCCCCCGCCGATTAACACAATTCTGAGGTGCCTGGGGTCTGCGATGAGGTAGGACAGGGTTTCCAGTCGACGAAGGTACCATGCTAGACTCGAAAGTAATCAGCGAGAAGAGGTCGTTTGGGCAGACTGCGGTGGGCGGTCCAGCGTGATTGCGGCGCTGCCTGGAATCATCAAGCACTCGACGACAAACAACGGGATTTATGAACAGATGTAGGATAGTAGAATGTTTTGCAGTTGTGGTGTATCATTAGATTGCGCCTTCGACGAGACCACTAACTACTGAGTCTTCCATTAAGCCGGCGCGAAGCACAGGGCGGCATCATCCTCGTCCCAAAGCGGCTGAGTTCGGTCATCTTGGTAATACTCGTAGTTCAATTTAACTCCATCATTCGCGTCTTCTCGCCGCGTCTCCAAGCCTCCAAGCTACACCACAAGATGCTACACGGACGTGACGATGGCTGAAGAGTTTGACGATGCTGAATTTCTCGCGGCGGAGGCTGGTGTACAACGATCAGCATCAGCTGTGCCGCAGCGGACAGCGAGTCCAGCCGTCACCAATGTCGCCAAAGTCGTGCAGCCCAAGCCGCAGGCAATGCCCGGCAGGCAAGGTCCGTCAGCAATTCTGGTCTCGACGCGACAGAAGGGCAATCCCATCCTGAATCATGTCAAGTCGCTACCGTGGGAATATTCAGACATTCCTTGCGACTATGTGCTCGGGGCAACAACCTGCGCGTTGTTCTTGTCCCTCAAGTACCACCGACTGCACCCCGAGTACATCTACAGTCGAATCCGACAGCTAGGCAAACTATACAACCTGCGCATCCTGCTGACGATGGTAGATATTACAAACCATGAAGAGGCGCTGAAGGAGCTGTCCAAAACGTCCATGATCAACAACCTCACATTGATCCTCTGCTGGTCTTCACAAGAAGCAGGTCGTTATCTCGAGCTCTTCAAGTCCTACGAGCACGCCTCCCCTGCCTCCATTCGCGCCCATCAAGCCGAGACCTACCAAGAAAGCTTGACCGAGTTTGTTACTACTCCTCGCACCATCAACAAGACGGATGCTGCAAGTTTGATCTCGAACTTCGGATCCCTCCGCGCAGCAGTGAACGCTCAGCCAGAAGAGTTGGCGTTGGTGCCGGGCTGGGGAGAGAAGAAGGTAAAAGCGTGGACTACAATAGTCCGAGAGCCCTTCCGGGTCAAGCGAGCTGCCAAGTCAAGTGCTGCCCTGTTGAGGCAAGAAAGCACAATGTATTCCGACGGAGACAGCGCTCCGCTTACTCCTGACCCGGTTCCAACCCCCATCCCCATCAGTACTGTCCGATCTCTGAGCAGGCAGGGTACACCAATGAACACCGTTGCTGAGTCGTCGGAAGGTCCTAGAGGCCTTAAACGATCGAGGCTTGAAGAAATCCCGATGAACGAGGGCATTGACGCGGACGAGGCGGCGCTTCTAGCAATGGCGGAAGCCGAGTCACATCTCACGGATGTGGAACAGCCAAAGGTTGCCCAGGCCATCACAAGGAAAGAACCTGAACTGAGCGAAGGCGTCATGGCTGCTTTGGCCAAACTACGCCAAAATGGTTGAAAAAAAGGGACTCAACCCAACCTTGGATGACGCTGTCATCTTCATCTTCTGTCCATCATACATCATCAACAGATGAAATCTTAGTCGAGAAACCCTCGAGATGTCTTCTTTTCCCTTCCTTTGCACCATGATTGCAACACAGGGTGTCCTCGGCCCAGCTTGGGAGTTGACCACATAGTACTCACGTTGAAGCCAAGCCGTCATAGAAAAAGATAGCATGGGCATGGCGGTCTCCAACAAGGTACATACCTTGCCTTGCTTACGGCCTCATCAGTCTTCTACGCTGGTATACCTACCCCGCCACCCCAGAAGATACATCAAAGTTGATGCTCACCCAGAGTATGGATATGCCATGCTCGACGAAAAGGGTCGAACGATCAGTAAGCTTGTCTTGGGGCGCAACCAGCTCAATCTGACAGGCTCCAGCCGCCCTCGATACGATCGCGCTGCCGCCCCTCTGTGGTCATGCTCTGTAATTCTGACACCAGCATACCATTGCAGCCGAACCTCACAAACCGATTGAGGAATCAAGCGCCTTGGACATTCCGCGCCACAGGACGCCCAATACTTCATGAAGATACAAGGTTGTCGACCTCCGGGACTCGTGTGGTAGAAGGAAGAAAAGATCGGGCATTGGACGCCAGACGAGACGGCGTGATCAAGAGCCTATGTAGGTAGATGCATCGGCTTTTCATCATCATTTCACGCATTCAAGTATCTTATCCTACCAGAGGGCAGGACGACTTTTAAGAAACCTGATGTAACAATACCTATAACTATACTATTATGTTATTATGGTAGTGACATTACACCTCTAAGCCCGTGGGCAAATGCAATGCTTTATCATGATGATGATGATGGTGATCCCGAGTCCAGACTGACTACAGACTTTATCCTGTTCCTCTACCTCTCCATCGTCCAAGTATTAGATCGAACCCGTGGCTCAAAGAACCATGTCAATTATGACACGCTTGTATGCTGCTGTACCAATATGCAACACATCCCCGGTTGAGGTGAGCGGAACACGACAAGCCCGCCTGATAAATCATGGATAAGGTACTCATAGTTCGTGCAAAATCAACCAACAGACCAAACTCCATTACGATACCATCCCAAACGTGTACAGATAATCGGAAAATCTACCTACCTACCTACTTTACATACCGCAAAAGTGCCAAGTAACGGGTGGTTACAGTGATGGTGCCGAGGTGCTGCGCATCACACCTCGAACTGCTTGTATCCTTCGACCAAGCCATCACTGGCTTTCGTGATCGCCACCCAATCCGGCGTGTAATGCACAGCTTGATCAAAGGCAGGAATCAATCCCACCTGATTCACGTCGCTCCACAGACACACAACCCTGCCGGTCATGGTGGCGTTGCCAGCAAGCTTCTCGCTGCCTTCGTAGGCACCCCCCTCTTCGTCCGAGGTCGCATCTGCCCAAGACACGTCGACAGTCCAAGCCCGATCCCAGGTCCTCGACCAAAGTCGGACCTCTCCACTCCCACTCTCAGGCACGGGAGCGAAGCGCTTGTCGCGAGGTGCTTGGCCTTCAACATGGACTGCTCTAATCGGTGAGTCGAACATGATCTTGCACGCTCGTGTGTTCTTGCCGTAGATGACGAATCGTGCTTTGATGTCGCTGTCACTGTCGTTGATCCTGGTGACATTGAAACTCAGCCAGCTCTTGTACTGCTTCTCGGGAGGAAGTGAACTCGATGGGTTGGCAACGTTTGGGGGAGGGCCGGTCCAAGAACACCTCTCGAGATTGTTGTTGGGTCCGTATGGAATGCATTCAATGCTGTCACTGGCTACATCGGGCAGTTGTCCGACTGCATAGCGCACAAAAGGAGTGGCTCCCCCAAGCGACGCCACACTATCTCCCGTATCCAGGTTGACCTGCTGAGCGAAGAACAGTTTCAACCTGTTATCCGCCGAAAAGGGAAAAGCGGTGAGGTTGTATGCCAACGTGCCTATTAGCACGAGAAGGAAGAACATCGGAATATGCCAGGTGAACCTGTGCAGGATTGGAACCACAGGAGAAAACATTAGAATCGTGGCGGCTGCGATCATGATGTACACCAAAAACATCGAGCTCCCATCTTGTCCGGTCTGATGTAGAGCCTCTGTGGTCAACAAGCCAAGTTGACCAACAATGACCAGATTGATAGGCACAACCACGAGCATCTGCAGCAGCCAGAGGGATGTCCACTGAGATTTGCTCCATTCTTGTTCTTCGGGCTGAGAGCTCTTGTCATCTTTGGATTTTGCACTTGGGCTGGGTTCTGTGCCTTCTGGACGATACCCTTTGAAGGTCGAGCGGCCCCGACTTCTCAACAAGCTGGATCTTTCTGTTGGCTCTTCTTCGTTGTTCTCGACCTCCTCGCCACCTTCCTCTTGTCCTGTTGTAGAGGTGCCATACCTGACTCCGGAACTACTGCGCGAGGGCGATGTAGAATAGTCGTCCCCGAACTTACCACGGCAGTATGTCGATTTCTTTGGTAAGGAGAAGAGCTCCAGGTAGGCTAGCCATGTGGCTAAAAAGAGAGTAGCTGTATAGATGAGGACGAAGTACACGCCGACCAAGTGCAGATGCTCCTCAAAGACCGTGGCGACAACCAAGAAAACCCACCATGCAAGCCACATCCAAGACAGTCCGTAAGCCCGAGTCAACGATGACGGTCTCCCAAAATCTGCTGCCCGACAAAGAAACCATGCCACAAAGACGAAGGATGAAATCATCATGCTCCAAACAGCCCATTCGCTACTGTGAGCAATGTACTGGTTCTCTTTAAACAAAAGGTATGCCAGAGCAATTGGTGCTGCGCATGCCACGAGGAATATCATTGGGAAGCGGAAGAACCCACGCCACCCATACAAGGAGACTCTGTCCTCCCCATCAGGCATATGGTATTCCCTAGATCCAGAAAACAGGTAAAACTTGTCAATCCGATAAAGCATGATTAGCGTGGCCAGAAGGATGATAGGTCCAGCCACCAGTAGCGTGACCGAAAGTGCGAAGAAAGTATGTGCTTGCAGGACAGCGAAGGCTCTGCCGAACAAATCAAACCAGAGAGCCCGACTGCCAGGTGTATTCCCAGGCTCTAGATTCGTTTTCAGAGAAGCAGAGGTCAAAGACTCGGTTGTTGCTACGGCTGCTGAAAGCATGTGCCAAAGTGATGCTCTACCGGTGTGCCGTGAGTCGTCTTGATCGGTATGATATCGTGCCCGCGGCCCGATGAAAGCAACATCGAGGCCCCTTAGACCGAGCTTTCCGTTGAATATGACATAGTCCGTTTGGCTTCGGACAAGTCCTCGATTGAATCCATCAGCAGTAGTCGACGAGCCGAACGGGTATCTGGAATGAGCATAAGCCTTTGTTACGGCATCATCTGTGCTGCGGAAAAGTGCTGCTCTCCCTCCAGCGCCTGCTCCTTCAAGATTGAGGAAACTACTGGCCACTTTCGACATGGGATGCTGTCCAAACACACTGGCACCATTCAAAAAGTCTTCTTCGCCGTTGTTGAGTAGAAGGACAACGCCATTCTTAGGCTTATTGCCAGGCGTAGTGAAATACTTCAACAACTGGAGCACGCATATGACCCCAACACCATCGTCTGTAGAACCAAATCCAGTGGAGACACTGTCATAGTGAGCATTCACCAGGACAGCATTCCGAGTGGAAGGCTTTCCATTCGGATCCAGCCACCATTCGGATGTATCATCTTCTGTGCCTGGTACGTAGACGATGAGATTTGTGCCCTCAAAATAGACACTTATCCCAGCAGCTGTTGAGATGCTCCCCGATGAGTATGTCAGGTTCGACGTGTTATCTTCGAAGACATACGCGGCTGGCGTGGTGCTCGAGGCGTCGGAGGGACTTTCCAGACTCCCCTCCAGAATAGACGTGATTCGAGCGAGGAGCCAGTCGTGGACTTTGTCGTTGGCATGTGTATTGTAAGGGTGACGCGAGGAGGTGAGGAGCTGCAAGTCGTTCCATGCCTCGGTCAGATTGATGCCATGGATAGGGGTAGCAGAAGAGGGAGGATTGGGCACGCCTGTCTGGACAACAATCAAGGTAACGATGATCGCGAGGTAGACTGCGGTGGTCAGGAGGGTGACAGGCCAGCGAGTGAAGGCGATGGGGTTGGATAGCCTCGCCATGGCTGTGGGAGGAGTCCGAGCTCAAGACATGAGGGAGACGATATAGGACAACCTGAACAAGGCCTGGAGGAAGGAGTACGAGGTGGTCGCAGTGAATGTTGGTTTTCTGTGAGGTCATGGAAGAGGTCAAGATTGTGTGCTTGTAGTCGTTTCCTGTTCCCCGCACTGCGCACTCTGCATTGCGCTCGCCGCCTGCACATCATCGTTACTCGCATGAACAGAGGACACCTACAGTAGTCGCTACGGGCACCGCTACCGGGCAGTTCAGGTGCTTGAAGGGGCCGAACTCGGGTAATGGGACTGTCTATAAATTGGCAATGTACTCGTCAATATGTGGCATGCTGGCATTGTGCCCGACCTAGGTAGTATCTATGGCCCATCACACATCTAGCCTGGTTCAACGTCCTCATTCTCTGCTGACCACATAGTTCTTGAATTCGCGGGTTTTGACGCCGCGCTCGAACATTATGTCGACTTCCTGGTACGTCCTTCCTTTCCTGTGGATGTCCATGTTAGCAGCTCGTCGACATATTCAAGAGGTACTTACAATTCCGGGACCCTGAAGTATGCCCAGAGAAGACAAAGACTCGCCAGTCCACCAAAGAAGAAGCCCAATTTGCCTCGCATGTTGGCTTGATCGGCATTGATCATGTATGGAATAGCGACAGTCATGACAATACCCGCCAAGGCCTGGGCCGCTGTTGCAATCGCGATGGTTTTGCCACGGACTCTGGTGGCCGACACCTCGCAAAGCAATACAAAGCATACCGGGCCGATTGATATGTCGTAAATGAAGTTCCAGATAACCATGAGGACTGATTCGGCCCAAGCAATCGAAGGCCGATTTTCATAGTTGGGTGCGCAGTCAAGGATACCAATAATGAATTGGAGAACAGCCAACGTTGCGAGGCCATAGTTGTAGATGGTTCGCCTCCCAAAATGGACCAGTAGAACCCAGGAACAGCAGGTTCCGACAAATCCTACAGCCAGAAATCCTACGCCCATATTGAATGCTTCGTCCGTCGGCAAACCAGCAACTGACTCTGCTCAGCATATGAAGCATTTATCTTGCATGAAAGGTTCACTTACGCGTGAAAAAGTACGTCGCATAGCCAACTAGTTTGGGAGGTCAGCGTGGACACGATACGTCAGTTCAGGTCGACAAGACATCAGTCACTAACCTAAATAAATACCACTTAGAACCTGTATGGTATAGACGCCAATTGCTATCTCGGTCCGACGTAGGTTGATCGTTTTAAAACAATCAAGGTACGTCGTGCCCGTCTCGAGCTCCCTCTCAAGTCTGTCGGTTTCGATAATGATCGCTAACGTTGGCTTGACATCAACCTTGGACGATGCCAATCGCATGAGAGCCTTTTCCGCATCTTCGAATCGGCCTTGACGCTGAAGCCACCACGGGCTGTGCTGGTTAGTGATGTAGTAGGTGTGGACTGGAACGACCCACCTCTCCGGAGCAAATGGTAGGCCGATCAATATGACGAGTGGCCACACCTGAGTTCGCGTTAGCAAAGGGAGCAGGTATGGAGCAGTAGTGCCTCCAGGATCATCATTACCCATTGTGCTGCGAATGGAGCACTATACGCCCAATGGCTATCAAGTCTTTGCGTACCAGCGATAACTCCATTAGCGATCAACTGGCCTGTAACAAAGCCTGGGAGTATTTCAGTATGAGATCGGGCAGGGAGACAGTGGTGAGCGAACATATGTTGGTGCAAGAGGTGAGGACACCTCGTAGAGCTAGCGGACAGACTTCAGAAGCATAAGCTGGAGCGATGACAGCGTATGATCCAAGCACTAAGCCACCTAAGAGTTCTCCCGCAAGCAAGACTGGTAATGATCTTGCGAAGAATTGTATGAAGATAAAACCGGTGGTGAAGATTACGCACGCTCCGAATGTCTTCTTGCGGCCAAACCATTCCATCTGTAACTTGTTAGGAGATCGGGGACATTATTCTGCCATGATATGTACGTACAGGGTAGCCGGCACAGAAGGCGCCTACAACCTGGCCGATAGGAGACCCCATCGACAATCCCGTCTGCCATGGTGCGGAGATGATCCAGTTGCCTTCGTAGAGATATCCAAAATCTTTCTGAAACTTCGGGGTCGCGTAGAGCTATCAAAGGGTCAGCTAGATGCTCTCGCCGTGTTCATGACATTGGGCAATGTCATATGTGGCCAACTCACTTGACCCAGCAGCTGTGGATCAAAGGCACACCTGTATAACCAAAGTCAATCTAGCTACATGCATGGTGGGGTTTGATTCATACATGATCACACCCAGGGAGAAGAAGAGTGACCAAAAGACAGCGGACGGATAGAGCCTGACGGCTTGCCAAAAGCCGCGGCCATGTTCTTCATCGGCAGCAATGCGGGCCTCGGCCTGGATATCGTCGATGGATGCAGTGGCTATAATGCCAGCCGGATCTTTTTTATTCTCAATGTCCTTATCTGAGCCTGCAGACGCCATGTTGAGTGTCAGTGATATGAGAGGTGAACAAAAAGTAAAAAGCGCAGAAAGGCAGATAGGTAGATATATGCGATGCCGCTTCGGCAGTATCGATATTGATTACACTAAGCAGTGCTCTCCGCCTCTATCAGCTCGTACCACAGACCTGCCCTCGCGTGGAGATAGTGAATGAAGCGATCGCGAACTAACAGTGGTGTCGATGATTGCTCTAGATAATTTCCAGTTGATATGCAGTAGACACCGCTGTTGGCTCTTCACTCGAAAATCTCGCTCAGAACCCCTCACCTTCGTCATTTCCTCGCAAGCTACCGGACTGAAGGAGTGGTTGCCGCTCGTCAATGGTGTCTATGCCGTCGGCCATGGGCTGGAATTGTTGCAACTCTCAGGTCTGATACGCTAGTGGGAAAGCGTGCAGACAGGAGCTCGTGTTAACGACGCATGAGCGGTCACACGCGATAAGGACCCTGGGTCCAAGTATCAGTGGGCGCCAAAGCACGATTCGAGAGTTATCAATTCCCTAGCACGGCGGGGAAGTGCGATGGAAACGTGTAAATGGCTTGCCGTTATGGTTACATTGGAAAAGGAGGAGTTGGAGGAGCGGAACTAGATGAAACGGCAGATCAAGTGGCAACCAGATTGTAACGATACCGAGTAAGCTCGACTTTGGGTCAAGCACGTGACCAGATCGGCAATGTCATGCACCTCTAGTCGCGACTACGAGGAAGAGTGGTGTCTGTGAGGGTCTGAATGTGTGGTACACTCGTAGTTGTCGCATGATACATCTCGTAGATTTAACAACCAGTTGTTTTCTACACGCAACACGCTGGTGTGGTGTACAGCTTGCTGACTAACAGCCAGCCCCCGGATGTGGATTATCGTTTCCCCGCCTCATCATGCCAGGGCTCCGCGTATGTCATCGCATCTCGTCTTTCATTCACTCACTTGGAAGGTCTCTTCCGAAGGGATGCCAATGACCGATTATGCGTGGGCCTCTGTTGAGCGGGTCCTGGATCACTGAGCACCTCTCAATAACACTCTCGGCAATAGAGACTTCGCGCTGACCGTTCTAAGAATGGCGGAGGAGGTAGTGCTATTCCCGACTGAACCTCTCTTTATGGTTGATCGTGGCTGGCAGCGCAGCAAGAAGAATGTCAGAGATGATCGCACAGTTCTAGGACATGGATCCCAAAAAGCCGGAAATCATGACATCACTATCACTATCGCAGGGCCACGGTCTTCTGGAAAGCCTCCTTCTACTACAGCCAAACGCACAACTGAAGCCAATAGAGCACAAGAACGAAAGGTTAGCGTCCAGTTTATGCAATATGAACCTCCGGTCTCAGCAGCTGGACAAGCCAGCGAGCGATGCAGACGAACAGCAAGGAGGGCCAAAAGCGTTGTTCAAAGACGAAGAGGACAAGCACCGTCTGCCGCACATCCAATCGTCAGTCCAAGTCCCTTGTCGGTGCGCTCATCAACGTTGAGGCAAAGCATACCTGGGAGTGCTTCTCCACTGTATACCTTCATCGACCCTGAAGTAAGCAGCTTTCAAGAGTTCATCGCGTATTGTAGGTCGCCCTATCTTGTTTAAGATGACACAGTCTGACACCCGGCGCCTAGATCCGACCCGGTTAGCCTCAGCATTGCTCCCGATCAGCAAACATGCTCCAGTGAGCTCCAATGCGATCAAGGAGATATGGCTCCCCGCAGCAATCAACGATGAGGTATTCTTACATGTTATACTCCTTTCTTCAGCCATGCACTACGTCTCAACCATGAATTGCGAAGACGTCGGCGACTCAAACCTCCTCTTGAAAGTGATATTCGACCGACTCAACCGCCGCCTTCTGACCGGTAAATACTCCGACACGACAATAGGTGCCGTCTCCTGTTTGGCTCTTAACGAGAATGGACAGGGCAGTCATACCCAGTGGGCAATACACACGGCAGGCATGTCAGAAATGATCCGTGACCGGGGCGGCATGGCTTCAATACCTCCAGAGAAGCGATTGAAGCTGTACCGGGGTGAAATCATAGGAGCTGTCGACACACTCTCAATGCCACGATTGCCACAGCCACCACGAACTACGAAATCCCTTTACGACACCATGAAAATGAGCTTTCCTCCGCACGTTACACTGCTATCTGCGATTCTCGAGTCAAATGTGACGCGAAACATGTCTGACCTTCTCATCGATCTATCGCTGTTCTCACAGACTCTGAACTATGCAGCCAAATCCGGGGTCGTCATCGACTCCATGGCTTACGAAGAGGACATCACACGCATGCAGTACGATCTACTGGTTATTGATACATTAGGCGGCACGGCCCTGGACGGTGCCTGCAGGTTGGCAGCATTAGCCTTCGGCCAGAGCATCATGCAGGAGACACCTTTCCGAAGGAGTGCCTCGGTGGAGATCTCGCGGCAGTTGCAAGGTATATTGACTGTTGATGACTCGGCTGGTTTCGATTCTGACCTGATGTTCTGGATTCTGGTGATGGGAGCGTTGGTCTCATCTCAAACAGCCGAGAAAGAATGGTTCCGGACTAAGCTCAGAGATAGGGTGAGCCAAAGAGGTCATTGCTTCTCATGGCCAGCTGCAAAAGCTCTCCTAGGAGCCATGTTCTGGGTTGACTGTCTACTGGATGTCCATGGAGAGAGGCTGTGGCACGAAGTATCTGGGCCTACTTGCGTTCGTCAATCCGCGTAGGTGCCCTGTCATCGATAGCCAGAGGAGAGGAGGAAGCCTTGTCTCCTCTCAACAAGCATATCGGTAACAACCAATGAAGTGCCCCTCCCCCACCATAGTCTCAAGCGCTACCATCAGCCAGAAGCACGCTTCATTCCCTCGCAAATGAGACGGAAGACGGCGTCCTTAACAATATCGTTGAGCCGCTGTGAATGTGAGTTGGGACACCACCAAATTCAGCTTGCCCACTACTGCATGGATCGAGCTGTGGAAGACAGTCACAGAATGCAACGGCGTTTGCGTGTCAGCATACGATTGGCCTCTTGTGTGCTTGGGATATATGCTTTAGACTCGACGAAATGATATTGGTCGGAGCTTTATTGCCAACTCAGAATTCACAGCTTGTACCTTTTAACTTTTCGACCGTTTGATTAAATTCGTCCAAAAACACTTCTTGCCAATCTTTTCCCCGTGTTTAAGCTAGTAGAGGATGTCGTCCCTCACACACTCGTCCACGCTGTGATTATTCAAATCCTTAATGGCGACTTCAATTTGAAGGTTGTAAAAGTGAAACACGTGAAACACGTGAGGACCACTAGACCGGGCGACACGTGCAAGGCACAAAGTCACCTTGACGTCATGTGGGGGAAGCTCCTTCCCTTACAACACTGTAATGTTGTACGAGGGCATCGGACTCCGGAGGCAGCCGCCATATCAGTGAAAACCTTGATAAAGCAAGGACATCCCACCTCGAACACGCCATCTCTGCTATAAATCCCTCGCGTGGACTCAACAACCTCTTCCTTCTCTGCCCTTACATCCGACTTGAAGCTTTGCAGCGTGCTGTGCAACGGCCTAGACCAGAACCAATTCCTCTTCTCACCACCGCCGCTACCACCAATCGCCATGTTGCACAACATCTACGCTTTCCTCTTCCTCCTGTTCACGATGCTGGCGTCCGCAGCCCCCGTTGGCGACGAGACTGTCACCGTAACCGACCATGCAGTCCGCTATGGCACCGGCGGCGGTATTGCTGGGCTCATCATTCTCATTCTCGACATCATTGTCATCGGTAAGTCTTCCACACTATCTGGCAAGATGTACGGCGTACAAGAAGAGCTAACAAAGATCAAACAGTCGAGGTCCTCCAGTCGAATCGCCCAGTCCCTCACAAACTCCTCTGGATTTTGATCGTCGTCTTGTTCCCTCTGGTCGGCATGCTCATCTACTTCTTCTTCTCAAACCGCGAAGCGCACAAGTCTTCCTACGAGCCTATTCTATGAACGATATATACAATTCTCACCCGAGGCATACGTGCCTTGCTGCCGGATCGTTGGATGGATGCTTAGACTGCTCACTCTAGGTTTCATACATCGCAAAAGAACCCTGAAAGAACACCAACCCCTGGAGAAGAGCAAGGAGAAGTCGTGATGTCTTGGTATGGACTTTGCTGGAATGTCCTGAGTGGAGCTCATTTGGTGGAATCTGCTATGGCCATGTTAGAGAATACTGTTGTCAAGATATAATAAGTACCGGAGTGATGTATATACGAGTAATATGACACATGAAGATCTGCGGGTTAGTTTCTCTCCAGTAGTTTGTTTTCGTCTGGGGTATGGATGTGCTACTCTCCTTGGCTTCAATATCTCCAACGTCTTCCAAACATCGTACTCGTAGACCAGCCATCTCGAAGCATGTGCACAGGTCGATGTACTACCGAACATCGTTCACGCTAATTTGTAGAAGCTGCAGAGGTAGGAAGCTGTCACCAATTAAATTTCATCGAGTTATTTGGTCACTTTGTCAAAATGTACACGATCTCAAACTGAGTTAGTTCCTCTTCTCATCAAAAGACTCCCCCAGAATACACCATATTACCGTATTGATCTTCGCTGGTTAAACCGTACAGGGGTGGTGGGATGGCCGAGGATCCTGCAGCTGTGGATCTAATGTAAGCAATGACGCACACCCCTGAGGGAGGCTCTGCTGCTGGTCGAAGAAAAATGGGGTTTCATCAAAAGTACTCGCTACTGTACTAACTATTGTAGACTGCTAGTGTTGGAGGTGGCTTTGACTGATCTCGCGGTGGGTCAAACCAGCCCTACTTGCTCAGTCCGGAAAGGATGGCGGCATCATCTTCACTGAGCGTTTTGACAGGCCACACAATGTACCGGTATGGAATGAGGAAATGGGCATCCCAGCGCCGTTTAGCCTGAATTGTGTCAATCACCCAGAGGTGTCATCACCATTGGTGGTGGCAAGGTGACTTTGCCCTCATTTGAAATCACTTCACTAAAGGCATGTGACATGTCCCAGCCAAAGCTGTAGCTGCAGTTCACGTTCATCCATAAGCAGGAGAGCCGGCAATGGTGGTGTTCAAAGGCAGGGGGAAAGGTTTTTTAACAGTGCGTACCAGTCCTCCATACCTTAAACACACCCTGGTGAACCATGTAACGGCCCATGAGTCCATTCTTGCATGGTAAACATCGAGTCATCGGAGATTAGATGTTGGGCTCCTCGCCTGTCATCACCACGGACGATGGAGGGGACCGGCGTTTCGGTACGTAGCACTGGGCTGGCAGAAGGTATTGGTCAATACGAACTCCAGGGGGCGGTATTGAGGTACCTACCGAGAAGGTGTATGGGGCTGGGATAGTCAAGTACTAGTCGCTTCTATTCCTGGTAGGAGGTTTTGTCGCCTCGCACCTGACAACACTTCCATATAGCCTCCGAGAGTGTTCGCCATGCTTCAATAGACGACTCAATGAAACCGAAAGTCCTTCTCGTCAGCTGAGACATCTCTTGTATGTAGAGAAAGCATCTCAGACGTGTCTTGCTTCCCTCAGTGTCAATCTCGGACAGCTTTGACGTTCGTAGTGCCCTAATCTCTCCTTCTCCCCAGGGCAGACCATGCTGGCTATGTTGTTCATAATCTCCTAATTGACACGCTTTGTCCTTGAAACTCAGCTATTACCTTGCGGGTATTCCCCAAGACTTTACTTGCTCCGCTCTGGGGTCACCAAATCAAGGCTCACGGTATGCTTCCGCATTTGCAATAGTACAAATTTCCGAAGCACTGCAGGTTCGAGAAGTGTCAATGCTGATCCCCAATCTTCACAAGCTAAATTGATCTGTGATTTTCTTGCCTTCCTCCGTTGTTACGGTCGCGGATGTATTTCCGGCCAGACCACGTTAGGGGTTGGCGAACGGACGGGACCAGATCGTGGCCGAGCATCAGGTCTACAGGCGCCTTTCTTCTAAGTTACCTCTAACCAGGATCTAAGTTGAGAAGAAACGTACATACCAAAACCACGGTCACTTCTTCTGAATCTACGTTATTCAACGCCCAGCTTACAATACCATTTAACATACAAGAGTGCAGCCCGGCTCTCTTTCTCTGTAAGAAGCTGTGACAACATGACACATCATGACTCATTGCAGAGGATATGTAGAGACTTCGATCGCCCACCCAAAGCATCTCGCATACCATCCAAGACTGACAGAACTCCACTCTAGCGCGTGTGGTGCGCCTTGTACAATACTTCCTTCGAACCTCGGGCATATCGGGAAACAGGAACCAAACTCGTGTACAAGTTCCTTGGTGCCTTTCCATAGCCAGTCATGTTCACCAACAGCGTAAAGGATAGGAACGCGGACGGACTTCGCATAACTTCTCCAGTATTGTGGCCAAATAAACCCCATATCAATCAGCTCGTCACGTTTCATAGGGACCGTCTGAGGGCCCACAAGAGAACGAACTTTGGGCTCGGCGCACCACAGACTTGGCTCACTGAGCATCAGTGTCTCTTTCACCGCAAGTGGGAAGCTAAGTTCCGAACTGCTAGGACCGTGGCCCTCCAGGATAGCTGGTTGATCAGTCCAGAATGTTTCAACACCAAAGCCTGACAGTATCAGCCCACGCAGCGGGTATTTCGGGCTGTTCTCTTGCGACCATAGTGCTGCAGCAACCATAGATCCAGGCACACCCATGGAGTGACACAACAGGACAATACCATTGCAGCCATTTGTCACTCCGAAGTGGTTCCATAGTGCGGGAAGTATGAAATTGTGTTCCCAATTTCCATCTTCGCGGAGGTAGCTCGTTGCCTCGTCAAATGGAGCCAGGGGTGAAGAGCCGGCGTATCCAGGACGGTTGAACGCGACAAACGGCACACCCAGAGCTGCCGAGACGGTCGATGCTGTGTAATCTTCCGAAATGTCGAAATTTTGAGCCGTACAAGTAGCGCCATGGATTCCGACGATGAGTGGTTTGGAATGCGTATGAGTGGTCGAAGTCATGGAAGGGATGTGAGCAATCCCGGTGACTATAGCCCCATTCTGCAGAGCCAGGCTAAATGGCGTAAACCTGGTGTTTGAGTTTGTGGATGCCATGTCGTTTGTCCAGGTTGAGATAGAGATTGCAAACACAGCAAGGCATGGAAGGCGGCATATCCTTTTATGCACTACTACGATCCTGCGAATGCCTTATAGATACTGACGTCTGACACAGGGTTTGTGCTTCCTCACCGAGTACAGTCGCAATCTGTCCACGAATGCGCCTTTCCCTTCAGCCGCATATTTGGCCCCGGCAGACTACAGTGGGTCGTGTTATATAGGCGGTCTCTGTTTATCCAAGGTGAAACCATCGGAGACGCGCTTCAGTCCCTTGGTAGGTTCAAACAGTGCTAGGACCAGGTGCTCAAAATCGCGGTCTTCGATTACTGCTTTTTAGCTCCGCCTGATTCCACGTTGCACTGCCCTCAGCTAAAGCCTCCGTAGACCCTCTTCGGCTAGTACCTCAAAAGCCCCGTATGACTTCCACGAAGCTGACTTTTACAACCTCGTGGTGCGGGCAGCACCGTATATGTCGATAACACCGTGGTGCAATCCATCCTTCAAAGATGAAATAACTTGGGTTCGATACTTTCTGCATTGATCACTCAAGCGTCACACAGTTAGCCATGTACCAGTCTCTGCTCACACCAGCCTCTGCTCCCGTGCACCACCTGCCCATTTGACGGGATAAAAGTTACGAAAGTCAAATGGGTTGCAACTACAGTCATCCACCCAATCATTTATCCTGGTCGGGCATTTAGTGTACTGTCCAAGGTAAGCGCCATCCTTCAGCGGAGCCTCGGTGATGCCGACACCCAATAAAACCGACCCAGATATCCCCACAAGGGGTGAAGGTTATACCGACTTTACTTAGGACAACCTCACCAAACTGCGGCTCTGCAAAACGCAGCGACATCGAAATTTTGGCACGTCCTCTCTGAAGCACCTCCTGATTCGGACACTTTGTTATTTCTTTGGATTCACCAAAGAATAGTGGTAATTCCAGTCTATAACCCATTCTGAGCAGACTGATGTATATCATTGTTTTAAGATCGTCCCCATAACCGTACGGATCGGCATTCGAAACTCTGTGAAGCTGTCTGTGGCAAGTAATATATCTAGTAGATCTTACTAAGGCGAGTTAGCTTTGCTTTAGCCTCGTGCGAGCGTCGCGCGAGTCTTGAAGCCAAGGCGAACTGTTGTAGGTCACCACCGTCGCAGCGGTCGTAGCGGCCGCAGTTCTTGTAGCAGAAGTCCCCCAACTATTCCCTTAAGTCCGTCTTGATATGAAGATTGTCATGTCATTTCTTTTCATCAAAGTGCAAGCTTCTGAGCACAGCACCCACTTGTCTTTGCAGTGTCCAATGAGATTACTGTTTCTCATACCAGTTAAAGAGGAGTGTGATGATTCTTTGGAATAATTGGTGTGGTTTTTCGATTTTCATTACCATGGAACTAGGGGGCTCGTCAACGGCCACTTCTGAAATCGTACTCTCAACGTGCCAGGATAGTCAGGGCTGGCAACGTGGCTGAGACGATAGCTTACGATGTTTTGCCACGGGCATCCATTCCATGAAATTGTTCTTACCGTGGCTTCACCATATCTCCGTTCTAGGGATTGAAGGATTTGAGTTCTGACGACCTGTCTCTCCAGGTTGTACTTGAGTTGGCGGCTTTGAAGGATCGCTGTGTTCCACTCCCCGATTGTATGTACCACATTCAAGGCTGTGTGGCCTCCTGAATTTGAGAGGCAGTTGGCCCGGCCCCATCAACAACCCGGATGGCAAATTGTTTAGCTCTGAGTGAGATAAACCTGGCAGACCGAGAGGATTCTTGATCTCGAGAGTATTTAAACCTGGGATTTCGTCTCATAACTGTAGTTGTATTTGCATCTTGCACGCGCAAATTCGACTTCAATTGTTCGTTGCTAGAAACTCACTCGTTATCAGCATGTTTCCTTTCGCATTTTCACTCTTTTTGGTCTCTGGTGCTCTTGGTCAGAGTGTCAGTCAACCTTCTCCTACATCTACTCTCGAACCCTGTGCGCAGATTCGTGAACTTCAGAAGACATCTCTTGCGGCTGACCCGGCTGGTATACATCCTATTCCGAGGTGGTCTTCACCTTCTTTTCCTTCATCTACTGACAATCGGGGTCTAGCAACTGTTTTTCGATTTCCTCCCGAAGTCGCCTACGAATGCCAACTCTCGGTTCCTATCGTTCAAAACGACGCTTTTCAAATCATCGATGGCTTAAGAGCACTTGTCGAATGGCAAAGTACACTGGGCTGGTTGAAGAATCCCCCTGCGGGCTATCCATTTCGGCCTGTAGATCTTGTTGGGGGACTAGAAGAGCTTAGGTCACAAGTCCAATCGGGGCACCTGAAAAGCGAATTGGAGTTTGAATGGAAACTCATCGGATTGCTAAGTTCCGCCAGGGATGGGCATTTACAATTCCACCCCGATGCAGACTTTGTGTTCTCGTTTCGAAACCCCATCGGTAATCTCGTCTCTGTATCCTCTGATGGAAGAGCTCTTCCTGAGGTCTACCTGTATAGTGAGTTAAAAGACAATTACGGGGCAAGAAAAGGACTGATTTTGGCTAGGCGAACTGATTCGGGGTATCAGCGAGGGCTGGGAGCCGTCGGCGATTTCCAAACTCAACGACATTGATATTGTGGAATGGCTCACTTACGAAGCTCTTAACACAACTTTCACCTTCCAAGACCCTGACGCAAAGTAAGTAAAAACTGGGATTGGTACATATACGTTTCTCTGACCATGTCCAGCTATAATTTCCTCTTCTATTCAAATACCGGCTCCGACGGTGCATTCTTTGCAAACGCTGAAAGTCGATACAACGGAACCGACATGACTGTAAACTTCAAGAATGGCAGCACAGCGTCTTATGGCTGGGTAGCCGCCACCGCCAAAAGTTTTGCAGCCGTCGAAGATGGAACCTCCTTCTACAATGCCTTTTGCAATGTGACACAGAAGCTCAGCAACACTGACCCCGGTTCGTCAGCGGCGACATCAGACGCTTCTCCTGGTGCCAGTGACCCTAACCAATTGAGACCACTTTACCCCAAGGCCTTGGTGATAAGTGACGATGCCTCTATCGCAGGATACTTTTCGGAATCGGACCCCGACACGGCGATTCTCTCCATTAACGGGTTTTCTGAAGGGGCGGCTCCATCAGCTCAACAAACTATGACATCGTTCCTCAACATGTGCAGGGAACAAAACAAAACAAGGCTGATTATTGATCTGAGCCAAAATGGAGGAGGAACCATTATGCTCGCATACGACTATTTCAAACAGCTCTTCCCGTCACTTGAACCGTACCTTGCGGGTCAGCTCCGTGCCCATGAACAGGTAAGGTTTTCCTCCCTTCAATGTTTCGATTCTAATGCTTACAATTTTTAGTTGGATGTTTTGGGTCAATACTTCACTCCCCTTGCTGAACAAGCTCAGAGAGATGATCCTTCCAATTTGACCTATCTCACCGACAGAGGAAGGTACGGGTATTTCGACGCTCGATCTTTTGTCAACGATAGCGGTCAAATTTTCGATTCTTGGGACGACTTCTATGGTCCTGTGGACCGCAATGGAGACAAATTTACGAATCTCTTTCAGTTATACATCAGGAATGCAGATTATGACCATTCTAGTGGCGCCATCACAGTGTCTGGATATGCAAATAACAGCGAGATTGCCCCACAGCCTTTTGACCCGGAAAACATCATCACATTTACCGACGGATACTGTGCGTCAGCATGCACAATTTTCATGCACCTAATGAGGTACCAAGCAAAGGTGAAGACAATCGTCGCGGGCGGTAGGCCCCAAATGGGTCCTATGCAGTATGTCGGCGGAGTAAAAGGAAGTTTGGATATGCCCTTGGACTATGTATACAACCAAACCAAATACCTCTACGATCATGCACCAAAAGAAATGATCGAAAGAGCAAACAAAACCCTCCTCAAATCGATCTTGGACTATGGTTCTTATCTCCAGCTACGCAGTGTAAGTCCGCAAGCACTGCCCTCTGTTAACGGCCAAAACGCAATTTCTCAGTACGACTCGTCGGAGACCCCTTTACAATTCGTTACCGAGGCTGCAGACTGCCGAATATGGTTCCAGCCGATACACATGGTGAATATCACAGCGCTATGGGATACAGTGGGCCAACAAGCGTTTGGACTGAACGACACGAAGCCATATTCCCTTTGTGTAAAGGGTAGTACGAATGACCCTACGAGTCTCAACGGAAATGGAACTTTCTATGACGATGGCCGTCTCGCAAACGTGACGGGCTACGATCCCGACAACAATGGGACTGTTTCCGGCACAGAAGATGGGAACAATTCTGGATCGATAGACGGGACAAATGGGGCAAGTTCGCTATCCAATGGACCGACAATTTTGATGGTGCTTGCCTTGTGCTCATTCTCAGCTTTACTTTAGAGACAGAATTGTGGACTTTGGGAGAGATGGTGGTTCTGCCACATAGTCACATTTTACTCCCCTCCCCCTTCGTCATCTGGAGGGGGTTTTTGATTGCCCCTTTCTCTCCTCTCTCTTTATGTCCACATCAACGCTGGGAATGACGGACAGAAATAACAACGTGATTGTCCAAGCAAAAGCAATCCAAAGACTCAATTGGCGACAACCAGAGCGGGTCCATTTTTGGGCCCCCACGAAGGGGTCTTGACTTTTACACCCACGGTCGGCTGCGCCCCCACACTCTCGTATGCTCGCCGACCCTGGGTACACAATAGCGTCCCTCTCTTCGTATTCTAAATCACCGCCATATACTAGGGAAGTTGCTAGACGGTCACGAAAGCATCAATGATATCGAAGCTAACCTGACATATCAAGTTTATATCAGTAGCATCGAAACATGCCTCGAGTAATCCAGGAATATTATTGCTATTGTACACAATGTGGTACAATCAAATTGCTGGCGCCGTGACCTTCTTAGAGCTTGGAACTATTCTTTATTTCACGGTAAGTCTATATTTTTATTTGCTATCGCTGTAGAGGGTAGCTTAACAGGTACCTAACTATAATAAAAGCATTTAATGCCGAGTTAGTTTTGATTGCAGCCTTGTTTGCTGCTTTAAAGAGAAGTGGCACAGAAAGGGTATAAATATTGCCTACCTGGAAATTTCTGGACAATGCAATGATGTACATCTAAATGGCAGTGGAAGCTTTGTAGAAGTTAGAACCTAGATCGTGGCAACAAAGTCGTTCAAAGTATCGTCGATTATTTATCCCACTTACTAATAGTGAGTTCAACCTTATATAAGTCCCGTTCAATCTAATCTCTTCAGGCTCGAGCTCCGCGTCGCGTATAAGACAGGCTAATCGTACTTTAGATATCCAGTTTCTAATATCTCTGGAACCACACACAACATCACAAAGATCAATCAACACGACCTCTACACAGCAACAGACAATAGTCTTTACCCCCAAGAAGCTTAATCAGGTGCTTTTAGCCAGCAGCCAGAGCCCAGCATGGTGGAGAGTAATCTTAGTGGATTGATGCTGGATACTAATTTGGATTCTATCCTTCGTCAATTTAATGTTGATAGCCTGGATTTAGAGGGATTTCCATAGAGCTGAACATGATCGGTTGCGCGTGTAGTAAACTGCTCGATATCTGGAAAGATATCATCGGGGCTGGCATTTCACTATACTTATCTGAATTTCACTTTAGTTAGCTAACTCCTCACAGCCGCAGCGAAGCTCTTACAATGCGTTGACCTTTTCATGCCTTTATTCGACCACAGATATTGCAACCTCGATAATAGAACGATATTTCAAGCTGTATTCTACCGTATAATTTCTTAAGAAGAAAGATAGCTACCCTGGCGTGCTCTCAGTTCGATACGCAGGGAAGAGGCAGTCAGATACTTATAATGCTGCTCCTACCTGGAACTATCCCTGTACTATATACTGGCCACACTATGCTGATTCATTGAGGCTTACTCGGATTTACGTCGAGTATCTGCATGTACCATGACGCTTGAGAACCCCGTGCGTAGGACTTTCAATAGCGAGCCTCGACATTGATATAGGGTTATATAATGTAATGAGGGCCTGGTACTTATCTTGTCGGAGTCCAGACTGACGGTCAACGGGCTAGCCGGAACACCGCGCCCAAACGAGGGTAGTATAATCCGGCGCAACGGTCGACGGAATGGGTTGGCCAGTGTCGAGTCCGGACGACTTTTCAAAAATGGATCTAAACGTGTTGAACAGGCTGAGTTGTGACAACGTCATTTAAACCCCGATACTCACGCCTAGAGTCATTTCAATCTTGATACTCATGCCTAGTGCCCTCCGGAGAGGGCCGCCGCTGAGGACGCTCCTTTTGCAACTTTTGCAACCACATGAATTCACTCATTTTAGTCACTTTTTGCTATATCATAGTCCTCAGGATAGAGGAACAGGACCTCGCCGAGGCAAGGACGGTGGCCTTCGACGAGGAACTTATCGGACGCCGCCAATGCCCGGGAGGAAAACCCCTCCACCAGGACGAGAAAACTTTCACTCTTTTACCATAAATAGATAGAACAGCGACCTCCTATTCCTGGAGGTCATGTCAATACATCCAATTTGACCTCTGGGTTTCACCATCGGAGGGATTAGCACAGCAGCAGCTCATGATCGTTTTCGAAGCGCTGACAGGTGCAGATTGAACTAGGCATTTACAGTGTAGTGTGGCCTTACTTTTTACTCCGTACTCTGGGCGAGTTGGTTCTGAGTTGCCCAAACTATTTGCGGCCCTGGTTACATTGCACCCTACGACTCACATCGCTCTCTTCGCTGCGCCTTCACATGAATCTTTCCTCTACACCCATGGAGTTGGTGTCCAATGACCGTCTGTCTGGCTGAGAGCTTCTCTGCCGGTCGGAACGACTTTGGGCTGTAGGGCCTGTGGCAGCGTCCACCAATATTGCTTGGGCGGCTTCAGAGGGCGACAGCAATTCTGTTAGTCTGGTACTTCTTGATGCTCGGAATGAAGAAGCAAGCAATGATTGCCAAGGCTCCGAAAGGAATGCTTGTGATCCAAACCCACTTCAGAGCCTCAGCATATCCCCATCTGGAACCCATCGTAGCTCCAGCCAGGACTTGGGGCGAAAACCCGGGCGCGTGAGTGATGTGTGCCGGAGCAGTGAGGAAGGTCAGGACGAACTCTTCAACATCTGACGCGGGTAATCCTGCCTTCATGGCATACTTTGCCACATTGACGGGTAGTTGTGAAGTGAGCTTCTTGACGAAGATGTTGTAGTAGATGGTAAAGCCAATCGAGCCGCCAACAGTACGGATGGACAGTGACAATGCGGCTGTGGTCGCCAGAAGGGAATCGGGGACGACAATCATGGCGACAGTGGCAGCAGGCACTAGAATACCACCAACGCCAAAGCTGGCAATAGTACCGAACGCGACGGCCATGCGAGGAGTTTCAGGAGTTGTGGCAGCCAGGGCTCCGGTGAAGGTAGCTATACTGGGTCAGAGAGTTCGGGTTTCCAAGAGAGACAAAGTAATCACTACTTACTCATGATGATTGACGAGATTAGGAGAATATACTTGGCCGGCATTTTCGTCGAGAGCATGGAATTCCAAAAGACGGCCCCGACAGTGGTCGAGATACCATACCCCAAGCCTTTCAAGCCAATCTGGACCGGATCTGGGTCCCAAAGGGCCGCAAAGGAGATGGGGAAGAAGTTAATGAGTGAGTAGAAGTCGAAGCCGGCGATGAAAGCCACGAGGAATGCGAGAGGAGCAACTCGCTGGGTTTGGTAGAGTTCGCGCGGGATCATGGGATACCGCGCAAACTTCCATTCCCAGACTATCCAGGCGAGAATCAGGAAGATCCCGATGATCAGCTGGGCCATGACATATGCGCTTGTCCAAGCGTGTGTATAACCGCCGGACTGCAAGGCAACAAGGCTACAAAAGGTTGGCTGAATGTTCGACAAACGAGGCCGGGCAAATGCCACTTACAAGATAGTCAGTCCGACGATTGACAGGGCGGCACCGACATAGTCAATGCGTGCAAGGATCTCCCGGTTTGTCATCCCTTCCATCCGGGGGTGTGATTTTGGAAAGTATGTCGTCAGGAGGCCGACGAACACGATACCATTCCAGATCCTGATACATTGTTAGCCTTGTCGGGCGCACCCCTACGCACCGGGCGGCCAACGACTCACAGGACGATCCATTGTGTCCATCTCCAAGTCACATAGGTCGCGAGAAGCTGACTGACGGGCAGGTCAGCATTGACGGTTATAGCTAGTGTGAAGAAACCAGCCTACCTGTACATGACATAAGGGGTGAACGGGACGAGAGATGCAGTCATCAGGGCCAATGCAAAACCTCGGTGGCGGACAGAGACAATGTCCGACAATCTCCTTCGTGTCAGCCGACATTGTCCAAAGACCGATCGTCAGATTCATACCCAGCGAGAGAGGTCAACTCGCAAACTCCAGCACCGCCTCCGGCCAGGGCCATGCCAGTTACGGCCTGCCCAAAAGAGTGTGCACTGCCAGTCAAGGCAATGCCCACCATGATCACCAGCATACCAGCGAGAGTGATGTACCGGCGTCCAAGAAGATCCTGCAAGTATCCCACAAATGGCGCCATTGCAGTGATGGCTAGCGTATTCGACACCGGCAGCCAACTTCCGACCTTCTGCGCATCAAGGTCGGCTTCCATGAAGGAAAGGCACCCTCCGACAAAGTACAAGTTGGCTTGAGACCCTGGTTTCAAGTCAGTTGTCCGCCATATCCGTTGGAGAGCAGCAGCAACGAACCGGCATACAGCATGCCCAGCGACACAGCGGCCACATAGTGGCGGAAAGTCCAGGCAGCTTTGCCATCCGAGTCATCACCTTTATACGCGAACTCATTGTGGACATCGACATCGTCAGCGAGGTTCTTCTCGCCCTTCTCCACATGCATGAGGTCTGGTTGTTTTCCTTCCTGACCTAGGTTAGTCGCGGACATTTTGTTTGATCCGTGCATGACGTATTGCTTCAAGCAATTCAAGGTGGTCTTCTTCTTCTTCACTACTTAACAAGGATCTCGACCCAGCAAACAAGACTTGCGAGAAGTTCCTTGGGAGATCAGAGCTCATCCTGGAGCCTGGGGTGCTATATGTATACACAAAAGCGCTGTCTATGTCGACAGGGGTGCTCCATACATAACCCCGGACTCTCTCCGCTGCCTATTCCGGTCGTCACAGGACCTGTCGTTCTCGGCTGTTTTCGGTCCCTGGCAAGCTGCTTGAGCACTCGACCCCAGACCAGACTGGCTTACGGTCAACCATACAGTAGGCTAGATCGGCTTCCGCATGGTCGCGCAAGCCGCTGACTGAGCCACATTTGCCAACCTCACTGTGGCTTGTGTGCAGATCTTGTTTGCGCCTGGACCGAGGTTTCGCTCTCGCACCAACACTCCCTGTCATCTGTTGGCGGGGAAATTTGGATGTTGTGTGCAAAGTCAAGCAGACTTCCGAGGGCTGACTAGTTGCCGGAGCACTAGGTTGACTTATTCCCAGACTAATCAACCTGCAATCCGCCTGTGAGAGAGCAACTCATTGTTGAGAGCGTGCAGGATCAGGAGAGAAAGCACAAAGTCGTCAAGATGTCGCACAAGTCCCGGTGGGATTATCGAGCTATCACAATGTTCATTCCCGATGCTGCTGTTCGAGTCACCCCAAAGGATTTGCATGACAAGACAGCATTCATCGACGCTGCTCGGCCGGAGGGGCTTTTCCTCACGCGTAACCAGTTCCGATTGTGGTCTCAGCTGAGGAGTCCGAACTTCCAGTCAGGAGATCGAGTGCTGGTGTGTTTGCAGGAAACGCGATCGCCACCCCCGTTGCCTTCATGGGTATCGTCATGGCAGGCGGCATCTTCACTGGAGCGAATCCTAGCTTTACTCCGAGGGGAGTTGGCGAATCAACTCCGCGACTCGGGGTCGACTTACTTGCTCTGCTCGCATCAGTCTATCGAGACTGGTGTCCGAGCTACTGAATAAGCCAAGTTGGACATTGGCAGGATGTACACCTTCAATGAGAAAGTGTTGTCGGGCGAGAGCGCTAGACAGTCACCTCTTCAAGGGTGCAAAGACTGGTCTGAGCTGATGGCACCGGCTGAAGAGGCCAAAAACTTCCAGTGGGGGGAGCTGCCGGTGAGTATCAACCAAAGGACCTGGATCAACTCCATGGCTGACCGCCGTTCAGGGAGACAAATGTCACAAAGCAATCGCGCTCAACTACTCGTCCGGGACAACAGGTGTTCCCCAGGGCGTTGAAGTCACGCATTTCAACTATATCGCCAACACTCTGTAGTTTAATCACCTACAGACCCTGCTCCCTGGCTATGCTGAACACAATCAGAGAGCAGCCTGGTTCTGCTTTTTGCCACTGACCATGCCATGGCCCAGACGATATTCATTGCTGGCAGTCTTCTTCGCGAGATTCCCGTTAACATCATGGCAAAAATGATGCTGAAGAACATCCAAAGGTTCAAAATCACCGAACTTACCTTAGTCCCGCCGATTGCGGTGACCCTTGTCAAGCACCCTGCCACCAAGAAATTTGACCTGAGCAGTATCGAGTCAGCCTGTGCTGGAGCAGCTCCTCTTAACAGCGAGACGTGCCGCGCCCTGGAAAAGATCTGCGGCAAAAGATTCAACATGAGGCAGGGCTGGGCCATGACTGAGGTTACTTGCTCCTTACTGGGCTGGATTCAACCAAGGAATCGGCGTCTTTCGGGGTCGGCGAGCCCAACGCAAACTGCGAGGCGATGATCATGCGAATTGAGACCGACGCCCAGGGTAACGAGTCGTTTTCAGAGGTCACTGCCCGTGGCCCTGAGCACACCGGTGAACTCTGGGTCCGCGGGCCGAACGTCATGAAAGGCTATTGGCGAAACCCAGAGGCTACAGCTAAGACCTTTTCGAACGACGGAAAGAGATGGCTAAGGACAGGAGACGTTGCTTACGTTGATGAAGGTGGATGCTTCTATATTGTCGACCGCATCAAAGAACTGATCAAGGTCAAGGGGAACCAAGTGGCTCCCGCCGAACTCGAGGCACTTCTCCTCGAGCATCCTGGCATCGCCGCTGCTGCTGTCATTGGTATCCCAACGGCCGACGGGGATGAAAAGCCCCGCGGTTTGTGGTAAGACAGCCTGGCACTACCATCACCGAGCAAGAGGTATACGATTATGTCAAGGAAAGAACTGTGTCTTTCAAATGGCTAGCAGCAGGCGTCGAGTGTGTGGAGTCGATTCCGAAAAACCCGTCCGGAACGATCTTGAGGAGAGAGCTTAGGGAAAAATCCAAACTCAAGGTTGTCAAGGCGAGAATATAGAACAGAAGAAAATGGATGTACCGGCGCAGTGGCAGCTGTATTGTTACCTTTGTATGTGTGCGTAGCTTGTCTCTTGGATAGAGTTCCATACTCAAAGACATTAGAACAGCTCCGCAGCAGTCTCGGACCCTGACCCAGTCGCCATTTCGTCCACGTGAAGGCTCTCCATCTGGTCTCCCTCGTAAAAGTGTATATGCATAGGATGTTTTGCTGCAGAATGGCGGATTAATCTACCAGGTGATCGATGTTGTCTTTCGCCTTACGTCGTACGTACCACTTATCCAGTGCATCTGAGCACGCCTGGGTATGATTTATAGTCTGACCCAAATTGCCACGTTCCTTACCCGAGGGACAAAGCGACAATACCCCGAGAACCTGCTCAAGTAAGATGATAAGCCCCCACTGGGCAGCTAGTGTCGTGGTTGAATCACACTTTGATCCCAGATCGGTCTCAAGGGTTCCTGGTATTGTATGACGAAAAATTCTGTCTTTCACTCCAGCAGTGAAGCTCTTATCGACAGCCACTTGCACTGGCCGATGGAGGCCAAGTGCCAGTGAACGGTCACGAAGCAAACAGCAAAACCAGAATCGGTCGAGCGAATCCCTGAGTCGCGAAGACTCTTTCTGAGTATCATTCTTTTGCTGATCTACTCCAACTGATCTCGCAAGGCAGATCGCATTGCTCAATCAATAAGTGTTTAAGTTTGCGTCCGAGGATGAGACATAGGTTGTGAGCAGTAAGGCACCTTGGGCACTTAACACAGCATCTCTATTAGAGTCGACATGGAACAATGCCTATAAGCGAAGTGTTACGGATTAGTTGTGGTAACTAACTTGATTAAATATCTCTGACCTTTGTTCGACGGTAGAACGTCTTACAAGCAGCAAGGAAACAGCCGAAATCGAGTCGTTGAGTTGTACTCAGTGGTATGAACTGAACAGTTAGTGAACAAAATCTCATACACTGCAAGCTGCACACAGCATCGCTTGAAATAGAAAAAGAGACACCACTTCTGTTGGGATCGAATCATTGTATAGCTTCCAGAAGTGGCTTTCCTCTAGAACAGGTTGTTGAGGGTGCACATGTCGAAAGTACGTTTCGAAAAGCTCGTCCAATAAAGGCTTCGACGGCATTCGATAGCATCCCAACTGTTCTAGGTATTGGGCATCCTCGACATGCAGCCCGACTCTTACCACACGCTCATGAGACCAACGATTCACTGGTGAGCCGAAGTCTGCTGTCAAAGCAGCAAGGACATGTTATCCCCCTCGTACTCGTACGCACGACGCAGTGCATCTGTCTTGATTGAGGGGTTTGGAGCTTGGAAAGTAGGTCGTGACGTGAAGTCGGCAGTATTCGGTATATTTCGGTCTCGGCTGAACTTGTATTCAGGGATGGGACGGAAACATCACGAGCTTGAAAATGAACAAGACCGGCCGAATCATTCCACTCCCCCGCACTGCTGCTGGAAAGCTTAATCATGAGAGGAGTCTTGAGGTTGAAGAGGACTCGATGCTCTGATCCTTGGATTGACGGATCATGCATGAAGCTAATGAACGCGTCATCGATTTGCAAGTTGGCTATTGGGCATGTGTGTGAAAAGGCCGTCTACAGTAGTATCAACCGGGAAACTTTGGAGAGTGCGTAATGATCCTCCGTACTTTGTTGAAGCGGTGCTATGCTTCACCGTCGACACGTTTGCAGCTTCCGAGTTATAGCTTGGCCCCAGATTGTGGCTTCGGCTCCCCGCGAAAATCTTTTCTCCAGGTGGGCGAAGATCGCACCATTCGGATCCGAACAATCTCAATTTCCATTCCCCGGTCAATTGTTGATGTTGCACGACCCTCTCCTAGAGTCTCACGTACAGCCTTGGACTCCCTATGAGCTTCAATACCCTCCCACCATTGCCATCGTGAGGGGCATGACCCCGACAACGGCAGACACTGGAAACATGCAAGAGAGCGAACACGTTGAGAGCTCGCCGGCCGTCTCTGCCGTCGAGCGAAGGAAACGGGGTTCACGAGCCTGTCTCCTGTGCCGCAATCGCAAGGTGCGATGCGATGTCATGCAAAATGGGATACCTTGTACGAATTGTAAATCAGACACACAGCCTTGTGTCATTCCCAGGAAGACGAGAAAACAGTGAGATGCAGCCTTGCTCGAGTGGACAATACGCGACTTCTGAACACTCTCACTGACTAAGTAGTCGGCTCGTCCCCGTTTCGACGTCGTTAGGACCACAGCTGAACAATGAAGAACGTGTTGGTCAGGATGCGTGTACAGCACAACGTCCGAGCTCGACATCGATGCCTTCGACGCTTGTTGACCTTCCACAGCACTACAATAATGGGACTGCGACGCAGCAGCCACTCCCAGTCAACCCGAGTATCCAAGCACTCCCAGTCATACAGGACCTGGTCGCTGAAATAGATGCTTCTCCGACAATGGCCTCCTCCCATGTCGAGAATTCTCTTCCAGCGAGCTCTGTGACACAGATACCCAGGTCTGCCGCGGCCGGAGACAAGCGTCATTTGCCACAAATTACTTCCTCTGGAGAGTCAGTGCCAGAAGATCTTGGAAGGCCAAATCTAGGAGGTTACGTTGAAGCCACCTTTTATCCCTTCTTGGAAACGTTATTCATAAGGAATACTCTGGTTGAAGATTTTGACTATCTCTCACACATTGGCAGCCTCCAAGTGCCTCAACGACGTTATCTCGACGAGCTTCTTAAAGCATACTTCCTGTATATACATCCTCATCTACCGTTGATCAACGAGGGGGACTTCTGGGATACATATCTCGACAACCAGTCTAGTAGGAGCAACTCTTCTTGCATGTCTCTGTTCGTCTTTCAGGCGATGCTACTCGCAGCGTGCAGTGTGAGTCTAGGCCTCCGCCTGCCTTCCCCGATTCCATCTCTCAACCTGAAATCGTGTCTTTGCATGTCTTTAGCCGCTGACGCTGACCCAACTCAAAGTTCGTGCCCACGACAGTCTTACAGTTTCTGGGATTTTGCAACACACGACTTGCGCGAGCCACCTACTATCGCCGCGCAAAGGTGATTTTTGCGCATCAGTCCTAATTACTGAGAAAGTACTGATATTTGCGCAGGCTCTATACGACTTTGGCACCCAAAGAAGCAATCTGATCAAAGCGCAAGGTGCATTGCTCATGACGTTTCACGTCCCGCTCAACGAGCCGCACATCAACAGTCACTGGCTAGGGATAGCTATCAATCACGCCAAAGCAGAATCAGCCGACCAGTTCTACAGGTACGCGGTCCATGATGCCGTTAGATATAATCAGATGAAACGGCTGTGGTGGTGCTGTATTATCCGGGACAGAACTTTGTCTTTGGCACTTCGACGACCAATATTCATCTCCTCGAAGGCATTCTACGATGTATGGCCGCCACTAACGGAGGATGACTTGAGGAGCGAAATTGAGAGGTCGCACGTGTGCACTGCTTCGACAAAAATGTCGATACTAAAATCTCTGATTGCCTTATGTGAGCTTTGCGCCATCGTCACAGATATCCTCTCGCTGCTGTATCCGCTTGACAGCACAACTGCCAATGATGATCATCTCGAACTTATGACTCGCATTTACAGCTTCACAGATAACCTGAATGAGTGGCACGAGCAGGTGGTGAGTATCATTGAGCCCCGTCATCACAACGGCAACGAAGTCGGTATTGTCGTCCTGTTCAGCAACATGCTCAACATCTTGTTCCAGTAAGATTCGTGTCCTACCAATGCCTTGTTGACTTCATCACCTAATTCTCGATCAAGATCCGCTAAAGCTGCGTTGTGCAATCATCGCATCATGCTTACTGTAAGCGAGACGTTACAACATTCTTTCGAACGGCTTCACGCAAAGAACGAACTCCAAGCTGCTTTGCGCAGCACCGCACAAAGTTTGAGGGCGATTATTGAAGCTGGGATGATAACTTACTCTCCAATCAGCATGTAAGACCACAAGCTGCCTCAAGAGGTCGTGTGCTGACCCTTGGTAGGGTCGCTTTCCTGGCTCTGCCATCGATTTGCTACAATTTGAACTTGACCAATCGTGCACAGCCACAAAGGCCTTCACAGACTTACGGAACGAACATATACCAAGACTTTTTAAGAGTACTGCAACTGCGATACGAAGGAACTGATAGGGCATTGAGCAACATGGCAAAGTTGATGAGTGATATGAATATGGAAGATGCCACTTCCCCTTCAACAGCGAGATCTGATTCAACAAGCAACATATCAAGCAATCAGAGGCAGGGCCGGACAAGCTCTGCAACCCTTGCGACGACTAAATCCGTGTCCGGAATTGACATTGTCGTCTCCGACCCACAGAAGTATGTACAGATTTGTCAAACGCTGGATTTCTTCCTCTCCCGTGGTCGGTTTCCCACAAGATACGATACCAGTTCAAGTATTCCTTCTCCACCAACCGCGCCCGAAAGGCTACCTAGCGCAGGGATGCCTGTTTGGGCTACTGCAGAAGGAAGTGGCGCCACGGGAAGAGGGCAGTTTGAACAGAGCATGGGTCGAAATTTGTTCAGTCGAGACATGGCTCTCGATTCCGCAAATGTCGATACGTCCGCCGAGTCAAGTGAACTGCTACCAACGAGCGAAACCAGTACGGCCGCTGTGGAGCTTTCCGTGGCGCTCCTGGACAATCCATTCCAAGAAGCTATTGCTAACCCGGAGTACTTTCTGTTCGAGGATTTTGAAACCTTCATGACTGACGGACCATATCGAGGCGCCGACCGATCGCAGCCAAATACCCTTTATGATTGAAACGTCTTTAAATCAGCCATCAGCCCCCTCCCGTCGGGACTGCTTACTGTCGGACTAACGAAGTGCGGATTTGCCTCGAGCTGACTCCCGACCGGCAATTTTCGGCCCGTATGCTGTGACCCGATAGGCATGGATCGACACCCATAGGCCAGGAACATCTCCGTCTGGGGGAGACTGGCGCATACCCCAGAATTGATCACACCTGCAAGACTTGCCTTCATTGCACATGCATTCAAGAAGAGGCCAGCTGCTCTCTTGTACTGTCAAAGAGGTTGGTGGCTCGGATCTATATACTCTACTCACAAATTGAAAAACAACTCTGTCCGCACACGACACATACTAATTCTCAGCCATGGACGGCGCAGGACTTCCGTTCTACGCAGCAGCGGCCGGTGTCCTGAGCCACTGGTTTTATTTCATACGTGGAGAGCACCATGTACAAGGACCACTCCTTTTACGTCTCGCACTTGTCCTCCCCTGCCTTCTCCTTGGCGGCCTATGGAGTTACGGAGGCCTTGATGCGATTTCTGCCGGAACACTCACGTTAAAATGTGTCTCATTGTACTATGCGGCGTTATGGACGAGTATACTTGTCTATCGCATATTCTTCCATCGTCTTCGAAGATTTCCAGGGCCGTTTATGTTCAAGACTTCGAAGCTTTGGCATGTCTATAAACTTGCGCCAAATTCAGATAACTATAAGCAGCTAGATGCCCTTCACCGGCAGTATGGAGATTTTGTACGGACAGGAAAGTTCACGACATTCGGTCTATTGGAAACAGTCACTAACAGATACGTCTCAGGCCCATGTGAGGTTTCGATATTCGACCCCAATGCAGTGCCAATACTTCTTGGACCGGGAACAAAGTGCACGAAAGCCCCCTGGTATGATGCCAACTTACCCTACATCTCAATGCACACTCTGCGAGACAAGTCTGCACATGACAAGAGGAGGCGGATCTGGGATCGTGGGTTCAATGCAAAAGGTATGATGATCGAACCGGGTACTGCCGCCCAGTATTCTGATTGCAACAAACAGCTCTCCGCCAGTACGAAGACCGCATCTTACGCTACTCGAAAGAGCTACTGAGGCAAATCAGCAGTCGTTCTGGTCAGACACTAAACGCATCAAAGTTCTTCCACTTCTACTCCTTCGATGTGATGGGAGACATTGCGTTCGGAAAATCATTTGGAATGCTGGAAACCGGCAAGTCCAACGACGCCCTCAATCTGCTTGCAGAAGGCATGAAGCCTTTGGGAGTTTTGACGCCCGCGCCTTGGATTTTCTGTGTCTTGACTAGCATTCCTGGTCTGTCGGCTGGCTTTAAGACATTCGTTGCTTGGTGTGCCGAGCAGATCCAGCAGAGGAAGAAGGTACGTTTGTGACACTCGACATGGAGTATATACTAACCACCGTTGTGCAGATGGAGATGGAGGTCCCAGATGTCATGTCGTGGATCATCGATGCCGCAGCTCAAGCTTCACCTAACGAACGGGAGAAAGAAGAACAGCTTTTGGAGAGTGATTCACGCCTCATCATCGTGGCCGGAAGGTAACTATCAGGCCTGCACACCGCGCTCAAGGTATTATGAATCCACTAACATTACCTTAGTGACACAACCGCCGCAACACTCACGTATGCTTTCTACCGTCTCGCACAGAACCCCGAGCACGTCACGAAACTCCGCGCCGAGCTTGATCCACTGCGAGGCAGCGACGGCGAGTACAACTTCAAAGACCTGCAAACCGCCGACTATCTCAACGGAGTCATCAATGAGACTCTGAGACTCCACCCACCAGTGCCGTCGGGCACTCTGCGCGTAACTCCTCCCGAGGGTATCATGGTCGGCCAGACCTTCATCCCTGGAGACGTCACGGTCGTATCGCCGACGTACACAGTCGGGCGACTCGAGAGCGCATTTGAGCGTGCGACCGAGTTCGTTCCAGAGCGGTGGTATTCTGCTCCAGGAATGATCAAGAACAAGAACGCCTTTGCGCCGTTTGCTCTTGGTAAGCTCATACCGCTTCAGTCTTGGTGCCAAAAGTACAATGTCGTTGTTGCTGACGCAAAATCCAGGTCCCTATTCCTGCATTGGAAAGCAGCTTGCGTTGATGGAATTGCGGTCGGTTATCGCGCTTCTGGTTACTGGCTTCAACGTCTACTTCGCCCCGGGCGAGAGTGGAAGCCGACTCATCAATGACTCGAAAGACTTTTTCACGATAACCATAAGCGACTTGGATCTCGTTTTCGCGCCTCGAAAGACAACCTAGAGGACGGCAGCAAAGGCATAGGTATATGATTTAGAAGGATTTGAGGCCTTGCATGATGATCACTATATTGAAGCGAATTCTAGTGAGGGCAGGCAACTCAGAAAGCTTTTAAGAGAATTAAATCGTTTCCCCAAGCGAAGATTGCTAGGGCTCCGACCTCTATATTGCAGCTCGACCAAACTTCCCACAACTTTACGATACCACCAGCAACGTCTCGACAGCTTTCAGCACAAGCTATATTAACCCCATTTTCCCACAAAATGAGGCGCTCAACACTTACAGGCAAACCACGACTACCGCGTATAGAAATCCGTTCTCTCTTGAAGCGCCAATATCTCAAGCGTATAGATATATCTCTCATCAAGCAACTACAAGTGAAAGCGCACAGCCCTGGGAAGGATTGTCACATGTTGTTGCGAAGCTAGACAAGATGCCAGGAAAAAATGGAATTCTTTACAGAGCACAAGGAGTTTGGGTCGAAGCTAATGACTGTCGTGTTACGATTCGCTCCACCAGTGGTGTCACTGCACGTAGGGTTTCCTGACATGTGGGAGGTATAGGGTATGGCCTGAGAGCGTGGTAGCTATGAGCGATAGTCTTGAGCGAAGTGATCACAGTCCAAAACGTATGGGTATGATCGTGAACGAAGTTGACTACGTAGTAAGTCTATGTAATGACCGTGTATATATATGCCTCCTCCTCTGCTTTCTCTGTTACTATGTCTGAACATAGTGAACAGAGGAACAGAGATCACGTGATCCCAGGGGTCGTAGCCTCCCCGTGATCCCGTGTGTTCGGCAATCCTTCCCGTATGAGAGGTTTGGCCGTTGTCACAGCTTCGTATGCGGCCGGTGGCCAGGCTGATTCGTAACATGTCGGTCAGGTGAAAAGGACGGTAAAAGGGTAATATCTTCTAAAGAAAAGAGAATATAGGCAATTGTTGATGAGGTAAATAGGTATCGAGCTAGGTGACAGGGTTAACTTTATCGAAGTATCCTAATTTGATCTCCATTCCATCCACACCACCACACCACCTTACCCTAAGCAGGAAGGTTATACTAGTCGTCGATGCGATCTACTATATCGGAACATATCTTGATTTCGATATACAGGACATACTTATTTGTTACGTTCTGGAAGAGACAGTCTTCAATATCCCAGCTCTCTAAGAGATACTTGTCAAATCTAATCTATCCGAGAGCGTCCCTTTCGCTATTAGGATATATTAGCAATATATCTAAATAATACTGCACACTATCGCTAGGCCTGTAAACTTGAATCATTAACTTTCGCTCGAGAGAAGATTTATTGAAGCACCATCCTTCTTATAGACTACCAATAGATAGGCATGAAAGCGATTCTCCGGGACAGATATTGAGACCAGATATTCGGGTATAAATATAGGACTGACGCCCATTCTCTAACTCTCATCTCCCACTCCCGTTCCGGCTTGGGAAAGCAATAGTCGGGTTGCAAGGTGTATTTATCGACTGGTAGCTTCTCACTCCAAATCTTTCTCCACCACGCAAGTTGTCGTGACGGAGTGTTCGTGATGCCGATCTGGTTGGCCAGCAACATTCATTCATTTTCTGCATCCCAAGGGTAACGTCGTACGCCAGTCTTACGAACAATGTACTGTTGCAAGGCCATTAGGCTTGCGCCGGGAATGGCGAGAGCCTGACAATGAAAGACTAGCTTGCAAGCTAGAACAAGTTCTTGCTGAATCCAAAGCCTTTCCCAATACTCATCTTTGAACAGAGGGACAAGCGGGTTCCAGAACGCTGGTGCGGTAATTGTCGAATCAAGATCTTCGGGGCTCCAGATGCTCAACAACGTCTGAACGCAATCATTATCTCGTATTAGCTCATAATTGAGCCAAGTATTGTGTCCCGATACGTACCGGACCTTCCTCGCTCTTCAAGCGATGAGTCGTTGTTACATAGGATTGTTCAATTGACTGCATCGCATCAACTACCCCTTCTCAGGGCTATTCACAGTGAAGATTCTGTATTCACTTGCTGAACCATCATTGGTATTTTCGAAGCTTGAAACCTACCGTACATTTCAAGGTTCGAAATGTCCCAGGAAAGCCCAGCCATCATTCATTGCCCTTGCCCTTGCCCTCGGACACACTCGAATCCACGGACGTATGATGAACAAAATTGCACAGAAAGGGGTGCTCACGCAGGTTCGAAACGCTCAGCAGGCTCTGGATATGCTCAACGGCAATGGAAAACCCCAGGCAATACTTGTGGCCGATGCAGGCGTCGCCAGCAGGGTCAACAACGACGTGATAGACAAGCTGATAGAATACGTCCGTGGCGGCGGGATAGTCGTCTTAGCCGGTTCTTTCAGCTCCTCCATTCGTCCTAGCGACATGTGCAAGTATTCTCGGAAATGGAATCTCCCTTGGAAGAACGGCTCCTATTGTCGCACCACAGTCCATCTCAACCGAAGCGCAGAAGGGGTTCCGAGAAGCGGGTTGCCAGCCTCATACAGTCAAAAGGCTCTTTTCCTCACCAATGTCGACAACAACGCGGCATGGTATTTGCCTAACGAACACTCACGTACAGAATCTCATGTCTTCTCCCCCGAGCCTGTTCCAACTTCGGAGACACCTGCTGCGTTTGCCAAAGTGGGGAATGGTTGGCTCGGATACATTGGCGATGTGAACGGAGAGGAAGAAACCGATGCAGTGCTGTTGGGTATGTTGGGGTTGGCGTGATGGGATCATTGTCCGGACAGCTGCAAAATCCTGTACCCAGAGGATTAGGTCTCGCCAAACCAAGCTGATCGGTTCAACGTGATCATTCAGCGTTACGAGCAGTAAAGATGAAAACATCTACTTGATAGCATAAGATACGTAGAACAGAAGATTCATTTCATATTTGGGGAGAGCCGCGAAGCATCACACAATATTTTTTTCGAACCTTCGTAGACTGAGAAATGGCCGGTTTAATTGCTCGCGACTCTTGCTTTCCCCCCTCCGATCCCTTCACTCACGCCTCAGATCATCGACACTGGAGCCTTCTGAGCCATGCAAAGCCATCGCTGCAAGCGAGGTGAGAATTCGCCATGAACACGACATGTCGGACGTACTGTGCACGGTAGGGGTTGGAGAATGGAGATGGCCATGGCCCACACTTGCTCGGCGCTGCCCGATTTGGAAACACCAGGTCCCAGCCAGGGACTTTCCGGCACTCACAACTCCAGATTTAGGACACCCGTTACGGTGTGAATTCGAGTAGCTGTGTGTCCTGTGGCTTTTATTGAGACCGTCGACCTTTGGGCTGAAATGGTCCTAAGCTGCGGCATTAGCTTTCTAAGATCGACAGTCTAATTTTGAAGGCAGTGCTTTTATACTATTGCCGTCAACTGGTACATCATACTCTCTGACATATGTTTTCTATCACGCCAAGATGATTCTGAAGGATCCTCACTCAACACGGGTTAAACACCTTCGTATCATTATTGTCGGCGCAGGCATCGGAGGACTTCTCGCTGCAATCGTGCTGGCTCAGGACGGGCACGATGTCACAGTCCTCGAGCAAGCTGCAGAGTTCGGCGAGGTCGGTGCTGGGCTTCGCATTCCTCCAAACAGCTTCAAGCTCCTGCACAGATGGGGCATCGACTTGACGTATATGAAGAAGACATATTCCAACGGCAACCGATTTCTCCGCTGGAAGGACGGCCAGATTCTACAACACATGTCGCACGGCATTCCAGAATGGGACTTTGGCGGCAGCTACCTTATGGTCCACCGTGCCGATTACCATGCTGTGCTGTTGCAGAAGGCGCTCGAGTTGCAGGTCGATGTGCGAAAAGACAGCAGGGTGGACGAGTATCTCTGGGACTTACCGGCGGTCAAGCTTCATACAGGTGAACAAATCGACGGCGACCTTCTTATTGCAGCGGATGGTAAGTCTTCTTCGTCGTTCGAATCTCCATATATTTGAAACACCCCGTCAGTCACAGTTGTAGGCTTACATTGGAGGGCACTACAGGAGTTCAAAGCCAGGCCCGGGCGCACTTCCAGGGACACGAACTTCCCCCAATTGACACAGGAGACATCTCGTATCGCATCCTGATCCCGGGACAAGATATATTGAAAGACCCCGAGTTGCGTGATCTTGTCTCACAGCCATGGGTGTCATCTTGGTGCGGGCCTGACGCCCATGTCATCGGGTACCCAGTCCGCGGAGGCGAAGTTTACAATGTTGTCTTGTGCTGCGCGGCCAAGTCGATGCGAGATGAAGCCTTCAAAGACGGCGAGACCCGCCTTGTTATCGGCGACAATGCCGAGCTTGTCAGGCGCTTTGCAGACTGGACACCCCAGGTGCGGAAGATTGTCGACCATGCAGAAAAGGTAAGTTTACGACGAATGAATACATGCGACACCTATTCTACCACATCAGAACTATCCGTAAAGAAACTGACTGTTGAATGTGAACTATTATCACAGAACTTTTTGAAATGGCGCCTCTTCGACCTTGACCTGGTCGACAGATGGGTCCATCCTTCGGGCAAGGCTGTACTGCTGGGCGACAGCGTCCACCCTATGCTCCCATACATGGCTTCAGGTGCGGCCATGGCTTGTGAGGACGCCGCAGTCCTCCGCCAGGTCCTTCGATCGACCTCAGACCGAGCGTCACTGAAGAGTACGCTCCAGAGATATCAGGAATTACGGCAACCTAGAGTATCATTCCTGCAGAAGGCTGGACGGAGACTGCAGTACGAATACCATCACCCTGATGGGCCTCTACAAGGAAGCCGCGATGAGCTCATGCTCAAGGACGACATTGAGAATCCCATCTACTGGGGCCATGAACAGAGGAGGTTGTGGTTGTTTGGCTTTGACGCCGAAGCGGACGCTGCTGATAAACTCGGTCTACCTCACGACTGGGTCTCGCCGTCCTCACCGAACAAGGCGAAGATTGCCACGGACTCGGTGCAACAGTATTGCACATCTACAGGATCATGGTAGACAGTAACAACAGCATATTCCTGCCACCAAATAGATCTCGGACAGTACTACAGAGGTCTGCTGCTATGGGACATGTGGACGAGGGGTTGGATTCCCCTTCCATTCAAGGCTTACGCTTTCACCCCCTTTCTTTTAATTGTGAACACTACAGTCATAGTAATTCTCTTGGATCATCATTGCATATACCAGCCCAGATGCTCCCCTCTAGCCTCGACGGGGGACCTCCCATCCCCAAAGTATCTGAATCGATTCCGAGTCCGATAGGTATACTTGAAATCCTCGAATCTCGGTCTCTTCATGATCTCCATGAAGTGATTTACCGATCCAGGCCAAGGACCAATGACTTTACCATCGGTCGTTCCGTTTTTGTACCTACTCTAGTGTTAGCAATGACTCAACCCTCAGGATATCGAAGCGCAAAAGCCAGTTTCCTGCATGGTCCAGAGTCGGCAGGGGAAAGAGAGAAACTCACCAACTCGTACAGCTACCGGACCACGCCATGCCTTGCATGAAATCATTCTTCCACTCATCAAACTCGGCGGCTGCCTCGTCTGTGACGGTTGCGGACGTGATGTCTTCGGTCTGGATCTTGCGCACAAAAGCAAGCGCAAAGTCAATTTCCTTCTCCATGGCTCCGACGAGCGACCCGTTACTGATGGGTGCGTTGGGCCCGACCACCACTGTTTTTCGGAAGAACGAGAAACAACCGTCAGCAAAGATCTCACCTACGCGGCAGCACCCCCCTAGGCGCAAGAACTGCGCGAAGGAGAGAAAGGACCAGCGATGTCCTGATTTTCACTACCGAACAGGGACTTGGAACTTACAAAAGTAGTTCGGGAACCCTGGGACCGCGCACGACAGGTAGGCGGCGGCTCCTTCTTTTCGCCACTTGTCCTGTAAATTCACCTTGTCGAGACCGATGATGGGGAAACGAGGAATGTAAGAAGTGTCATAGCCCGTGGCGGCAATGACCACGTCGACCTCGTGGAGTTCACCATCGCGAGAAACAATTCCGTTCGAGACGATGCGTTCGATGCCGGCCGAGACGACTCTAGCATTTGGCTGCGTAAGCGCTTCGAGGTAGCCATGGCCCGGTGTGGCTCTGAAGAAAACAAGACCTAGGAGTCAGCTTTGTGGCCTGTCTTGCTCAGAAGATGGGATGAGACTCGAGAGCGGCCCGACGTGTGAGTGAGACTAGAAACCCGAGACGAAAAAACAAAACTGACCTTCGACAACCCAGTTCAAAGTCCGGGACGAGCTTCTTGATCAATTCGGGATCGTTGTTCAGTCTTTTCTTCATCGCCTCGGTGACCATCTGGCGGGCGGCCTTTTGTGCAGCCGAGTGTTTGTAGAAACTTGGGAACCTAACATTCATGCCGTGCTCGACGTCCCGTCTGTACTGGAGGTGGTATTCCGGGTCCTCGCGGAACCGTTTGCGTTGCTCCTCGCTGAAGAGTGTATTGCGACCTTCTGGTGCAAGGTGGCCTGCAAACTCGGCTGCGATCCAAGTTGGGGAGCGATTGAATGAAATGAGTTTCTTGACCACTTGGATTTTTTTCATATCGTGTCAGTCGGGCTGGCAAATACTTTATGGCGTGAGAATCTCATTCATACCTGGTTGAATCGTTGGCACAATTTGTACCCCCGAAGCACCGGAGCCGATGACTGCCACTCTCTTGTCTTTCAGTTCAATATTCTCGTCCCAGTGTGCGGTATGAGCCAGCGTCCCCTTGAAGTCGTGTAGCCCCTGGATATCGGGCCACTTCCAGTTGCTATATATCGCCAAAGCGTGATCAAGTTAGTCACTGATTGGGGAAATCCGAAATGCCGATAAACCCTTTTTCGCGAAACAAAACAATAAGCCGGAGTGTGTGTCGACACAATCGTCGACTTTTGCGGCCTTTTGTGGTTTGGAGGGGTTTCCAGGGCTCAGGAGTCATCCATGAATGGATGAGGGATCTACTCACTTCAGAGAACCGCCTCCGTTGATCAAAACATCGACCTTGTCAGTGACCTTTGTGCCGGACTCCAGGTCCTCAACCTCGAGCTCCCACTCCGAGTTTTCAACATTCCATGTGGCGCCAACGACCTTGTGCCGGAACCTCGTCTTCTCGTAGACACCATAGTCCCGAGCTAGGCCCTTGTAGAACTTCCAGATTTCCTCGCCGCTGGCATACGCCCGAGACCAGTCCGGATTGCGAGCCCAGGTGTACGTGTACCCGTGTGCAGGGACGTCACAACTGAGTCCTGGGTATCGTGTCTCGTACCACACGCCGCCCACGTCGGCGTTTTTCTCGTAGATGACAAAGTCGAGGTTCTCGATCTGGCGCGCCTTGTACGCGAACCCTATACCGGCAATCCCTGCCCCGATAAAGGCAACGCGGACGTGCTTTCGCTCGTGGACATAGTTACTGGCCACGATGTCGCTGGTGTTGTACGGCAGTAATTCGCTTTTCGTCGAGGCAATCATGTTTGCTTTGTTGTTGTTGCTCGTGCTATCACGTCCGTCTGTAGTGAGAACACCTTTATCGTCCCCAGAAGAACCGTAGTAGACAGCAATACTACCTCTAGATAAGCAAAATTCGGAGTTTAGCCTCCAGGATAGTTTCCCTAGGACTTGTAAAGTGGGGGCGTGCGCCTTGTGCTTGGGCTCTGTTTGCTCAATGAGGCCCGCGGTCTATAGAATTCGACAACTGTTGGCATACTGAACGGCGGTTCCATAGAGGGTACATCCGAATCCATAGGTCGGCAATTCATAGTCCAGGTGACATTATATCCGGTCCAAAACAAAAGTACGAGATTACGAACATAGGCTAACCCCGTGTCGGAATCGCCGAAGCTGAAAGGAGCAAAGCATACTTCACTTTTCAAGGGGCTGTATCTATCAATCATTCTAACGGGATGCTGTTGGGAGCGGTCCACATAGCGTCGATGGTGACATCTGCAAGGTATTCAACGACATGGACTAGATACGAAGTATCCGAAAGATGTTCTTAGATACTCGCGGCGATTGTTCTGCCCCGTCCTCAACTAGCCTGGTTTCTCGTCGACAAACCTCGAACCAGTTGAGTTGTTCTTTTGCCAGAATGCGAGAGAGCAAGTGATCTAGGGCTTCAAGATAGATGGCGACCGAGTCTCTCGCGAATAAGCCTTTCCAGGGCCTCGGGGTTCTGGACGCTGACAATATGTCCCGAGTTCCCGACTTCTACGAATGCCGACCCAGCTCTCTCGGCCAACGCCTTGGTATCCCTGACCACGACCGGTGCGTCGTCTTCACCAACCACAAATAGGAATTTGTCTCCATGACCTTCTTGTGAGATCTTATCCACACTTGCCCACAGGTTCAGTCGCTTGAGAGCCTGAACGCTTGCAATGAAACCCTCGACAGGTGTACCAGCTAGCACTTCGTCCTTGACGAATGCCGCCGTGTCTGGGTTCTTCGCAATCCATCCTTCGCCAAACCATCTCTTTAGTGATTGTTCATTCATGGCCGACATTCCCTGGGCTTTCGCGAGGTCAATGCGAGCATCGTGCGATGCATCGTCTCCCGGAGATGCCTCGGCCTTCGTCCCTACAACAAGGATCTGGTCAAATCTTCCTGGGTTCGAAGCTCCGGCTACCAACACCACAGCCGCTCCAATACTGAGGCCGACCGCAGCATGGACTTTTTGAACTTTGAGAGCGTCTAAAAGAGCAATGACATCTGCTGCTAGGTCGGCAATGTCGTGTCCTTGTTCGAAATCGTAGCTGCCGACCCCCGTATCCGGAAGAGGAGATTTGCCATGAAACCGGTGGTCGTATGTCAGGATCGTATACTCAGCTGAAAATGAATCAACGACATGTTTCCACAACGCAGTATTGGCAGCGAGGGAATTTGAAAGCAAGACTACCGGCATCTGGTTGGTCGTTCGTGCATGAACAGGGTTGTGCAACTCATAGTAGATGTTGACATTTTTGACGTCGGGCAGTGTGACGAATCCTCTCTGGGTTATTACTGCAGCGCTCGTACCTTGACTCGAAGTAGAAGCCATAACAGTGGTACCAGTAGTTTAGATTGAGAGACTGTCACGGCAAGTAAATACAGCGACAGAGACGCTTCTCACTTCGCGGTACATTTTGGGCCGGATCGGCACCATGGGCTCTGAAGAACAGGTCGATCGAACTCTGACAAAATTTGCGGTATACCCTGTCATGCTCACTGATCGGATATGCCTGAAAGGTCGAAGCAAATGAAAGGATCGATCAGGCAAAGACGCTGAAGGTGTGTGACAAGATGATGTGGCTCGTATCTCCATCGTTCAGGTCCCACTTGCGTACTAGTTGCCCAAACTCCGAAGAAAGTGGAGCTTCGGCGAAACCGAAATGGCATAGTCAGTATGGTGCCATTGTCGAGGGACCAGCAAGAAAACATCAGGTCGTGGAAGGAAGCGTCGGGGAGCATAGGGAATTTGCAGGCCGGAACTGATTACTATTCTGTTTAGACTTGCTAGAGCCATGAACTTCTGGTTTTTGATGCCTCGTAAGCTACACCACCCAGCTCAAGAGGCAAGAGTAACTTAGTCAGGCACGGATGTCATTGTGTGCATCAGAGCTGATCTGTACAGTCTCAACCAAGGGCTGTTTGATATCCGCTCCAGAGGTGGCAAGCTGGCTTTCCGGCTTGATTGTCGGATAATTGATGTATCCATCTGGATTCAGTACTTCGTAGAACATGTCTCTGCGGTGGGCCGCTATCGGGAGCTGTTGTTGAATTCGGAGAGGCAGATCCGGATTTGAAACAAAGGATCTCCCAAAGGCAACTGCCATATTCTTGCCCAGAGGACGCCATTTGTCGACGGCTTCTCGAGATGTCGTTGCATTATAACCTCCAGCAAGGATAATAGGGTTGCCATTATCCCACGCTTTAATCAAGAAATCAATCGACTCAGTCCCTATAACGTCTGCGTTTCCTTGAACCCTGGACTCAATGACATGTAGATAGGCCAAATTGAGTGCGCTCAAGTTTTGAACAAGATACGTAAACTGCTCGATCGGATCTTCCATCCCCATGCCGTGGTGATGACTCCAGGGACTTACGCGGTACCCGACTCGCTCAGGGCCGATGGCATCAGCAAGAGCTTTGGCGACTGCAATGCCAAACCGAGCTCGGTTCTGGACGCTACCACCCCATTGATCGCCTCGAACGTTAGAGACAGACTGTGTGAACTGGTCCACCAGATATCCGTTAGCGCCATGGACTTCCACTCCGTCAAAGCCCGCCCTGATGGCGTTGATCCCTGCTTGACGAAACTCGCCGATGCACTCCTGGATTTCTGTTTCTGAGAGCGACCTCGGGGTGGGATACTCCGCACCGATGGGTACGGTGCTTGCCGACACGACTTCGGCTCCTCGTTTGACTGCACCAGGCCGTGCTGCTCGTCCACACATCCAAAGCTGGACGAAGATGTAGCTTTGCCTTGCATGGACAGCGTCCGTAATTGCCTTCCAAGCAGCTATGTGTTCGGCGGTCCAAATGCCAGGAGTGTGTGGCATAGCAGCAGATCGAGGTGAGACAGAGGTTGCTTCAGATATGAGCAATGTTCCAGCGACAGACGCTCTTTGTGCATAGTACTCGGTCATCATATCATGTGGTGTATAGTCAAGGAGTGCACGTCGGCGCGTCATGGGCGCCATGACGACGCGATGTCTCAGTGAGCATTTCCCTACAGTCAGGGAAGAAAACAGATGGCTTTCTGTCATGTCGAATGGAGGACCGACTGGGTAGTAGGCGAAAAGAAATTTGAGTACCGACTGGTAGATGAACAAACGGGTAGCTTTCGGGAAGATAGGGACTCGGAGATATATACTCTATAACCCATGAGTGACGCTAGTTCGCTTATGGTAGTCGTCGTTTAGTTTTCTGGAAAGGGGAGGCAGGTCCATTTATCAGCCAAGTGCAGCTATTGACGCTGTGCCAAAAACTTGATATGAGTATACGCTCCGGCTTGCAGATGAGACATCGTCAGTACCGGGTGCTCCGTCTTGCTTTATGTCAGGTGGATATAGAATGCCGTAAAGAACACGAAGCTCGTAGTCTTCGTGTACGACGCGCACGTGGTGGCATTTTATGGTTTATTGCATTGGTTGCTACTTCAGTATTTAGATATAGCAGGCGCGGTACTAGATTCATCGGACTCAAAATTTCCACTGTTTCAGCCAGATTTCCATCCATTCTGAGCTGACTGGTGGAAGTTCCCTAAGAGTTGGGCTTGCGCCGAACGAGATATCTGTAAGGAATTTGGGCCTTCCCTCTTGCGTTGCAAGGCTAGAAAAGAAATCTATCAAGGAGAATGCCGACGAATGGTCGTCTTGATCTTCAGTATGAGAACCTGTATCTCCTGAAGCTGCTTTGACCGCTGCGAGCCAGTCCGCAAAGGGGGCAACTTTGATTGTGCCTGCCCTCTGATCCTCGCGCTGTAGGCTAGCTTTCACAGATGGCAGCAGGTCCTTTCCCCAATATGCTGGTTTTGGATTGACACAGTTATAGAAGTGGCACCGGGTATGTGCCTTTTGGTGCGTGAAGGCTAACTCGAGGATGATGGAGGACAAAATGTCGACAGGTATCCACTCGACCACTTCATTCGCCGCGAGAGTTTGTGGCAAGGTCCAAACCTTTTGCGAAAGCTGAATGATCTGACAACCCAGAGTGTGTGTTAGTCGAGTGTTGTTGGTAGATACAGAAGATTTCAGGGGAGAAGGTATTTCTTACGGAGGGTAACCACTCGTTCTGCTTCCATTGGCCACTGAGATACCCTGATTTGATGGGACCAGCTATCTGTCCTACGCGGCAGATAGCAACGTCGATTCCAAACTTCTCTGATGCCTGCACCAGTAGCTCTTCTGCAACAAATTTGGATTTACCATAGCCTGTCGTCGCACCGTGACTGTTCTCAAGTCTGGCCTCTGGAACTAATGGAGCAGGGGCGATGCTACTCGCGATCCCAACGGAAGAAGTAAAGAGTAGACGAACGTGGCTCCCAATAGCAGCTGCCTCGGATACAAAATCGATCAGGTTTCTGACACCTTGGATCTGAGGTTCGAATGAGGCAAGTGAGAGATTGAAGTCCACACGCCACTGAGTGTCTGTGCATCTGTTAGCGAAGGGTAATCAAGCAAGTCCCATCAGACGTACGAATGACATGTGTGGCCTTCCTTTGCAAGTGTTCTAGGTCCTCAGGAGACAAGCCCAATGCGGTGGCAGAGAGGTCGGCCTGTAGAAATCGGACTCGACGTGAAGCAAAATCAGTCCTCAAACCACGACGGGTATTGGAGATGAGTTGACGCTCCTCGGCATCTGCTGTGCGATTGAGACACCATATCTCGTGGACGCCCGCTTGATGCATCAAATCATTCAGGATATACGAGCCAAGCGATCCCGTACTGCCACTCAATACGACTACCGCGGGAGAGGCAGAAGGCGTCGATGGAAGACTTATTCCCTTCCGAAGAGGGAAGTCTCTAGTATATTTCCAAATCATTTGTTTAATGCTGCTGTCGTCAACGCGGTGAGAGCTGCTAGCACCGTTATTCAGAGGTGTTGTGAAGGAGTTGGTGATGGCTTTGGCCAACGCCGCGACGGTTGGGTTCTGATAAATCATTCTGTTATCCAAAGGATGCCCCTGCAATTCATCTATGGGAAGTCTTCCCCTGAGTCGTCTTCTGAGTGTCAGAACTTGAAGAGAATCTATCCCTGAAGATGTGAAAAAGTTGTCGGTGTCTTCAACTTTCTGCTCGAGAGAAACCTCTCGAAACGTGGCCCTGACGACATCTAATATGGCATCAGGTGTGAGCTGATCTTTGGTCAAGGCCACTTCATCATGAACCAACCTGTTATCGTCATTGTACACTTGGTCGAGTTCTTCTTTGTAGAGTTCAAGAGTGGGCCCGCGACGTATTGTTCCTTTGCTAGTTCTTGAGAATGGTTTTTCCACCTTCGCTATGATGATGTACTCCTTCGAGAGTCTTGCATGAGCTGGCGCCGATTCATTTGCTGCGACAACAGTGGGCCAAATTATGTCACGGAGGGATCCTGTGTTTTCTTTGAGTCCTTCCCACGATGCAGCTGGCTCGATCAAGAGAGATATTTGAAATCTCCCTTGTCCAGCTACTACTGCTGATCTGACGGCAGGATGGCTGGCGATCGCAAGCTCCATGGTGTGTGGTTGAAACTTCTCACCATTAGACAGCACAATTACGTTGTCAGCACGTCCCTCATATGTGTATAGAGTCGGATGCTCTGGGTGCCTAGAGAACAAGTCTTTGAAAGGGTATTCTTGCAGCTCAGGGAAAGTTGAGAAGATTGGCTGCCATGGCTCTAGTTCTGCTTTGCGAACAGCAACCAATTCATAGAGACCACCACCACGATCCTGGAGCTCCAGCCCAGTCTGCGGATGGAAATATAGATAGTTCCAGTATTTAACATCCGTTTCGACACAAGGGAGCCATCCAGATTCCGTCGTGCCGATTGAGAGTCGAAGCTTCGTATGTTTGATGATGCGATCTCCGGCATCTTTAGCCAAAGGGCCTGTAAGCTGTTAGATTTGTCGCGATGCAACCACACTGGAACTCACCGCCAGCGTATGCAATTGCTTTTACAGACTCTAGCAGATGAAGAAACTCTTCGTCATTGGAGATGTCTTGTGCCAGCGAGGGGGCAGTGAAGACTGCATCGACCTTTGTCTTCCTGACTACGTCCTTCATCACTTCCAAAGTGACTGGACGATCAGGGCCAAGGACCACGGTTGTTCCCCAGAACAAAGGCCACAGTATGCCGTTGGCGAGTCCAGCTGCCTGATTGGTTCTCGGTCAGAACTATAGTCTCCGTGAATATATCTTCTGCACACTTACATGGAACAAGGGGAAAGTCAGATAAACCCTGGAATCGAAATAGTCGTGAAGTAATAACGGTCTGCCGTCTACAGTTGGAAGTAGAGTCGCAGCTTCAATTGAAGCAATACTATCCTGGAATCTGGTTACTGGCTTTGGGTTTCCAGTGCTTCCGCTGGTATGCAAGACCCAGCAAGGAGTCTTGCGGCCTTCCTCCCAACTTTTGCTGTACTTGTACGGCACTGGGGTCTCAGCCATGTTTTCCAAGAAGTATAGCAAATCTGGTAATGCGAAGGTTTTCATATCTACGTGCTCAAACACGCGATTGATACTACTGCCTTCGTGCGGTATCAGCCACAAGTTACATTGAGCTGCTTTTATAACTGCGACGTCGCCTTCCACTGAATTACGGGGCGAGGTATAAAGCATCTGCAGCAGATTAACAGGTTGTTCCCGAGGACAAAAAATAGCATACCATACCTTATAGCCCACCTTGATCGCTGCAACGACCAAGATTATGTAGCGTAGATCACCTGCTCTGGCTTAAGCACATTACTTCAAGCGACATGCCAGACCCCCCCATTTACGTACCTGGGCCGACATATCCAACCGTAGGAAAAGCCCCTTCTTCTGGCGCTCCCAAAGATCTCTCAAGCCACCAAGAAGCTCGATCAATGGCCCTGGAGAAATCTCGCGCAGTGATTTTCCGGTATGGCAGAGCCAAATCCCTGTCGCTTGGGATTTCATACACTACATGGTTTGGGTCGATCTCTGCCAAGTCGTCCACGGCGTGAGGCAGCAGTCGTTTGCCGGCATTGCGATGTACCACTGGCATGATCCTTCGCTTTCTGGCAATTCTAGCCTTCGGTCTAGATGACAGTTGGTCGGCTTCCCACGATGTTATTGAACCAAGTCACGGTCGGCTGAGCCTCCATGTGCAGTCCGGACTGGACAAATAGCCGGGCGCCGGAATGACAAGTCCCTTGCAAGGTCGTCGTGGAGGTGGAAACCACTCTGCAGCATTACCAACATACTTCGAGAGCCACGTGAAGGACCTCCACCTGTGCCGCAGGTGGCGCGGAAATTGTGCGGCGCCCATCTGCTTCGTACAGAAGTTCCCCAATGGTCCGTGTCGCCATTCTCGCTAATGCGTTATGGCTTCAAGCAAAAGGCGTAACGCCGGAGACGGTCATGCCTAGTTTGGTACCGCCGTTGACATATATTCCACATCCCGCGTGGAAAACTTTCGCTCCATCTACGTTCGATAGATAAATAGACCGAGCACGCCATTTTAGATCATCTCGCGCACTTCGTCCAAAAATTTCAGACTCGTTCGAAGATTCAAGCCTAAACCTACGAGACAGAGGCAATATGTCGCATCTCCGGATTAGAAATAAAATAAGGATGCCTCGCGTAGAAGTCCTACTCGATCCACATGCTGTTAGTTGTGGGGCACGTCGTCTGTCTAGACTTTCGGATATGTCGAATAAGGCAGGGGAGACAGCGAGACCAAAGAAACTGGCGCCATCACCGTACAAGGTGTTGTGAACAGGTTCTCGGCTCAGTACTTTTGGTACAACTATTTAGACTATCGCTCCGTAGAGGACAATATCACTTCGATGTCATCTAGCCGGCAGGATTTCCTTTCTTCGTTGCTAACCCATCACCCCCTGAAGCGCAAGCACAATGGGACTCTGGGTCCTCGAGCCAAAAACTACCGAGCCTGTCCCTGGGACGGTCCATATTCGGCGTGAACATGAGAAGAGATTGCAGGACACGGCGTTCTTGAAGCATGGTACTGGCAGACATGCTAATCTGGTGCTGGTGCCGCAACCCTCCGATTCACCCAACGATCCTCTGAGTATGTATGCCTCCCGACTATGAGACTTATAATACTGAGATATCTAAAGACTGGTCAAAATGGTCCCGGCATCTTCATCTGCTGTATCTGAGCGCCGGTACCGGCCTCATGGGAGGCACTCACAATTTTGTCAACCCTGCAAATAAGCTGATGGCCAAGTACTTTCACACCAGCATTACCACCATATCTCGTAGTGTGAGCATTATCCTCCTCATGTTTGCTGTATCGGCATTCATCTCGAGCCCGCTTGCACGTATATATGGGAAGCGCCCAGGTCAGTCTTCGTGCCTCAGAGGGCATTTTGGGAGAAGACAAGTTGACCCATTACAGTTTTTCTCGTGAGCAATGCCATCGCCACTCTGGGATACGTCATTGTCATTGCAAAACCCTCCAGCCTTGTCTGCCTATATGTCGGCCGTGCAATTCACGGTCTAGGGATAAGTGCACTCGAGTACCTAGTTTCGTCCAGCGTGGGTGATCTGATGTTTGTCCACGAGCGAGGCGTTCACCTCGCAATCTGGCATTTTGCCCTGTCTGGAGGCAACTCCGTCGGCCAGGTCATCGGCAGTCAGATTGTCGCGGCTCAAGGATGGATCTGGCCTTTTCGATATACGTAAGTCTTGAATAGCTCTCCAAGTTTCGATCTGGTGGACATCAGCTAAATCCCACCCAGTGTCATTATCCTAGTCGTGTATACGATCATTCTATTCTTCGCTTGTCCTGAAACCACCTACAATCGCGCTGCGAAGTTCAACACCGACCATGTCGAAGTCACCCTAGATTCTTCAAGTGAGAAGTCCGCTGAAGAACAACCCACTTCGAAATCATATGATGCGGTTTCGGTGCAAGAAGAGCCTGCCGACAGTCGAAGCCTCGAGGCGATAGAAGGCCCAACAGATAAGAAACACACCTATTGGCAGTCCTTGAAAGTATACAACGGACGCTTCACGGATGAGTCACTGTTGAGGTCTCTGATTACCCCCTGGAGTGCTTTCCTGCTCCCTGCTGTTAGCTGGACTGCTTACACATACGGCTGCTCGGTGGCATTCTCCGCCTCATTCTCGGTGTCCATTTCCCAAATATTCAGTAAGCCGCCTTACAGGTTCGATACGTCACAGACAGGCTTGACCGTTCTCTCCGCCTTCGTGGGATCATTCCTCGGCAACGTCATCCCAGGTCCGCTATCCGACTGGTTGGTCAAGTATATGTCGCGGAAGAACAAGGGAGTGTACGAGCCCGAGTTTCGAAATGTCCTTTGCGTGCCAGGACTGATCTTTGGTTTGATGGGGTTTTGGGGCTTTGGCTGGTCGTTGGATGCGAAGGCTAACTGGATGGCGCCCGTTTTCTTCTTCGGTCTGGCCACATTCGCGACGTCCATCCAATCATTTGTATCCAACGCTTACCTTTTGGATTGTCATCGCATGTATGCGCAGGATGGTTACGCTGCCGTCACTATCTTCCGTGGGGTCTTTTCCTTTGTCATGACGTTCGTCATTAACGACTGGATTGCAAGAGACGGAAGCAAAACCGTTTTCTTCATCATTGGCATGCTGCACGGAGTGAATTGCGTGCTAGGAATGGTTCTATATGTGTACGGGAAGAAGGTAGGTCTACCAGCCGTTGCGACTCACTCTTAGAAGCCTCCACTAACAATGGTGGAACAGGTTCGATATTGGGTTTCAAAGAACCATTTCATCCAGAACAGCCTGCCGAAAGTCAAAGGCGCAAGAGCCACTATTTAGGGCGCTAGAGCATAGCTGCGTCTCTTCTAGTTTGACGCCGACATACCTGTAAAGACGAGTATGGTATGGAACTTATCAGCGAGAGTAATTGTTCATATTATGATGTAGAGCAACCGGGATCCCTTTTCTCTAGAATTCTTTCGCGCAATCCGTATCCTGCTTAAGTTTCTGAAGGGTCCATAAGTAGACAATGAGATGAAGAATTGCGCCATTCGCGCCGCCAATCACGTCTTCTAGCTGAACAAGTCGGACTGAAATAATCCCAGTCCCGACAAAATGCGCTTTTCTATTCCGTATGTACGAAGCACTGTGTTCAGCTTTGTAACCGTGACCTTATGGATGGCTTCATAGTCTCTGTGTCCGGACCAGAATCGTATTCTAAGAAACGAAAGGTGTTGACACAAGCTTGTGAAAGATGTCATGAGAGAAAGATTAGGTGTATCGCTGGTGAGTTAGACTTTGGCCCCACTAGTTGAGGTCCAGCAGCATACCTCTCATACTCGTCACTGACCAATGTTCCAAGGTGAATCGGTGGATGGAATTCCATGTCGAGTAAGCATCACTATCGCTGCTTGGATCAACGCAGCACAGCCTCGTGTTGACTGTGATAAGGGCTGTACGAAATCTGGGAGTCAATGCCAGTATGTTGAGAGCCGTCTGCATGCCGGGATTCAGTTACGAAACCCTGGGATCCTGACCCATTCTACTGCAGTACTCACCGGGATAAACGGGTTCGCACAGCTTCAAGCGCAAATCAGTCGGCGACATTAGTTCTTCCACCGTCAGTGAATTACATGCGCAAAGCTTGGGAAAGACTAATGTGATGATAGCCTTAGCGAAGGATGGATGGAGAGGCCGGTGCGACCATCACAACAGCAAAGTCAAGCCAGGAATGACAGTCCCCACCATGGTGTTCTGCCTCCGTTCAGAGACCTGGTCCAGCGAGGTACCGTAGCAGTCTCGCCATCCAGGCCGAATGCTCAACAAGAAACCGTAGCTCTGGGTGGGTCTAGCAGCGGTGACACAACGCCAGGAAGTGTTGTCGATTCGTGGCGACCTCCAAATGGTAACCTCGAAAGGTTTGATGCCTTCCTGGGGAATCACTCCGACACCTACGCCCCGCTGTTCGTGGATCAGTTGCCACAAGCATTGGCGAAGACTCCAGCATACGGCGCCACAGGCTCGAGCTTAGAGTCTGCTTCCTTGTCCAGGGACCATGTACCGACCGTAGTGTCTCCAAAAACGGCTGCAGAGCATCCAGATCATCTCGATGCTGCTGATATTGCTTTCCTGAAAGCGAAAGGTATGTGGAAAGATATGGTATCTCTTTCTTTTCTTCTGGAAGTGGTCCTGATGGTGTATTTTCTAGGAGCGTTTGATCTGCCGCCGACCAACTTGCAGCGTGAGCTTGTCGAGTCGTATTTCAAGTATATCAACCCGGCTTCCCCTGTCGTCAATCAAACAAGGTTTCGCGCAGATTTCGACCGAGGGGTTGTAAGTCGACTACTCCTGTTTGCAGTATTTACCGCCGGCTCCAAAGCGTGCCAAAGCCCCCTACTTATCGATGTTCGCGGAACTCGATTGAAGAGTGGCCAACAGTACTTTAAAATCACCAAAGTAGGAACAACCACATCTCTCCAATGAAATGGTAGACAGTAAAACCGAAAGGACCCAAGGCTGACAAGTTGTGTCTTTTTCAGGCACTGCTCGACACGAGCTACGAGACAGACAAACTTACTCAGGTCCAGGCACTTCTTCTAATGTCTTGGTGGTGGGATAAGCACGATGACGGTCGCAATATGCGTACATATGCCATCAAAGCCATCTCCGTTGCTCAGAGCCTTGGTATGGGTCGGTGGTAAGTTCTTGCCGGTGACTCGAAACCCTGGGCTATAAAAGGACTGACGAGGATACATTGAAGGATTCAATACCCGACATCAGATCCCGTGCTGTGTGGCTTATGGAAGAAGGTGTGGTGGTGTTGTGTAGTAGGAGAACCCGTCCACTATTGATATTGTATTCATCGACGCTAATCAGTGGAAGATTCGCGATGCAACAACGTCGACAGCGAGTCGACTCCCCCTCTTCCTGCGAGATAGCGACTGGGATGTACCTCTACTAAGCGCTGACGACTTTGTCGAAGACGATGGGCTTTCTTGCTCCGAGTCTGAAATTCAATTCTTCATCCAGCTTGCAAAGCTATCCGAAATGTTAGGAATGGTCTTGATGAAGAATTATCGTCGAAGTCGAATCTCTGCAAGCTCAACTGGCAGCATCGCGAGTCGTGAAGCGCATAAAGACAACAGTGAACTGTCCAAGGTCCGAAAGATGCAAGTTCTTGCCCAAGATCGCGACTTTGCGATGGAACTTGATCGCCTCCAGCGAGAATGGTTTGACAATGTTCCGGAAGAGCTCCAATACGATGTCGACGATACTCAGCGTCATCGCTACTGGCCAGCGTATCTCAACATATACTTCTTGTGGGTCAAGCCCCTACTTCTATTTCCCTTTGGGGGGAGATTACTAAGTGGAGTTCTACTCTATATAGCACTATGATCTGTATTGATGGACTGGAGAGGTCGGGCCTCAAGACGCAGACGCAGGGCAAAGAGCAGGCCTCGGATCAATACTGGTCGCAGGCTCGAGGTTTGGCGGCAGCGTCTATGGTCATCAAAACTATACGAAACCTCAAAGCGCACGGTCAAATAGGACAGTGTCACGGATTTATGTGGGTTGCAAACATTCACCAGCCCCTTCCCGTTGTTTATCTCTCATGCGCGGCTCGTACTAACTGTCGACGTGGCAAAAACTCCAGGATCAACTCACTACTCTACTGTCTGATATATTGTAAGATTGAGGCCGAGTCTCCGCGATCAGAAGTCCGAGCATATGCAAGACAGAAGTACTCCATCTGCTTGAATGCGCTGTACGATTTCGGCCAGCTCTGGGTCAGTGCGTCGTATCTGCACACAGTGTTTGAGGCCCTCCAACCCGCCATGAACGGATCCAACCAGAAACCAGGCCCAAACTCGCTATTTGACCAAGGCGACATGCAACCGTGGCCGTCTGAAGTCAAGAGCTCGGCTGAGATCGGGAACAGTGTCATGAGAATGTGAGTGCCTAGTCCATTCATGCTTCACGCAGGTACAGCCATCTGGCTATTTTCCTTGGTCCACTACTGACAAGTGACTTCCCGAGTCAGTATTCTTGCTGCTGAAAGACCTTCTGGTCCATTGCAATTGCACGACAAAGACCATGATGGTGTTTCACCGCCAGACCGGCAGTTGACAGATACAAACCTTCATCCGGTCTCTCTCGATACGCTGCTGCAGAATGATCTGTCCAGCTTTTCGCCCGATCTCTTTGGATACAATGGCAACTTTTCCGTCGACACGATGGACACAGAGAACTGGTACGTACTACAGCCCTGTTCCACACATGATCGTCTGACACGACTAGGTATGGTTTTCTCAACATGGGTGGAGGAACCTTGTGATTGGTTAAAGCAGAGCCAAGAAGCAATGGCCATCGGTTGTCTACGAATGACAAGAACTCTGCTTTCCAGGTTAGTAAGAGAAAGAACACGTGTGCTTCGAAAGCGACAGTTGAGTAGCTCCAAATGTAATTGAGGAAACCCCACGTAGTAAATAGGTCCTTTACTGTTGGGCAAGAGTACCAGACAAGAAGATATCGCACGAGGCTGAGCATCGAGGGGGAGCTACCTGCAAGGGCGGCATCATCCTGTTTCCCAATTGGGAGCCCTTCGCAGACGTCTTTCGTCTCTCTGCCGTTTCACATCTCCGCACATGTTTTCGTGCCTCCATACGTATACAACACCACACCACACTGCTACCGCCATTCTCGAGACCATCTACAGAGCACACACACCATGTTCAAGAAAGAGTAATTTCTGTCCAGCCCCTAGAAGTCCGTAGTAGAATCTAATCTGTGTCCGACGACTCACAGTCTCTCCGCGGGCGCTAAGTCCAAAGTCAAGTCGTCGGTTCAGCGGGGCATCCGCGCCAAAGTACTCGAGACGTACCCAAAACTCGAACCGCATATTGAAGAGATTATGCCCAAGAAGAGTCAACTCGATCTTGTCAAACTGTGAGTGGTCGAACAAACCAACCCAATCTGTCTCTTTCTCGAACTCTTTCTTGCGCAGCGGCCAGTAGACCGGGCGCAGGTCCACCGAAAAGAATGCTCTCACCTGGGCTCTAGGGTCTCTCCCTCTCAAGTCGGCAACTCTCCCGCCTTCGCCAACCTGTTCTTCTAGAACTTAGCCTGTACTAATTATTGCGGCTTACAGACCGGACCGAGTATCCCTGTACGTTCTCGACGACCGACCCCTCTTCTACCAGCACATGGACGACCCGATCATTCCTCACCTCAAGATTGTCCATCAATACCCTCACGCCTTCAAGACAATAGGGATCGACCGGGGAGCCATCCGCTTCGTACTATCCGGCGCCACGCTCATGGTGCCCGGTCTCACCTCCCCTGGCGGCCGACTTCCCGACGCCGACGAGGAAGCAAAAGCAGGTGATATAGTCGCAATAGCCGCCGAGGGAAAGACCGAGATCTGCCTCATTGGGCAACTGGAGATGGGCACGGAAGAGATGAAGAAGGCCAAGAAAGGCGTCGCCATGGCCGCCGGCCACTATCTGGGCGACGGCCTGTGGAAGATGGATCTAAGCTGATTGTATTTTTCGGTCGAGGCACAATCCACGTGGGGGAACAATAAACAGACCATTCTTTCGCCGGCCCAGGCCCCCCCACCAACTTGGACCTGGTGACGAGCAGTACACCCCGGGTCAGATCATGGATGTTTCGTGGCTAGGAAAGAGAATGGAGATGCCATCACGACGCTTGACATTTCGCGCCCGAGATTTCTCAAGGCACCCGTGTGTGTTTGGGATTCGGACGGGCCGAGTGGCAGGCCCAGGTACCCAACAAACTGCCCGACCAAGTGCGTTCTTACGGCCGGGCGAGAGCTGAAGCTGCAGCACCAGTAACGCTTGTCCAGTCACGGATATTGGTCATGCGTTGCTACTTGGTCGCCGAACATTCGGGAGTACAGAATGCAGATCCACAAATCGGGGGAAGACGACTATTCCAATGTCAATGTCAATTTCAACGATCTGAAAACCAAAGATACCAATACCCATAACCCTTGGAGAACGGCTCTGCCCTGGTGGGTCTGGACTGCTGTTGGGGGCCCCATGCGAGCGTCCAGAATACACAATAACGATCATCATGTCAGTCAGGATAGGGTAATTACAAAACGCCAAAGTGCCCGGTCGCACGAGGCGAGTCGGTAGATACCTCTAGATATGAAGCTGAAAAAGTACTTGAAGCTGCCTTCAGGGCTACTCTTTAATGGAAGTGACGAATGATATGTCCACACAGCCGCACAAAACAAACGAGCACCCAGCTACCTACAGGTACCTACCTGACTTGGGTAGACGGAGCATCATACATGCGTAAGATACCCACCTTGGGTCCTTAGATACCACCTTACTTTGGCTTCAGCACCAGGGGAATTTACAGTCGGGGCAGAAGTACCCACTACTAGGTACCTAGGGAGGAATCACCGCACATAAACAGAATAGAGCTCTACGTCTACAGTGAAAACCCCAACCAAGACTCCAGGATTGCTCCTCATTGTCACATTGGATTGTTTTTGGTTAACATGTAACTAAAGGAGGAGAGGCTTCTCATGATTCTGATTCTGTGTACAAACTTTTGTCTTTTTCTCCCGTCGCAATGCCATCGCTTTGTTGGTATTTCGACGCTGTGAAAACTGGTGGTGGGGGGGGAGGTGCCAGTTCGGTTTGGAAAAAGGGAAGAAATGCATGCAACGAAAAAAAAAAGGGCACCGAGTCGCTCAATCTGCTGCCGATCCAGGGGATTGTGGGGGCCAAGGGCTGGCTCAACGAGACCTAGATACCCAGCGGTGTGAGACACACGCCAACTCTCCTGCGTTTATTCCTCCTGCCTGGCATTTGCGACGACCTCCACAGTCATGGTGTTCTCAACCGTGACCCGATCAATGCGTCAACAGTCTTGTGGAGCAATGTGCGCGAGGTGTGTGCGATAAAACAAAAAGGGAATTGGATGACTGAGCATGCTTGATGAAGGTATGGGTGCATCCTGTGCACGAGTCGGTCAACCTCCAGCTCCATCCTCATCCTCCCCAACGAACTCCACCCTGTCCCGAACAGATGAGATGGGGTCTATGCAAGACAAGAAAGAAAAGTGGAAAAGAAAACACGTGCTGAAGCAATGTGAATGTTAAAGCCAGTGAGACAGGGATATCTTGAAAAGCTCAATCATGACCGGTCATCAGCTTCCCCGCAATCAGCATGCGCCTTTCTCTCTGCGAAGCGCTCAAAGAAATTTGAGAAAGCGTCCTCGGTTTGCGGAAACATCCGCCAACCTTTTCCATTGCGTATTGATTCATCCCGAGGCGACAAGAACGAACGCCAGGATGTCGAGCCGAGCTTTGGTCGAGAACCGTCATTGTCAAGAATGGTGATAGTCCAGTACATTGCATGTCGAAAGTTCATTCAGGCCTGAGGTAAAGTATCTTTGTGGTAGCGGCAGCTCAATAGAAAAACAAGTCTTGACGTTTGGCAATCCGGGATGTAAAATCGAATTACTGAAAATCTGCCTCAACAGCGTCGAGTCTGATCCAATGTCCATTCTGTGATATACCTGACTGACATGGTACATCATGGCGGGGTTGGAGATGGGCAGAACATGGTTTTTTGGATAAACAAAATTGTGTTGCAGGGTGTCGTGGGGGCCTGGCTGAGAGGGAGAGCATGATTATCTCTCTCCTTCAGCCACTTTTGTCGAGTTCGGCTTTTTCCTCAGCGCTCAGAACATCGCCGAGCCTCTTGATAGTTTTCATGTTGGTAGCACCATTGCGCCATGCGCCTCGAAGTGTATGAAGGAGAGAAGATGCAACATCAGTTTCTTGCCGTGAAAACTGAACCATATCAGCAGCCAGGCGTTCACTGATGGGAATAGGACCACTCAGGACCTTGCCATAGTAACGAATAAGATGATTCATGCCGCTAGCACTGCCTTCTTCCATATCTGCGCTGGCGGTTGATTTGAATTCCTCATACATGCCCACATTGAATTTGTCGACGAGAAAGTCGCTCCAAAACGAGTAAAGGGGCTCCAGGGCACCATCGATGCCAAGAAGCTTTTGCTGAAAAACCATGTCATGAACTGTTTGATAGCTCTGGTCATACTGACCAGACAGAGGAGGTGGAAGTTGGGTCTCATGGCCATCCTTTGTAAAGTAGGTGACCGAATCAGCCACGGAAACCGTAGCATCTTTTCCAAAAGAAAGATTATTTCGTGCTTCGAGTCTTATCGGACTGTTAGTGGCCAGTGCGGAGAACGAGCTCGGAGTCGACTCACTGCTGCGGGCTGCCTGCACCTCCTCGCAGGCTCAAGCTCGAAATGTGAGCTTGTTTTTGATCTGCATTACCCTCACCAGTTCCTGGAGCCGCAGAAGGAGCGCCAGCGGCAGGCTGTTTGGTCTCAGCTGAGGTACGAGGCTGCATTCGAATGTTGATGTTTGGAATTTCCTCATCAGGGAAGGCATTTTCTTCTATGTCTGCCCGAGAAGACTCGCGATGATGGCCGTTTGCTAGACCACCCATAACGACACCGCTGACTTGGGCAGGTGTGGAGCTGGTTGGTGCTGATCTCTGATTGTAGCCGACATTTGAGACTTCTTCGGGAGAAACGCCTTCGAACGGTGCCGCGAAAGGTGCTTGACCTTCGACTTGAGCTCCGGGCAGGAAGGACATTGGGGAAGCTGGGTGAAACATGCCATTTGTTGTTGGAACGCCCATCCCAGTGCCGCGGATTTGGCCCATACCAAAGGATGGGTCAAAGGGTGCTGGCTGCTCGTACTGAGAAGATGAAACACGCTGCTCGGCTGATTGCGAAGGGCCGTCGTTGCGGGCGTCTGTGAAGCGCTCTTCCTCCGGCAGCACAAAATCACGCCAGCCGTCTCGGCGACGAAGGCGATCATCTCCATCTGCTCCAAGAAAGTACTCCACACTCTTGACTTGTTGGCAGACGTAGCGTAGAGTGTCGATAGTCATGTTGTCCTCCGTCAAAGCCTTGATGCGCTTGAAGTTTGCGATTACCCGAAGTGGCACATAACCCTGTCCATCCATATGTTTCCTCAAGAAGAGATCCTTACATAGGTTGTCGATCGAAAAATAGTACTCACTGCAAAAACATTAGCGCTGATACAGGCAAGGTCAGGCAAGCTTACATCTGGGTCATAACCATTGATAGCAGAGCATATGAATTCAGTGGATCGTTGAATGGCACAGCACTCATAATTCCTGGCTGCAACTGCACTGGCTGCGGATAGCCATACATCGTCATGTCTGTTTGCAGTGCTGGTAGGCCTTGGGAAATATTGGGGTAGAAATTTGGGTACATCATTCCGACAGGAATAGACTGCGAACGTGACGTGTTGCGCGAACCCGATGGTGGTTGGGTCGGCTGGAAAGGTTGCGAAATCTGCCTCGAACCCCTCTCGGTATGAGAGCTGGACCTAGTCTCGAAGCCATTTTGAGGCAATGGTGCGGTATATGGGTGCGATGAGTTGAAAGGAGGGTTGTAGGTGTGGTTGCCACGCCCACGGTAACCGCCTCCTCGGCCACGCTCAGCACGGGTTTCGCGTCGGTTGCTCTGATCACCTGATGAGTCGCGGTCGCGCCAGGATTCAACCTTCTCTCGTGCAGACTCAGGTTTGTCTCTAGACCAGTCTCGATTGCGACCTGAACCACGTTCACGGACAAATTCTGGGTTGCCACGGGGATTGCTGCTTCCTGATCCCTTGAATCGATCGAAAGAGTATGAATAACGGGAACCATGCTCAGTTGATTGACCGAAAGTAAGAGGAGCAGCCTGAGCAGACGGTGAGCCTGACTCTCCATTCGTATTCCGGCCTGCTGCTTGTCCAGTGTGCCTGGAAGACGACCTCGAACTTTGTTCCGTCTTCTGAGTTGGATATTCTTCACCACCACTCTGTTCCTTACTGACAGGAGCAGCTGGTTTGCGGAATGATGGGGTCGCATCTTCATTGCTGTCCGGGCGAGTACTGCTCGTAGGAACTGAACCCGCACGCGGAAGACGTTGTCCTTCGGTTCGGCGACCACGATCCTGTTCACCTGTTGGCTTTGGCAAAGGAGGTGGGCCCATAGAGCCTGGCACATCTTGCTTCTCGCCAGTACCAGCATGACCACCCCGGCCGGCGGGATCCCGACCACGTCCGCCTCCTCTACCACCTCTTCTTGCCGCAGCAGCTGGAAGCTGGGTCTCGAACTTAGCAGTCGGCACAAAGGGCATGGTCTTCCACTTCGTCTGGGAACCGCTTTTGTTCTCGATCCTATCTCCCTTCTCGTACGTACTCGACCTACGCCGTTCTTCGATGAGTGAACTGTCAGGAGTTGGCCATGCCTGGGCATCAGCGACAGAAGGTGGTGCTTCAATGTCGGTTCTGTCTTTGGCAGAACGAGATGGTATCGATTCCTTTCGACTGTTAGCACGAGAAAATTCACCGGACTTGCTTTCGCGTTCGTGGGTTTCTCTGCTTTTGGGATCCTCACGAGGAGGCGCGGATCTTGAGGTGTTTGACGGTGCACTTCGCTGTTGGCCTGCATTTTCCTTCAGCTTAGCAGCGGCAGCAGCCTCGATTCGTTGTTGCCAGAAATTGACCACGGGGATGGGGGCCGCCTTCAACTCTTTCTCAGCAGTCATTGAAGGAACAGAAATCTTTTCCCAGTCATCCTCCGAGTCTCTGGGCTTTTTCTCTGCACTTCCCTGTCCAGAAACCTCCGAAGCTTGGTCTAAAGATGTTGTTCGTCCATTCACTAACTGCGGTCTTGCCTCATCCTTGTTGGAATCCTGGCTAGATTCTTTGCCGGACAAGCCGGCCTGCTCAGATGAAGTTTCTGGTGCGTCGAGGACTTTCTGTACGTTGGCTGAAACATCCTTTTCCGGAGTAGCCTCGCTGGAGGATTTCTGCTGTGCAGCCTCTGTGTTGGCTTTGCCATCTGCTTCGTTCTTCTCACGAATGGATTTGCCTGTTGGCTGGCCAATGTTTGACTCTGTGGCGGAACGCTCTCTGGTGTTCTTCTCGGAGGACGCAGGGCTTTCGTTACGCGGCGTTGGGTGACTTGAAGTTGTTGGAGTAAGTCCTTTGGCAGCCTGTGCATAGGAGAATGCTGGCGCCGCAGCGCCTGAAGGTGTAGACATCTTCGTCGCCAAATTTGGTTTGGCACACCTCTTATTCCTCAACCTGACCCCTCACCAGCAACAAGCTGGTCGTCGTGTACTACAACCAGTATGCGCGGTGTCTCAGTCCCAGACAGGGAATTTCCTTCTGGATTTTCACAACTCTGCAATAATACTCTTTTTCTCTGCCTACAAGGAAACACCGGGGTCTGATCCCAGCAGTGCTTCTCTCACAGAAATCTTGTTGGCAAAAAGGCCCGGCGGTGATGTGGCTTGCACAGTCTCAGCCGGGGCGTGTCCTCGCGAAAAGGCGACGGCGGAGAATGTTCGTTCAGTGGAGATGTGAAGACTCGATCAATCTTGACTATCGCGACGCTTTTATGCGAACAGGATATCACAAGGAGGAGCCCGGCTCGTAAGAGGAGGATGAGGGTTCGTTGTTCTGGATCAGTCGTAAATGACCGACTGAGGTCAATTGAGGCACAGCGAACCCTGCTGCGTGAAGTCGTTGTTTGGCTGTCGCTTTGTTCGATCGAAAGCTGCACGACCCGAGGGATTGAAAAGCGAGAGGACGACGCTCACAGTCTCTCGCGACGAGATTAGCAATAGCGAGGTGGTGAGAGTCGCGATGGTGCGTTGGTAAGTCGGAGAGAGGTGAGGTGACGGGAGACTCCAAAAACTTTTGAGTGCGAGTCTTAGCGCTAAAACACTTTTCCTGTGCCGGAAGTGCTGGAGCCGCCAAAGTGAGGACACAGGGCAGCAATAAAACGACAAGAACATCAACAGGTGAACGACCTGCCAACGGGAGAGTAAAAGACGACGGAGAGAGAGAGGGTGTGTGAGTGTGTGCGTGAGTGGGAACAGTGCAAGCCTTTTTCGTGCAAAAGCTCAGAGTCCGAATTTCGAATATCTAGCGGCATTTTACCCTGCTTTCCGGACAGCCAGCGAACAGAGGAACAAGCCGCAGCTATGCGCCGCCTAAGCTACTGCGGGACACGAAGGCATAGCTGCTGCTTAGGACTGTCGACACCCGCTCAGATAGACATAGAGAGATATAGGGACCCTGGGTAACTGTTCATCAGCCGTAGACTCCCACTCCCAGTGCTGCTCCTGCAACCAACACCTCCCCCTTCAATGCACGGCTGGCCCCTCTCACTGCTCTCACTTGGGCGTCTCTCCTCGCTCTACGCTTTGTTCACTGCCCGAACACCAGGCCTTGTTAGGCCCGCCAGGCAGCACTTGATCGCGACGGCACCACCGAGCATTGTGAATATCCAGACGCGACGAGTCCTCTGACCCGACTGCACTCTTCCATTTCCACCCGCACCGAGCCTAACATCCATGTACCGACCGGGAACCCTGCACTCCTCACAGTCGCCTCTACAAGCAACTGCATCGAAGCCGCCTCGCCTACTTTCCGTCGTGACTTCTCCTCCTCTTCCCCTCTCAGAATGCGTGACTCCACGTATCTGTCAGCTCCTCAATACGATCTAGCCCGAGGCCTTGGATTGTCTACTGCCTTTACCCGCGCTCTCCCCGCGCCTCATCCAAATTCAGTATGGCCGAAACAATAGCTCCGTGGCCCGAGGTTCAGCCTGGCCATCACCCAAGACTCTCAAACCAACCGACTGAGACCTTCGTGACTACGAAAACGGACGAACGGAGTACACACGCGTGGATTCACGCGTTAAATGGGCCTCTGAAACGGCTACAGTCATATGTCGACTGCAACCACGTCTCGAAACCCTGCCTTGCTCGCCATTCTTCTTGTTGCGCAGGGTCGCACTGGCTCCAACGCCCAGCTCGTCTTCCACTATCCTCCCGACCCTTTAGCCGCGGCACGCACAGCTGAAGCAATATCTTTGGCGGAAGATGAGGAGGGAGACAGCTCCAGCAGCGACTCTGAAGAGTCTTCCTCCGACGATGACTTTGAGCTGTTCACAAAGCGCATCAACGAGACCGCAGATGCACATCCTGACAGTCGATCGCAGAAGTCGAACGATGGCGACGATGAAGAAGGCGTGCAGATGAAGAGAGGGTCTGTAGACAGCGAGGGCTGGAAACCTCCCTGGGAGCCACTCCTCGGACTGGGCGAGGATGGCCTGGTGAGCCTCTTGACCCCAGGACGAGCCTGGCACAAACGCAGATTCGAGCTTAGCATCAATGACTTGACCTTCCTGGGCAGGCCGGTTTATGCGCGTGAAGAGGGATACTGGCGCAAGCCCCGTCGCAGGAAGCAGAGGTCGGTTCTGGACGAGGAAGCACAAAATTCTTCGGACACTGCGGTAAGTGACAGCGGCATAGACGAAGGGGACAACCGTCCGGAAAGCCCGTCCAAGGGACACATCCGTCACGGGAAGACACAGAGTGTACCCGAGTCGACAAAAACACAGCTTACCATGTTTCACCTGGTGTTTGTGATGGACCCGTCTCCCTTGGAGCATGTCTTGCGGGTCAAGGACATGTATGACCATGTGGTCAAGAAACTGTCCAAGGTTCTAAAATGGGAACAATCCCATCGCAACTATGTATGGGAGCAGGCAGAGCTGTTGCAGTCCATCAAGTCCACACACATCCACCAGCAATCGTCGACTCGCACTCTATACACCGAGATGATGAGAAGATCATCTCTGGCAGCGGCTATTGCCAAAGTGTTTGACAACATCTCTGCCTCCAAAATTGCTGCAATCACGCTTAGCTCCAAGCTGTCCGTCTCTCTTCAGATCCCTCCTGTCACGTCGACCTCGTACTTACCTTCACTCTCTGAGCCTCCTCTGGAACCGGGGCTGTGGCTCACGACCGCCACAGACCCTGCTTCAACGGAGGCCGACATGGACACGGCGTCAAGTTCTGGGGCATTACAGCTGTCTAAAAACTTCACGCTTCTCCTCAAGGCTAGCCCGCAAAAGATTATCAAAGACATTCAGGCCGCCGGAGGTCCATTGGCCATGCCATTGACCAACTTCATAAGTAAAGCAAAGCCGACAAAGTCCTTTTACAAGATTTCCACTCTCTCCGGCATCAATCTGCCTGATATTCAGCACCTCGCGCGTCACCTTGTCTACTGGCGAAGGGCCATTGCCATTCCTCCACTGCACCAGCGAGATACCTATATTGTATCACCAAACGCGAACATGCACAAGCTAGTAGCGGCCTCCAAGACATACGAGGCGACATTTCCGATGATGCCTTCGTTGCCAAAGATGCTCAGTGTGTTGAGTGGAACCCCTGCACCATATGGCGCCCTGATCCCCAGTAGCGACCACAAAGAAGAGTACTATCGCGTTCTAGAATGGTTGATGCGCGAGGGCTGGGTTACTCAACTCCGGACGTTTGCTTTTGTGCGCATTGATCCGGACGTGAAGAAAGCAGTCAGAGAGCAGGAACGTGAGGAGAAGGGGTCTAGGACACCTGCGGACAAGGAGTTGCGGGAATCTACCGAGGTATCCAAAAGCTTTGGCAGCGGTACACCAGCCACTGTTGCCAGCAGCATGATATCCACCTTCAGACAGCGACCCAGTCTGGCCCGTCGTCCGTCAAGTGATGGGAGGAATTCAATTTCGACTGATCACACCAGTACGCGTGGCCAGCAATTCAAACACAACCCAAAACAGGCCAGCCTGGTGCTCTCTCCCCAACGTGCATCTCCGCAAGAGTCCCGTTGGCTTGACTATGTCGCGTCGACACTGGCATCATCTCTGAATGCTTCCAGAACAGATTTATCGGCATCGCCCATGTCAGAGAATGAGCTGGAGACAGCTAACATCCGGCGATATTGGTCAGTCTTCGTCAAGTACTTCTCCGGTCATGACGCGTTGGAAAAAATCCCAGTACGCGAAGGCCTCAAGAGAAAGAATGTGTGGGATATGCTTATGAAAATGGGATTGGATTTTAATGGAGGAGTCGAGGATGACAAGGGCGAGAATAAACGGGTCCTGGTTACAGTACGACATTGGTAGAGATGTCTAGCATTGTGTACTATGTTTTAGAGTCGGTAAACATTGACTATGTGCTTGAATGAAGCTGGAGATGCAGACCACGGCGTTGTTGTTCTCTGATAATGCGATGGCCTCGGGCTTTTGCCACCAACATGGCCTTTACATGTACCACTGACATCTATTGTTCCGTATGAGACTTACATGTCATCTGACTTACAACTACTGCTGCCCTCGGTGCTTCCACATTCAGCCCTCGTAAACGATGCTTGCTTTGGGCGCAGTTGGTACTTTCGCCCCAATGCGTCCAGTCAATCGGTCCAATCGAGCACCCGGAATAAATCCGCCCAAAATCCTCCCTTTGTACCAAAGTCCCAGGCTACAATGAAACTCGTCTACGTATCGGGCCTCCCTAGACATTCCGTCGCCGCTGCCCACGTTCGCTTGCGCAATCCGGCAGAGTCAGCAACAATATGAGATTCCTTCTGAAGCCTATATTGCCGCATGACAAAATCCACAGTCTGCCTTGACTGCGGCCGAGTTGAGCAACTTCAACTCGATCCTTCACCTCGCGGTGTCAAACGTGCAAAGCACAATCGCTTCGTGACTACCGCCACAAACCAAGCCATAGGAGGACTGGGGAGCGGGTGATGAGAACAACCAGGCTATACTCGAACGACTACGGCGGTCTTATATAACAAGCTTACTCGCAATATGCGGATTTCTTCGCCAGACTAATACAGGAGCATATCTATCAACAGAATCTCTAGACACTTGACAAACTCGTGTATATCCTGAATCAAACACTCATTTGCAATGTCTGACCAAACGCCTGAACGGGCCACTTCTCGACAACGCGGTCTGAAAGATGTCATCGATGACAGCTCTTTCTGGACTGTCTCAGATCGGGAACTTCTTTCTCTGATCAAAGCAGAGTTCCCGCTTGAGCTGCAACGGCTACACCGTGCGACCTTTGTACGAGATTCAGATGCCCCAAGCCCTGATGGTCCATCCATTTCTGAAACCCTCTACGGACATGACTACCCAGAAGTTAATCGGACCTTGCTAGGTATACTGGCATTGCGTTGGCTGTGGAACGACGAGTATGGCGCATTCGTTGGCACGCAACCTTCACCAGTGAGGCTCGCCCGCGAATCTTTCAATTGGCTGAGGCAGATTTACATCACTGGTCTGAAATCAGCAGAAGAAATCTATACTTTGATCACTTGTATGGTCATCAACGATCTTGGTAAAGATCCCAATCTGGCAACCGAATACGCGGCCAAGGAAGGCCTTGATGTCTCAAACGTCAATCACGACATGATTCTCTATCGAGCAGTCGAGGCCGGGATGATCGAAGCTCTGGATCGGCTCGCCGAGAATTACAAACAGGACGTTCTTTTGGGCATCAAGCTCGGGTCGAGCTTCAATTTTGGTCAACTTGCCCAAGCGGAAAATGCCCCGGCATCCCTCACAGGGCTTGCAGAGATGCGTGACCATGATCGCGCTTTTGAGCTCCGGTACATGGAACAAGTCCTTGATCTTGCCGGTGCTTCTGGTCACGAGGACTGGACCTGCGCGAAGAAAATGGTCGAGCCAGTCTTTGAATCATACCGTACCGTTTATGACGTGGCGGGTGCCATCATCGCTGGAGACACAAGCTTCCGAGATGCGTACGATATCGTCCTCATCCGGAAGGCCGAACTTTTGCATCGACTGGGGTATCAACGTGTCTTCGACGTCAAGGACAATCGGGATCGCGCGGTGATGCGACTGTTCTGCCTAGCGAACACCTCCAACGTACGAGACGCCGAGATGTACTTTGAATCGTTTACCGAACGGATATCAGAAGATACGAGACAAATGCTGATCTCCGGTCTCAATGTAGATGGCACCATCGAGTCACCAGCTGTACAGGCAACCTATATTCCGGCGATGCTGACAAGGGCTGCCAGCCGCACCTTGAACGGGACTGAAGAGGAAAAGATCAAGGTCATCGGCGCCATGTTGCGCTATCTTGCGCGGTGCCTGAAGGTGGATAAATCGAGCCTCTCCCAAATGCCGAAAGGGGTCACCGTCATCGAAAGGGACGTGAGGAAAATCATACCAGTATTGGACAGCGAGGAATTCAAGAAGAACCCTGATATACTGGACAGGGAAGAGATACCTAGTGCCCAAGTCGCCAATATAGCACCAGACATCGACATTGGGGACTGAGTCAGGACAACACACTTGATAAACGTGAAACAGGAGGAGTCGACTGAAATCTAACTACGCAACGCCTTGGTCTATTTGGGGCATCAGCATCTATCAGCAAACATGCCCATTCCTTGAACGCCTTCTCAAGCAAGAGAACAAAGTCATAGTCCCATTCGGAGGGCTGTGATGAAGACAGTGGTGCTCGACTGGAGCGCTATCAAGCAAGCCAGCCCATCACAGCTTCGACTTAACCACGGCGCGGCCTCTTGCTTGCTCAAGTTCCTTCTTCAGTTGACCAGCCTCGTGCGCAATTTGTCCCGCGTCCTGGTCTCGTGCAGGTACACCCGGTGAATCACTCTTCTTGGGCGCACTTCTATACCCATCCTCGATATTCTCTTGGTTAATGACATTGCCTTGGGCGTCGCGCCGAATTCCCAACTCCATCAACTTCGCGAACACGGCCGCAAAATCTCGAAAGAACAAGTCCTTGTCAGCGGCGTACTTGTCGACCCACACCCTGAAGCTGGGATCTTCCAGCAGAGCCATGTCGGTCGGCAGCATCATCAAGGTCTCCTCCTCGGCTTCCTCTGGATCAAGGTCCTCGTCTACGTAGACGAACTGCTCCAACCCATTCTCCAGTTTCTTCTTCTTCCATTCATGCGTCTGCAACAGCTTGAAGTACGTATTCGAGAAGCGAGTCGGGTTGTTGACCCATTTGCCCTCGAAACCAGACCGCCCGCTATGGCATCTTCCTAGGTTATGGGCTCCGCTGAGAGCCACGATCTCTCTGTCGTCGAAGCCCATACGGTAGAAGATCCAACGAAGGTGGTCGGCGCCTTTGCTCCCGTCCGGTAAGCGCCCACGCGGCGGCACTCGAGAGTCGTCGGTGAAATCGGTCCGCCCACCCTGCCAGGATATCTCGGGTCCACCCATCTCACGTATCGCAACGACAGCAGCCAGCGTCCACAAGTCGGCGTAGGTGATCCAGGGGAACGATGCCTTGATGGGCTCGAGGAAAGCCCGCGCATACTGGAGACCTGCGTTGGCTGGATCGCCGCCTTCGGCCTCGTAGCGCATGCCGGCGCCATTACTCCCTCCCGTGTTTGTTTCTACACAATACGTGCCCGCCGAATGCCAGGCCAAGCGGACCAAGACCGGCCCTGCGCTACCGTCATCGTAGTCGGGTTGATGGAGAAGAGCTTTTACGGCTTCTTTTACGGGAGCGAGGCGATCCGCTGAAGGCGGCGAGTTTGTCTTGTTGTGTTGTGATGAGGGTTTGGATTCGGAAAAGCTGGACATTCTTGGAAGGTTAACTCTGCGAGAGGAGTGTATCTTTGAAGCGATGGAATGGAAGGCGAGGCAAATCGTGAAAAGGTCGGCGGAGACTCGGAATGACGTTGGCAGGTGGCAATTGGAGCGGAAGGCCAGCAGCACACAACGGTGGACAATGGGATACAGGACTGGAAAGAAACAAAGAAAAGCAGAAAAGGGTCTAGTCTACGCGTCTAGGAGTCTATTTTGCGCAACGCCGGACACAAAAAGCAGGGAGAGAAGTCGAGGAGGAAAGAAGAATCAAGGATGAAGAGAAAGAGGCAAAAGATCGGTTAAAGTACCGAGAAGAGAAGAGGAGAGGAAGAGAGGTAGTCGCAGCAGAGAAGACCCTTGCAAGACACGTGCGAGACGGGTATGAGCTTTGAGCATGAGCATAAGCACGAGAACCGATAAAGCAAAGCACCCATTACATCAGAGATAGGTACTGTATGCACATGGCGCAGGAATCAGTCAGGTATCAACTAACGGGAACATGACTACTCTCAGTATGATGACGATGACCATGGCCGACAGGGGAACCAAAAAAAACAAAACAAACATGACAAAACAGCCTCGGTAAACATGTTCTGTCCTGTCTACTAACTAGATAGATACTGCATGCCTGGCGACCACGGCGAAAGACAGATTTATTAGAAAGAAAAAAAAAACAACCATGCGTTGAACGCCGGCCGTCGGATTGAACGCCCCGTGCCTTTTTGGTGGTGGATTCACATCCATGTGTGGGTCGAGAGATCACAAGTTATACTCGTTCTCGGAAAAGAAAAAAACAAGGGATCGGAAAGACGAGGAAGATAGATGGGACCCGGTTTCATACCAGTCAAGTACTCGTGTAGGCACTTTACAGAGAGCATGTGAAGAAAAGCGTCAGGGACTCGGGAGCCAGACCCAGAGCCGGAGCCACCGCCACCGTTGGTCCCATACAATTGGATTGACTCGTAACAAGTACAAATCAATGATAAGTACCTTACCCGTGAGTCGTGTCCGAGTTACGCGGTGCGATAACGAGTACACATACTCCGTCGCGATATGGGTCGTTTGTTCGTGACCCATGGTAGCGGGGGGCGTGAGGCGTTGGCTGGCGAGGCTGAAGCGCGCACTGATAAGAGGTGCTATGCAGTAGTATTGCAAGTACAGTACCTTGCATATTACGGCGGGCAACAGTGCCGTGAGACGTCTGTACCTACCGTACTAGTTAGTTACTGATCGGAACCGAGAGTCGGAGATGAAAAACCGAGAAAGAAGAAAAAAAAATTAAATACGCTGATATCCGCTAAACGAAACAGTCCCACGAGGACGTGATAAAAAAAATACGATACTGTACGAGTTTCCCGGCCACCCACCAAGGCCAGGCCCCGCTGGCATGATTCCTACAAGTACAATCTCTCAAAGGGTCGAGCTAGAGAGAATAAAGTCTGGTTATCTCAAAGACTCCCCCGTCATCATCGTTGAGCCGAGGTAGCTAACTATAGACTGTGGGAGGTACTCCGTACGGGAGTAAGAGATTTGACTAGGCGTTACAGTATCGGGCACCTTTTTTTATTACTGGGAGTAGTAGTACATACAATACAATTTACAATGGATGCGAGACTGATATTGTAGATAGACGATAAGATAAGACGGTGTGAAGAAAAAAAAAGTATATGGCGATCTTTATCCAACCTTTTTGGGACCTTACAGGTACATACTACGATCCTTCGATGCTCCATACGACAATACATGAGTTCGACTGAGATTCTCAACCGACGGGACGAGAAAAAGTATTGTTCGTCCTTTCTCATATAATACCCGGGAACCAAATCGACACGCTACCGTACTCCACTGAAAAAGGTACCATATATATGTATATGATCAATATGGTGTCTGTATGTACCCAAGGTAGATGTACTGTACATGGAAACCTACCTACCTCCCTACCTACCTACCTACCTTGGTACATAGGTAGATTTGGTATGCATATCGAGAATTGTCTATTTATTTGAAATGTCATCTTCTTGAACCATGCTATGATATGCCATGCTATGTATCTTAATCTCGTCTAACAATGTCCGAACCTCTTACCAAAAGAATTCACACCAAAAAACGCCGGTCGCTGATGATAAGAAGCACTACTTGGTCGGAAGGGTTTCGATGTATTCAAGTAGCGCCGATTCAAACAAAGATGTGGATGATCTTATTTTGAAATCTCATCAACCCCCACAGATGATGATAACCTCGTGGCTTCCCGTTGCAACTCCAGCTTTTCGTCGGCGGTCAGATCGCTCGTCGCCTTCCCGACTCTCCCCCAAATGGTCATAATGACGAGACTAGCGGCGCCCGTGGCGACGGCAAGCCAAAAGGTGTTTTTGTAGCTCTGTCTCAGGCCCGCGCCGTCGACCGTGTACGACTGGATGATGTCGCTGAAGCCGAGAACGACGGCCATGCCCAGTTGCATCACGCTGTTGATCAGGCCGCCCGCCAGACCCTGGCGTGCAGACGGCAGCTGGGTGGTGACGAAGACGCAGATCAGCGTGTACGAGAGGTCGATGCTCATGGTGATCAGAATGTTGGACGTGAAGATCCACGCCCAGTAGCTCCCGCCTTCGGGCACGAGGGCGAGCAGGAGCGGCGCAACGACGGCCGACACACCAGATACAATCAGCAAAACCCTGCCCGGGACCAGATGCAGGAAGTAGCCCTGGAGAACGTTGAGGAGGATGCCACCGACCGCCGTGGGTGTGAACCACGCCACCACCTGCAGGGGCGTCGCGCCCATGATGTTCTGAAAGTACTGCGTGCCGTAGAGCAGGTAGACGCCGCAGTTGCCGTACAGCAGGAGCAGGGCGATGGTGAGCTCTGTCATGCACGGCGTTGTGAAGACGTCAGCCGGCAGCAGCGGCATCTCGGCGACCCAGCCCTCGATGTAGGCCGCGACGACGAGCACGACGCACCCGATGCAGAAGAGCGTGGGGATGTAGGGCGTGCGCCAGCCGTGCGGGGCGTGCGCAGACTCAGTAATCGCAAACACGACCAGCACGATTCCCGAGACAATAGCCACGGACCCAAGCCAGTCCATGATGATGCCGTTCTTGCGCCGCTCCTTTGCGTCGTTGGGGATGAAGATTGCCGACGTGACGAACACCACCAGCGCCAGCAGCGCCCCGACCCAAAAGTACCAGCCCCAGCGGATGAACTGGCCTATGATCCCGGAGCAGAAGATGCCAAAGTAGAACCCGAGGACCGCGAAGGTCCCGTACAGGGCAAAGACGAGGTTCTTGCGCGGGCCTGGCCGGTAGACGGTGCCCATCAACATGACACCCGTCGGGAGGAACGCTGCTGGGCCCAACCCTTGCAGTGCCCGACAAAGGTCCATCATCAGTGCGTTCGTGGAGAATCCGCACACGATACTCCAGACCACGAGCCAGGCGAGGCCACCCAGGTATACCGGGTATCCGCCATAGATGTCGCCTAATCGGCCAAAGACCAGCAGTGTGGCGGCGATGACGAGTGAGAATGCCGTCGCCGGCCAGACGCTGGACGATTGCGGGATGTCGAGCTCCTCGATGAGCGTGGGCAGGATGATGTTGAACCCTGAAACGAAGTACTCTGTCAGGATTTGGGACATCAAGATCGAAAAGACGAAGCCGAGTTCAGACCAGATGGTTTTGAAGGTTGGGGGCCGTTCGCGACCCAGACGCTCGATGCGGACGTCCATGGATTCCTCTGTGTCTGGTTCCGTCCGCACCTTTTCGGCTATGGGCAGGCCCACGGTGCTGCTCTCATTTGAGGGTCTGTCCGAGGACGATGTTGCGACAACCTCCTGCTCGTCCTGGCTCACTGGCTGCTGGGAGCCACGTTTCGGCGGTGGGAGTGCCATGATTGGGGGTTGGGAAGATGTGATGCACGTTCAAGGGAAGGTAGGGAAGCTGAGAGCACGGTAGATGTTCATGTTCCGAAGCACCAGCGGACGAGGAAAATATGTATATGCAGAGTAACCTTTAATCAAAGTGTGTCAGCGGCAGAGAAGCAATACGCTCGCTGTATCTTTGCCAGACGATGATGGGATGAGTAACATGACTGGACGAGATGTCCGGAGGAGCTGGATTTAACTAATGCACATTAATAAATCTGCGGAGAAAAGCCATGTTAGCATCAGCCCGGTCAGAGCCTGCGCGGACAGAAAGGCATCAAAGGGACATTTGTCCAGCAAATCAAGCCCGAGGCCGCTGAGAGAAGATGGAGCAAATCGACGTTGCTAAAGCAAATGCAGGTGTCACTTGGAAAATCCAGGTTGAGATGGTAAGCAGCCTTGGCACTCCGATCTTCTCCTCCGTCCTTCTCCTGCCATTTCCCTCCAGCAAAACACAGCTCGCTCTCCGTTGGCCTGATCAGTTCTTCCATCATCAGGTCAATCCTTCGACACACTCACGCCCCTGATCCACTTCGGAAGACTCTAGACCGTGGCAGGCTCATCGTCTGTCTTGGCCGCGGTATCGGGTTCTGGAGTCTTGTCGCGTGTGCCAGCCTCAACATCTGGCGACGTATCCGTCACCGACACAGCAGGAGCATTTGTGGGCGTGGCACTCATGCGCTGTTGGTGCAGCGACATTCCGAAAACCGTCAGGGTAAGGGTATAGAGAACACTGCGACAGAGAATGCATCAGGGCAGCTCTCTCTCTCAAGACACACCAAACTCGTAACTCACAATTCAACCGCTCCGAGGCCTGCAGCTGTGCCGGCCAGGGCAACTCCCGCGTGGTACTTGTTGACACTTCTCTTGACAACTGTGCGCTTCGCAAACCCAACATCCTCAGGGCGGTATGGGGCATCCCAAAAGCCGTAGCTGTTGCCGTTACCGTACCACCACCCATTGTATACACTGGTCCATTGCGCCATCAAGGCAAAACTTGTCAACCAGAATATCACTCCGAATATCTCGAGACCCAGGACTGCCCAGCGGTTGTACAGATTTGGTTGGCGTGAGAGGGCGATGAAGTAGTATACGAAGATGATCAGACTTGCCGATGCCTTGCCCGTGGTCAGCCTTGGCCCAACCCAAACAACCTCATAATCTTGATGGAAGACTTACTGTAAACAGGGTGACCCCAAATGCATCATAGCTTCCCCAGATCGAAGTGGCGGCGGCAGTCAAGGCGAGCACAACAACAGCGAGAGCGACTCGAGCGCAACCCACGGCGGTTGACCACCGAGGCATGGGAACAATGTCCGTGCCGTGTGCCGCCTGAGACATTCTGAGCGAGGTTGATGTGGAAAACCTTGAAATCTGACGTGGTGTATCCTCGGTGTGGTGATCAACCATGCCGGTCAACGTGAGAAAGAGATGGCTCAAAGTGCGAAGAGAAGACGACTAGTGATTACCACCACCACCCCCTGGAAATGGGTCATTTATTCACCTAGGGTGTCTCTTTATCCGACCAGAGGCGTGTGACACGATGCAAACAGCAGTTGTCCAGGCCTTTCCCCGGACAACGTACAAAGAATGTAAGAAATAATGGAATGGCACGAGCAGAACAGGCCTCGCCCTGCAAGGAATGCTTGCGAAATCAAGGGATTGGTCATTGCAACTCGATGTCTGCACAAAGAGTTTGTCTTGAAGAACTAGTCAGTGGTGAGTGCGCCATCAGAGAGGGTATTCGAGGGCGGTTGTGGCAGGGAGGCGAAGGGCGTGTACTTGGCTGTAGTTGGTTTCCGAAGACGGCCATGCTCGAACCTCGGTTGCAGCTAGCTCTCAGAGATCATAACGTGTGGCTTCTCAAGCTTTGCAAGATCCCTCATCTCATAGTCGTCGCTGTCGAAATGCAAATCCATGGCAAAAGTGTCTGGGTTTTGGTTCAGAGCCTATCGGAAAAGAAATCCAGGTATCGTACGGCGTAGAAGGCAAAACCTCGGAATGGGCGTCACTGACATCAGCATCCGACCATCTGCACAAATGATGAATCGGCGTATGGAAACTCCATAGATCAGTCTCAGGCGAAGAAGGTTCTTCGAGACCGATTCTCATATCTAGAGGTCAACAAAGTCAATTATCTCGTATTTGTACGATAGCCGCCCCAACATGTTGTCCCGCGTCCAGATCCGAGCTTCATCGCGGATGTCGCAGTTATCTCGCCAGCTCTCAGGACAGACGAGAACAATGGCCGGGTACAACAAGACCAAATTCCAGCTCAACACGGGCGATGAGATTCCAGCAATCGGGTTTGGCACATGGCAGGTAACGAAGCTTCTACCGTACCCAGCGATCGGAGAGAGTCTTGACTGATGCGCGCCCACAACAGGACAAAGAGGCCCAAGAGGACGCGGTATATGAAGCTCTGAAAGCGGGCTACAGACACATTGACACAGCAAGAATGTAAGCGCGGTCTCGCGAGCGTGCGCCTCTCTTGAGAGATTCCTTCATTCTAACTCTGAGGCGATTCTTCAAGATACGGCACCGAACCTGGCGTGGCCAGAGGGATTTTGAAAAGTGGAGTTCCCAGAAGCGACATCTTCATCACCACAAAGCTCTGGAACAATTCCCATCACCCGGACGACGTGGAGGTCGCATGCAACGCATCCCTCAAAGACCTCCAGACCGACTACCTCGACCTGTACCTCATGCACTGGCCGAGCCCGTTCGCCCGGGGGGACAAGCTCATGCCCCAACAGGACGGGCAGATCGTGACCGGCGACACCGACTACGTGGACACGTACAAAGCGATGGAGAAGCTCGTCAAGAGCGGCAAGTGCAAGGCGATAGGCATCAGCAACTTTTCACAGGCCGAGCTGGAACGACTGCTCGGCGAGACGTCCATCGTGCCCGCAGCTCACCAGGTGGAGCTGCACCCGTACCTACAGCAGCCCGACTTTGTGGCCTTCCACAAGGCCAAGGGCATCCACATCACGCAGTACTCGCCTTTCGGCAACGCCAACCCCATCTACGACAAGGGCCGGAACATCGGGAAACTGATCGACGACCACGTCCTGTCGGATATCGGAAGGAAGTACGGCAAGAATGGCGCGCAGGTGGCGCTGGCATGGGGCATCGCAAAGGGCCACAGTGTGATTCCCAAGTCCAAGACTCCTGCACGCATCCAGGCCAACTTTGAGGCTGACTTCAAGCTGGATGCCGAAGACGTCAAGAAGATCGATGCGCTGGACAAGAAGCTGCGCTTTAACGATCCCTCGCAGCGGTTTGGGTGGGATTTTTACGCCGATCTAGACGGCAAGTAGATTTCGTGATGGGGTTGGGTGTGTTTGTGCGCAGTGTACTCGTACATCGAGTGAAGACAGTGCAGTGCATAGGTACCTTACCTCAGGTAGGTGTGTATGAAGTTGGGCAGTCAAGCATGTGTATTCCTACTTCCTGCAACCTGCACACTGGTGTCCACAGCGGTGTTTCTGCTGGATGGCGGTATCGACCTACTCGTACCTCACTAAATACAGGTGCGGCATATACCTGTCGGGTTGCAAAGTGACACGCATCATGTCGCCTATTGCGGTACTAGAGCACAGCCTCGTTTTCTGAAGTGGAACGATATGTCACTCTTGGTGAAGCATTGGCGGCTTACGAGGAAGCTAACCACGACCCATTGGCGACCCCCAGACCCAAACCTATAGGCTGCTGGAGGTGCATATTGTTCCGAGCTTGGGCTGTGTCAGAACTTGGTTCCAAGTGGCATGGATGACGCCTACGAGGACTTATTTCTGTGTCATCAAAGATCCATCATCCCGCATTTCGACAACAAAGGATCCGGAGCCTCCTCAGAAAAAGCAGAAGAAGCTTTGATCCATTTGCGCTTCCTCTGCTTCGTCCTCGATCATCTTCTCTCTCCCTCTGTGTCTTCTTCTCGCTCAGAACAAGAACCAACAATGCTGTGACTCTCAAATTTCCCTCCTCCCCTTGCTCTTCTCATCTCGCACTGTGTATGTGTGTCGCGTGCTCGCTTCCCCAATTCAGCCAGGCATTAAACGAACCAATATCCGTCCTTCTTCCAAAGTGTCGACAAAATGGTCGCAACCGCCAAAACCATCAACAGTCTCGCTGGAGGCGCCCGACGACTGTCCAAACGACTTCTCGCCTCATACCTTTTCGACTGGATCCTCATACTGTAAATATCTCCCCCTCCCACCTCGATTTTCTCCCGACTGATCATCCCCTGTTTCAGTGGCATCGCAGGCTTAGGAGGCGGATTCTCAAAGATCCACGGCGCCCGACACGACTTTTCTCTTCAAGACCCTTCGATATCCTACCCGTACCACGAAGACACCGTCTCGGTCGGCGTGCTCATAGTCGTGGTGCTCGTCGCGCCGGGCGTCATCACCGCCGCCATTTCGCTCCTCTTCATCCCGGGGCCGACGGCATCTCGAAGAACCCCGAGGGCTTTGATATGGCGGCGCAAGATCTGGGAATGGAACACGGCGTGGATGGGTCTGGGACTGGCGCTGGCCTCGGCGTTTCTCATCACGGAAGGCCTCAAGGATCTCTCCGGTAAGCCTCGCCCGTTCATGCTCTCGGTGTGCGACCCGGACACGTCGCCAGAGTCTATACGCCGGCACCAGGTCGGCGGGCTCGGCTCGTCGCTCGACTCGGCGACGCCCATCGTCGTGACGTGGCACATCTGTCGCAACACGGACAAGTCTCAGATGCGCAACGCCTTTGCAAGTTGGCCCTCTGGCCACTCGAGCTTCAGCTGGGCCGGCATGCTGTACCTGACTTTCTTCATCTGCGCCAAATTCGCCGTTCAGATCCCCTTCCTCCCGCCCGCCACAAGCCAAACCGACGGTGGCAGCAGACGCTTCATATCGACCTTTGACGAGGAGGAGGACTATTACCCGCCGTACGACCACCGACAGACGTCACGGGTCCAGCGACAGCAACCGCATAAACCAAGAGGAGAAGACGAGGCAGGGCCCGGGCCGGGAGCGGAGGAGGAACACTCATCCAACAGCCTCCACTCGGCAGGGACGGCAGGAGTGTCGTCGTCGTCGTCGTCGTCGTCATCGCGTCTTCCACCGCATCCTCCGCGCAACGAAGCCGCCGCGCCGCCAATCTACCTCCTCATCATCGCCTTTGTGCCCGTCGGCGTGGCCCTGTTCATCAGCGTGTCTCGGTGGTTCGACTACCGCCACCACGGCTTCGACATCATCTCCGGCTCGCTGATCGGCATCTTCACCGCCTGGTTTGGGTTTCGGTGGTACCACCTCCCCATCCGAGGCGGGAGCGGGTGGTCGTGGGGCGCGCGGAGTCGGGACCGTGCCTTCTGGCTCGGTGTAGGAAGGGCGAGCTATGTGGGTGACGAAGGGTGGGCGAGTGCTGCAGCCGCCGCCGCCGCCGCCCACAACAACAACCACAACCACGCACGGAGAAACGGTGCCGGCGGCGTATCCGACGTCGAGGCCACCGCTGGTTCCGAACACGAAACCGTCACAGGCGGAGGGCTGCCGGACCGTCACGATGCCACGGAGAGGGCGGCTTTGAATTGACACCACCACCACCACCACTTCCTCTCCATCATGGACCATTCATTCGTGACTGGATCTATCACTCACACAAACACACACACACACAAGCAATGTGCGTCATTTATGGTCGGTATGTATGATGGATGATGTATCGTCGAGAGAAACAGAGATAATACACTGCACCGCCTGTGTCGTCCGTGATCGCACAGTGCCCGGCAGAGCACACTTTGCAATCTGGTCATCCGCCGGTCGACGTGATCATCTATACAGGGTCGAGAGAACAAAACCTGTGCAACCTGTATCTTTCCGTTCTTGACACGACACAGTGTCGAGAGCAACAGACAGTAGCCAAAACAGCATATGCATGTCTTCTCACAAAAAAGGGGCTCGCCATCAGTGCCATCGGTGCAATCAATGCCATCTTTCACATTGGTTACGTTGTACATCACCATCATCATCCACGAGTCCTCACAAAGTCCGTGATATTCAACTCATCATACCTACATGGGTACTTGACCCATTTGCAATGAAAGACCAATGAAATTAAAACGATAATCAAAAATTGACGTAGTTTTTATGCAGTGCAATGCGTTCTCATCGTTTGACGTCTCATTAAATACTCAGTCTCTGCCTACACATCCTATCAACTCTCACTCACGCCCCGAGGTCATGGCTCTATCGACAGCTTGTCGTTGATGGCCATGACCAATGCAACATACTCCCTGCTCTCCATAAAGTCAATGTACACAATGTTGGGGAACACAACTCGGCTCGTGTTTGGCAGTAGGTCCTTCCACAACGCTTTGTTGGCCGAGTACGCCAACTCCCTGATCGACTTGTTGTTTTGTTTCCAAACATCAAGTACATCCAGACTCTGCAATTTGTCGGGCGACCTCAGAGCCTCTTGGGTCAGATTCGGAGCATTTGGCCTCAGCGTCCAAGAGACTAAGAACAAACGCTTGTCACTTGTGCGCATAAAGTTCTGCATCTTCCGTACCTGATCCTGGACCATTGTCACACAGTCATCAGTGTCAGAGTACTCATGAAAGATATCCAGCTGCGATGGTAGATAAAATCCCTTGTTATGAAAGCGGCTGAGCTTGCCGAATTCAGGATCATCAACTACCACCACTACTGCAGCCATCCCTTCGCCAATGAACATGGACAGTGGCAGGAGACTAAGGTTGTCTTTCTCCGGCCCACTAGTGATGAAGCGGTGATTCAACTTCAAGAGTTCCACAAGGAGCCGGCTCCATTCTGATTGCGTAAAGTGACGCCATTCTTTATCGAAGTTTAGTCCACGAGACAGGTTCAAGATGATCAATTCGGCACATTGTGCAGTGAACTGGTTGATGTCTTTGACGAGCGAAGATACCTTTTGGCCTCGTGCTCCCAGCCTTCCATCGTAATGACCGGTCCAGAATTCACCACCAGAGATGCACGGTCGGATGTCCAAGTATCGTGAGCCCATTTCAAGCTGCCCAAGGATTTTCAACGACTGCGTTTGAGCGAAACGCGCCATGAGGTCTTTGGGAAGTGCTTCGCAGCGTGAGAGAATTCCCATCCCAGCTTCGTGAGTGCCAGGCATGCATATCTTGTGAAGAGGTCTTTCTCCCAATTTGGGGAGGTTTCGCTGCATCCAATCACGAGGAGGGTTGCTAGAGGAATATTGACCTTCAAGACCCGACAGGACAAAGTAAACCATTCCATCCTGTTGCCATCCAAGAGGTAGGTAGCTACCACCGGGATTATTCGGAGTGTCAAAATGTTGCAACCGGACCGTGATGTTTGATGGATGGTCTTCAGCTTCAATATGTATGGCAGAGCTTCGAGTATCTTTGAACTTGTAGAGGCAATAACCGTTCGTTTTCGTTCGTTTCGTCCCTGGGCGTTGCTGGAACTCGATGTACACGGAGGCCGTCGAGCCTGAGGAGTGTCAGTTGGCGTAGAACATAGCAGGGAATGGTTCGTACCAGGTTTAATCTTCCGTGGGAAGCGCCAAACGGCCAATTGATCGCTATGGATCGACTTTTTCCTCCAAGTATAAGGCGTCGCATTGACCAGGAGGAGATAACCACCCTCGCCTGCACCCGTAAGCCATCTTTGTGTCGACTCTTGAGGTTTCTGAGCTCTGGAGGACCTTGACATCGCCGGTAATGATATTGGCAACAGTAGAAAAAGTGAAACTAAAAAACTCGATTGCTAAGGATTGGGCGCTCTCGTTGATGACCGATGACGGTGCATCGCCAGGGAATAATTCCTGTTTGACGGCCAACCAAGGAAGGAAGGAGCTCTGTGGTTTTCAACCATTGATCCCGATGGAAAGCACGCCTGGTTGAGACACAGCTGTAGGAGGCCCCGGAGGAGAGCTTGACACTCGCCGACGTGATGACCTAGTTGCGTTTCGCTTGCTCGCATCTTAAATTGCGGAGAGTGTTTCTTCAAGGCGGCTGTGAATAACAAGATTTCACGCCCCGGGGATGAGAAATGGATTGTCCGGAGTGCAACTTGAAAAGAGATCTCCCTATCGTGCAGGTGGTCAATGGCTTCTCGCCCGTCGGTTGCAGCCTATCGTGAACGGCTGCCCCAATTCCATGGGGTGTAGGGATCATCTGGCTGAACGTTGAACATCACTATTATGAATGTTAGCACATATAATAACTTCAGGGGTAGAATCTCCAGTATGGAGACCATACTTTGACCAAAGGTGCCAAACGCCTCATCTAACTGAGTGTCAAACTCAATGCCAGGATTGTCGTGCACTCCGCCCAAGTCGAAAGAAAATTCTGCATCCCCTTCCCCAGTCAAATTTGTTGCTAATGAAGCCGCAAGTCTTGATGGCACTGAAGTCGAATACGACTGATTAGAATACAAGCTGGCTTGATCATTCAGGGAAGGCCGATCGTCGACTACTTGACAAGGTGGAGCATCGCTGTTGAAAGAAGCGGTTGCAGCATTGCCCTGCTCGGCAGACACCACACCTGCTCTTTGATTTTGTAAAGCATTGTCCATCTCTCGTAGTACAGTGATTCGCAGGAGAGCCGTTAGCAACTGATCGATATGTCGTGCGATTTGGCTACTGCTTCCGAGATCTCTACAAGTCAGGATTATGCGCATGATGCCAGCCTTGGCCTCTTGCGCAAGGGAGCTGAAAGGCTGTCTCGCAGGCGGAATGCACAGAATCACTCCGGCAGTGAAGAAATGCATGAAGGCAAAGGAAAGGCTCAGATGGTGATTGAACTTAGCCATAGGAACCCGAGAAATTCTGAGAGCGGCATCAACGGCTACCTCCAATGATCTTGAAACAAAATTCTGGCTGGACGATAACGTAGCTCCTGCAGCCATTTTGTGCTCGAGTAACGGTCGATGGATCAGGATCAATGTGCTGTCATAGGTCACTTGTAGCACCATCGCTTGAAGATAGAAGATTCTGGTCTGGCTTTCTCCTACGTGAGTCAGGTCGTGTAGTTTGGCAGGAAAAGGACCATTGGGATCGACATTTTGCCAGTCATCCCACGAGAGATGCGGTGGGACCTCTTTCTGCCACGCCCCAAGCAAAGATTCGATGTGTGAGACGGCACTAATCAGCGCTTGCTGATCCTCTGAGGAGAGAGGATCTCTCAGGCGAAGGAGGCGGAACGTGTCCAAAGCCCTTCGAGTGATTGTGTACAATCGATATTTGAGGACGTGGAAAGGCAGGCGGGACAATGTCGAGATAAGATTATCCGGCTCGTCCGTAGTTGTAACTTCAAGAGTAACCACAGTATCATCCATTTCACTGAGAGGTTGCACCTGCGCAAATTCTGCATCCAACCCCGCTGGACGTCCATATATCATGGCAGAAAATGTATCTGCCACGGTAACATGATTCCAAGTGCGATGGCGAACCTGTAAGGCGATCTGTGGATGGTCTTCCGGATCCTCGCAGTGCAATGCTAATGCATATGCAGTTCTCACTGCCATGCCCAGGATACTCCATGCCAGACTAGGAGAACCATGATAGATATAGTAGGTACCTAGGAGGATGCATACTTGTACCGTCTCGATTTGTGAATCATCCAGTAAATCAATGAGATGGATGCGTATCTCACCAATGAAGTCTGCGAGGAGCGATCTTGCGTCCAGAGCGTAAGTAGCCAAGACAGAATGGCCTGCCCACTCGGGGTCATTAAGAATGCATTTAAGGGCCATGGCTGACGCTGTCAGCATCGTCATGATTGCTGGCATGTCTTGCCTTGTCCATGGAGAGCCACTCAGTAGAGCGTCTGCCCGAGTCATGAAGCTCTGTTGATGGAATAGATAGATGAACCAGTGGACACGGTCAAAGTATGCCTCCAAGAGGGTATGCATCACTGTTGGCGGCGGCATGATCATGCGATGGAGTGTCCATCTTGAGGTTGAGCGGCGGAAGACACCTGGATCCCCCGGAATCGTAGAAGTGATACTCGGGGAGGCCAGGTCATTATGCCTGAAAACGTTCTTCGCGAATCCAATCACGGATGTATTCGCACCAAATTGTTGACTCTCATTGGGACTTTGGTCTGGGGCATCCTGGCGTTCCCCACGGGGAGATTGATGCTGGCCACATGCAGCGGGGACCTGTGCATTCGGGCTGGCACTAGGCTGTGGGAATGACGGTATACTCGTCGTCGACGACGACGATGATAATAAGCTCGTTTGATGTGCTCCTGCACGGTTTGTGTGGGCAGTGGACCGTCGTCGACGAGCCGGGGATGCTCGATCACTTCTAGCTTTGGGAGGAATGAACCGCGCCTCACATTCGACACCAGCGCGTACACATAGCAAACAGGGTCTCAAGGCATCGCACTTCAACTTTTGCTTTCTGCAGCGCGCGCAAGCCTGAGTAACACGTCCGGTGGAAGACATGGTTGGTGTAAGAGGAGTTATGTCAACGCCGCCTCAAAGAGACATCGCCCGGCAATTTGATGCGGAGAGCCGGTGGCTCCAACCTCGCTAGCCATAGGATTGGCCGGCAACCACCAGGCCGAGGCCCAGACTGTGGGTTGACATGGCTGCGATGAAGGGGAATTGCAAAGGAGAGTGGAAGGCGAGGCAGTTCCAATTAGAATGCTCTTCTAGAAAACCCGAGAGTCGGTTTGATGCATGTGTGGCTGTGAACTTCCGGCGGAGGCTCCGGCGGAAGACGTCGCTCTCTGGGCTAGTAAGGCTCACTAGGCCGAAGCAGGAGGAGTCTAAGATTATCATGGCATCACGACAAGGGCTTTTTGGCTACTCTGCGTTTCTTCCCATAGGAGCACCGGGACGGAGTATTCCCCATCTCCTCGTGCCTTGACGCTCTGGGGAGTCCGTCTGCTAGCACATCCGGCGGACGGACTTGTACCGGAAAACAGGAACGGTGACTGGCAATCTGCAACCAGAGCACATCTCGCTCGACGAGCATCTTTGCGGGGTTGAAAGGAGGCTCTTCCTCTTCCGTAGTGCTTCGCATCGGCATAATCATAGAAAGGTTGCATTGGTCAAGCCGCGCGAGGGCTGCCATGTCGGCGCTGACTATCGTCCGAGAAGAGGGGCCAGCAACTCAGATCAACATCTTGAGACCGTGTTGACATGGTCCAGGGCTATTGCACCAGAGAGTCTTGGTTCCCCACAGATCGATGAGAAAGTGCCTAGCTTCACCTTGAGGTCCCGGTGGAACAAAGGTGTGTACTCGTACCTGCATCGTATATCGTCCGCCTCTTTTCGCTCAACACAAATACAACTTCCAACGACCACAGGTGTCTCCCCACTCAAGCGAACCTCCATTCTTCTTCAAAACGGCCACGAGTATCAAGTTAGTATTCGTACTAGAAGACCAACAAGATGTTGAGAACACGCAACTTCTATTCACATCCTGGCAGGGACCATGCACTGGTAACTTCTCGGGGACTGATCATGCCTGAAGACTTTGATGACGATTTTCCAAGCGACCTTTACTGGGAACCAAGCCAGATCGAGGATGACCAGACAACTTCGAGCGTAAGTTCGCCACCAACTCCGTCTTCCGACATCTCGGCCTTCGTCCCCAGCTGGAAGCCATGCTCGCCCAGGCTAGAAATGGATTTGAGCAGCTGGGATGCGACTCCGGAGTGGATCAAGCAGTCTTCGAGGGGACGGCAACGAGCCTGGGACTGCTCCGAAAGTGATCCCACAGGCGACTGTATCCAGGACAAAAGGCTTCGGTACAATTATCAATCTGCCGACTACATGCCAGCTCCTATCATAATTGAATCACAAGAACCAACGCAAGAACCGCCCAAGGAGCCAGATGTACCGCTTCGATTTGTGACTGTGACAGCAGACAACATTTTGTCAGGTGATATCCACCGTGCGCAAGGAGAGTGGAAGCGAGGACGACCGAGACTCAATAAACCCACTTCGAAAAGGAAGGCAGCGACAGCCACTTGCTCTGAGCAAAAGTATCCAGCTCGGATGAGAGTATCTCACTCACCATCAGGTATTGGAACTGTCGTCTCTCACGCATCAGAGCCACATCATCAGAGTCTCTTTCAACCTGTTTTCGATCATCTCCTGGTTACCGACCAGGAGCGCACCTTCTTCTCCGCCCTTTTCTCGTAAAGCTCTTGTCGATTTAAGAGCGAAAACTGATTATTGGACACAAACTATCATATCTGAAGGTCGACACAGAGGGCCGTTGGCAGGTTCTTGAGGCTGTATTAGCCCTGCTCCAATGCCTGAGCGACAGATCTGAGTCGAGGACGCTCTAGATCGTCCATCTGGCATGTTGGGATCACAGCCAGCACTCTGAAACCATTTGCAATCAAATGCTCAGAATATAAGGCTTGCAATTTGAAGTACTCGTGAAGAACCAGTTGCAAGTAGAAGCCAATTACGAAGATGTCACGGCTCAATGACAATCTGTATGAGATCCAAAATTCAGGGGATTGTTGGCTTCTTCAGCAGAAATGAGTACAATGTTGTTCACAAACAAAGAGACCCTGAGAGTCTAGATGAGCAAGCAAGATGCACAAATGGTCAGTTGTCACAAGACCAGTTCAACCATCCCTCAAGCAAAGAAGCAGCGGAAGATTTGAGAGGGAAACGCAAGGATCACTCGGGTTCGAGTATTCTAATGGAAAGGATTGAGACCCTGGTTCTTCACTGAACCCATCAGCAGGAACGTACCTAAGAGCCATAGTGAAAGATGAGGCATCCAAGGTGGTTGATCCCCGCGTCCTGGTTGATACACAGTAGCCCAGATAGGGAAACTGCGCCGACAGCTTGGCAGATTTTCTCCGACTAAAAGCTGCTCTCGATTTTCTTTCTACACATTATTTGGTCGGCTCAGTCGTAACTTGCTGGACGCGTTTCTTCTTTCACTCTTTCTCAACAGCCGCAAGTATATGTGATGTCAAACGGTGCGTACTATTGTCCTCTTCTAAGTGTTCTGAATGATGATTTTTATACAATCCAACTCCAAGAGCATTGCGTTCTGTGAGGAATTTCAACATCTCTAGAATTACGCTGACATCCTTCGCACCTCTCCTGTCTTTCAAACACCATTCGGAGTGGACGCTGACAATGAGAAGATAGAGGCCACCGCTACAATTGTTCCTTGTGTTGATCACATGTCTCTCGAATGATTTCTATTGAAAAGGTACGATCCCACCCCGATACTTCTGCGCTCCTTATGTGATGACCCAACGACACGAAAGGCATTCCTCAGACTTAATAACCATGTGGAATCTGTCTCTTACAAGTTTCAGCCTTGTCTGATTTTGTCCCTGCACAATCAATTGTCTCAATCGCAATCTGTCGACGTCCTGCTAACCCGTGCATTACAACAGGTACTTCTTCCACCTTCCACCCTCCTGTACCTTTCTTCCATGACGAATACTTGAACGAACGGGCGGACAGACTGCGTGCGCAATTCTGCACTTCCATGAAAGCAAGACGTACAAATCTTGTGGATGTGTGAGAATCTGCGACACTTGTTGAGATTTCGTCAGCTGATCGATCGCTTCAAGAGATGGCTGTTGTAAACGAGGCACATGGGAGAAGTTGCTAACTGTGTCTGCTTCCAGGTACATATCTCTCTGAGTCATGTCTTGTCTCTTTTGGTTTTCCGTGCATCATATGATGAACATTATTCACACTGTTTGAACCGAGCAATGCTTGGGCATGAACGTATCTTACACTGAAAATTCTGATTTAATGAGGTATGATCCTTGACTCAGCTTGATGTTGCGCCGCTGACAACAACTGACAGCCTGAATAGATGCCTTTCCCTCACACATGTCTCACCTGTCTCGTGTTTTGAGGACTCATCACTGACGCTCTGGGACCAGGTGGGTTTGACGCGAGATGCTCGGTCAATATCCTTTGCAAATCGGTATGTACAATCCTCCTTCGTCTCCACGACACCTGATGATCTCATGTATTTCGCTGTGTTCTTTCCGAATCCTTTATGTTGAACATACATCACCTTGGAGAACTGATGTACCTCCTCATCTCATTTCCCCTTGAGTCTCCTGCTGAGGGCCGGACTAACACTTTCCATAGTAGCCCTTTGCTGTAGACACAATCTCAGAACTTGGAATAGACATGATCCTGGAGTTGGAAATGGAGGTCCCCTGGCCTGGATCCGGGGACTGACTGTTTGGAGACCGAACTATAGCTTGTACTAGACAATGGTGACAACAGAGTTTTTGCCATCATGATAGCAATAGCTATATGCACATTCGATTGCTCTGTTTTCTGATACCATTTGATATTGTTAGATCTCTCGGTACGAACCGTAGGCAAGCTCCCTCGACTACAATCACGTGTGCGTCCTGCGTGGTTTGTCCGAGGCAGAGTGGAACTGATTTTCTCCAATCTACAATTCAAGTATCAGTCCACTCGAGGCGTGCATAAGAGCTGTTAGAAATATTGCGAGCTCCTGATACTTAGCCACATTCATCCGATTTACCAACACTCATCTTGTTCCTTCTCTGCCGTCGGCCATGTCAGGCTTTGGATCTCCTGGCGGTGGTGCCGTGAGCGTCAAACCTACGCCTCCAGAGCGAGGCTCTTTCCCTCTCGACCACGATGCGGAATGCAAGCACCTGATCTCCTCTTACTTACGATGTCTACGACGACAAAATCCTCCTGGAAGAAACAATGAAGAGTGCAGAATTCTGGCAAAGGGATATCTCAATTGTCGCATGGAAAAGGGTCTGATGGCCAAAGACGAATGGTCCAATCTAGGTCTGACTTTCGACGAGACGGCAGGCGATGGCAAGCAGAACAACCTGGATGAACAAACTAGCCCAGGAAGTAAAAGCCGATGATGCACGAATTTGAGGAGCGAGCGGTTACTAGCAGATCACTACTTATCCCTTTTGCCCAACTTGCTACAGCAGCCAGGTGAATGGGTGGTTTTGTTGCGAGCAGGAACCCACCACAGCCTCCCATCAGCCTTGAGAGTCCTGCGCACCAACCCATGCAGGCACAGAAGAGCGCGTTAACAGGAGGAGCGGCATCGATGGGTTCTCACACGCTGTGGGTCTGAAGAGTCGCAAACCTACACGACATTAGACCTCTTGAGAGAGACCGTCACCAGTGGCCTGCGAACTCTTGACGAAGGATCCCACCATGGTAGCACACCCGGCTTGATGACATGAAAGTCTACAAGTCCTTTCGCCGTGCCCGGCCGCTGAAAGCAAGAAACCAGAACAACTACCTAGGCAATAGCATGGCCAGCGTGCAAATGACGGCAGTGGTCATCGCACGTCTCCGAACGTCTATACCAGATATGGAGGTCGCAGTTCTGGGAACATGTGCATACATACTTTTGTCACTTTGCCCATCACGGCGTTCAGAAGGAGCGTGTTCTAGCAAGTAGCAGCCAGGCGATGAGTTGATTATCTTCGGAATGTGCAGCAGCAGCAGCAGCAAATGGAAGTGCTGACTGTTCTACTTGGGATTGTCACCATTAGAAATAGAATTTGTCCCGATGGGTTTCTGGGACAAGGCAGGAGGACAAAAATGCCGGTTTACTGGACATAGGAGACAATCAGCGGGCTTCCAGAGACCTTACTACTACATCTAGGTACCTGTATACCGTGCAAAAATCCGATCATGTTCAACAGTTCCCCTGCGTCTAGGCAATATGCAGCCCTGGTAGAGTGAGATAGGCCGAGGAGCACTGTAGCATCAACAGGACAGAAAAATCAGTGTGGAACAATGCTTGCTGTCCCTGAGAGACGGCCCCAAGGGCTGTGCCGTGTGTTTAAGGTCGAGGCCCGTTCCATATTGTCGATCATCGATCCAGCCACTGTCTATCTACGGAGGCCGCTCGTGCTCCTGAGACATTATCCGTATTTCATATCGTGTCTTGTTTTGTTTTCACGCTACAATCCTAGACAGCAGCGACGAAGGGACAAACAGCCGCCCCTCATGAGCTTCAAGGCAGTCTCTACGGCACTTCACAGCCTGAATCGCTGCTGTACTGTGGTGTTCTCGCACCACCGGGTTCACGACAGCGAACATGCAGAGGACCGCCAAAGCCATCACACAGCGAGATACAAGTTAGTTGTGTGTTGGTACAGTTGATCCGAGGCATGAATGGGATGAGGAAGGGCCACCGCTCCTAGTACGGGCACATGGAACACAAGCCAGTGGCATTTCTACTACCATCATCACCATCGCCACTGCTCAGGTTGATCCGTCATCCACCATCCGGCCAGATTCCGCCTCACGGGGCCATCGCCATCTTACAGTCTTCCGTACATCAGACAATATTAAGGTACTGACCCCTTGTAAAACACTAATCGGCTTCGACAGAATTTTGGCGCCACGGCAAATGAGGCAATGACTCCTAGCCATCCTCAAGGCCACCTCAGGATGGCGCAAGCTTTGAAACCATTTCTCTTCTCCCGCAGACTACACGCTAGGTTCATTGGGACCACCGGCGTCTTTGGGGCGTGGAAGCGAGCGCTCAAGCATTCCCGCAATTTCAAACCCTGGTCATTCGCGTGCATCTAATACCAATTCCGCCAGTGAGCATCTAACGAGCGGTTTAGGTAAGAAGGCCACACCTCTCCTTGTCAGCTTGTTAGTCACGATACAGATACAAATGGCCCCCAACTCGATGAAACCCTAACCTGGGACTCCAGGGCCTCTATCAACAAAGATAAACGCTACGTGGCAAGCTCTACTCCGTGAAGCCTGAAGATATTCATTTCATGCCTCCCACAAAGCTTTCGATCGATCCTAACATTTCGATCCCAGCTATCAAGACATTCCCCGTTGACTCTCATGTCTGTGTGCCATGGCGACAAATCAAGTCCCTGTCTATTCTGCCCTCCCCAGCAATGACGAAGACCAAACACAAAATCACGAGTTGGATCATGTCGAGCCCACAACAGCCCCCGTAGTACAAAGCCATCCATCGGAAGAAAGAAGTGAGCCTCTCCTGGTCTCTACGACCCCCGGAGATGACTCGCCTCACGAGTCCCCTAATGGTTCAGTGCACCAGCGCAACACCGAGGACTCTGTTACCCAACCGCTTTCCTCAAGACGTAAGATCTAGCTTTCTGTGTGTTGCAAACACTGATCAGGCCAACAGCAACCGTCGCCGGAGCTGCTACTTCACCGCCGCAGAGATTGAAGGCTGACCGGCGGCACTCATCATTCAGCACACTGAAGGAGCGCATACGTGGTTCACTGACCCCGTCGCTTCACAACTTGCTCGAGAAAGATAGCTCAGGAGAAGGCACGTCTCGAGAGTATCGCCGAAAAACACAACGCAATCGTCTGTTGCGTTTAACGGTGGGCGAGTGGCTTAATACCGTGATACTGTGCGTAATGTACTTCGGCATTCTCTACGCTTATTCGCAATCCACGGCTATCAGTGTGCCTCAGCGGAGAATATTCAACGCGCTGACTACTGGGGTGTCTCTCTTACTCGGTGTGAATTTAGCAGCCTCGCTCCGGAGTTATGCAAAACTGCTGCGCTGGCGAATACTAGCCGCTTGTTATCGGCCACTGGAGACTTTCGACCTGGTCATGGGCTGCGACAGCCTACTCAACGTGTTCAAACTTGTCTACAAAGCAAAGAACCACAGGTACAAATATCTCCCTTCGAGAACGCAGATATTCTGCGTCTTGTGGCTGCTTGTCCATCTAGCCGTCACCGTCTTGGTAGGTATTATAGGCTTGAACTACAATCTCGACACCTCACCTTACAAGGTGCTCTTTCGAAAGGGAGCAGTGAACATTTTGGACTTGGACTCTCTTTGGGGGGGCACTGATGACTCGACTTATTTGTCCGATTTGTATGAGATCCACCTCAAGGGTCTCGCAGGGATTAATGGAGACGAGTACAGCTTGTCTGACCTTGACGACGACTTCTCTTATGTTACGTGGGAATACGATGGCTATCCACCCAACTACTTTGGCGACGGCGCTGGACGCACCGTTTGGTATTTCCAGGATCTCAACGGCGACGACCTTAGCGAAGTGGCCATATCTACACGGCACATACAGACCCAGGCCAACTGTACCGGCTTTAACGTGACCGAGGGACAGTACGGGAATCTCTCGTATGTTGTGTTTAACGATGGGGACAAGGAGGTCAACCGCTCATTACCAGCTGTGCCTGGCTATGGCAGCTTGATGACCGTGGCTCATATGAACTCGACCTGTGGTGAAAGATGTACTAATGTAGAAGGCTTTCAAGCTCTGTCGGATCTTTGGTCGATTTCTGAGGCCGTCTACTTCACGTGCACCAATACCGTTGGTCATCCAGTCGACCCGAAAGTCAAACTGTCGTCCAATTATTCGGTTTCTGACCAGGTGGCGCGCATGCTTGCTGGGGCGATCGGTTGGGACAAGATGACACCGACTAGACAGAAAGATGGCACATTGGTGCAGTATCAAATCTACCAGAACATCACGACTGTCGGCTTCAACGGTTGGGTTGACCAGCCGGATGCTGACACCATGGGCGACATAATTTCGAGCTTTACGACCGGCCTAATTGCAACGCTAGACGCTTCACAAGACCCAGATTATAGGGAAAACGTCGATGACGGCAGGCAGCCGATTCCCGCACAAGTATTACAAGTGACGTGGAGATATGCAGGCACCATTCTAGCTATCATCCCATTCATTCACTGCTGCACGCTGGTAACGGTCATCCTATGGGCAAACAAAGCAATCATCAAGGACGATAGTCATCTTGCCATTTCAAAAGTATACCATACGTTTCTCAACCAATTGGGAGAGCAGGGATGCCTCCTTCGTGGCGATCAGATTGTCCAAGTACTCGCAAACCCCGATGTTGCTTATGGCTGGCGAGAGAGCAACGAGCACGATGGTGCGATGCATGTTGATGTGTTCCAAAAAGGTCGAGACCAGCCGAGAGCGGAAAAGCCCTTTGTGGAGGGTTGGTACGATGGCAACAGTAGAATTCCACTCGTGAACGGCTTTGGGAACGCCATGGGCCTAAGCAGACGCTATAGAGACTTCGATGCAGCCGACTACTTTTGATTGCATTTGTTTTGCTTGTCAGAAACCTTTTGCTGTCTTGGGTGACAGCATCTCTATAAGGATTTAAGGACCCGGCATCCGCTTGATGCTTACCCAAATATCAAGACCATTGCACTTTTAGTAACAGCAGAACTACTATCAAAGGTTACATTGCACAGCTGCATTTAACAGGCTCCAAATCTCAAGACCCATCCTTGTCGTCTTTGCGGCGTCTCGCTGGGGAAGATTCGACGAGGTTGCTGAAGTCGTTTGACGCTTCGGCGAGGTACTGACTGAGATAATTGCAGTACTAGACGACGTCCAACATCAGCAAAGACACTGGTCGGTGGGTACGGAAAAGAGGACAGGGTTCTGTTAGAAGTGAACGTGAATGGTTGAGCTCACCTCGGCAAGGGCTAACTCGGTAGGCTTCTGAGGTCGAGTGTCAGCTGGAGAGACAGGAGAGGCAGCAGAGGAGGGCTTCGGTTTAGAGCCTGACTGTTGTGTGTCTTCAGTCGGTCGACTTTCGTCGTCTTTATCAGACGCTTGGTGGTTTTCCATGCTAAAACAGGGTGTCAAAAGACAGTGACCAGGCATCACAAGCACGAAATGGATCGGAGTGGCTTTCCGTTATCCCAAGTCCGAAAGTCTGCACGGGGACAATTGCTCGACATGCGGGAGGTCGATAACACTGGATCGCAACTTGGCGAATGTTGTTGTTGACAAGCGAAGAGGTCCTGCAGACAGCCATGGCTGGACGGATATATCTACGAGGGAAATGAGGTATACCGGATATTGCGAAGGGCTGACTTGTACAGAACCAGCCATTCTTGGGACTTGCTCACCACCCCGTAGATAGGAAAAGGGACCTGCTTCCGCTTGGAGTATGAACAGAATCATACCATGCCGAGGAAGAAGTTTCAGAGGGCGTGGCGATCGACAAGTGACGCCCAATCCAACGTCTGAGTGGTTCGAGATCAGAGTGCCTTGCATATGCACAAGATTCAGTGCAAACTCCTAATCCGGTAATAGTTCGAAATCTGTGCTTAGACAATGCTGGCCATTGGGCCTTGTGGAAGAGCTCGGGTCATGTTGGCATTGTCCGAATTCTGGTCGGTGCTTGCTCGGCTGGAGTTTGGGGCATACTGTATGCTTGTGGGTTTTGTACAACAAGTCGAAGAGTACCTAGGTACCAAGCTGGCCATGGATGAATTGCAGCCGATATCGATGAGGAGTTCGTCAGCATCACCACGAGGTACATATGATGAACGCAGGCTCAATGAACCCAGGACAGGGTAAGGCTACCTCCCCAGAGAGCCTAGCCTTAGCCTAAATAGAGGGCCTAATTTGAGAGCCTAGAGGGCCTAGAGAGCCTAGAGAGCCTAGAGAGCCTAGAGAGCCTAGAGAGCCTAGAAAGCCTATGAGAGGAGCACCTGGAATATCCCTAATGGTGCTTAGCAGTCCCCACCTGGGCCGAACTTCTTGGCGACGCTTAACTGGACGTGAGCCCACTGTACCCGAAAGCCAAAGCCCGAATATTTTGTTTTTGGGAATCACTTGTACACAGTCGACTGTAATCCATCCCAAACACCGAGTCCGTCTCGACAATTCCTCCGACTCCGACGGTCGAGCGATATGGTACGATAATACACCACCTTACGGACGAGAGGGAAGGGCCAGTGCACACGATCGCAAAAACGCAGCTTGCTTGCTCAGCTCAGCAGGCGTTTCGGTTTAAGACGGCTCCGCTCGCCACCAATATTGATGTGGTCAATAGCACAAATAATAATGCCATGCGCCTAGCACACTTGCACATCCGTCGTCTGATCCCCTATAGCCATTCACTGACGTTGCAGAATGCCATACTCGAGCGTCACTTCACGTACAAGGATGCCGTCCGTGGCCTCAACGACGCGCCACCGCCCGGCGAGAATGTCGCGTGCCGGGCGACCGGTGATGGCGGCGTAAGCACCAGTCCGTCGGCCAAGGCATCTTCTTCACCTGCGTCAATGTCGGCGCCGTTGCCGCGGACAGCCTCGGCTTCAAGAAATGCACATGCATACAAAGACTCTGTCCCGCAGTCCAGCAACAGCGTCTCCATTCCCTCGTTCTCGAGCACCCTTCCGCCGCCTGATCCAACATTGCTGACCTTCTCCACTGACCCGACGTACACCGTGGGCCGGCGCCACCTCCTCGCAAACCCCATCTCTCAATCTCAGCAGAACTTCCTCACCGCCGACGGCCTGGCCACTTTCCACGCCTCTCCGCGAGGCGGGCTCCTGACCTATCATGCCCCCGGCCAATTGACCGGCTATCTCATTGCAGACCTGCGACGGCATGGAATCACAGCTCGATGCTGGGTGAAGATGCTGGAGGACAGTGTCATGCGCACATGTGGACATTGGGACGTGCAGACAATGAGAACAGACGACCCAGGCGTCTGGATCAGGAATGAGAGAGAGCTGGACGGACAGGATCCGCAAGCAGACGAGAGCCCGGTCGACCGCAAGATATGTGCTATTGGTGTCCAAGTCTCACGGGGTGTCACGTCGCATGGCGTTGGCCTGAATGTGTTCGACGCAGCCTTCCCACAATTCGTCAAGGATGGCTATGGATTTACGCCGGAGCAAATCCGGTCTCCAAGCTACGATCCGCGAAGTGAAGGTTACTTGTCCTGGGGCTTCAGCAGAATCGTCGCGTGTGGGCTGGAAGGGAAGTCGGTGACATGGTTTGCACGTGAAGGCCCTGAAGACTCTCCACAGCCACCGGCACTAGAAGACGTCGCAGATGTTCTCGCACGCGAAGTCATGCGTGGGTTCAACGACATGAAAGGACCCCAGAAGGAGGCCGTCAAGGGAGTCTATCGCATCGAGGAGAGTGACATTCTCGCCAGCTGAGAAGAGGAGAACATCCCGCGAGATGAGCTACTACCGGTTGGCCCTTATCCCGAAAGTCGGCAAGCCATCAGGACAAAACTTGTGTTCATACCCCATGCAACTGGAGCCGAGGACAGCGAGATTGCTTGATACATTACGAGCTTTTCGTTATTCGATGGCTTCTGCGTCGGACGATTGTGGTCTCGATCACCGCCCTGAACGAGGATGACCCAACAGACCACAAGCTACGAAGTCCGGTCTATGTGCGGAGACATCATTGCCGTAAAGAAGGCTGGCTTGTTACTCGAGGAAGCGAGTCTCATCCCTCCTTAACTGAATGCCCAGTCCCTCCATGCATCGTTCTGGATAAGAGGGCATGGTCGCAGGGCATGGTCGCCATCATGTACGACTTACAACAGGCGCGAAAGGTGGGCACCGTTTCGCCAAACGGTATTGGCTCATTGGCAATTGGCAAAGGGAAGGGGAGTATGTGGAATTCCTCGAAGGGCAAAAAGATCAGTCCGTGTCCCAAAAAGGCAACCAAAACGTCTCGACATGGGAGTGCTCGTCAAATTCACTCCGTCCTGGCGCCTAGCAGTGCCATCCGGACTCGCACACTACTGGTCACAAGGGAACAGGGTGGGCAGGGTGCTGTTGTACAATACCAACGCCTTGTTGGCGGGCCACCTTGCCTGTCTCTTGGTGTAAGATATGTGCCAGCTTGTTCTCGCGGTGAAGGCTGCAGGAGGCCCTTTTCGGCACATCTGGCTCTCTGTGGGCGTCAGGACACGCCACGTCCACGACGGGCAAAGGTGCTTCTATCTCTTTTGGCCTGCATCTCGTAACATATGCGCCAACGCAGGGTTCTCGTCAACGCATCAATCACGGCTTGTAGGTCGTGGTTGATAGTCAACCTCTGACTCGTTTTTACGTACTGGGTGTGCTTACTCCGTAGTTCTGGGGGGAGCGGGGGGAGGGCAGAGTTGATCGCTTGAGCTGCAGATGTGGCCAAACTGTTGGGATCTCGGATCTGTCGCTAGCATGTTCAGCTGAGCTTCGGTGAAAGGAGTGAAGAGAGTCCTCAGGCCGACGACTGACCTATAGGTGTCGTATCTAAATGTACGTAGTCCAGCCTAACCTAGACCACCCCCTTCGTAGTTTTAACGACCCTGGAAGTTCACCAACCAACTAGTACGGATAGTCAACTAGTTGTGCCGGGGGGGCTGGGATGTCGAGTTTCTTGTTCTGACCACTCCGCTCCGTATGATCAGCGATGATGACCCTGCGAGCCACCACTGCCTCAGCTCGTGGGATGTGTGTGTGTGTGTGTGTGTGTGTGTGTGTGTGTCCGAGTAATTTAAAAAAAACGTACCGTACGGATAATCCCATGCTACAGTACAGTGCTCGAGAAGCGAGAAACCCCGGAACTCAGCCAGCCCCCGTCCGGGGGGGTTTGTGCAAGGAATTGGAGGCTAACAAAGGTACAAGCCAGTACTCCATATCATGTATGTAAAGCGTAGTCAGATCGGCCGCAACAGGGGGGTAGACGGGGTTCTGCGGGCGACAGGGGGTGCAGGGGCCACGGGAGCATGTTACAATATGTACAGGGGGGGTCTCGACTTCTTGGGTCAGGTATTGTAGGTTGTAGGAGGGAAGGGGAGGGCGGTCCGGGGGGTGGTGGTTTAGAGGTTCTTCCCGTGACTATCAGTTAGAGGTGTTGTTTTTGTTGCTGTCGTTGTTGTTGTTGTTGTTGTCGTCGTCGTTCAGGACGGAAGAACAACACCACCACCACCGACGACGCCTGAGAAAGAAAGAGGGCTCGAAGAAAAGAAAAAAGAAAAAAAAAGAGGCCTGTTGCGGTCGCCGGTGAACGAATTGGACGTCTGTTTGATCCGTCACGTCGTGTCGTGTCGTGTCGTTGTCGTGTCGTGTCCGGACTCGGGATCGGGATCGGTAGGTTTACTTCAACGTTAGGTACGTTAGGTACGGAGTACGTACCTAGGTACTCGATCGGAATCACTGTACATTGGTTGGTGCTCGTGCAGTCGGTGAGTGGTGGTGTAACACTTGGGCGCGTTCTGTGAAGGTGTTTTTTTGAGGCGTCTTTCTTTCTTTCTTTCTTTCCCCGGTCAGGTAAGGTGGGTTGCGGAGGGGAGGCGTACAGTGTGATCCCGTATTCCCTTTTTGTGCATGACTACTACGTACCAGGTAGAGTTGATCGATCGCTTTCGGTTGACTCTTCGACGACGACAGCATAGAGAAAAAAAAACCCCCACCGGCGACAACCTGGGACTTGAGCAAAGCTGGTCACGAAAACGGGGGTGACCCAAAAAAAAAAGGAAAACAGTGACCACTTGACAAGCGATGAAAGAAAAAAACAGGAACAGCCGCCAAAAAGGTGACCTCGTCGTACCTATGTACATGTGAGTACTACCTGACTCAAGCTATCATATTAAAAATTGGTAAATGTTCAGTACCAGGTACTACTTATTACTTACTATACGTAGTACGGTGTATTAAGCTATCACTAGGTATTTTTGGACAGGTGTGCAACATCACAGCAGGGATGTACATTGCAAAAACCACCAAAAGGACGCATAGATATATATGCAAAGACCAAACCACAACTTTCTCTCCACGCAACAAGCCGCAATTTAGGATTAAATGTTCAATGTTCAAACGCCCCGTTCCCATGGTTTCAGTTTCACATGTAAAGTAGATCATGATACCCCCCCTGGTCCCCCCGTATGTACATGTTTCACACATAGATCAATGTATATGCATGGTGCTTGTTAAGGTCCAACGAGAAACCTGAAAAAGGTCCTTCCTTACCTGGTCACTTGCTCGGCGACTCGGCGGACACTATTATAGTAGATATACACCTGCCGCCGTGAGTGCGGTGAAAACCAAAACGCTCATGGTCGTGGAAAATTGTGACTCGAGCGGGCGCGTGGCCGAGTTTTTGGCCGAGCCGTCAGTCGAGTTGTTTGTGGATGTTCCGTTCTGCGAGTCGGATCCGTCACTCGAGGAGAGCGAACCAGAATTGTTGCCGCTCTTGCTGCTGCTGTTGTGTGCGGCGGTGGTGGTGTCCAGAGTGTCGTGGGACGTCAAGTTCCAAGCGCTCAGTGGAATCTGCTTGGTCGTGTTGTTGGGTGTGTAATCCGACCAGTGCGGCGTGAACACCACTGACACGGTCTGCGTTCCGGGAGCGATGTCGATGGCAAGCACTGTCACGCCGGTGTTGGGGAGATCTGTGCCGTTGACTGGCAGAGGTGGACTGTCGGGTAAGCGGACGGCTTCCATGGTTGTGAAGACGAGGTCGCCTGGGGATGTGATTTCTGCGACCACCGTTTTGCCGTTGAGGGTTAGGACTGCGAGAAGAAGATTTGAGTGTCAGTAAAAAGGGACTTCATAGTGCTGATGTCAAACAACAACCACGACAGCCAGCGGCGGCGGCGACGACCACCGTCACAGAAACATGGTTGTGGCGGGCGTGGGCACTTACGAGCTTGCGTCGAGTTGTTGATCAATTCGACCGTTGCGTTTGTATGAACTCTCCATTGGCTTGATTCTCCGGCGTTGACAATCTCATCTTGAATGAGGACTCGTTTGCGGCCGTCCAGCAATCTGATACCTCGCTTGATCGAAGTCGCCTCGTAGAACGATGTCAGATCGGCAATGTAAAAGGCCGTGCTGGAGTTGGTCGTCGACGACAATCCTGTCGAGTTGAACGTGGTGACGGGGATTCCGTTGACGAGTTGGTTGCTCCCGTTGTACAGGAGCGTGTTCTGGCCTATCGTGCCACATCTGTAGTACAGCCAGCGCGGGCTGTCTTGGTTTTCGCTCGCAAAGTAGCCCGGTCCATTGTAGTCGTTTTGGCAGAGATCGCCAGCCCACCGTTCTCCCATGGCGTCGAGGACAAAGTCGCCAGCGTCGAGATCTCCGTCTGAGCAAGTAAACTTGTCAGCCAAAATTTATTCCAGATATCACGACAGAAGTCATTTCGGAAAAACTTACGTGTCTGGTGACCCATCAGGGTCGAAGCTTTCATTGCCACATACAACCCGTCGTCATCGGTCCAGCTAGACCGCATCGACGCCCATGAAGTGTTGACGTAGGAAAAGTAATGATCCAGCTCGAGGCCGTCGGACCACTCGCCCGAAGGGGTGTCCGTGTCGTACCAGAACATGCTCAAAGGATCCGCGGCGTCATCTTGGTCGCGCTGGTATTTGGTCCACCTAGGTTCTACACCGGTGTCAGTTTTGGATGCTTCGTCTCTTTCGTCGTTGACTCTGAGGGACATCAAAACTTACTCCCCAGATGTTTGCCAAAGAACATCAGTGGATTGGCAGTGGCAGTGATCTTTTCAGGTCCTATAATCAGCCACCAAAAATTAGCCCCGATTCTCTCGGACAAGGAAAGACTTTCCACAGCTACATTGTACATACCACAGTCACCGTAATTGAACTTATCCACCATGCCCTGGCTGTAGATACGGAACAAGCCGGTCAAGTTGACAGCGGGATTCGCGGCGAGCGTCCCTTGGTCGGAGCCAGTTGCACTGGTGAGAGCGGCGGCAATTTGAGCAAACGACTGGATGCCGAAATACCTGTTGGGTCAATCAGGTGAGTACACGGCCGAAAAAAAGATCTTTGAAACGGCATGAAGGTGAGACGAACCAGTAATCAGGCGTTTCCAGCCAGGTGCCGTCGCTACTGATGGCATGAGCGCAGTATTCCTGCGAGTTGGCAATCGTGTCGGGAAGGATCTGTGCCGCGGTACCGGTAGGATCTTCATTGTAAATGGCGAGGGCTCCGAGGAGCAATCCTCCATTGCTCACGCCTAAATGATAAGGTCCATCAGCACCGGCGGTATGTGGTGGTGCTTAATAACGGCAGACGACAACAACAACGTACAGTTCCAGTTTCCACGCACGACGGTCCACCAACCCACTCCTTGATCAGCAAAACAGTCGATGCCTTTCTGGAGGCCCAACTCGATGATTGACCACATGAGGGCATCACGCTGTGCAGGGGTCCATGCATCGTACAGCCAGTCGTATGCATAGGCAAACGCGGCCGTGAACTCTGCGGTGTCGAGAAAATGTCTGGGAGGAGAGCAAACAGTGAGCAGATTGCAGAAAAAGCCTTGGGGCTTGGTGGCCTCAAATGAGTGTCTCTTTACCTCGAGTTCCAGTTGTCGCCAGGCCGGCCAAAATACTCGGTGCCGTTTCCGGCCGCGTGTTGAAGCTCCTCCCATGTTCGATTGACGTATTTGACGTCGTTTGTCAAAATGTACGCATACGCCCAGTGCTTGACTCTCAACTGAATATATCTTGCCACCTCCAGGGTACATCCGACGCTGACATTGCAATCGTCAGGATACGGGATCACGGGCTCGCTATACAGCTCGTTGGCTTGGTCGATGATGGTCTCGTTCCATTGGCGCAGGTAATCGTTTTTCGCAATTTGAGCTCCCAGGCCGTTCCACTGGTCACCCGAAGCGAAGAGGCGAGGGTGCTCGTTGACCACCGACAGGGCGTCGCGTGGCAGCTTGTGGCCTTTCGCACTCGAACTAGTCCCCCATGTTGACTCGGCGCCGGCCAGCGAAGGCAGGACGAGACACCACAGGGTCACCAAGACCAGACTACACGTCGTCGGCCACGCGCCGAGTCTCTGAGTTTGAGCTCTTGGCTGCTGCATCTCCCAAGTCGGCGAGGAATTCTTGGCTGGAGGAAGGAAGACATGGTGTCGACCCCGACCGGGGAGCTTGTTTGTAGATAAAAGCGCGCGCTCGAAATTGCATGGCACCAAATAGAATTCGCATGGGGTAGCGATCTGAAACCCTGATCTAAAAATGTTGGAATTGTTGTGTCCCTGGTGGAGAGCTCAGAGCGCCATCGGCCCATGGTCGAAATGATCGCGGGTCTAGTCGGTGGGTCTATGCAACGCCACATCAAGCGAACAGCCGGACAATTGGGCGATCGAAGACTTTGACACTTTGTCGGCTGCCTATCTACGGATACACCTCGCAGCACGTCGCGTTTGGTTTGACTTTGTCGAAGCTTAACAGTAGAGCAACAGGACGAGCGGAGTAGCCATTTCCGTGGCACGCTTGACGTCCGTCCAAAGATACAATACAAATACCTCTTGTTGGCTCTCTTATTGATTGGGATACTTTGTCGACTCTCTCTTTGGAAGCTCGTGACCAAAGCTACTGTTGCGTATTCGAACAAGACGAAAGTCTGTCCCAGGGATTCCGCCAAAATGCCAGTCAATCATCCTCGACTCTGGCCACCACATTTTATGTCAAAGACGAGCCATAAACGTGTTACCGGGGATGGCTGACCTAGACTGTGAGTGCTCGCTCCCTACGGGAGATGTCTAGACATGTCCGCCGTACAAGACCGTACAAGGAAAATGTACGCAGGCCCGGCCGCTGAGGCTTGGACGAGTTCGGCGTCGGGCCGGGCATTCCCTGCGCGAAACTCGCGAAATAATATGGTACCCTGGCTTGCCCGGAAAAAAAGACACCGACCCAAACCAACAATAAAGCCTACTCTACACGCCCTGAGGCCAGAATACCCAAGCAGCCCAGGCCTTCCAAGTACGAGGAATCGCTTCGGCGCCTGTCCACGCCAACATTTCTTCCCCAGCAAGAGCTTGGGATCGTGCGACAGTGTGGTCTGCACCAAATGGCCTTCCTGGGCCCCATGACTTGAGATCAATCGATTTGAAGCGACGGGTCCTAGTAATAAATCGAATGGAATTTCAGACTCCTCTTAGTCCCGGCCTGGGGTTCATATTGCCCATCACTTCAAAGATGAACATTGTCTCTCGCCACTCCCTCTGTCTCTTTGGAGACATAGTTCATATTTTCCATGGCCGGGGTCTAAAAGTGGAAGTCAATCGACCAGATTTCTTCATGACACGCCTTGACTCCCCGTTTCTGTATCCACAAGCTTTCCTTAGACAACTCGTGTTTGCGATAACGACAGATCACAGCTTTTGCTCGGTTTAAGAGAGGAAAAAAAAGAAGGTATTAGACTTCCACGCTGAGAATCAGGAGAGGCCATTCAAGCCCCCGTCGCCATTTTCCTTAGAGAAAGAAAGATCATTCGTCCCAGCATCCCAAAAATCCCTCGATACGCCATGCCAAAGGCAAAGAGAAGGGAAAGCCTGAAACACCCAAGTATTCATGTAAGGACAGCGGGTATATTCACGTTTAGCCGTGTGCTAGCACCTCAAACCTCCGTGGGCCCTCCAAAGTGCTGATCTGGCGCTCTCTGGTCACCGTGTATGAAGCACCTGTCATATGTGCCGAGTAGTACGGCCACAATCATGATCATCAATTCGTTCTCATTTGCCATATTCATCTTCTGCCTTCCACATATTAGGCTGGAACTGAAGATGTGCGAAGTGGGCTGTCGATTGGGTAGAACTATAGCCATTGATCAGCAGTTGCAACTATGAGGCGGAGCAACAGGAGACATACTTTCCAAATGCCGCGGCATCCAGTGGGAGACTCTGATGTTGATACTGTTGATAACAGACCAGACTGTAGCGAATGCGAAACTCCTGAGGTTTGGGGTTGCTTCCTGCTGAAGCAGGTGTTGGTGGTGAAGGCGACACTGATCGGTTCCATTTCGAAGCTTGCGAATCCGCTGGAAGCGCGGAGGAAGAGTAGCTGCGTAGAGGAGTGGGCTGAGATCTAATCGCCAAAGCAGGAGGCTCTTGTCGATGCTGATGTGTCATGCTGGGCATTGTGGTCGTCGGAAAATATGATGTCCGAGGTAGAAGCGCTGGATCCTCGTAGACCATCGGCGGAGCTTGTTGATAGGGAGAAGAGTATGGATTCATCGGGGACATTGGCGACGTGGTTGCCAGATTTTGTGAAGCCACGACATTTGCCTCAGGAAACACAAATGAATGCAGATTGATAGTATCCATGTCACCTCTGATGAAATTCTCCTCGTATGCTGGAATGTACTGAGGTGTGTGAGTTTGCATGAGAACCTGTACCGGTTTATGGTCTTTGTAGATGATATCATAATGACCACTGTTTACGCGGTTATTGGGATTGTCACTCTGAGGCAAGCACATACGCAGAAAAAGATGAGTTACTTACGGTCTGTAGATCAAGCGGATACTTGACCAATTCTGAGAATCCTCAACAAATCTATGCGGAGTGACTTCATCCCCTGCGCTTCTGTCCAAGTACAGTACCTCCAGCCCGATATAAGCTGGGGCAATCACTGCATCATTCAGAGCTTGAAGACCAATGTGTTCGATCTCTTGATGCGACGGCTCGATTCTAGAGTTGCAATACTCTGAGACTGGCATGACCATGAACGGTGCGTAGCGCTCGGAGTGGATTTTCATGAAGGAGCTGGTCATCATCTGTAGTGCATTAGCAATAATACACAGCAATGATCATGTTCGCACGAACCTTGAAGTGATAGACAATGGAATTCGAGGAGCCTTGGTCGTTCAAGGCTTCCATGAGAATCTTCTCACTCTGCTCTCCGCGTTGGATGGCGTCTTTGATCGCATCAAAGAGATCCCATGTGTAGTCGAACATGTCAACGAGGAGATCGTAGTCAACACCAACGGCTCGCATGGTTTGCTCGAAGCCTTGCAGGCGCTCTTTTTCTCTTGCGACAAGACCAATATCTCCAGAGCTCAAGAGAATCTCGAAGTAGCCGAACATGGCACCTATATTCCTCCACAATCAGTATCTTGGTCAACTCTTGAGCGAAACCGTTCATACCTCGCCAGCCGCACTGACCGTCACCTTTGATGGAGCGGTAGGAAGCATGTGTCCTGGCCAGAGCCTGGAGTCCATCAGCGTAGGTCCCATTGTTCAGGAACAACTCAACAATACTGTTGTTTTCACAACATAGGTCTGATCAGCCTGGGCGTATTCTGCAACAAGGTCGGAAACTGGTCTTTTCTCCCCGACAAGTGGTCCCTATCACATGTCAGCGAGAGTCCCATACGCATGGGCAAAGTTGGGCTCACCGGCAGGTCAGCCTGGTACTGGTCAGATAACCGTTGAAATTGCTCCATTTCATCGGCGTCTGGGGTAGTCATGGTGGATGTTGCGTGTATGGATGGAGGCGGTGTGTGGTAGCCGTGTTTAGCGTAAATGCAAGCAGATTTCTCGTAGGTGAGATGCTCGTAGGTATGAGAATACAAAGGTTGGGTTTGAACGGGCCAACCAGGAGGCGCAGGATGAAAGCCGTAATGAGTGTGGTGTTGAACTAGATGCCAATGTAAGTCAAATGTCATTTCCCGGTCTTGCTCCTGTGTTGGAAGGTGAAATTTCTTGTTTGTAAGGTATATCGACGGGACGAGACTGGTCGACGGGATGGTGAGTTCTGTCAGAGCGATTTCCTTTGGCCCGAAAAGCTAATAAGATGATTCGAGAGGAGATCACTTTTGACTGTAGGATAGAAAACTTAATAGCCTTGGATCATTTCCAGCGAAGAAGACAGCGTGTGAAGCGTTGATGCTCTCGTGGGCTGTGGGCTAGTTAAAGAACGCTCGTGGCAGACTCTCGGCTCGTCTCGTTGGAAAAAGTGGATCGACTCTTCTGTGGGATAACGAGACACGAGAAGCTCTGCAGCCTAACAAATGTTCCTCTTGATGACAGGAAGGATTTCACTTGATGCGAGACAGATATGCTGGACGGGATTGCGGTCAGAGGCTGCTTCCAGGGTCTGCAGGGCTAGAATCCCCGGAGGTGGTGTGTTTTTGATACTTCGGGGAGCGATGGTGATTCCAGGAGTGGACCAAATGGAAACTGGCGAGAGCGCGCAATGAACAGCTTCATCTGCCACCAACAGGTGAGCAGACTGGATCCCAAACCGGCATGAATCTGGTGAAGGCGTTAATCAAGGATCATGGGGGTGGGCGGGCGCTGCTCTGCGATGGCGCCGGGAAATGCTGCTATCGCTGCAAGAGGGATAAGCGACGCGAGAGAGACGATGGAGGGATGCCGGGTTTGACGCAGCAGCGGATTTGGTGGAAAGGTTGAGTTCAGGATGGTCAATGGCCAGAGAGTGCCGTGTCAGTCAGTCAATTGAGATGGAGGAGGGTTGGAGCAATTAAGGTGGAAGACGCAAGATAGTTTATTGTCCGGGTACAGACCCCGGCCGTTGACTGGCATGACCGAGTCCTGACCGCACTAGCCGTATCAAGTTACTACTGGTCACTAGTCGGCAACGACAAACAGCGAGGGCTTGCAGCTCTCGCTCGCTCCCTCTCTGCGTACTCGTACTGTAGGCTAGACATGCCTCTGCAGCCTCTCTCTGCCCGTTCCGACGTGCATCCAGCAATTCAACGACAGGCACCATCGGTCGCTCAGCTTGCTGATTCGTGTGGCCCGTGCAATTCACAGCATCCTGGTCCCTTCTCTCGACCCTTGGAGGCTTGGACTTGTCGCTCAAGCTCGCCTAGATGCACCAGACGAGCAGATCCGAAACAGGCTGGCTCTCTCCGCTCTCTCTCCTGTCGCCGTACCCATGGACGGGCGCCGTCGTCGCCGCCAGTTTCGCTTAAGGGCCGCCCGAGCCGCGGATGAGAACCGTGCAGCTTGCCTACGAATGGCCTCCTATCCTTCCTGGCGACCCTTGCACTTGCAGGCGGACCCCTCCAACGATCGTACGAGTCATACAATACAGACCTCCTAGTCTGCGTGGGGATATTATTCATGATCGCCGCCAGTTCTAAATGTCTCAGTCGCCGACCTGTCCTCAATCATCCATGGGTCAGTTTGCCTACTGTATTTTGTGGCTGGCCCGCGAGCCTTGTGCCTTCTCTCGACCCCAACCCGACGGTCTCACGACACGACAATGGCTTAGGAGCCCCGCGAGATACAGTGGTGCTTGGTCAGTGGCGAGACCGAAAAGTTTTTGGGCTGGCTTGACCGAGGTCTGCCGGATGCAAAGCAAGGGTGAGCACCATTTGTCACGGCTGATATGCAGCCTATTGCAACCAAACTCTGGCGTTGTCCTCCAGAAGCCGGCAGGAGGGGCAGGTAGCCTTTCGAGTGCAAGGTCCCTTACGGGACAGGTCGAGGATACAGTATCCTGATATGATGTATCAGACATCACCTCGCTCATCTAGGGGTCGGACTCCCTTACCCTGTTGCATCCTTCTGTCCCCTGCTCCATTGTCTAGGGTTGCCTAAGCTCCTCTAGCCTTTCATAGGGCCTACTTCGGAGCGAGGTTTCATCGATTCACCTCCCTCCAGCTCATCCTTGTTCGGAATCCTGGTTCGCGTGATTACAATTCCACTCTCGACGCCGGGTATTATTTCCATCTTATCGCCATAATCCACCCTCTCCATTGAGAATTCCTTGCAGCAAAGCGATGTCCAGATGCGCTGTAGTGTGTGAGTCTATGGCCAGTGACCAGGTACAGAAAGAGCCGGATCTGTGGAGTGTGCCAGGCCTGTCGGTCTCGTATTGGCGTGGAGTTCAAAGCTCACTAGGTGGTGGACCTTTCGAGACTCACTCATCTATGCGAGAGCTGAAGGCAGCTTGTACCAGGTGGTCCACCGTAACGACACCACACACCATCTCAAGCGTTGACCGCCAGATCCAACAATCGAAACTTCAGAGTTCCAAAAAGCACCCAGTTATGCAATTGTCAAAGCTTTAAACTCTAATAACCCCCCGTTCCTCATGTCCTTTGAAGGTTTGGGGCTAAACATCTGGGGGACGGGTGCACTTTTCCTCCATCTACGGCGCAGCCAACGCCATGGATGAATAATCTCGCTGTGCCGTTTCCCATTTCACGTAGCGCTGTAGTAGTGAATGCTTGAACGAAGCCAAAAGTGACTCAAACTTGATATATCAGAATTCTTCACCACGGCCCAAGATGCGCCATTCACCTCCTTCCTGTCCGCGATCGCAAGGCTTTAGCAAATGCCAATACCTCCCAGCGCAACGACCCAATGGCTGTCTGTCCCTGTCAGGGTGGCTGGGTTTGGGCCAAGCCCACCTATCGACGCTATCTGAGGGCCGGACAACGCTGACGGGGGTTGGTTCTATACGAACGTCGTAAAAAAAAGGTAGGATGGACACACACCACACACCAAGGACATACGCTCCACGCCTTGCACGTTCCGAATGCGAAGCGTTGGGTTTTGGCTTTTGGCTTTTGGGTTTTCCCTGCCTCGGCCAGGGCCGCCCCTTACGGTTGATCGATCGATCGCCTTTGCTTGCATTCTCTACTGATACGAGTAGTAAAGGTAGGTCAATTGCTTTGCCCTGACATACTTTCATTCCCGGTGCCGGCCCTCATGCTGGTTCTTTGAGGGGCCTGTGACCACAGACAACAACAACATCAACAACAACACCACCACCACCACCACCACCACCACCACCATAATATCTGGGCGATGGCAACAGCGTCACCGATGAAAAAAGAATCCCATTTCTCCCCCAGAGGAAGACCCATGTCGCTTGACAGCAGATGTCATGATCCCGCCTCCCCCCGAGCACCTGATCCTTTGTGCTGGATAGAAGACCCCGCCCGGCTGCACCCAATTCTGAGCAGGGGTGGTGCAGGTCCCAGGATGGATGGCCTGCCTATTACACAGCGCAGGCTTTGACATAAAAACGCATCAGTTGCCCAACGCCACAAATTTCTCCATCCCATCACCTGCATTGGAATGAATTTGTCGCCGTCAGCGAGGGGCGAATATGTTGGTGGGCAAGGGCCAGTGACTCAGTGAGTCAAAATTCGGGATTCAGCAGAGGTTGGCGCATTCGAGGCCCCAACCACGGCCTCTGGTTCCGCATCCGTAGTTCGGTGGGTTCGCTTCTTCTTCTTTTTCTCACCAAATGTCCTTCCCGGGCGCTCACACAGGAGGCACAAGGGCTTTCCCGCCTCCTCGCCCTCCTCGGGCTCCACGGCCTCGGTGCCCGGCTCCACGACTAGGAATGGCATTACCAGATTCCATACCCATTGGGTAGGCCATTAGTCCACCGAATGAGCCCGATCCATGTGCTTCCTCGCTCCTGAAACCCTCTCCCTCGTTTAGAAGGGACGACCACAAATGGTCCACCGCCGAAGTCCAATCAGACAGTTTGTCCAAATGCACCGTATCCTCTGTACTGGTCATCACTTCAACCGTGCCATTGGCCTGGTTGATCTTTGCCCGTAACCTCTTGTCGACTATCAGCACGCCCAAGATGTCTTGAACCTCGCTGACCGGAATCTTAATGTGTTTGGAGATGAATTGCAGAGTAAAGCGTGTGTATGGGGCTATGAGCTTCAGGACAGCCTTGCTGCGCATGTTACGGCTGACCTCGTCTATGTTTTCGGCAATGAATGGGTCGGCCAACAGATCTTGATTCTCCTTCAGGATGGACTCATATCTGTGGATATCATCGCGTTGGTATGCATCGACTAGATCGGTCATAGCTGAAATGCGCGGGTCGTTCTTGTAGGGCTTCGTCTCTTGTGAATCAAACGGATTGATGTCCGACTGCATCAGCATGGTCGTGAGCACGAGATACTTGAGCACCTGGATCCTCTGCATCGATCCGGCCTCGTCGTAGTTTTTGAAAGATTCGAAAAAGTCGCTCTGTGCTTCCTTCCAGTTCTCCTCACTCATGTGCATCTTGCCTCCACACTCACGGATGATGCCCTGTACCTTGGGATGTGGTACAGCCGAGCGAACAGTTAGAGCCTTCTGGTACAGCGACTTGAGGCGCTTGTTGTTCTTCATCTCGGCATACATTTGGATCTCTAACGCGTATGCTTCCAACGAATACGTGCCTTTGCCAGGATCATCTGTCCCGTCTTCCCTCTGACAAGCCTTGTGGATCTCTCTCACCTTATTCGTCAGCGATGCGTAGTCTTTCTTATCCAAGTATAGCTTTGCCAACTTGACATTGGTCTTCAGTGCCAGTCTCTCGTTGTTGGTGGCCTGGAACGTATCGAGGGTAAGGGAGTAGAACTCTTCCATGCACCGATACGCCGACTGGTCTGTGCCCGAGGCTACTTTTTCAATATAGTCGAGCATGTTGTTGATGGACTTTTCGGAATAGTTGCGCGTCACCGCGGACTTGACGTAGGTGAGGAGTTGCTTGTAGTGTTTGATGGCGTCTTCGTATCGGCCGAGGGCGAACTCGAGCTTGATGGCTTGTTTGAGGCCCTTGAAGCCCCAGTCTCCCTTCTCTTCCTCTAGGTCCGGCACGCCCAGGAATTCAGTGACCGCTTCTTCGGGCGCATCGGCTTTGAGCTGTTTGGCATTGTAGTATTTGTTCTCGATGTCGACGTCGCCAGAGCCCGAAAGGTCGTCGTCATCTTCGTACTCAAAGTCGTATCTGTATTTCTTGGTTAACACGGCGAACAACGCGGTGAGCCCGCTGCTTGGGGTGGGTTGTAACTCACTGCTCTGCATCAGAGTCTTGCATGAAGTCATCATCGTCAGACATGTTGTCGGTGAGGGGCTGGAGTATGGTTGATCAAGAGTGAGAAGAATGTGCGGGCTCGTGTTTCAGATTGCTGAAGGGAAAAGTGCGGGAATACGCTGAAGAAAGCGAGTAATGGAAGTGGTTGTCGTCGCGGTTTAAAGCTCTGGTTTGATGGTGATCATTCAATTTGGTTGCGCATGTGCAGCGGCGTACGATTTCGGTAGGGTACAAGTTAGGCGTGCAGAACTCATTGCAGGTGTCTGTGGTGATGTGAATGCGGAGAAGACTAGCCCAGTGAGCCTAATCTTGTAGGCGTAATGAGCTAATGAGCTTAGGTCAAGCCGGCGATCACTGGCCTAGTGAGGCTGCCTAACTAGTGGCCCCAAGGCCAGGACTTCTACATACAAAATCGTACCCTAAACTTGTCCAGGCTGCTGAATCTCCAAACTTTTGCGGAGCTGCGCCCTAAGTTATTAATTGTGACGCTTTTCATGTTGTACGCCACTTATCAACTTTTTGTCCTACTACCTCCGTTCAATCTCTCCTTCTTTTGTTGTGCTAACTCCGACTAGCAAATCCAAGATGGGTGGCGATCTCAACCTCAAGAAGTCATGGCATCCCTCGCTGATGACCAACCAGAAAAAAGTATGGGAGGAGGAAAAGAGAGCGCTCGACGAGCGCAAGAAAATCGACCAGATCATGAAAGAGCGCGCAGAGGAGAGAGAGATAGAAGAGCTCCAGGCACTTCAAGAGGCAGCCGGTGGAAAGAAGAGACAGCAGCGTGTCGAATGGATGTACTCCGGGCCTTCAAGCGGACAACTCGGGACCACTGAAGAAATGGAAGGATATCTGCTGGGCAAGAGAAGAATTGATGGCCTTCTGAAAGGCACAGAGAACGAGAAGCTACAGAAACCTACAACTACAGATTCGTTCATGGCTGTACAGAATGCGAACAACTTGCGAGACACCGCAGCCAAGATTCGAGAAGATCCAATGCTCGCGATCAAGAAGCAGGAACAAGCCGCGTATGAGGCCATGATGAATGACCCCGTCAAGCGGAGGCTGTTGATGAAGGCGGCGGGAGGCGGAGATCAGGACGGAGAAAGAGAACACAAGCGAAGGAAACACAGACATCATCACAGGCATCGCGAGGACCGGGACAGACACGAGAAGAGTCGATCACATAGAGATGACGATGATGATGATCGGCATGGAAGAAGCAGACATCGACGGCGGAGGTCTCGTACACCCTCCGAGTCACGATCACGGTCTCCGCCGCGCCGGGTAGAAAGACCTCGCTCTCGCTCTCGTTCTCGCTCTCCATATCAAAAGCGCCATTCGTATGCTTCTGGTGACCGACGCCCCCGGTCCCGGTCACGGCCCCCCTCATACTCTCCGCCTCGGAGGAATGGACATGGTAATGGCGTACGGAAGATGCAAAGTTGGCACTCTTCGAGATCGGATCGACGGCGCACGCCATCACCGCGACGTGGTCGTGAAAACGATGTCGATGATCAAGAGGACAGAGCCGCGAAGCTTGCGGCTATGCAACAAGACGCCAACAATCTGGATGAACAGAGAGAACAGCGACTGGCCGATATTGCAGAACGGGAGAGAGCACAGCGAGAACGTGACGACGCCGCTCGAATGCGAAATGCCAAATATGGAGGGCGTGCTGATTTTGTGAACAGCTTCCATAAAAAAGCTGGCGATTTGACATTGGGACAACGCATGGGCAGGAATGGTGTTTCACAGAGAGATGGCGATGAGTAGACCATGGTCGTATAGAACCATGGGTCACAGTTACCCAACACATTCACATGAAGCATGTAGGAGTATGAAAGGATCTCGATATTCCTTACTCCGTTCATATCAGACATCGTTGTGTCCTCGTGCTGTGGCAGCCTCGCGACCGAGGCATTTTGTTGACTAAACAGACACTCAACACGGCTCTTATCAATGCCAAGGATCGAGCCTTATCAGGGTTTCCAATTTCTCCTCAGAGGCAACGATGACAATGTGCCTTGGGAATTCGACGCGTCTGGGCCAGTGAAAGACATGAAGACACAAGATGATATACCCCGTTTTCTGGGACAGACAAAGACGGTAGGTTTGCGCGCCACAACTAAAGATCCCCTGGACCTGTGTGCAGGGAGGACGATAATGCTGTTCTTCGTACTCATCTTGTTCTCCGTATCTACCTATACATAACGCACACACAGGTCTCTCACCGAGGACACTATCATTCTCCTCTTGCTCAGTCGTTCCTCTCCCTCTGTCTCGGTCGTGCTATGGCCAAAGAGGCTTCTCCCTTCATCTCAATAGGCGAATCATCATACTACGTCGCGCTTGAGCACAGCCTCGCCAGCCTGTCGCCGGAGCTGGTCAAGAAGCTCGGCCGGTTCGAGGACGACCTGATTCCATGTACCGCTATAGAATGGATGAGTACTGAATTTTCCAACTCTGATCTCAAAGCGAGTTGCGAAGAATTTGCCGACAAGGACGATGTCTGGTGCGAGGACTTTCTGTCGCGTAAGTCATAAGTCGCTGGGCCCGTTCAGGAAACATGGTATTGACCTGTTCATTCCACCCCAGTTGTGATTCTCTTGCAACCGAGCCATGGGCGACATGGCCTCAAGAGTAAACATGTTTTCTCGGTCGACAAGTCGAAGCACAAATTGTCTGATGGTCCGTTTATGGTCTCGAGATCTTCTGGGCACGTTTTCCCAGTCTTCAAATTTCTTCAAGACACTCACAAGGCGTTCGTGAGTGGTATCATTCAGAAGACAACCTCGTCCTCGATCCTACATGAACTTGAGGTAAAATAATCAGGCCGATTTCACATCACCCCCTGCTGACAGACCCAAAAGACAACACGTGGAATCGCAGTGCCTTCGAAACTGCGCAGTGTTCATGACGATAGGCCACTTGCAGGTCTTCGATTTGCGGTCAAAGATACCATCGCCTTGAAGGATACAAAGACCGGATATGGAAGCCGAGCCTGGTTTGAAAGCTGCTCTCCTGAAAAGCGGACGGCCCCAGCGATCAAAGTGCTTACGGATGCAGGCGCTGTGTTGGTGGGCAAGTTGAAGACAACCGAATTCGCCGAAGGCACAGATCCTTGCGAATGGCTTGACGACGTGTGCCCTTACAACCCACGAGGTGACGGCCATCAGAAGCCTTCGTCATCCAGTGCAGGCAGCGCCGCAGCCGCAGCCGCTTACGCCTGGCTCGATTTCACCGTTGGAACTGACACCGGTGGCTCGATCCGACATCCGGCGGGTGTTCAAGGTCTGTTGGGCCAACGACCTTCACACGGTCTCATCAGTTTGGAAGGTGTACTCGGGGCGACCAATGTCTTCAACACGGTGGGTATCTTTGCCCGAGACGTCGAAATCTTTGCGCGGGTGGGGTCGTATTTCGTCGATCCCACTGGGGAGCCACTACCGGTCTCGACAGGCCGGAAATACAACTTGCTCTATCCGACTCGAGCTCCCCAGATCGACAACCCGGACCAGCACCACCACGGCCAACATCGGTGGTTCCCACATCCGTCTGTGGATCTCTCCTTCCGGACCGAGGCCGAGAAGAGGATCGAGAGTGTCGTCCAAGACCTCGAAACTCTGCTCAAAGGCGAAAGGATAGCGTTCAACATTAATGAGCTTTGGCACGCGACGCCGCCAATCGGTCAACCTCGCTCACTCGATGAAGCCGTGGGGCACATCTACTCGGCCATCACGACGGCGTCGGCGTACCACGGCGGGCTGGACAAGTTCATACAGGGCTACGTCGATACACATGGCGGAGCAATGCCCAAGATGTCTGAAGTGGTCCGCCGCCGTCTCGAACATGGTCGCGCTCTGCCTCCACATAAAATCGCCGAGGCGCTTGAAGCTATGCAGGCCTTTCGGAAATGGACCGAAACGACATTGTTCGGGTCATACGACCAAGACGCAACCACGCTGCTCATCTTCCCCCAATCATGCGGTCGCCCGGACTATCGAGACGAGATGTCCGACCGCACCGAGCTATTCAACGATACCTTCAGTATCTACTCCTTCGGGTACCTGGTCGGGTGTCCTGACTACACCATTCCGGTGGCAGAAGTCCCTTACCATTCCACGGCGACCGATCAACTCGAACACCTCCCCGTCTCAATTAGCTTGGTAGGCCGTCCGGGTTCTGATCTTGAGCTGTTCAATGTTCTTCGTCAACTGCACGCCGCTGGTATCATTAGAGACGTCGCGGCCGGACCTAGAATGTATCCTTCTGATACACTGTAACAATCTTTGGGGGATCGCCTTACCAATATCGATTTATCGGCGTATTGGCAGTGGGAAACAGAAATAGACCGGAGCGATTTTACGGGGTTTCGTCGGCGCTACTAATCACTGCAAGGTGTTTGGAGGATATTCTCTTGGACCAAAAAGGAGATGGATAATCATGCACCCACCTTTTTATCTGACGGACTCATTCATTTTCTGCGGCGTTGGGAGATTAGTAGGAGGGATATCACCACCTCTTGGTTTACTTCAGAGGCATTATGCTCTTGAAACACTAGGCAAGCTTACTTGGTATTGCGCACCTTCTCCGGCGCTACGTTTCGGCGGCGTAGATAGGATAGGACTGCCGACTGTGGAGTACAGTTTACAGTCCATGCGACGATATGCGTGTACTCCATACTCCAGACCACCTAGAACAATTCATACGAGGCTGTACGCCAGCCTCGTCACATATCTACCTACTAGTAGGTAGGGGCTCCGCGAAGAAGCATTCACTTCCTATGTAAATGGCTAACAATTAAACGCGTGAATTTTTTCATCAAATCACCAAGACCCCTAAAGTGATGGCTCAAGTTAAAACCACATGGGCGGTGTGGTGGATGGCCATTCACTCAGGCGAGGAGGGAAGCAAAAAAAGGGCCCGCGTTCGAACCGCGACGACGACCACCGAAAATCCAGAATTAAAATTTGGGGGTGATACGACATCAGAACCAGGTCAAGGTTGGATCAAACCAGACAGGCTTGTCTGGAAGGCGTCTTGACTGTGGGCGGTGGAAACTTGAAATCTCGCATTTCATCAAAACAATTTTTTTTTGGAGTGTTTTTCGATCCGGGAGATCAGGAAAAGAGAAGTCAACGGACCTAATGGATACGTCGAGTATCTACTAGATGCTCACCCAACAGTCTAGTCTATAGGTGACTGAGTCGGTACTCATATCCAGAGGGACTGTCTGGAGGCAAGAGAGAGTGTACCACGGGTAGCAGAATGGCGAGATTTGTAAGGCGTAGACGAGAGATGAGAGGGTGGCTAAAAGTTGACAGTCGTCCATAGACCAAACGTCATGACTGTTCGCAGATGTCGCAGATGCAGGAGACACTCTCGTTATGCGTGTGTACATTTACCTGTGTATACCGACTAATGCGGTCACACAGGTACCGGGATCTCGACACTTTCACTGCTGACCGGCCGCTTGGATTGCTCCATGCCGTGCACACTTGAGAACCGAGATCGAGAAAGAGAGGGGGAGAAAGTTACAACACGAATGCACATTCCAATTTCCAAGTACCTGAAATACAGCGCGGGTGCAGAGTATATGTATGATCCACTCTCCTCTGGACGCTGACACACCCCACACACACACGAGCATCTCATCTTGTGCCCGTTAGTTAGCGGGCGCATCGGCGCATTGGCGATTAAATGAACTGAATCAATGACAGACGTGCCCCGAGCATGGCCCGAACCTCGACTGTATGACGCTCTCACAGGCCAACATCCAATCGCTTCAGTGCCCTGTTCACCCACCCTACCTGAGTTACAGATGCTGTGTCGTCAATATCTAACTCGTAAGAAGAGCACATGCATACCTTAACCTAGGTCAGCCGTGATGGCATCGTACACGGGGACAACCGCAATCTTATTTCTTCAATTCTACTTCCAGGGTGTGGCACCGGTTGATTACCTACTACCTAGTGTTGCGACGTTGTCTCCGGCTCTCACGACTGCTTGACGTTTCACACAGAGAATATATCTCGCAGACGTATCATCCACAGGGACTTTCCGCAACAGGAACCAATTACAAACTGCGAGACTAATGGATGAAAACACAAGTCTCAAAATCTCGCCCAGAAATCATGGTGGAGTGTCCGAACATGGGACCTTCACTGACACAGACGCAGCGAAATCAACGTCCACTGTACCAGAAACCAACATCCTCGATGATGAATCCAGTACCGCCGATACCGAGAATGCCACGGACCCACTCGGGCGAAAGGCCCTACTTATCGACTATGAACTCGAACGCCAGGGCATGGGTCGCTATCAAACCAACATCTTCCTGCTCTGCGGGTTCGGATACCTTCTGGATCTCCTCTGGGCTCAGGCATTCGGCTTGATCATCACGCCTATGCAGAACGAGTTCGGCTTCGATGACACAGCCCTCGGTCACATATTTACGTCTTTTTCGCTTGGTCTGACGTTCGGCGCTTTGGTCTGGGGCCTCCTCGTTGATATCCTTGGGCGGAGCGTGGCGTTCAATTCGACAGTCCTGATCACAGCTGTGTTCGGTACATGGCTGGGTGCCATGAGCAGTTATAATGGTGTTCTTGTCCTCGTTGCCCTGACAGGGATTGGTGTAGGGGGCAACATACCCATTGACACTACGATTTGCTTGGAATGTTTGCCACAGAGTCGGAGGTGGCTGTTGCCGGCTTTGAGTGCCTTTCAACCCCTCGGCGTAGTGGTCTGTTCTGGGATGGCATACATATTGGTGCCAACATACAGCTGTCAGGATGGTCTCCAAAGCTGTACTGCGGGCAGCACCAAGTGTTGTCTGAGGAAAGACAACCTGGGTTGGCGGTATCTTCTGTTCCTGATCGGAATCATTACAATCGCGGCTTTTGTGCTCAGGACCGTAATGTTCAAGTTTGAAGAGAGTCCAAAGTACTTGGTGTACCGTGGCCGAGATCACGATGCTGTAAGAGTGTTGGAGTACATGGCAAAATACAACGGCCAAGAATGTGGCTTGACGCTAGGTATGCTGGAAGCTCTAGATGGTGAGGCAAGCATCAACAATTTGGACACACCATCGTCCGTAACTGGTGTTGATAAAAAGAAGCCAACCATGTTACAGAAGATACCGGCGGAACTTGAACGATTCAAGGTTCTGTTCTCGACCTTCACCATGGCAAGGCTTGTTGTGCTTGTCTGGGTGATTTATGCCTTCGATTACTGGGGGTTCACTATTGCCGGCGCATTTCTACCCACCATTCTGGCGCGCAAGGGGAGAAGTCTGGGTCTCAGCGTGGATGAGACATATCGATCGTATATGTTTATTTACATTTGCGGTATTCCGGGAGTCCTGGCTGGAACCCTGATATACGGGCACCGACGACTTGCTTTGCTCGTATCCTCGTTGTTGTTCGGCACGTGTTTATTCATCTTCACCCTTGTCAGGGACGAAGCATCATACATCGGAATCAGCGGCTTGGAATATTTCTTCCAGAGTATGTTCAATGCCGTCTTGTATGCCTGGACCCCAGAAGCCTTCCCAGCTTCTGTAAGGGGATCGGGGTGTGGACTGGCTAGCTTCTGGGGACGCACTTTCTCCATCATTGCGCCTATTGCTGGATCGCATGTGCTAGCCAAAAGTCTAGACGGGGTGTTGTACTTGGCTGCTGGGAGCGTCTGGGTCTGTACAGTTGCGATCACGTTGTTGCCCAGGATGTCCATGGGCAGAAACAACCTGTAAGAGACTGTCGAAGAGACTGGGACTGGGAGGATGATCAGTTGATAGGTAGATCTGAGTCAGCGTTTTGCAGCTTATTCGGTCTATCAGGACACAATGTAGCTCAAGAGCCTACCCATGGGATTGGGATTCCTGACTACTTTTGGCGAACACAGCCTCGTCGTGACCGTCGACAGTAGCAACACTTGGTTGGTACTGCGAGTATGGTTCCAGAGAGTCATCGGGGTATACGTCCATCTAGTAGGGAAAGTAGAGGTCGATTATAGCTTTGGAGGATATCGAAATCGCGAGCATCTCAAGGCAAAAGCCGGCTTTGTCGCGTAAGGCAAGAGGTTTGGCTCTATTTGACCTCGGCTCCGAGCTGAAGGCAAATATCCAGACTCTCATTCAGCATGGTCAAGGTAGCTTGATACTGTCGCCATACATTGCGCCGGGTAGCAATTGCATAGTCGGCATTGGATTGTTTCATTCTGGTTCCAGTGTCAGCATAGTGGGACAAGAATTCGATGTCCACCACCATACAGGTAATGATTGAGACCTTTGCTCTTCCAGAACTTCACATGTAGCAGATTCTTCAATATCTTGTGCTCAGTACCATTGAAAAGACGTGCTTTTTCTAGAAACTCCAACGTGTTGCCGATCCGTCTCGCATTGAATGCCGCCTTAGATTGTGAGCGGAAGCATTCTCTCAGAATGTCTCGAATTTCCCAACGAGCAGGATAGGAATAGTGGACTGCTCGCAGCCCGCTGCGATACAGGTGCCGGTAGGCGTGAAGGAGGTCGGTGCGACTCATGTGCATGTACCGACGCAGCAGAGACGTCCGCAGTCGGCTACAGAAGGAAGTGCATGGCAAACAGACCAAAGCACGAACGAGAGTTTACGCAGTCGCCCGCGCGAACAAGGCTGCGCTGCACCCCATTTGCGTCAGGCTGAAAGAATCATGTCTTTCTTCCGTAGCGCCGCCAAGGCCTCGAAGAGTTCGGTTTCTTGCTTCTGGCCAGCGCAGCCGCCCTCCCATTCCATCCTTCTTCTTCCCGCCCAATCCTTCTTCATCCCAGAACGTTCAGGACTACGAGTATCTGTATGTGCACCTGTCCCTTGCAGGCGTCTCGCTCCTCGTCATCTCAAGAAAGCTAGCTAGCTTCGCTTGAGGCTCTGTGGCGAAAGAATAAAGACCCGCAGCTGTCGCGCTGCCTTCTTCGCCCACGCCTAGTTCATCGGCAGCAGTAATCACTGCCCACATATCCTGGACATCGACCTGATCTAACGTGTACGGCCTTATCCTGTTCCGACTGTTGTTTGGATCTCTATACATCGCCTGTCCCATTCTCTCCCCCCCGATGTCTTTGTCTCTGTCACTCGTTTTGTCTGTGTAATCTGCAGGAGCCAGAAAGATGGCCAGAGTCAAGCAGAAAACGCGTAAGCAGGCCCCTTCAGGAGGAGCTTCTACCCGAGGCGCTCAGGTTGCAAAAGAAAGGCAGAAGCATACGGTTATCGTGGAGGGCACATCGAAAGAACACAACAAGCTACGAAGCGTGGTAAGACCGGCAAGCTGTGACCCCCGAGGTACTACTTACCTGAATCGCCAGATCACCTTTCGTGCAGACCCTCCGAAAGGGTATACCTTCATCCCAGCTGGCAACCCAGAGCTTACCGCGGCTCTGAAAGAATTTGCCCGTCGCGGCGACCACAAGATATATGCTGTAACTGTAAGTATCCCAACAACTACCACAGACCCGGAACTAATTGGCCAGACCACCCCTCATGCAGAAAGACATGAGCTCTCCAGGGAAGTACACCGTATTGGCTTTCATTTTCCAACCAGTGTTGTCGCCCAAGTGTGTTCACATTATGGTATTCGCCTCACCGCTGGTGGCAAGGTCATCGATGACTCCAAGGATGACAAATTGTTCCAGTCGGTCTATCAGAATGGCAAACGTCCCAAAGAAGAACCCAAGGATCAGATCACAATAAACACCGAAGCCAAGCAGACCATCAAAGACCTGTTTCCCAAAATGCCAGACAACGATCTGTTTCAGATCATAAAGACAGCATTCCAGCTGGGAGATAACAAGGTTGGCACTGCAGACGAGATCCCTCTTATTCGTAGAGCCCAACTTTCTGTTGTGGCTCACATTAGGCACGTATACACAGACTATGACAAGTTGTTGAGGCGATGTCCCTACAACGAGGCCCGCCATGCAGTGGAAAAAGACACTCTCGCAAAATTGATTGAATGGAGGGGAGATGACGAAGTAGAGGACGAAGCCACTCAGCGCGCCGCAGATGATTTGCTTCGAGAGGTCATCGTCATCTCTGATGAAGAAGACGACGACGAGACCGATACTGACGACATTCAAATTGTCCAAGACAATGTTAGAGTTGAGGAATTGCCGAGCACCGCCTATGGCGCGGCCGTCAGCAGACATCCTTCGCCTTACCACAATCATCCTGGCGAGATGGTAAGCCGCAGCTACCAAGCATTGCCGCCGGCAATACAACGCTACAAGCCCAGCGACGACACTATTGCCCAGCGTGACCGCAGTCGTTATGCTGTTTGGGACCAAGCCAGGCGTGATTATCGTGCCGGCATTAGTCGACAGCCTGTAACTGTTCTTGAGAGAATCTATGAACCGATTGATGTCGCACCAAAGCGTGTCCTAGTGCCACTCGACCCTCCTGCGCATTCTCCCACACAAGTCGTGTACTCCCGACCTCCCCCTGCTCCGATGAACTCTGTCGAATACGAGGTAAGAATGGTTCTCAGAGGCTGCAACTGATATAATTTTCTCACTAGCTCTTCTTCCCGGTATCATTGTTCCTCGCTGACTTCTTATAGCCCCGTCACAACATCAGCCAGCGGAGCCCAAGATCATATATCAGAGATGCCAATGGTACTTTGTATGAGCGCATAGACGATGATCGTCCTCGTGAAAGAGTTCTTGAACAAGATCGACATTTCGAGAACGCCGCCCGGAGCATTTTAGCCCCCGAAGTTAGGGTAAGAGCACGGCCCCGCTCGCCTCAGCGAAGAGTCTATCCTACGCATCGTCAAGAAGACGAATATGACAGCGGCAAGGGCTCTGTACTTGAGTCAATTGAAGGTCCGCAGGGAGCATATTCGCCCGCAGCCATGCGCCTGAAGCAGAATGACGGATACCCAGCACCGCATGATACGACTGTCATGCGAGAAGATGGCCTCGGTTATCGCGGTGCCCCTAACATTAACCGCGGAGACGACGGCGCTCGAGTGATTAAGCGGATCCGGTTAGAAGATCTGCCATCGCCGTCTGAACAACGGTATGCGAGGAGAGAATCACCTATTCCTATTGGTTACCGCGAGCGCGTCTATATGCCACAACCGGACCCTCACTTTGCAACTTCACGTGCCATTGAATATGACAATCAGCGGTCGAGCCCTACACTACGACCAGCTGCATCATTGGGGCAAGGAAGATATGCGCAGAGTATTGCCGAAATCAACCGTGCTGCATATTCGAGTACAGGAGCTAGTCGAAAGGCCGAGGCCATGTTTGAACATAGAGACCCTCCTCAAACACGGTCACAGATGCCCTTGTACGCCCAAGAACACACCCGGTACTTACTTCCAGAGCCGAGCTTGCGTCGTCGGGGTATCGAGAATCAACCCCCGACTGTTGTAAGTCGAGTGTATGAGCCTCTTGATGATCTGGTCTATGACAGTCGACTCACGTCAGGTCAACCTGTGGCCCCTCGCGAAGTACACAGACAAGCCCCTGCGCGCGTGTATGAATACGATGAGAGTGTGCCGGACAATGCTCGCTCATATGTCCACCTGGCCAGATGAATGCCGTTGGTGGACTTTTGCTGAACACCTATTGATTACGCACATGGTTTTTGTATGCAATTTCACAAGGCTGAGCTTTACTCCGAACCAAGGTAATGTTCCTGTTACACGAACCCCCTCCCGCGAGAATAGGCGGCATCAACTAGGTACTGACATCCTATCCAGGCCGCTGTACAGTTGCGAGATCGATGACCCTCACATCCCGAATCCAAGTCATCGCGAACATTGTTCCACTAGAAACATCGGCGTTCTTGTTCAGGATTTGTTCTGCCGTACCTTTGCGGTCATGATCCATTTGCTTTTTTCATTGCATGGGTCCTGTTGGTTTTTTTGAGCGGAATATTTCGTGCATTGCGACGGTGTACAGGCAAGGATCCCTTTAACGGAGAAGCTGGGTTGGCATTCTCTGCGTTGATATATGTCTTTGAATTGTTTTCATGATACCCTGTTCACGAAGGATGACGCATGACATGGATACGCTCGGCCAAGGTGTTAGTTGCTTGTTGCATGACGCTCACGGAGAGACAATATGTGCCTAAAGCTCTATGACTGTTGGCTCGTCCGAGCCACGTCTGGGCCTTGGTACGAGACCAGGGCTTATGAAGGATGAAAGAATACAGTTGAAAAAGATTCTCCATCTGAATCAATGATTTTGCAGACACGCTTGCTATATGTTGCGATCTTGTGCCCGCCCATTTGTCCATAACGTCGCTCTTGACCAACGCCCTGTAAGCTCCATGTAGCCACACTCTTTAACTTACATCGAGTTTCTGCCCGCTGTCACTCTACACAGCCATTGTGACACCGTCGGCCTCGCCCGAGTTGACGGTCTTGCCGGTCTTCTTGATCTTCTCAAGCACGGTCTCGTAGGATACCGAGTCTGTGGTGGTGATGTCTGCGGTTTGGGTGTCGAGGGAGACATTGTACTCTTTGACGCCTGTCCAAGGAGCGTCAGTAACAGAACTGTACATTCAAATGGTGTGAAGCGCCGCGCCCACCGTCTAGTTTCTTGAGCACACGCTCAACGGCGCCGGAGCAGCCACCGCATGTCATGGTCACGTTGAACTTGTAATGGTGATCGGACATCTTGATTTAGTGCAGAGAGGTCGCCTGTATTATGGATATGAAGAGCAAGGGGGGGCGCTATTTGTTTGCCTCTGCGGTGTGGTTCTGGAGAGACGTGCGGAGGGTTGAATTTAAAAGCGTGTTGAGGTGGACGGGACGGATGGGAGGAGTGTATTTGTCAACTTCAGGTACGAGGTAGTGTCCTTGTGAGAGACTTGTGCGTAATTTGGGTCGGAGACTAAACGTATCTTTATTCCGATCGGAGTGGTCGATTTGAGGGATGCAGAGGAACGAGGTCGAGTGCTTTGTAGGGATCTAAAAGAACTGGGAATTTGTATTCTCACGCAACAAGGTGGGTGTTTTGGGATTTATCTCAATATGAAGCGACGCGAAACAGTCTATGTCGGGGGTTAAAACTTGCTCAAATGTGCTCACGGAGGAAACCTGAAGGGCATATCAAACGCCATCTTGTCAACCGAGCAGAGGAACTCGTACAAGACTCTCCCTAAGGGGCTCGCTATGGGCGTTTGGGAATTGGTAAGCTGGAGGCTGAGATGGCGTCGACTGAGACCTTCTAGGCTTGGTGGCAACTATGTTTAGGTGGTCGAGGGGCTTGTGCTCACTGAGCCTGGCGATTGCGTGATGGATGGCGGCCGAACAAAGGGAGCCTTGTGAGGGTTTCACTAAGGGGAAATAAATCCTTGTCTGACAATCTCGAATTCTCGCGGCAGTCTCCTTTGTATTGCTACCTGCCAAAGCGCATATTGTCTGTCTGACGTGGGCTTTTTACTGGACAAGGCTCTGGACTCTGTGCTACCTTAGTGCTTCCTCAGTGGTGAACCCTCGTCACTGTTCGACACCCATGAGTGATTGATGCTCCATGTCTCCTTCCCAGTGCCATGAAGCCTTAGCAACGGAGTATGCGATATGCTGTGTGGCCACTGCTGTCAGCTCGTCCAGCAGATCGAACTGGTTAAGCCTGGCGCACAAGTCTTTCGCGAAGCCACCACTGAGGAATTCGAAGAGTCATTGAATCGGAACTGTTACCTTTGCACACGGCTACGAATACAGCTTGGGGATGCGAAATGGAAACACTTGTTTTCACATCTCTCCCGGCAGAACTCGATTGCCTTTGACAAGTCCCTGAGTGCAGCTGATGGCTTCTCTCTCGTCAGATTGGGATGCAAACTGACGCCATTTGATGGCCACGACCGTGATGGAACTACAATAGGTGGGAAGAGTTATTCCTATGGCTATCTGCAGGTGACGATTGCTCCATGGGCTCGTAGGTAAGCCAACTCTGCCTGGCTCGGGGGATGGGCTTCTTCATCCTTTGACACCTCTGCCTGGCATAGCGTCTGATGGACTGCAACTACAAGTTCACCACATCTTCCGGTCCAAATCGGTGTCCGAAATGCAACTTGCACCTCGGACGCAAAAGTTCTTGACCTCGTACGCCACTGGCTTGAGACCTGCCTGTGTTCGTCATTGCATACAACATGTCCTGGGCAAAACAGACAAACCTCGTTCCACCCCACTCGTCTGATCGATATTGGCTCGGGCCACGGGGATCGTGGTCATTGGAGATTGATGAACCCCAAGGCTGAGAGACTGTCGGCACCATACATTACACTGAGCCACCGATGGGGTAATGAAACTCTCAAACTCAACCGAGACACCCAGGAGAGTATGATTCGAGGTTTGCCGATCCTAGATCTGCCAGGTGCCTACCAGAACGCCATTCGCGTTGCTCGACGTTTGGGCATTCGCTATCTCTGGATAGACTCAATATGTAATTATGTTGGTCATTGCTGGGACATGGACTAATTCCTTCTCCAGGCATACGGCAAGATACTCCTGAGGACATCCAACATGAAGCAGAGGGTATGGCAGAGATCTTCGGCAACGCCCTATGCAATATTTCGGCTCTATCGGGGAGACAAGATGGCCTTTTCTGCTCTCGAAACGATGAGGTGGTCAGTAGTGACAGCGTGGTTATACAATCCCAAGACTATGGGCTCTCCGGATCCTACATCATCAATGACCTGCAATTGTGGAGAGGAGAGCTGGTCCACACACCCCTGACTACCCGTGGGTGGGTACTTCAAGAGGAACTTCTCGCTCCCCGTACTGTGTATTTTGGCGCTCGGCAGGTTCTCTGGGATTGCCCTGGCTTTCGAGCTTGTGAGACATATCCCACGATGCAGCCAAAAAGACCCCTGAGTATGTCTATGGATATTGACAAGCATTGTTACTTTCTGCACGACGAGGAACTTGGGCCCATTGCTTCGGTACTCGAAGCTGCACAGTCTAGCATGGACCATGCTAGTGTGAGTTCATCACCTCACGACGATCGGTCGGTATTATTTCAAGTGTGGACGAGTTTGGTGGCTCATTATTCCTTGCGCAACCTGACATTTCCAGATGACAAACTTTTGGCCATCGCCGGTATCTCGAAGCTGTTTGGGAGAATAATGAGGGATAGGTTCCTTGCAGGGCTTTGGCACAACCACTTCCTCGACGGTCTGCTGTGGTATATCAGACCCAAGACCAGAACATATGCCCCTTTGAGATATCGTGCTCCATCTTGGTCCTGGGCATCCAAGGACGGCTATGTCATGCACGCAGAAGCCGCCAGCAATTCCTGGTCGGTCGCGAGAACTTTGAGCGTGGAATGCACCACTGCTGATGGCAGCGCATTTGGAGTGGTCACGTCAGCTGTCCTACACCTCCAAGCACCGTGCCTGGAGTTATGCGTCGATAGGTCAGGGAAATGGACCACCTCACAGGCTCCCGGATTGCTTGTTCGACTTGATTCCACGGAAGACGTGAGTGCGAGAGGAAATGCCATCGGTGCCATTATTCGGACGAGTGCCTATCGAATCGTCGATGCAGAGACAGACGCCGCGCGCAAAGTCGTCCTCGCTGTGCACGGAATCATTCTCACAGAGTGCGTTGATTCAGTCACCGGGCACGCAACTGGCACGTTTAGGCGAGTCGGGTACTTTGCAGTCGAAGACCGTAGACGGAGCACACTCGCACCAAACTGGTTACCGCGTGGTTGTAACCTCTTTCGCGATATAGGCGGTAGTGCATCGGCATCATCAATGCAGCAGGAGGAACAGGTGTTTCCTTTCGACGAGCAAAGGCAGTTTCTAAGCGATTTCAATGTGGTATAAGGAATTTGTACCAAGTGCAACAAAAACTTTTTTTTTATCGAATAGACATGTAACATGTACCAGAAATCTTCGGGTGTAAATATATACCTGTACGGTTCAGTGAATACAGCCCCCTATCGTCCAAGCCCACTCATACATGATGCAGACGCGGTTTCAGATGTTACAAACGGCTCTCCAAAGACGTGTCCTTGGCCACAGGCCCTTTCTGGGCTTCCCAGACAGTATTGAAGACCTGCATGCCTCGTTCCCAGAGGTCGTCCTTGACATTCTCCTTGACCTCGCCATCGGTATCTAGCAAGCGCACTCGGTCTTCGCCCGTGCAGCCCCAGCTGACGTGCTCGCCGCGCAGGAACTGTGTAAAGGGCGCCAGGAACTTCTTGGTGGCGAGCTTGTCCTTTTCCTGGAAATCCTGACGCCAGGCCGTGGCCCACCACAACGGCATGTCGCCGCCGTGGCAGATGCCGACTTCGGGCTTGAGCCAGTTGTCCACGCTCTCGGCGCGCCAGGCGATGCGGTACCTGTGGACGCTGCTCTGGGGGAGCGCCCTCACGTTGGGGTTGCCCGGCGGCGGGTTGAGCAGGAGGTGCGTGAGGCCGCGGATCGAAGCGTGCACCTGGCTGTCGGCGACCATCTGGCTGAAGACCTCGGCCCAGGCGGCGGCGTCGGTCGAGTCCCGCGGCGGCAGGTCGTAGACGTTCAACAGCGCCTCGAGGACCGGCTTCGGGTAGTAGTTGGCCAGCTGCAGCAGGAGGCCCGCGTAGTCGGAGGGCGGGTTGACGAACTTGTACAGTTCCTTCTCGTCCCTGACCTCGCCGAGCAGGACGGAGGTCCCGTTGCGCGCGAGGCGCGTCGTCAGGGCCCCGTTGTGCAGCGACGAGAGGAAGGTCGGGAGGATGAAGGCGCCGTCGGTGCTGGAGCGGAACGTGTGCATCTTCATCCTGGTGTTGGCGGCGACGAGGTCGCCGAAGGGAACCGCGCGCAGACGGGCCACCTTCTCGGCCGCCGTGGCGGACCGGGGGACGTCGAAGAGCGAACACAGCTCGTCGAACTGCGACGTCAGCGCCGGCGACGGCGTCGGGTTCGGCTGGATCGCCACGGCGTTGGACCACAGGTAGACGCGCTTGATGAGCCTCTGCGACGCCGGGAGCGCGCTGTCGTAGTTGAGCTGGAAGAAGGTCGAGTTCGCCCCGGCCGAGAGCCCTCCCACGGTGATGTTGTCCGGGTCGCCGCCGAACAGGCCGACGTGCCTGGCCGTCCACTCGAGGGCGCACCGCTGGTCCCAGAGGCCAAAGTTGGACGGCGCCTCCTCTTCGCCCAGGGACGCGAGCTCGGCGCCGCCCAGGAACCCAAACAGGTTGAGCCGGTACGTGGGCGACACGATGACCCGCGGCGCCACGTCCTTGACCAGGTCGAACGGGTCGTGCGTGTGGTCTTGCATCGCGTTCCCGACCTGGAGCCATCCGCCGTGGATGTGGAACTGGACCGGCCACCCGCCGGCGTCCGTCGGCGCGCGCCCGGCGGGGACCCAGATGTTGAGGTACAGGCAGTCTTCGTCCTGGACGTTGTCGACCGGAGCCGCCGCCGCCGCGTTGTCCACGAGGGCCTGCCCGTGCGGGTACTGAGGTTGAGGACACACCGGCCCGAAGCGCGTGTAGTCGCCCGGTTGTCCCGCGTGGTCGTCGAACGAAAAGTCCGACGGCACAGGTTGAGGTCGGCGCCATCGTCGTGCGCCGACGGGAGGGAGGGCGTAGGGGACCCTGGCGAATCGATACACCACCGGTTCGCCTGAGGGCGTGCAGTATTCCGTCCCTCGCAGGCTCCCGCGCGCCGTCTTGAGGACGTACGGACGGCTCGTGTATTCGGCGGGCCGCATGGTGTCGACGGTGACGGTGATGGATGCTCAGCCAAATCAGTCAACTCACTCGCAATAACGTATGTACCTTGACGTGTCCGTAGCTCGGTGTGTTTGATACCAAGGAAACACCGCCCGGTCGACAAGAATTCCTCACCCGCGCCCCTGGTACTGTGACACGGATCGTCACAAGAAAAGCTCTCTAGACAAATATTAATCTGTTGAGATGTATGTCGCCATTCTCCGGTTGTCGGCACAGCAGAGTACTCTCGCGGAGGTCGTTCATGTCCTATCGGGAATATATTTTATCCCGACGTCAAAGATGCACGGAGGTGGTTCCGCTCGGCTTCGAAACCGAGGCACGACCATTTGAGTTTGTTCATCGTATCTACTAGTATGACATGGTATCTGAGTCTGGTACCAAATAACGTACATGCCTTCCTTCCCACCATACCTATCAGGTCCTGATTACGTCGCTTCGGCTGAATCTTCTTCTGAAACCTCTACTAATGTTCTTTGGCCTGCTGGGTTCTCATCCTCGTTTGACGCCATCCCGAACAGCCTCTCCTCCTCAGCGCCCAACAAAGGAGCTCTCTCCTCGGGGTCGCGCGAGAAGTGGATGGCCAGACTCATGACCAACGGAGAAAACCCGTGTACCATGATTGAACAGAGGACCACGAATGAGACAACAGGCCAAACTGTGCCCAAGGATTCTTGGTGAGGTGCGTTCGAGGGAGGATGAGGAAGTGGCTCGGAAGTCCCCGTTTCAAGGCGTGCCCGGGCCTCGATTGCGAGGAACAGAGCACCTACTCCAATGGGGCCAAAGTGACCGACGAATAATGCTTCATGCCATGTCCGGATGTCGGGAGTCCATCTTCTCAGAGCAACAATTGCTGGGAGCCTGCGGAAAATAAGGATGACCAGCGTGCAACAACCCATCCGCCATGCAGCCAGGTTGTGTCGGTACAGCCGCCACGGGATGAGCGATCCAAGGTAGACAAACATCGTGGAGTTCAGCATCAAGTCCAAGATGTCGGGGAGCTTCATCTTGGCCGTTCGAGTCCAGAACCAGCCATCCCAGCAAAAAGTGGTCCCGGCAGAGAAACACACGAGAAAGTCGTCGAGACCCAGGGTGCTTCCTACTCCAATACATAGAATGGCCATTAGAAAGTAAAACACGAACAGTGTTGACTCTTGCACGAAACCCCGCGCTTCACTGAAGCGTAGAGCCTTGTTTGCCACAAAGCCCAGGACCACTCCAACAACGATTCCAACACCGCACTGCCAGAGGAGTAGATTGGTGACCCAGAGCCTAACTGCCTTGCCAGAAGAGTTAGCCACGGTCGCGTACAATGCAGCATACAAGAAGGGAAATGCGGTTCCATCGTTGCATCCAGACTCTGATGTAAGCAAGTGACGGATCCGCCGGGGCACTCTTTGCGAAAACCTAGCTTCCCCAATGACGCTGGCGGACAAGACAGGATCAGTAGGTGTCAAGCAAGCGGCGGTTATGAACGCCGTGTTCCAAGCAGCATTGAGGATGAAGCGGATTGCAATCGTGGCAACGAGCCAGCCAGCAATCATGTTCGGACCCAGAAGTAGCCCAATGCTTCTCCAATGGCGCTTTACATAGCCCGCTGGAAGCTGGACGCCGACTGCGAAGCATTGGACACCGGTGACAACCCTCGTAAGCTCTTGGGTGATGTTGTCCTCCCATCCCCATTCGAAAGGATTGAGAACCGTCAACCCCCTGGGTCCGAAGATAATGCCGGTTAGTGTTGCTAGAGGTGGTTCAGAGAGATGGAGCCGGTTGCGGATGAGCTCAGAAAATAAGGCATAGAAGATCAGAAAGAAAGACAAGAGAAGATAGGTCAGATGTGATCTGCTGGGCTCAATCTCGGGCCAAGCCATGTTTCAAGGCGTGGTCGTTTTGTTTGGATTGATTTGCATAAGAAAACAAGCAGTGTTTTCCGCATATTGACGAGGCGGCGTCGCTGAATACGAGATTTCACTGGAGATGATCATACACTCGTCCTGGGTGCCGTCATCTGCGTCTATGATGAAATAAATCGTGTCAGTGTCACAGTTGGTGGCTTGATAAAAGAAAGCATTTTTGCGGGGGGGTAACTGGGTGTCTCCAACCACAGGCGAACAACACGGTGAATCTTCCCAGAAAAGTGAACAGCTAAATGGCGATACGAGACATGACGTCCGTTCATCGTTCCGGGTAGATTTCCAAGGTCACTCGTCCTGCAGGAATACGAGGAAGATTGTTGGTCCTTGCATCATCTGTCTCGATGGTGGTTCCGAGCAACCCTACGGAGGATTTATTGCGCTCGACGGTCTGGAAGCTCGGCAGGAGGACAGAAGGTGCTTCGTGCGGTGTCCGGTGTACCGATAGCCGTCTTCGATATCCGTTCTAGTACTTCGTGGCCTGCTCTGGACCATTGACCCTGGCGTTGATCATTGAGAGATCAGCGTCAGCTGGGCCTGGAAGACTGGTATCTTAATGGCCTTTTTGGGCATTCATTGGCCCGCGGGACTGAGAAATGGATTACTTGACAAGTTGACACGCATAGCGAGCCGCTTGTCAATCAATTGTGGTTTGAGGAAGATAACGATCAGCACGCGAAGCGAGTCTCCTGATTTCTTCCACGGATGGAAATGTTTGCGTTGGAATCTCACAGGCTGTTGTTCCCAGGTCATTTGCTCGAGTGGCAGCTGAAGTCACCACGACGAGGCCAATTGAAAGACCAGAAAATGCGGCATTTGAGACAAAGGGAAAGAAGAAATGCTGCCCAACGAATGAAGCGGAATCGACGGATAAGAGTTGCAGTAAGGCGTCCCCTCGCTTTGGTCGAGGACCGTGAAGGGAGCCGTGTACGAAGGACGCCGACGCTCAGGAGGTTACTCGTACAGGTACTGAGTCAAGCGCGCCTTGCCTGAGAACAATGGCGATTTAGGTGGCAGACAGGCCTATAGCATGCCCGGAAAAGGCCGGTGGGCGTGAGTTGGGTGCCTAAGATAGGTGGTTTCAGGGTAATCCAGGGGTGAAAGTGCCTATTCCGGGCCACCCCCAGGTGGTTCGCACAGGCGACGGAAGAGGCAAACACTAGCAATGGGGCCTTCCGACGGCAGCCAAGATGAGCCACTTCGTCACTGAATGCGTGTGATTCAATGGCAACGAGACTGATCAGTGAGGGTGAAAGTGGCACCCGGAGAATGACCACTGGACCAGGCCAGGCTCTTCACTGGGCCCCGATTCACCACCTGGAACACGCGCTAATCCTGCACCGGTGCTGCGACCTCGCTGCGTGCCCTTTCTCCTCTTCCTCGCTCCTCCTTCGTGACCTTTGAAACCTGACCTTCCTCGCCTTATCCCTTCCTCTCCCTCACTCTCTCCCTTCCATCCCTCCCCCATCTGTTATTTTGTCGACACCTCTCTCGGTCTCGTTGACCAGCTGGCAAGACTCGTGAGTAGACGACTCACTTGTCATCAGGCCAACGATATCCCATCCGTTTGACCTCTTCCTGCACCAGGTTAGTCATCTTGCTGCCACGCTGCCCAATATCACGCGGCGTTTGCCCAGCCCACACCGGTTCGGCCTCAACCTCATCCTTCCCTGCACCTCACGATCTCCCATTTCCGTCTTCCATCTTCCGTCCTTCTCACCTTCACCGATCTTCAACGGGCTCATGACCCAACATTGACTGCCGCTTCGCTCTTCACGTCCCTGTTCTCCGCCATTGAAGACCTGGGTGGCTAATCTTAAATCCAATGATAACAGGCTGAGATCGACGAAATCATCTGCTCCGCACACGACGAAAAGCCTCCAAACACTCGAATCTATCCCAAGACTCCCTCCTTTACGTTCATAAACCCTCGGACAGGTTTTGCAGCCCATCTGCTGCTCTACGCTATTCAAAATGACGACAATGGTACGTGACTAAGAGCTGGTTTTTGTCTAAGCCCTTGTGCGAAAGCAAAGATAGGAAACATCCACTGATACCCCCGGTGATAGGATTTGCGTGTCGGTAACAAGTACCGCATTGGACGAAAGATCGGTAGTGGTAGTTTCGGCGACATCTACCTGGGAACAAACATCATCTCGGGCGAAGAGATTGCCATCAAGCTCGAGTCCGTCAAGGCCAAACACCCACAACTCGAATACGAAGCCCGCGTCTACAAATCTCTCGCTGGTGGTGTTGGAATCCCATTCGTCCGCTGGTTCGGTACCGAATGTGACTACAATGCCATGGTTCTCGACCTGCTCGGACCTAGTTTGGAGGATCTTTTCAACTTCTGCAACCGCAAGTTCTCTCTCAAGACAGTCCTCTTACTGGCCGATCAACTCATCTCTCGAATCGAGTACATCCACGCCAAGTCTTTCATTCATCGTGACATCAAGCCCGACAACTTCTTGATGGGAATTGGGAAGCGTGGAAACCAGGTCAACGTTATTGACTTCGGTCTGGCTAAAAAATACCGCGACCCCAAGACCCATTTCCATATCCCGTACCGTGAGAACAAGAACTTGACTGGTACGGCTCGTTATGCCTCGATTAACACTCACTTGGGTGTCGAACAGTCTCGTCGTGATGATATGGAGTCCCTAGGCTATGTCATGCTCTACTTCTGCCGTGGCTCTCTTCCATGGCAAGGCCTCAAAGCCGCCACGAAGAAGCAGAAGTATGACCGTATCATGGAGAAGAAGATGACCACTCCCACTGAGGTTCTTTGCCGAGGCTTCCCCAACGAGTTCGCTATCTACCTCAACTACACTCGTTCACTCCGCTTCGACGACAAGCCCGACTATTCCTACCTCCGAAAGATCTTCCGTGATCTCTTTGTTCGAGAATCCTTCCAATACGATTACGTCTTTGACTGGACCGTGTACAAGTACCAGAAGAATGCCCAGGCCATTGCTCAGGCCGCCGGAAACCAACCAGCCCAGGAGGAAGAGGAGAAGCCCCGCCGACACACCGGAACCGCAGCTGCTACCGGTGTCCCGACTCCGCAACACACTTCGACCCAAGGCAAGCCAGCAGCGATTTCCAGCTCCCGCCGCAAGGTCATCGAGCGCGGTACCAGCGGCAACGACCAAGGAGGAAGTGACAGGATGTGAGTACTGAATACCTTATGGTTCCGTGTAAGGGATCTCCCTCTGCGTTTTGCTTCGGTCGCGTGGAGGTTTACAATAGCATCTGACTAATGCTCTAGTCTTCGACGTTAGGCTTCGTTCTGGCACAAGGATAACCACTGGCAACGGCGATTATCGTTGAAACGGAATGACGGCTTGGTGTTGTTCACACTGAACCTCTCTCCTCTCTTCTGAAGACTTTGCAGAGTCTTTAAACAACAGCAACAATTGGGTATGTCGGATCCGGCTCGGGGTTTGCTCTAGCACATGGCAAATCCGTAACGAGTGTATGTGACACGCGGACTTTCTTATCTTGATGGCCACTCTGCTCCAAGACGACATGCAACCAACGTCAACGACAATCTATGACTTATGGCATCCCATCGAATGCTTCATGAGTAGATTCTTTCGCATGCGATATCAGACATCAACGAAGTTTCAGCGACATACGACCACACAGCACCACCTGTGCTGATCAACAAGGCAGGAAATATGACTCTTGACAGGGTCAATCTGCCACCCCTCAAGGCCGAGTTAAGGCTCTTGAGCTTTTGTTTTGCGAAATCACCATCGACCAATCCTAATCATCTCAGCACGTTTTCCTTGTTTTGCGTTTTTTGGCTTCCACCCATGCAAACCAAAAAAAAGAGTTCTGGTTCATCAACAGAGGCAGTGGGAAGAGGGAAGAAGTGATGTCCTCTGGCTTGACACCAACGTGACGCTACTCTGCGAGGGTGAAATTGCGTCTCGCAGCACAGTCGTCAAGGACAGCAGGCAGAGGAGCCCAATGGGACATGGCGATGGACTTGTTAGGGGCAGCTTCTGGGGAAGTTTCATGACCAGTTAACTCGAGTGCTTTGGCAAGCTACATAATTAGTGACAGGCAAGGGAGCTTCGGCTCAGTAGCTCTCGTCCAGAATGAAAACAATGTGCTACAAAATTCCTGTTTTAGCTTGAGACCTCGACGAGAAAGTCTGGACGCGGGGTGGTTGAACTACGCCACTGATGTGTTTTGCATAAAGCGGGACAGTAGTTTGTAGATGCTCGTCTCGAATTGAAGCATTAGACAGCATGTGTCTTGTTGATGCGATGAGAGCAAAGTACGGACTACAGAGTACCTGATCCGTGTCGGTAGACATGCATAGACACACCTGATGTTATTTCAGTAGAGATATGTAATGGAAGCTCCCTGTAGGCCACCGTACTATAGGTATCTCCCTGACCTCTAGAACTAGTTCACCGGCGCTCGTGCCGTGCATGCAGCCATTTGTGGCCCCGTGTTTGATGTCTCACTTTCGAGCTTCAGACCCGGTTCCCCCGTCTTTACTCTCTCGTTCTTGTACACCGACCCTTTTTCTCCTTCTGATTTTCGCGCATTGAAGTGGGAAGCTTTACAAGGTGGAAACCATCTGGATCTCAGCAGTGCAGCGAAACAGTGCAGTGGATGTAAGTTGCCGATACCGATTTCCCTACGTTGCCCTGGGGTTTTGTTCTCGCCGGTTCGGCTCTCGGAGGAGGATCCGGTTCCCAGTTCCATCCACTTCGAGAACAGGTGGCTGACTAAATAACTCGACTTCCCTTTTGCCTACGAGTTTACCTACTAATTACCCACGTACCTGTCCGGTCCTGTCCTGTCCTCGTACTCGTACTCCGTACCTGGGCCTGGCCTGGCATTTCGTGACACAAAACGGCGTGGATTGCTAACGTACGTCGTTGCGAGAGAGTTTTAGAAGGGGGGAAACCTCCAGAAAGCTGAACTACCTACCAACCTTCACCCTACCTGGACCTACCTACCTTACCTACGTACGCTACCCTACCCGCCTCAGGTACTTTCTACCTTCCCCTTACCTCACCTTGAGATACCCGTTCATACGTAAGCTGCGGAGGTTGCCGAGCTCGAGGAGTGATCACGCAACAAGTGAGCAGCCGCCGTTGTGTGTCGTCAGTTTGTTGTGATCTTGTCATACAAGAAGACTACAGTACGTACCTCAGGTACTGTAGCTGGCTGGAACGACACGGGGGTCAGGGTAAGTTCGTCCCTTTCCTTTTTCCCACTTCCCTCCCTTCACCGTCTGTTTCAGCTCCATCAGACTCCCTCAGCGAGCGGCGGTCGAGAAAGGAGAAATGTGAAGACACAAGCGAACTGGTTGATTTCTACCTTGCTTTGTACATTGCTCGTACCTTGTTTTGTATCTGTCGTTTTTTTCTTTATAATAATCATGTATTGTTTCGTCAATGATTGCATTCAGACCGGTGTTGTACCACTCGGTGTGTTGTTTATGTCAGTAAACTAACAAATCGCTCTGGGGGGACCAAAAGATAGTCACTACTTACCTTACTTACCTGCCTACCTACCTACCTACGTGTACGGACGGAGTACCTAGGTAGTCAGTGAGCCTGTGCTTTATATCTACCTGTTTATCTACCCGGGTACCTTGCACGTACTGTACACCCAATCGACCCACTGGAAGAATCACTCTGATTGAACCGATACAAAGCGACGGAATAGGGCCAAACCTGACAAAACCCACCAAAAGACAAAACCCAAACCCCCCCCCCCAAAAAATGCCAGTCGAACTTCGCAAACGTCCTCCTCCAAAGGAGCCCGCGACCCCTGCTCCGGCGGCAAAAAGAGGCAGCGGAGCAGGCGCCGCGGCGAAGAAACTCGCGGACAAAGCCAAAGCTGCCGTGACGGGCAAGAAGGCCGCTCCTGTTACTGATGTCGCCGCCACCACCACCACCAAGTCCAACGGCGACGTCGTCAACGGCACGGGTGGTCATAAACCCAACGCCGGCAAGATCTCGGTCGGAGAGACGTTGAACCTCGACGGGTTCGGAGGGACCATCCAGACCAACGACGGCGCCGACACCACGTTAAAGGAACTGCTTGACAAGAGTGGCGCGGGCGTCGTGATCTTCACCTACCCCAGAGCCAGCACTCCAGGATGTAAGCTTCAACCTTCACTTCCACTCCACTCCTCTCCTCTCGTTTTGTTTTGTTGTATTGTGTTTGTTTTGGCCTCCGCATGGCATGGTAAGCAGAACGGGGTGGTTCACCTTAACCTCACCTGACAAGATACGAGTAGCGATTGTCGAGAGACAAGGACACTGCAGTTCTCTACTCTTGGGGTTCATTTCATCTTGTTTACTTTCTGTCTATCAGCCCTTCATAACCTCCCCGTGCTTTATTTAATAGCTTGAAAACTGATATATCTCCGTTTCAGGCACCACGCAGGCTTGTCTTTTCAGGGACAACTACGCTCCCATTACTGGCGCCTCGCTGTCGATATATGGACTTAGCACAGATAGTCCCAAGGCCAACACCACGTTTGTGACGAAGCAGAAGTTGCAATACCCGCTTCTCGTGAGTCTTGTTGTTCTTGTCCTGACACCAATTATCTCACGGCGCTAATCAAGCTGCTGTGACCTCCAGTGTGATCCAAATGCAACTTTGACCTCCGCAATTGGCATGAAGAAGCCAGGTCCCGGCAAATCCACCACTCGAGGCGTCGTGGTTATTGACAAGCAGGGTGTCGTCCGGGTTTGGGCACAAGCTGGCCCCGCCAAAACCCTCGAAGTCGTCCTAGACTATATCAAAACTGAGGGTAAGAGTGAAACCGGTGCCCCGGCCACTGTGGCTGCTCCACCTGCTGAAGATGGCACTGCGACCGAGGCGGCGACCAAGTTGGCGGACCCCGACACGAAGATGGATGAGGTTCCTCTGATAAAGACACCGACTCCCGAGGAGGCAGAAGCCGCTACCACGGCTGCTGAAGTTGGTGACGTTGCTGCCAAGCTGGATGAAGGTGCGAGTGGCCTTCTCAAACCATGATCAGTTTCCTTAGTCCCCCGTCTACCAAAGCTCTGTCATGCCTTCAGGCTGCAATGGGCAAGGCTTCCTTGCGATTATGACTGAGATGGAACTGGGGCTCCTCGCAGGTAACATAATATCATATGATCCAAGCATCATGAATTCATATGCTTGTGACTCCCGGTGCCCAAGCATTTCCTATTCTTTGCAATTCGTTGATGAACTTCTTGCTCGTGATTTCAGGACTCTTCCCTCCGTAATTGGCAATCTGCAAGGGAGTCCGATCGTCGGGCGCATAGAAGGGGTTGAGCATGAGCTGAATGTACGCCGTCTGCACGGCTCGGAAAGCAGGCTTCAGATCGGTGTCTCGGATGCCCACGACAGGTGGGAACCGCCTTTTATCTTCGTCTGCGGCCGGAGGCCGACCCGTCATGTCAACCACAATAATGAACTTGATGCCAGTGTTCGTCAGCCAACCGTACGCGGCGAGACGCTCGTCGATGGCCTGAAGAAGCCCCACGTCCTGATCGAGAGTCTTGGTTTTGGATCGGATGTCAAAGACGTCGAGGCAGGAGTTCAGCAGGAACTGCATGTCCAGGTCTTCGTGCTCGTGCGGTGGAAACAGGGAGATGTGTAGAGGGTTGTCCTGCCTTGGATTAGCACCGTTGAGCACACCTAGGCAGTGGTAGGTAGAGAGATGTCTGGTAGGGTAGGGTAGGGTAGGAGGGATTCACATGTTTGCCAATGATGCCGATGCACGCGATGCCAGGACTCGAGTTGAGTGCCATGAGCAGCCTCAAGCACTCGAAGCCTGATGAGCCCCGTTGGAACGTAAAGTGAGGTGAGAACAGGTTGTGTGTTGGTGCCTCTGGAGACGTACGTATTTCAAGTACATACTGTACGAGTTTCCTCACGTATTATCCGTACTCAGCGAGTGCAGCGCAGTCGGCGTTTGGGAGAAAGGTTGTGCCGTTCCCACCCACCCAATCAGGGAGCTCGGAATATGGATTTGGTGGGCTTCGGTACAAGTGCACATCATAGACAGACAGACTCATTCTCCGTAGTGTGTTGCTTTGCTTGCTATATCGCCTCCTCCCACTCAACTGTTGGTTCTGTCGTCGACGCCTCCCTCGTGGCATCTCGCCTTTTATTTTCTTCCCCATCCTCGCTCTCCCCTCTGATCATCTTCGGGCAAGATGATGTCCCTTTCGAGAAGCGTGGCTCCTCGAGCATTGCGAGGTGCGCAGCAGACAATTTTCAGAGCTTCCGACGGCCAACCACGGTCCACTGACAAACTTCCATTTGTAGCTACGAGCACCGTTCCTTTCTCCGTCGTCCGCGCGGCGAGCATTTCATCGTCGTCCAAGAAATCCGCCACGTCGCTCGCTCCCACCACGCCCGGCACAAATGATCCCTCGCGGCTCCCGGTGACCGGTGGCGTGCGTCGCGAAGTCCCTCTTCCGTCTCAGGAAAAGAAAGAAGGCGCGATGCAGTATGCCTTGACGACGCTGGACCAGATTGCAAATTGGGCCCGACAAGGCTCGCTGTGGCCGATGACCTTCGGCTTGGCCTGCTGCGCCGTCGAAATGATGCATCTTTCAACACCGAGATACGACCAGGACAGACTGGGCATCATCTTCCGTGCCTCGCCTCGACAGAGCGATGTCATGATCGTCGCCGGTACGCTGACAAACAAGATGGCCCCCGCCCTGCGACAAGTCTACGATCAGATGCCCGATCCGAGATGGGTGGTCAGTATGGGCAGCTGTGCAAACGGTGGTGGATATTATCATTACAGTTACTCCGTCGTCAGAGGGTGCGACAGGATTGTTCCCGTGGATATCTATGTTCCTGGATGCCCGCCCACCAGTGAGGCGTTGATGTATGGCATTTTCCAGTTGCAAAAGAAGAGTAAGTTTGGAGTTTTTCCTCTACAACCAGAACCAAAGACAAAGAGTATGGTCAACTAACGATGCTGCAGTGAGACACACCCGGATCACGAGACTGTGGTACCGGAAGTAAATTAGAAAACAACTTTGCGATCGGCCTTTTCATTTTTCGTGGCAAGCGGCGTTTTATGTGGCAGGAAGTGAGCAGGCATATCCTGCTTGAGTTTTTCTCCAGTCAGCACGAAATATGTACAGAATGATGAAAGGACATTGAATTCCTGATAAGATCACTTCGCAGCTTTCTTCTTCGCATGTCAACTTTACGGTCAGGGTCTGGTGTCCTGAGATTATACATTGATGCCGAATATCTGTCTCAACCTGACCCAGCCCAGAAATCACCAGGTATATTAAAAGAAGTTTGAAGGGAATCAAAGGCGGCTTCCGACGTCAAGTCATTCAATATAGATGTGAAGTCATCCACCGCCGAAGATGGTTGATCGACTGTATTCTGCCGCGATGGGTCTTCTAACTCTGAAGTAAACAGTGAATCGTCTCTCAAGCCACCGGGGGCTGACTGAGGTTCCGTCTGGAGATGTTGTTGACCATTTCTGATGATTGATCCATGTTCAAAAAGCCAACTCGTCAAGTTGATCCGGGAGGCGATCGCCTTTGTCTTCTCCCACAAACTTTTAGAGTGGTCGCAGACTTCGGCCAAGTCGCGTAGGACATTCAGGGCTACCATCGCTGCTTGTCGAGCAGTCGTACTGGTGTCCGAGGATATAGATATTTCTGGGGATTTCTCATAATCAGAGTGCGCAGACGAGCACACAAAAAGGAGCAGGTCTAAGGCTGAGATAAGGAAGTGGTTGAGCTGAGGTCGATGGAATCGATATTCTTTGCTGGACCTATCAAGTCCAGACAAGACCTGGACAGTGTCGGCAGCCGTATGAACTGACCGTGACCAAATTTCCGACGGCGCCGACATGCGGAGCTCGGTGCAAATGAACACTCGGGCAACCAGGATGCGTATGAGGTTTGCTCGTAGTCGAATCAGAGTTGCCATGTACCTGCGGCTCGGGTCCGTTGTGTTGTAGGCCAAAGGATCCTGAATTTTGGTCATTGTCTCCAGGGCCCATCGTTCGATCCGATACTGAAAGGACGTGTAGCTGCTTTGCCAGATGTTGCAGTTCCCTCCCACGACAGCCGTGTCATTCAGGAGAGCGGAGCAGGCTTCCCTCCCTATCTGACTATATTCTATCATAGCACTCAAGAAAGGAGCGTTGATCTGTGAAGAAATTAACCTTGTTTTGATTACTGTGATATCTCGAGCAAGGACGTACCGGTCGCGGGAAGCTGGATTCTATATGTAGTCCCTGCATGACATTGGGGTGGCCCAGAGCATAAGTGAGATGTTGTTCGAGCACGTATACCGTCCACACGGTGTTGAGGGCCCTTCTTCGATTTTCCCATTCAGGAAATAGCCGAGCGAGTACGATTTCTCGATTCAAACCAAGCTCGTAGACGACTCGACTGATATTGCCTAGAAATCTCCAACCCAGACGCCACGAGCCTCGGTGCAGATGGTAGAAGACCTGGAACATAAGAAGTTAGCGTTGAGAGCAATGACAATGGTGGGTTGACTGAAGACAGACAACCAGTATCAATAAACCGAGATCTTTCAAGTCTACCATGGCATCCCAGACTTTTGCTTGCACATCCGCTTGTGTGCTTTGAAACAGTCTCGATGCCAGATCCTTGTGCTCATGACCTTGCCCTAGTAGACATATAGCCATGACCAGTTTGAGCATCGTTATGTCGTTCTCCTCAAGCATAGTGACATCTGCGTCTGCCAGGCCTTTCGTTGGGGACGATTGTCGGGATCGCAAATAATTGCCCATCTTCTGTTTGAGATCTGCTATGTCGTGGATGGGATACGTACAAGCAATCATGGCTTCGAATTCGTTCAGCATTTGAGACATCTGGCTGTCTTCCAGTTCGTCAAGCGGATGGAAGCTAGCGAAGTTTGAGTAGTGAATATGATCATCGGCTTGCAACAGAGGGTTGGGAGCATCTGAAGCGTCATCTCTGCTATCGAGATCACTGGTCTCACCCTCCACGATTCGTCCTCGAATGATGGAGAAGGAGGATCTCGGGACTAACGGAACCGATGAAAGATATGCCGCGTTGTCGTGGCTGTTGGAATGATGCGTATTGATGGGACCGCCGATGATGTTGATGCAACAGAAAGCACTTGTGGCACTCTGGAATAATGGCAGGGATCTCTTGGAAGGGAGTAAACGTGAACCACAGTGTGCTTGCCCACCAAGCGAAAAGCCATGTACAGGATCAAACATTTCGGTTCGCTTGATCAGAAGGTCAAGTTTTTCATTCTGACGCGCGAGAACCTCAGATATCTTCTGCTCAATGTGACTCTCGTTGTTTCTGTTGGGTATCAGATGCTGTGGACACCTGGGGCATGCTGTGGATATACTTACACTGTATCTACTTCGGTCTGGAAGGTCGGTAGAGCAACGGCTGAATAGTTGCACGTTTCCGCATCTCGAGTAGAACAATATGAACATGGCAATCTCCCATCGCAGCGCACTTTGGCTGCCTTGCATCGATTGCACGCATGAGGTGTGTAGCGATTTCGCTTTTTCCGGGTCCGAGTCTCTTCTATGTCTGCCTGGCTGTCGCTTGTTAATGCAGCCGTCGCACTTGATCTCTTGCGGCTTTTCTGTTGATCTGACTGTGGCATAGCGTATTTCGATCAAGTCACAATAGAGGAGATAGAAGAGACCGGATACAGAGTCATATCAGAAGGTCAGACCACGACCAAATATATATTAATTGAGTAAGCACTGCGGCTTGAATGGCCTTGGTCCAAGCACACGCGGATATGCGATTCTCGTTTAACAACGTCCTTCAGGATCTACAAATACAGTATCCTAGGATTGAAAACACCTGTATTCGTATGAAGGAGCGATTGCAGTAGTTGTCTGTCTTTGAATATGCAGCAACGAGGCTTAAGTGGAAGGCTTCTCCGGCGTTCGTCCAGATGTTCCGCTGACTATGACGCGATTGGTCAGCCTGATCGTCCCCGGGCCTGCGCCGAAAAGAATCACCACGACCAACGCCTCACTGGCCTGCGAGGACTCATCACCTCTGCGCAACTTATGTCTCTTGTCCGCCTTCCTTACTGACATCGACGGCAGCTGGAGCTGGCAACATGGAGGTGACTAGATCAGCACTTCGCAGGCTTCCTCGCCGTTACCATAGTTTCTCGGTTGCTACTCGCTATGGAGATGGTCCCGACGCCGCCGCTGTCGTATGCTCGCCCATGGCAGTATGGAGTCGAAGACAATTCACAACCACCTCCGGGAGACCCTTCCCCGGTCCTTCTGGTCTCAGCTTGGGTGGTTCATCGTCACCGCCGTCCTACTTTCAACGACAAACAAGTCTCCCCGCAAATACCATCATCCGATTCGTACCTCAGCAGACGGCCTGGATCGTCGAGCGCATGGGAAAGTTCAATCGAATACTACAACCAGGCTTAGCAATCCTGGTGCCGATAATAGATGTATGCACCGATTGCTGTGTTTCCAGATTCTTCAGCTAACATACCTGCCAGCGCATCGCTTACGTCCAATCTCTCAAAGAGTCTGCGATCGAGATCCCCAGCCAAAGTGCAATTACTGCAGACAACGTAACTCTGGAACTGGATGGTGTGTTATATACAAGAGTATTTGACGCATATAAAGCGAGGTAAGCCACCATTTGTCAGAGAGATCAACCCGCCTACTAACGACTGCCATAGCTATGGCGTGGAAGACGCCGAATACGCAATTTCACAACTAGCACAGACAACGATGCGGTCTGAAATTGGTCAACTCACGCTCGATCATGTCCTTAAGGAACGAGCAAATCTGAATCAGAACATAACACAAGCAATCAACGAAGCCGCACAGGAATGGGGCGTAGTGTGCTTGAGATACGAAATCAGGGACATTCATGCACCAGAGGGAGTTGTTGCAGCTATGCACAGACAAGTGACGGCCGAAAGATCAAAGAGAGCCGAAATTCTAGAGTCAGAGGGTCAACGGCAGAGCGCTATCAATATCGCAGAAGGTCGTAAACAATCTGTCATTCTTGCATCTGAGGCTTTGAAGGCCGAGCAGATCAACATGGCATCGGGTGAGGCCGAGGCCATTCTCCTCAAAGCGCAGGCAACTGCTCGCGGGATTGATGCTGTCGCCAATGCCATTAGACAAGGTGAAGACAGCGCCCAGAACGCCGTCAGCCTGAGCGTGGCAGAGAAGTACGTCGACGCTTTTGGAAAGTTGGCGAAGGAGGGAACTGCCGTGGTTGTTCCTGGCAATGTCGGTGATATGGCCGGGATGATTGCCAGTGCCATGGCAGTCTATGGCAAGGTGAATCAGAGTCAGTCCAGAAACAATGCCGCCGGATCAACCAATCCCAGTTCCAACGAAGACTCCAAGGATGTTGGTCAGAGGGTGATTGAGGCTGCTCAGAACTCGGACGCCAGGGAAGTTGCACAAACCGTGCTCGAAGGATTTGAACAGACAAGGCAGAGGAAGTGAGATGAATGCCCTTCCGAGGAGTCGATGGGAAAAAGTGTTGCGTTTCACCAGGAGGGAGGGATTTCTACTCATTCACAACAGCACGGCGCTTGTGTGTAAGACCAGCAAAAGGACATCTTTAAAAAGTCGATATCCGTGTAAGCCATAATGAAGATGACTGTGATACCACGCAGACCACTGTATTGGAGGGTACTCTCAAGTGAATAGCGACACAATGCACCCCTAGTTGTTGGTAGATAATTGATCACCTCGGCCAGCCTTGTAATATCATCAGGCTGGGCGCAGACTCAGACCTCCAAAACGCAACCTGCCAACATGCCTGCGGTACCATGCCAGCGACTTGACTCTACTTTTCTCCTTCACCACACCACAAACATCTTCCGCTTCGACCGCGACTTCTTGCAAATACGCCGTATCATCAGATTCATTCTCCTCGCGATGCCTACCCGACGACGGCCGCAGAGATAGTTCAACCATGCACATCATTAAGCCGATCTGGCTTACCCATGGAGGTATTCGCGCAGCCCCTGCACAGGTTTCTAACGCGTCCTGAAGCGCGTCAACTGTGCTGCATACCCTTTCTCGAGGCCTCGAGATGCTGACAATGGTGAAAACTAGGGGAAAAGAAGGATTTCGAGGTTTACAGTTGTCATGTCTCTCCTGACGGCCAGCGCCTTGTTACCGCAGCTGGTGGTACGTCTTGGGATTTTGCACTGCGAACATGACTGCTGACTGCTGTTAAAGATGGCTATGTTCGCATATGGTCGACCGAAGCGATCTATAATGCCGCGAACGCTAAATACGACAAACCGAAACAGCTTGCATCCATGAGTTATCACTCCGGAACTATTCACACAGTGCGCTTCTCACCTGGAGGGAAATTTCTGGCTTCCGGCGCCGACGACAAGATTGTCTGCATATACACACTTGATCCTAGTCCACCGAGCCACGCCGCATTTGGTCTGTGAAAATGTTGTGCTGCGAGGACATCCGCTGAGACTTTGTCTAGGTTCGAACGAGGCGCCTCCGGTCGAGAATTGGCGTATATTTCGAAGGCTCATCGGTCATGACAACGATGTACAAGACCTGGGCTGGTCATACGATGGAACGATACTTGTGTCTGTTGGACTGGATTCAAAAGTGGTGGTGTGGTCAGGCTTTACCTTCGAGAAGCTGAAGACTCTTCCCAACCACTCGAGTCATGTCAAAGGCATCACCTTTGACCCTGCAAACAAGTACTTCGCGACAGCTAGTGACGATCGAACGATCCGAATCTTTCGATTCACTTCCCCGACTCAGAATTACAGTACTCATGATGCGGTTAACAACTTCATCCTTGAGCAAACTATTTCTGCACCTTTTGTCAACTCCCCACTTACAACGTACTTTCGGCGATGCTCTTGGGCACCTGACGGTCAACATATAGCTGCAGCCAATGCGGTCAACGGTCCGGTCAGCGCTATTGCGATCATCAATCGAGGGAGCTGGGATGGAGATACAACACTCATCGGGCACGAAGGACCTGTGGAAGTTTGCGCCTTCTCACCTCGGTTGTATGGACAAGAGCAGATGGATCGATCTCTACTCGAGGGACATGTAGCTCCTCACACAACGGTTATTGCGTGTGGAGGGGCCGATAAATGCCTGAGCATTTGGACTACCAGCAGCCCTCGGCCTCTAGTTGTGCAACAAGATGTTGCTGGGAAATCAATTTCAGACATCACTTGGAGTCCCGACGGTCACGCACTATTCGCCACCGCTTTAGACGGAACGATACTCACTGTAATGTTTGAACCGGGCGAGCTTGGTTACCCTCGGCCAATCGAAGAGAATGACCGCTCACTTAGTAAGTTCGGTACTTCACGAAAAGGGCTCGGCTTCCCAGAGACCACGGATGCTCTGTTGCTGGAAGAAATGAGCAAGGCCGGGGAACTCAAAGGAGTCGAGGGACGGATGGGCGCTCTGATGGGTGACTCGCACCCATCCCAGCCACCAGCAGCCGGTACGGCCGCTACTACCAACGGCACTTCGACTACAGAAACCCCCACCAATGGCGCCGAGCCGACAACTAACGGTAACGCAGCTGCGAAACAAGATGAGGCAAACCAAGCTAAGCTCGAGCGACTCAAAAATAGGGTGGAAATCACCAAGGATGGCAAGAAAAGAATCAGGCCGCTGTTGGTGTCTGGCGCTGGTGGCGCAGAGTCCTCTCTGCCGCAGACGAAACTTGTAAGTGCGGCTGCGAATGTTCAGGGCGCAGTCGATACGCCACAATCAATCCTTGATCTTTCAAAGCCATTCGATGGCCTCCCCAAAGGCGGCATAGCATCCCTCCTCCTTGGAAACAAACGAAAGTACGCTCAAATCGAGGGTGAGGAAGAAGGCACTACCGAAAAACGTATTGTCGCCGCAAGCCAGAAAGGAGTCACGCCGATTGTCATTAACAGCGCTGATGGCTTGCTTCCAGCCCAGCCTCAGCCAGCTGTCAGTGGACAGCAAGTTACTCCCGAATTCATACGGCCGGCGGTCATCAATCCAGCATTAAGTGTTAGTCAAATACGTCTTGCTATACCGAAAGTCCGCACACATATTGTCCAAGCCAATGATGCGTTGGGCAAGTCTGTTGATGCTAGTAGCGAAGCTGGTAAAAAACCAGAGTTCGTTTTCGAAGCTCGAAATCCTTCAGGTCCTTCCCTAACTCCAAGGGCTCAAGATCGAGAACCCTGTCGAATCACACTCACGCGAAAGGACCAGCCGTTATGGCAAGACTTTATCCCACGGCCTGTATTGCTCGTGACAGGTAATCAGAACTTCTGGGCGGCCGCGGATGAGGCTGGCGCAGTCTATCTGTGGACGCCAAATGGCAGGAGACTGAACAGTGCGATTGTCATGGAAGCCCAGCCGGTTATTCTTACGTCGTACAATTCTTGGCTCCTGTGCATTACTGCAGTGGGCCTGTGTTATGTCTGGAACGTCAAGACTATGTCGTCGCCGCACCCACCGGTTTCATTGGCACCAGTCCTTGACGCAGCTATGCATTCGCTGGCGGCTCACCCTACAGGCGCTCCAGGAATCACACAAGCTCGTCTAAATTCGGAAGGGCGTATTATCGTCAGTCTGACCAACGGAGAGGGCTATGCTTATTCGCCACAAATGTACTGTTGGCAACGTCTATCAGAAGTTTGGTGGGCAGTAGGCAGTCAGTACTGGAATACCACCGATTCTTCTGTTTCCAATATTCATCCCTCAAAAGCACAGAACGATGCAGAAAGATCGGTCGATGTATCCGCGGGCATCATTCCATGGCTAGAAAGGAACACCACTTCCGAGACATTGTTGCGTGGTCGAGCATACTTCTTGCAACGCCTCGTCAAAGTCTTGTTATCGCGAGAAGGGTTTGAGAGTTTTGAATCTGGCGTGTCAATAGCTCACCTGGAAAATCGAATCGCAGCGGCTATGATGCTTGGGGCCAAGGACGAGTTCAGAATATATTTGCTCATGTATGCAAAGAGACTGGGTGCAGAAGGCCTCCGACTCAAGGTTGAAGAGCTACTACGGACTCTTCTTGGTGGTATTGTGGAACAGCCGAGCAGCAGCGGTGAGGCGTCGGTCGGAACGACGAATGTGGTGGCAGGGCGTAACTGGGACGAAGATTCGAAATCGATATGCGGATGGCAGCGGGAGGAACTCCTCAAAGACGTGGTATTGATTCTTGGGAAACATCGGGATTTGCAGCGGATCATTGTGCCTTTTGCCAAAATGCTTCACATTGTTGACGGCGGTTCTGAAGGCCAGGATGAAATGGATATGTGATCACTAGGAGAGCCTGGCGCAGTGGACATGGGCAAACTTACTGCGATATGCAGAGGCTGGAGGTCTGTCGGAGTATTTTCTGCATAGCATGGTCGAACACCGGGGCAATGCATGCAATGAGGATTCGATGGTGTTCACTTGGTATCTCGGGTAAGCTTCAATGCTGCATATCATGACTGGGACAGAAAAGGACGGCAAATTCACAAACAACTCTTTGCGAGGCACCAGGCTTCTTCTTCTCCCTCTTCACTTCCCTGTCTGCTTTTTGAGGTCATGTTCCCCAAACACGCACCCATCCTCTCTTCAGCAACTTCAGTGACTTCTGTCTCACAGTAATGGCATCAGCCCAGTCTTCGAGCCAACTCGATCCTGGGCCGGGCTCCCGCAGGCGTCTATACTCGCCCACCTTTTCCGAAGCCTCTACGAGCACAAATCTTCCGTCGATCGGAGACTCATCACACACTCCCACTTTGCCCAATACCGGTCCGCTCATCGCCGGGCGGGAGCCGCTCAAACGTTGCGCCTCCTCGTCAATGCAAACCTCAGCAAGACGTTACCTCCGAACCTACAGGTTCTGGCGATATGTCCTCGTCACCTCCATAGGCCTGCTCCTCCTACTCCTCTTCACAGGCCCACCAAACTTGCACAACCTGTTTGCCACGATAATACCCAAGCGGCGAGATACTGGGACATCGCACGCTATTCTTCAGCCAGTTGGCGCCAGAGGAGATTATGGGAACAAGGACAACAATCCGGTACAATGGCTCCAAGATCACTCCGACTTCAACTTTCACTTGCCTGGTTCTCGTACCCAACGTCCTCGCGCGGCACTCATCAGTCTGGTGAGGAATGAAGAACTCGATGGCATTCTGCAGAGCATGCGTGACCTGGAGTTTCACTGGAACAGACGGTACAGATATCCGTGGATTTTCTTCAACGAGAAGCCATTCAGCGAAGAGTTCAAGGTTCGTGGGCCATCCCAAAAATCAAATCGCCCTGTTCCAGGGGGAGAGAGAGAGAGAGAGAGAACCTGAATAGTCTGAGATGCCAAGGGGCTGGCTAATGGAATTGTTTCTCTCCCCTTAGGCTGCTACTTCGAACGCAACAGACGCGCAGACAGAGTACCATGTGGTGCCTCATGAACACTGGCAGACTCCCTCCTGGATAGACCACCACCGGTACATGGACACGCTGGACTATCTTGGTACGATCAGTGTCGGAAAGGGTCACATGTTGAGCTACCACAGCATGATCCGGTGAGTGGTGTGTGTGGTGTGTGCATGTGCGAGAAATCTATACCTGCCTGCGCTTCTCTTTCTTCCCTGTTTCTTCTTGTTCTTCTTCTTGCGGGCCCCCAGCTTCGGTCACGCTCGAACGATCATACATGAATCGCATGAGACACTGACTTAGAACCGGTTTGAAAAAAACAAAAAGTTGGCAATCCCTCTGGTTCTACCGCCATCCCGCATTACTGTCATACAATTGGTACTGGCGCGTCGAGCCAGACGTCCACTTCTTCTGTTCCATCCCCTACGACCCTTTCTCCTTCCTGGAGCAGAACGAGCTGGTCTATGGTTTCAACATGGCCATCCTCGACGACGCGCGAAGCTTCACGTCTCTGTGGTCCGTCACGCGCGCCTTTATCGAAAGGTACCCGGAGCTTTTACACCCGGACGCCGATCTCGACTGGTTGCTCGACCCCGACAACGGCGGCGAGTACAACAACTGTCAGTTCTTTTCCAACTTTGAGATCGCTTCGCTCGGTTTCTGGAGGTCCGAGGGACCGAGCAGGTACGCCGAGTGGCTCGACGAGGGCGGCGGCTTCTTCTACGAACGCTACGGCGACGCGCCCGTGCACACGCTCGCGTTGGCCATGTTCGCCGCGAAACAGGACGTCTGGTTCTTCCGGGACATTGGCTATCAGCATGACATAGCGAGGCATTGCCCCCCTGCCGGCGCTCGTATTCCATCATCACCACCACCACCACCGTCGCCGCCGGTATCGAAGCATGATGAATCTGGATCACAGCAACGGAAACGGGAACACGATGTGGACGTGGATGTCGGAATGGGCACTTGCGCGTGCGAGCCGAGTGGTCTCGACGCGAACTTCTACAAACTTGTCCCCATGGAGAGTCCGCAGGTGAAGCCGGCCGACACGTGCATCCGGTTGTGGCTAGGTGGGCAGTGGCTGGCCAAGAAGGAAGGTTGGAAACAGGACGTTGAACGCGCCTTTGGCGGAGATGGATACGGAGGGTACGTGCTGGATGGAATGTAAACTGTGTGAGGGTAGGCTGGGAGTATGGTGAATTGAATGCACATGGGTGGATCCGACAGCCGACACAGCGAAGAAGCACACGACACATAGAAGGGGGAGAGGCAAAAAGGTGCTTGACGCACAAGGGGTTGTTGATAGCAGTGTATTCTGCTGTGTGGCTGGTATGTATCGACAGCTACAGCACGCTACAACAACAATTATCTGACTTCTTCAGATCATGAGCTGGGAAGAAGCTTCCGAGAAAGTCATGTTCGGGTCATGGAAGGTATGAGATCTTGCAAGCATGAATGAATGAAAACACACATCCTTACGCTTTGGCCGCACCAGCCTTGATCAAGATGATATCGCCGTCTTCGACAACTGCAATTCAAGTTAGCAATTGACACGAACACGGAGGAGTGCTTGTGCTTCTGTCCTACCATAATCCTTTCCTTTCGTCATCACTTTTCCTGCGGCCTTCACTGCATTTTCGTCCCCATACTCCTTCAATGTCTCGAAGTTGTAGACGATACATTGGATAAAAGTCTTTTCGAAATCCGTGTGAATTACACCAGCCGCCTGAGGAGCCTTGATGCCCTTCCGTATCGTCCATTGTCGGACCTCATCAGTACCGGTTGTGAAGAAGCTGGCCAGGTTGAGTGCTTGACGCATAGTTACGATGACCTTGGGCAGAGCGGATTTCGTGCCGAGAGTCTTGCATTCTTCGGCGGCTTCTTCGTCGGACATGGTGGCGAGACGCTCTTCGAACGAGACGGAGATGGGCAGCACGGGGTCCCCAGCAGCATTGGTCTTGATCCACTCCATGACTTTGGGCAGGTACTTGTTCTTTTGTCGCAAGTAGTCCTTTTCTGACAAGTTGATCAGATAGACAACTGGCTTCGCGGTTAGGAGGAAAAGGGGGTTGATGACTTCGACCTAGAATTGCATTGTCAGTGATTTGAGATGCGACTGGTGTGTGTGGACAGATGTAAAACACAGGAGTATGTCAGAGTTGGACTTCCTCTCATAACAGCCTCTAACGTGAGATTTGTAAATGAGGCTGCTGTCGACGAGCTGGGATTATATCGAGCACATGGCTCTTGTTCATCATGATACAACTGAGGGCAAGGGGGTAAGAAATGAATCACGCTCACCTCCTTGGGACCCCATTCACCCTTTCTGACGTCCTTGCCATCCTTCAGCCATGCCAGGATCTTGTCAACTGTGGCTTCCTCCTCTTTCAACTTCTTCATCTCAAGACTTTGGCCGCCACGTCGTGTCTGTTTGGAGAGATTTTCCTTTGCCTTCTCGACAAATTCGATGTCTTTTAATCTCAACTCTTCGGAAATGATGTCTAGATCACGAGTGGGATTGACATCGCCCTCGACGTGGATAATTTCTGCATCGTCGAAACATCGCACGACTTGGAAGATGGCGTCGACGGCTCTGATATGTGATAGAAAAGCATTTCCAAGACCGGCGCCCGTCGACGAACCCCGGGTCAAACCAGCAATATCGTAGACCGTCAAGTTCGCAGGTACTTGCGACTTTGGCTTGTAGTGTTCGCAGAGCCAGTCATATCGAGCATCCGGTACGATGACTCGTGCCTCTTCAGGATCTATGGTCGCATAAGGGAAATTGGCAGGATTGCCCAGCGAGCATTTTGTGATGGCTTGGAAGAGAGTCGATTTGCCAACATTAGCCAGGCCGACCTGGAGACGTCCGATTGTCAGTCACCCGTCTCTTTCCCGAGGTGGACGTTCCCTACATACGATACCACTTTTCAAGCTGTTGCCGGGTCTTCCCAGAAGAATCTTCTCTTCCTTCACAGCCTTTTTGGGAGGCATCTTTTTCTTAGCGTAACTGCGCTTTTGAGGGGTCGGTGCGAGTGAGAATGCGGCGATTCGCCAAACAGCTGGCTTGGAGCAAGGCTCAAGTGCAGATCCGGCTGCGAAGAGTGAAAAGCGGTTGGGAGAAGTGAAAAGTGTGACCGAGAAGGATCGGGACACCGTGATTAAGTGGGGATCGCAGTCTCGAGCAGATTGAGCTCGAGAAGCGTGCGACAAGGTGGATGATGTTTGGCTTTGAATTGGACTATCATCAGGTCTTGCAAGAATGCCAGACTTTTTTGCACAGTACGAAGGCGCGTGCCAAGGAACCACCATGCTTATGTAAGACAACCAGGTGAATGCAACGACACAGAAGTAGTAGTCCCTCTCCTGAATCGCAATTAGACAGTGCACCGCCAACTGGAATGCTTTGGCCTGGCACTTGATACTTCCAAAAGGAACAGCAATTATTTCCTGCACTAGGCACAGTTTGCGGATAGTTACATGGTTCTCAAGTACATTTATCCACCAGGAACTTTCTAACGAGGCCGAACCCCTGGATGTTCATCTGCATAGTCCTGAACCAGTTTGGATCTTGAGAGATGTACGGATTAGTCTCCAACCAGAGCTGTGTGCTATACAGACAAGGCATAAGGATGCAGCATTGAGATCTTTGACCGTACGGACAGTTCTCCCCAAAGAGACCCGTTGAGAACAAACCCTTCCTTAGTCTTTGAACAGTTTCGACCAAAGTTGACCCTGCTTATGTGGACAATGAATACTTCATGGACTCCCTCTATCCGTCTGCAAGTAATACATCAGCGTTGACACACCGTCGGAATTGGGAGCAATTCAATAGTCTGTCATACGAAGAAATTGCCAGGCTTTGGCACTCTGTGCTTGAGCTAGTTTGCCGAGCATTCTTCGTCTGTCGGCTCGTTATCCGGCCATTAAAACAATCTTAGTGGCGTTAGATCTAGCTCCGGCCTCTCACAGTCTCCTTCCCCAAGAAGCTCCTGCAGGATCTCAATGGTTTTCTTGGGAAGAGAAGCCCAGCGAAGCGTCTGCAATGTCAAAAGGTTGCGACCGTTCCGCTTTGCCAGACTTGTCAAGAGCTTGCTGGGTTGGTAGGCTGGGAACTTCTAGCTGAGGAAGGTCCCTTTGACGTGCGACGTGTAAAAATATTGTCACATAGCTCTCAAGTGACATCCATCTGTACATCAGAGTGGTCTCCATCGCTGGTCACTTCCAGCAAGCCTCTCCTTTCCTCGAACTGTTTGATCGCGAAATCACCGTCCTGGCCCTTCTTCTTTGCTTCAAAGTAAACTTTTCTCTTCTCGAGATCGAGTTCATCTTGCCTTTTCAGTTTGGCGAGGTTGCGCTCTTTCCGTTTCTTCTCGACATTGTGTAATACCTTCAGCTGTTCCTTCAGTCGGGAAACTTCATCCTCTAGTCTTTCGACCTTTCCAAGTTCACTACTGTCCAGAGAAGAAGCAGTAGTTCCCTGGTTGCCTGCAGTCAGAGAACGCAAAGCGTCATCGAACAAATCTTGCGGGAATCCGTGGCCTAAAATGGCTTGGTTGATCTGTCCATCTGATTGAGCGGACTTCGCAGTGTTGAGTTTCACTTGGATATTGTATTTCGCCGGAATACCGCAAGAGCCATTGTCTTTGGACGCTGCAAGATCAAGATTAGGCTTGACAATATTTGAAATAATATAGCTGGGTGTATTTCTCCTCGGGAGACCTTCTGGCTTAAGCATTCGAAGGCTAGTAATAGGTTGGCCGAGATTCGCAACTTCGTTCGTTATCCGGTGCTTCCCACAATCCCAACTAATGATGGCTCCATTACGGTGACCAGAGAGGAGTGACGTCCCATCGTAAGATAAAGTCAGGCAATTTGTCGCTCCAATATCTGAGGAAGGAGCCAACCAGCTGTCTTTGGGGAGCAATTGTATAGGTGGAAACTCCGATGAGTGTGTTCTTGAGGCGTGAATCTGGTCTTTGCGCTGGTAAATGTCGAACGACTGGATCTGTCCGTCATCACAACCAAAATAGATCGCGCGATCTGCTGGGTCGATGGTGACTGAGATTGCAGAACTAGGCAGAAGCAAAGTTCGGATAACCTGGCATGAATCGATATGCCAGACATAACATGTCTTGTCAGACGAGGCAGAAACGGCGAAGTTTGTGTTGATTCTCGAGTGGCCACATGCAATCGCACTGACCGTAGCTCTATGGGCAGAGAATGTTTGTATAGGCAAGTGAGAAGGTTCGTCTGACGCATAGGTACCGGCAGGCTGGACAAACGAGACCAGTTTGAGTAGAGACCAGACATGAATAGTCGTGTCAGCAGAGCCGGAAAGGATGTACTCGTTATTAGGAGTTATGCATATCGAAGATACCGCTTGCAGATGCGATGCTGAGGAAGTAATGGATCTTCCTGTTGCAATCTCCCAGAGAATCAATTTTCCACCCTCTGTTCCAAGTACAAGAATCTCTGCGCCATCGGCGTATGCTAGACTGTGAATCCTCTCTGGGAAAGGCACAGTCGCTTCTTGATTTCCTCTTTCTCGGCTGTAGATATTCACGACTGCTTTATCAGCTTGCGCTGCGAATATATGAGAGGAACTAATCGCAACACATCCGGATCGGCTTGAGCTCTTCTTGTACCCATGGCGGAAACCACGGTGTGGCTGAAACTCATGTAGGAAAATGCCTACGTCCCTCAAGGCAGCACTGCCGTGAGCAACAGGTGGGTTCGCAGTCAGTGTTGCCGCAATGAAACTCTCTGTAAGCATATTCGCTGTCACAAGGCAACCATGGTGGACTGTTGGAATCGCTGCACCTTCTTGTAGTCGACTTGATCCATGCGACGGAGACTGATGGTCCGCCCAACTTTTTCGAGAAAAGTTGGAGATCGCCTGGATCCGCGAAATTCTCCACCCCAATCACGTGCGTGTGCCAAGAATCGGAAAGGCTAGCTCTTGGCACACAACTGGGCTCGCACTTGCGCTTCGCGATGAATTGACTCCGGAATCCTGACATTCGACCAACGACCACATCACGACCTCGCCAAACCGCGAACAATTCTTCACATCGACAACTTTGCAAGGAGGGCAAAATGTCGACATTCGAGCCAGTCGTAAGTGCAGCCTGCCCGAGTCTGAGAATCTGTGGCGCCCACAGGACACTGCGCGGTTGACTCACGCGGACATGATACTGATGGGAATGTGTGTCCAGGTTGTTATCGATGGCAAGGGCCACCTGCTCGGTCGTCTCGCCAGTACCGTCGCAAAGCAACTGCTGAACGGCCAAAAGATCGTTGTTGTCCGCGCGGAGGCTCTCAACATCTCTGGCGAATTCTTCCGTGCTAAGCGTACGTCTTAACGACCACCATTGAGATTTTCTGATCTCGACTGACACGAACGAATAGTCAAGTACCATGCCTATCTCCGCAAGATCACCCGATTCAACCCAACCCGCGGTGGTCCCTTCCACTTCCGAGCTCCTGCCCGTATCTTCTACAAGACCGTCCGAGGCATGATCCCCCACAAGACTGCCCGAGGCGCCGCCGCCCTGGACAGACTGAAGGTCTTCGAGGGAATCCCACCCCCATACGACAAGAAGCAGCGAATGGTCGTGCCTCAGGCCCTGAGAGTCCTCAGATTAAAGCCCGGTCGCAAGTACTGCACAGTCGGCCGATTGGCACACGAAGTTGGCTGGAAATACCAGGATGTTGTTGCTAGGTATGCCTCTCATGCACTGCCACATTTGGCGAAGGTTGCATCGAAGGAAGAAAACAGATGGCTAACTTGTGGAACAGACTCGAGGAGAGAAGAAAGGTCAAGGGCAAGGCTTACTACGAGAGAAAGAAGGTCGCTCGTCGACAACTCGCCGAGGCACAGAAGTCAGGAAGCAGCGAGACGAAGCAGAAGTTGGCCGCTCTGGGCTACTAGATGCGTTTACCCTCCAGAGAACTTCCTGCGAATACCCTGCGAACTATCTCCGATTGTTAGTCTTCATCAGACGGAAACGACCGCTATTGAGGCATTCTATCAACTCGAGAGAACACGGTATAAGTCTGTGGGCGAGATGGCGGTGCGCTGTGTGGTGTTGCCCTCCACACAGTGGAGAACGACGGGCTGGGCCAGTTTCGAGATTGTTGTTGGGGGCAGTCAATCATATGCAGCTGCTTGGGAATAGAATACTCTCCAGCAAGCTGGCTGTTATGCATGCGGAGTGATGGTCTTTCAGAAAAAACATAAATATGCCCCGTAACGGTATCTTGACTATTCTGCTTGAAACATGTGGCTCGAAAGTGCTTCAGCTACTGCCAACAAGCATGCAAAAAGAGACAAAACGATGAAATCTGTCAAAAGTGTTCACTACAGCGTACTGCGAGCTCATTGTATTTTCATCTATTAGAACCAGGGCCATTGGGATAAATTCATGTATCCAGCTTGCCCCGGGCTGTCTCCGGTACAGCCACGTCACTAGGCACGTGGAGGGTCAAAACCCAACCCGTGGATCTGATGGCATATCTAGTTCAAGCCCAGACATTGCCTCATGAGCAGCCACCATCGATGATAGTTGCAAAGTCTGTGACAAAGAATAAACTTAGCCGTACATATTCCAGGGAAGGTCCCGTGTCCCTTGATTCAGCGCCTGTTACCAGAACTCTGTGCGACCAAGAACCTATGCGACTGGACGCAACCAGAACATATACGCACGCCATCAACCTGGGGAATGCCAAAGCCTCGATGGCAAAGTTCGCAACTTGTGTCGTCCTTGGGGGGTTTGGCCACCGTTGTGCCCTTCACCGAGGCATTCTTGACTGTTGCCGGCTTCGTCCGTGCGGACCTATTCGAGATCGAATCTGACGGTGTTAGTGTCGCTGCTTTGCCAACGGCAGCAGAGTGATGGCTTTTCGGCGGGACGAAGTCGACTTTGTGAACATGCGTTGTTGGAGCCTTGGATGGCGCCTTGGACTTGGGAAGGGGGGCGAGAGACGCTGTCCCTCCTTGACCTGCTGGCAACGGCGGAGGAGGCGGGGGCGGAGGTCGTACAGCAGTATGAGCCGACCTCGAAGCTGGAGGGGGAGGAGGTGGTGGCGGCTGTGCCGGTGCCAGTGCCGGTGTAATGTCGCGCACCGATGGCGCCGGAGGGATGACCTTGACTGAGGCTGAAGGGGGTGGAGGTGGTGGATGAGGAGGAGGAGGCGGAGCAGCTTGTCCAGGTAAACGGTGGTTGCTGCTTTGATGTCGAGTCCAATTGGCCGTTGCGAGTGCTTTCTGGTTGCCCTCAGACAGCTTATTGTAATCTTCGGGTTTCATGATTGTCTCGATCACGCGCGTGTTTGTGATGCTCTCGGAGTTGTACATTCGAGACACGCCATTCTGGCTGTTAATGGCGTTGCATGTGCCCAAATCAAGCGGCCGGTAACAGGGATGCATGGCGGCAACACACGCCCCAGGTGGCTTATTGTATCCTGGCGCAGGGATGACTTGACAGATTTCTCGTACACGGTGAGTATGGTGCGTTGCTTGGGATGGGGCCGCTGTTCCGAAGTCAGCAAAGTGCATTCAGAAGGTCTCAGGGACAAAAGAGCAGCATTGAGCAACGCCAGATGGTTGAGACTTACCGTTGCTTGCCTTGCGCGAGCCTGTATTGCTCCTTGCGGCATTCGAGCCACTGTTGTGCTTTTCGGAAGGCATCTATGGATAGACCAGGAAGCGAGGAGATGTAGGATGGAACTGAAGTCGCGCAGAAGCCAAAACTAAAGTGGGATATTACAACAATTATAGGATCAAGACACGGGCCAACCGTGATCTTGGGTACATGTCAGTAACTCCAGAACACAAGACATGTCGTTTGTAGGGGGGGTCATCATCCCGAAGGTCGGAGAGTGATTGAGAAAACGAATGTGCCCCGGGAAACAGCCGAAATACCCTCCATTCACTCTTGTACAATCCAAATCACGCCTTCTTCTTAAGTTCTCCGTTCTGTTTCCCACCCGTCTGTGGAGAAGTGACAGCATCCGTTTTGCCTTCCACGTAAGGGTGTTTGATGGTCAGACACCAGATATCCATGTAATCGCAGATGGTGGTGATGACATCGTGAACGAAGCTTCCGTAAACTCCGAGAGCCAGGCCTAGAGCGAGAAAGATGAATGCAACTTGGTAAATATCGCTACCCAGAGCGCTTGGCCACAGGCCTAACCGTGGACCTAGGCTATCGACGACAGCCCAAGCAAGTGGGACGACAAGGACGTTTTGATAGGGAAATTTGTCCTTGACTAGGTGTGCAACAATCATCTGTCCGACAGAGTAGGCATTAACCATGCTGGCGAAGAGGACGAAGGGCACGAGGTGGTGATGCAGAATGACCGGGTTGAGCCAGAGATAAGCCGTTATCAAGGTCCATGTCACGAAAATGGGAAGCAGTCCCCATAAAGCCTTGTATGGATCCTGGCCCCTTTCTCGCCGTACCTTGATGACTGTCATGGCGCTGCTGACAGTGTTGAAGACGAGGACCACACCACCGTACAACATATACCACTCGTTCCAAGCCAGCTGGTACATGCTTTCTGGAATCAATGGGTTCTTCGGAAAGCCAAGGCTCGGGAGCATTGGCTGTTGCCAATAGCTTGCACCACCCTTGAGGAAAGTGAGGAAGTAGACCACAATCAATGTCAGGACACCTTCAACAGGCCCAGAGACGATTCCTAGGGTCAACGTATGTGTGTGGTATTCATCCCAGGTCTGGATGTAGAAGGTGAGAACAGTTCCAAAGAGTGTAAGAACAGTCTTCCATGATTGGCCAAGGTTCATGGCAGCCGCGAAGAGAAGGACTTCGAGACCGGTGTTGCAAGCGTCAACTCCTGCGGAATGTTAGTATGGGTCCATCCTTGAAGATTATAATACCAACCATGGTCAAAGAGCTCTCCTAGGGGTCCACTTTGATGCGTCCTGCGGGCTTGGGCACCGTCGACAGCGTCGAAAGTCTGGTAAAGAAAGAGTCCAAGGGCCCACGTCAGGTAAACCCAAGGAGGACAGTCCCTGTCGAGAGTCGGATTATACCAGAGCATCGTCAGGACATTGATGACCACGAAACTGAAGCCCGTAAGAGTTATCTATTCTTGGAGTTAGAATTAAGGAGGAAGTTGAGAGCTGCCACATACAAGATTCGGTCTATGAGGCTCGTCAGTTTACAATCTCAGCAGAACCAGTATTACTCACGCCATAGACATTGGAAAACATTTGATAGCGACATGAGTGTAGAAGGGCTTCAGGATATATTTCGAGACCAGAGATTTATCAACACCGGCATACTTGTACTCGCGCAGTTTCGGGAGGTTGCGCTGTCGAATGTACACCATTTTGAATGTCTCTGTACGCACAAATACGCGCCAAACCAGAAGATAAAGAAGCTGAATTCTATGGAAACGAAACAAGTAACTGGGGCTGCAGAAAACGCGTCCGCCAACCTGGTGCAGAAAAGTTGAAATACAGGAGTTCGAGAGAACAAATTGCTGTTTCCAGGATCTTCGGTCAAGACGTCATTCCCTGTTGCTGCAGGTGACGATCTGGTATAAATGCCTCGCAGTAGAATTTACGGTCGACTACAAGGATCTACATGCGCATTTGCAATGCATTTCCTCTTCGAGGAGAAATAACAGTCCGTCTGCGACTGGGCCGAACCCCCTCACCCTCCATGATGCACAATGCTACGCTAACACACTCACCATTGATAAGCGTCAAGATTCCGGCTGGAATGAAGAAGCCTCTTGCTCTTTAGCCTTCTGGTGGTCGTGATTGGACCGATTGCTTGAGTCACTGTGTCAAGCACATCGGTATAAATCGAGGATGTTTCCTGTTGTCACTTACATCTTGCGCCGCAATGTTACATACCGATAGCACTAACTGATCCTCAAAAGAACCCCATCACAATGGGCTCCTACACACCTAACAACGACCAGGAGATACATACCGTCTTCATACCGGAAGATGTACGTCGGTCTGGGAAAGCGACTCTGGACATCATAGCCGAAGGCGTTGCTTTCTTGCACAAGGACGGCATCATAGTTCTCGAGAATGCTATCGACACTGAGCACATCGACACGCTCAACGCTAAACTGGCGCCCGAAGCGCTCGAAATTGCTGCAGACCCCGACCATCATTTCAATTTTGGGACACAGACACGGAACATGGACCAGGCTCCCCCACCAACCAGAGAGCTGATGTATAAGGATATCTGGTGCAATCCCTTTGCAGCGGCGATCTTGTCAGCAACTTTGGGCCCGCGCCCTGTAATTCATTACGCGAATGGAAATACCGCACTCAAGGCGGCCCCCGACGGAAGACAACCGGTACATTCTGATTGCGAATTTGCGCATCCTGCATACTTCCCCTTTGCATACGTGATCAACATTAGCCTTGTCGACGTTACAGCCGAGAATGGAGGTACAGAAGTTTGGGTCGGGAGCCACCATGTCAGCGTGCAGGATGCGCACGTTTCTGGTTGTGACAACGAACAAATGTTGAGCATCCGGCCAGAATTGCTAGAAGAACGGAGGAAACACAGCCCTCCATTCCAGGCAAGTACGAAGAAAGGTTCCCTCGTTATCCGTGATCTGCGGTTATGGCACGCCGGCATGCCGAATCTGACGGATGAACCAAGAGTAATGCTTGCCTTTGTGGCCAGTCCTGAATGGTGGCAGGGTAAGAGTAAGATCCTGCTCCCCAAAGACGTCAAGGAAATGGTGGAAAGCTGGAAAGATGAATTCCAATACGATGCCGAATATGTTGAGGGGGAAGTGGAATATAAAAAGCTCAGCAGCTCGAACGTGGATTTCGGTTCCAAGAGCAAGATCCTCGAGAGGTATGAAAGCGAACTGAAAGTTTGGCCGAACTATGTTCCCAGGTGGTACTAGGCAGTCGATCGTATGAAGACAGCATCATTTCAAAGTATAGGTACGAGTCTTGATAATCAGCTACTACATTAAGGTACTAAACATCTATCCGTATCAATTTTTAAGAGTGTGATAGGAGGCTCGCCGCGTCCATGGGGCATAAAAGCGGCGGCGACTTTTTCTCAATCGGATCTTCCCTAAATTTCCACTCCAGTGTTCGGGTGAACAATTCCACACTGCGACATCCTTAATTGTTCGGCATATACCCTAAGTAGACAGAGCGATTTTGCCAGTCTAGCCTGCAGTAGAGTCGTTCAACATGCCACCGAGACTGCGACTGCGCTCCCTCGTGCGCTTAGCAGAGCTCCAACTCGAGCGAGCTCCGTCACGGTCCGCATACACCTGCAATAGATGCCAATATGCGACGGCAGCTACAGTTCCAGCCCCTTCGGATGAACAGATACACGCCTCGATACCAGCATTAAGTCGCTACGCGCCGGCGACACCTCCCAGCTTCCGCAACCCGGCCTACCGAAAATCACAGCTTCTCAGATCCTACGTCTCCCTCCTCCAGACGACTCCTCTGATCGTGCTGTTCCAGCACACCAATCTTAAGGCTGCAGAGTGGGTCGGCATCAGGCGGGAACTGGCTTCAGCGTTGCGAAAGCTCGACACGCAGCTCGCTGCGCAGGGAGCACCTCCGGAGGCACTGATCGCAGAACACATCAAACTGGAAGTGATCAAGACAAACATTTTTGAGCCCGCTCTACGGATCACAGAGTTCTTCAAACCGGGTGACCTCCCGCCGGAGACGCTGAGCGGGCTGTCTGGGATCTCTTCAGAGAAGGAGGATCCAAGTTTAACACACGCTCTCTCTGCGGCTGCGTACAAGGCAGCGAGTGCTCACAAGGGCGAACACCCACTCACACCCGTCCTGCAAGGCGCCGTCGCCATCTTGACTCTCCCCGCTGTTTCGCCAACGCATTTGAAAGCGGCCTTTTCCATTCTTTCGCCACAGGCGCCTGCTTTTCCGGCACCCACGAGGAGGATGGTTCCTTCATACTACGATCAACCTGTGCAAGATGGACTCAAAAAGTTGCTTCTTCTGGGAGCTCGCATCGACGGGCAGATCTTTGACATGGAAGGCACGAGGTGGGTCGGCAGCATTGACGGAGGTATCGACGGACTACGGGCGCAACTCGTTGCCATACTTCAAGGGTTTGGAGCCGGGATCACTACGACCCTGGAAAGCGCCAGCAGGAATCTGTGGTTTACAATGGAGAGCAGGCGTAATATGCTCGAAGAGGAAGGGAATCCTAAAGACCAGTGATCTACTAGGAGAATGCGGCATATCAACGGACTGCGTCTTCTGTCCAAGGACAATTAGCGCTGATCTTGGACCCCCAAGTCAGGGCTATCGCACAGGCTGGACTTTCCCCTTTATGGTCCTGGCTCGCAGCATCCTTTCATACCCTCGCCGCATGGCCGCCCGGTAGAGTGATAATGACTGGCCTGTAGATAGTGGAAAGAACTGCCCAAAAGTTCTGGGCTTTCCTGTAACAAAACTAGATGGAGATGAAAACACAGGTGGTACGGAAGAAACAATCGCATTTGTACAAGAGATATCAAAGTCGTACATGGTTGATTTGGCGCGAGCCCTCCTCCGGCCGATTTTAGCCACCCGATCCTTCTTCGGCGCCAGGTAAGTCTACGGCCCGCGCAAGCAGAGCCATTTATTGAGACGCGGAATACGAAAATTGCATTCGTCCCAATTCTGGTGGGATTGAACATGTTAGAGTGTGGCTTGCTGATATAGTTGAGCCTGCCTTCAACAATGCTGTACGTTGCCCAATGCTTGAGCCATACATAGAGGATAACGTTGACGTGAATTTATAGACATGTGAGTTCAGGATGCTTCGGGCGCTCGCTTTCGAATAACGGGATCAACACCGTAGACAGACCGGCATTCCTCGACGTATCGAGCTCTGTCAGCGTCGGCCTTATCGTTGTATGGCTAAAAGATAGAGTTAGTGGAAATTAGCCATACAGAGCGTGAAAATCCCTACCTTCTTCTCTGCCGCAGACAAGTTTTTCCACTCCCTGCCCAATAATTTACCTGATTCTCCGACTGACATTCCTGACATGTCACCAGACAAATGTCTATCAGTAAAGAAGAAGGTGTAGGCATTGCGCGGTGCCTTCACTGCCCGATCATCCTGGATCGTCGGGTATTTGGTCTTCTTCCCTGCCGCCTTGGCTTTTTTGGTGAGTTGGTGTCGAGCATTGTTTGCTTGCTTGATCTGTAGAGGTGTGTAACTTTGTACCCAGTTCTTGTATGCAATAGTGTTCTGTTGTTTGTTCTGATTGGCTTGGTGATTGTATTGCTGCACTGGTCAGTAAACATCCTGAGGATCCAGCGACGTAACATACCTCGCGCTCTTCGGAGCTCAGATTTCTATACTTCTCTGATGCTGCAGTAGCAGAGCCGGCAAACGCTTTGCTCTTCTTCGCTTCCTCCACCAGGATCACCGAGAATGCTGTTGAAGGCAGTTGTTTAGGTTCTTCCAGTAGTGCCGCAGCTCGCAGGTCTGATAGTGCCTTGCGCGCTTGCTGGGCGAGAGCTGTCTTGCTGGGTGCTTTCTTTGCCTTTGGCTTCTTCACTGCCTTCTTCTTTGGCTTCTTGGTCGCCTTCTTCTTCGGAGTGGCCTTCTTTTTGCCGGCTGCTGCGCGTCCTACATGCGCCTTGGGCTTGCCTGCTGGCTTCTTGGTGGCTGTTGCATATGTCCTAGCGTCTTTGTAGAATAACGTGAGGTCGGACCAGTCGCCGCGACGGCCGTCTCCAGATTTGTTGGCCGAGGAATTGCAAACAACGCGTAGGAGGGGATTGACGGGAGATGGTCGCGTGAACGACCGGGTCGTCCTGGCCAGCAGTCGCGAGGCCAGCGTTCGTGGGACAGGGAAAACGGCCATGGCCAAGCGTTGCAGTTCAAGGGGTGAGGACGGTGGAATTCGAAATCAATGCAAGGGGAAGCACATTGAGGTATCGGTGGGTTGATATCAACTGTCGAACCACTTGTGGTGGCTGGGTCGTGTCGCAGTTACTTCCAATACGCGAAGCTGCGCAACGGGCGCTGGCTCAGAAACCCCTGCACGTGACTAACACCAATTGCCTCTAGTGACGCACTATCGCACGTCAAACAAGGCTGCAGTTGCCAAGAAGTCTCGATGCGGGACAAGGCACGGTGCCGCCTTAAGCGGCCAGTGCTGTGCAAGGCAGGCTTAGTGGGCTCGCAGGCTACATGGTCTTCCGCATGGCATGGGAAAATATTGCAACCTCAGATAGTCGTGAGGTATCTTCCACTTGCTTGGACATAAGTTGATCGGTTGTGTTCCTGTCTGTTCGACCCTATTCACTTACGGTTGGACCATCATTCCCGACGCCAAAGCCCGGAATTTTTCTTTTCGAGCCTAATCCTGGTTGCGATTCAAGCAGTAAAGCTCACTTAATCTGCAGCCATAGGATGGCTAGGCACGGGGACACTCGCTCACCATCACCTGCAGGCAGCTCATATTCCTCGTCAAAACGAAGCCGGAGAGATGAGGATCGACATGATCGGAGTCGCCGAGACGATGATCGAAGCCATCGTCGAAAGCACTCGAGGTCTCGAAGTCCAGATGTATGCCCTTCTTTGTCTTCTATTTCACATACAGCTGCTGACCATTTCTCACAGCGAAGACGTCGCGACCGCGAACGGGATCGAGACGGTTATCGACGGAGGGACCGTTCCATAGACCGACGTTATGATGGTCGTCGAGATGAAGACGCCTACTACTCAAGGCGAGACCGGTCTCGGGATCGCAGGCGCTCGCGAGACAGAGATGACCGGCGTCGAAGCAGAGAACGAGAGACACGACAAAGAAGAGATGGCTCTCGCGAAAGGGACCGTCGAGTAAGGGACGAATCCACAGAGTCCAGGAAACGTAAACGAGAAGAAGACAGTCGGGAGCGACAGCGCAAAGAATCAAGGGATATGTCAAGAGAAGTACGCATGCCCAAGCCCTGTTATCCATACAGCACTCATGATTTGATACAGCCATCAAAGCCTTCTACGCCCACAGCACAGACCGATGAAGACCGCAAAGCCGCCCGACTCGCCAAATTGGAACAGTGGAAGAAGAAACAGGCCGAAGAACAAGCCAAGAAGCAGAAGGAGCTCGAGGCGACAGGTGGTACCAGAAATCTCTTGAATGAGATTGATAGAAGGGCAGGAATTTCACCCACAATCAGTTCACCACAATCACCGGCTACACCGGCTTCGCCCATCTCCACGACAGTTTCCTATGCGGGCAAGTTCGACCCAAAGGCAATAGTGAAGAAAGCACATCACGCCTCAGCTGCAAGTAAGGTCCTCGGCGGCGACATTGCTGCACCAGTCATACCCAATGGTCATGTACCATCGATAGATGCCTCACCCAAACCTCCGGCAAATGGAGGTAGTGTCTCGAAGACCTTGAAGCCGAAAGGTAATATGGGCAGGTTCGGTCTCGGAGTGAAAGTTGGGGTGGAGAACGATGTGTCGAAAAAAGTCTTAGATTTCGAGGATGAAGAAGGCACCAAGAAGAAACTAGAAAAGTTACCCAATATGGCTCTGGAAACCACCTCCGTGGGCGACAGTCCCCATGCAGGCGGCGTCGAAGACGAGGACGATGAAGATGAAGACGCGGACATGCAAGATGAAGGATCCGACGAACGGATGGCTGCTGCACGCGCCGCTGCCGAACTGCGAAGCCAAGCCGAGCGAGGCGAAGATACAGCAATGGTTGACGCTCCTGCTTCTACCGCCGCTGCTGCTGCGGATGCCGAAGCAGAAGCGGAGGAAGCAGAGGAAATTGACCCCCTTGATGCCTTCATGCAAGACCTCCAGCCTGTCCCGACCACTAAATCATTTGCTCAGAAATCAAAGGCCAATTCGCGGCAGCAAGAGCCCGAAGCCCTTTTCGGAGACGACGAGGTCGACCTTACAGCGGTTGACGAAGATAATCCAGACAGCATCCTTTCAATGGCCTCAACTGCTGCGAAAAAGAAGAAAAAGGAAATACCAACTGTTAACCATGCCAAGGTTCAATACGAACCTTTCAGACGGAATTTTTACTCCGAGCCTGTTGACATGGCTGACTGGACCGAAGAAGAGGTTGTGAGTCTCAGGATGGAACTTGACAATATCAAGGTAAGGGGAGTTGACGTACCCAAGCCGGTTCAGAAGTGGGCACAATGTGGCCTTGGTGTTCAGGTTCTCGAAGTAATCCAGAAACTGGGCTATGATGCACCGACGAGTATCCAATCTCAAGCTATCCCCGCGATTATGTCCGGTCGGGACGTGATCGGTGTTGCGAAGACCGGTTCGGGAAAGACAATCGCCTTCCTCCTGCCGATGTTCAGACACATCAAGGACCAACGACCTCTGGAGTCCCTCGATGGCCCCATAGGTCTCGTTCTGAGTCCCACCAGAGAGCTTGCCACCCAGATTCATAAAGAGTGCAAGCCTTTCCTTAAGGCGCTAGGCCTTCGCGCAGTTTGTGCGTATGGTGGTGCTCCTATCAAAGATCAGATTGCCGACTTGAAGCGTGGGGCTGAGATTGTTGTCTGCACGCCTGGCCGAATGATTGATCTTCTCGCGGCAAACAGTGGACGAGTAACAAACTTGAGAAGAGTCACTTATGTCGTACTGGACGAGGCTGATCGAATGTTTGATATGGGTTTCGAGCCACAGGTAATGAAGATCTTGGCAAACATACGACCTGACCGTCAGACGGTACTGTTTTCCGCCACGTTTCCTCGTCAAATGGAAGCGCTTGCAAGGAAGACGTTGACGAAACCAATTGAGATTGTCGTGGGTGGTCGCAGTGTAGTCGCTCCCGAAATCACTCAAATCGTGGAAGTTCGCGAGGAAAACACAAAGTTTTTTCGACTTCTCGAATTACTGGGCAAGCTGTACGAACACGACAAGAACGAAGATGACCGGGTTCTTATTTTTGTCGACCGCCAAGAAGCCGCAGACGGTTTGCTGAGAGATCTGATGAAGAAGGGCTACCCGTGTATGTCGATTCATGGTGGGAAAGATCAAATCGACCGAGACTCGACCATTGATGACTTCAAAGCTGGCGTTGTGCCCATTCTCATCGCAACGTCTGTCGCTGCCCGTGGCCTCGACGTGAAGCAGTTGAAACTTGTGGTCAACTATGATGCTCCCAACCATCTGGAAGACTATGTTCACCGTGCTGGTCGTACAGGCCGAGCGGGCAATACGGGGACGGCAGTCACCTTCTTGACTGAGGAGCAGGATAGGTATGCTGTGGATATCGCGAAAGCATTGAAACAGAGCGGCCAGCCTGTCCCTGAACCCGTACAGAAACTCGTCGACAATTTCATGGAGAAAGTCAAGGCTGGGAAGGAGAAGGCAGGGGTGTCGGGCTTTGGCGGTAAAGGTCTCGAACGACTTGACCAGGAACGTGACGCTGCGAAGGCTCGCGAGCGCAAGACGTTCAAAACCGGCGAGGAAGGCGACGAGCAGGAAGAAAAGGAGGACAGCAGAGAGGTCAAGGTTGGCGACGACATCTTCTCCAAAGCTGCTTCGGGCGTCAAGCCGCACCGCGACGCTGCTGCTGCTGCTGCGGCTCCTCATCCTCCTCCTTCGAACAGTCTACCTGGCGTGCCCAAGGGTATCGACCTCGACGGCAAGATCACCGTTCACAGGACCGAGCGCGAACCGGCGTCCGCAGCGCCGAAGAACCAGATGGACAGGGTTGCGGCTGCCGTTGCCGGCATCAACCAGAAACTATCCAAGGCCGGTGTCATGCGCTCAGGCGTGCCTATAGACAACAAAGGCCCGGACGCCGGCGCATTCCACGCTACTTTGGAGATCAACGACTTTCCTCGTAAGTTTTCCCGTTTTCCCCTTGTCGTTGTTGTTATTGTTTCATACAGTCACACGCTTTCCCACATATCAGCTCAGGGACGTTGCTAACTGTGTGGTTATAGAAAAGGCACGTTGGGCCGTCACGAACCGGACGAACGTGGCCAAAATCCTCGAAGCAACCGGGACTTCGATCACGACAAAGGGCTCATTTTACCCTGCTGGCAAGGAACCCGGGCCGAACGAGAACCCGAAACTGTACATCTTGGTCGAAGGCGACACGGAGGTTGTCGTGCACGACGCAATGAGGGAACTGATGCGCTTGTTGAAGGAAGGTACCATGAGTGCAGCCGACGCAGCAGAGAGGACTGGCGGTCGATACTCTGTAGTTTAAACACCGTGTATTCATTCAACAAGACACCTGTTGTCCTCTCTAAAGATTCCATTCTTGAGCTGTTGATGACGGGGTATCTTAACCGATACTCTCGAGAAAACTTATCAACTTTTCACATCTAGCTCGTGCCGATGGTATATCACAATGTTTCCACGCCGAGTTGCCAATCAAACGCTCGTCAATCTCTTTCCATGACACTATTCCCATACAGATATAATCAACGCTTGCCATGATTTTTAGATGACACAATTTCCACACTGATCTTGGCTAAAATCATTGCTTGTAAAGAAAGCTTCCGAGTCGAGCTTCATGCACTGTTGCGGCCGACAGACGACGAATCCAACTCAACCCTTTTACAACGTCTTCCATTTCATCCTCAAATCGTACAGTCTCGCCGGAACGATAGCCTGGGGAATTCATTCAGATTCTGCGCATAGGTAGACTTGACTGGTGTAAAGCAAAACTTCTTCTCCGTGACCTAGCGCAAGGCCAAGTAAACGATGAAAAAGGGGTGGTGATGTTGTTGTTGCTGTTGTTGCTGTTGTTGCTGTTGTTGCTGTTGTTGCTGTTGTTGCTGTTGTTGCTGTTGTTG